AGTTGGTCCACTTCCGCCAATTCTCCAATTGAGCGAGTTTTGCCGAGTTTTGAGAACACCTTCTTTTTCCCAGAAAAGATGGATTTTAAGGACTTCCTCGGTTTAAAAATATAATCGAAGTAAAAAAATAAATCAACTCTCCATCATTGGTGCGTTGGCTTAGCGACCTGTGTAAAAACCTGAGTCAGGGTCTTGAAATCTTTTTACATTCTAGCGAAACTGCTTTCCTGACTCAGGTTTTTACACAGGTTATTGAGCCCAGCATTGTAGCCTATTAGTAAGCTACTAATAACAACTGAGCTGCCAAAAGGATAGGGGATACCCTTATTGGAAATTTCAAATTGTAAAGAAATAAGACTTGAAGCAAATTTGAAATTTCCAATAAGGGTATCCCTCCTTTGCCGGCCCCGTTGCTATTAGAAACTTACTAATAGCCTATTAGTAATAGGCTACAATGCTGGGCTCAATAACTGTGAAAAACCTGAGTCAGGAAATCGCTAGAATGTAAAATAGATTTCAAGACCCTGACTCAGGTTTTCTACACAGGTTATTGAGCCCAGCATCGTAGCTTATTAGTTAGTTACTAATAGCAACTGAGCTGGCAAATGAGGGACACCCTTATTAAAACAAACTCGAAATTTCAAATAAGGGTATCACTCCTTTTGCCAGCTCAGTTAGTAGCTGGGACTAATGGGTGGTCTCTTCTGAAAATGGAATGCTGCGAATTTCTGTCGCCTTTGCGTTTGGGAATAATTAAAGATCGTTGTGTATTCTGGCGGGTTCATAAACAGACCTCGCTGCGGTAGATTTCGAATTCACGCCTTGTCCACATGGCGAAAAGAAAAACATTATTATGCAGAGCGCTCCGGGTGAATAATAATGAGCCCGTGTGTGTATCCTTAATGATCGCTACCCGCGATGGACAGCTGATGGACGACTTTTCTTGTCCACCCCTGCCCCCGCTTGCCATATTACTGTCGTATTCATTACTGTATTGCATTTCACTTAACAACGCTTATTAGACGGTTCTTTTCGCAATTAAGGGGATAGGAATGAAAAGGAATGAGATTTTTCCGACTTTCGAGGAGGATTTTTCTAACCCGAAATTTAAGGGGTATATGATATACCGTATATGATATACGGTATATCTGAAAAGGCAACATGGAAAAACCCTATCTTGGCCCGTAGGGCCAAGCTAAAACCCTCTAGAATCTAGAATCGACCCTAGATTCTAGACTCTAGATTCTTGACTCTAGATTCTGGATTCTAGAAAATAGATTCTTGATTCTAGAGAATAGATTCTAGATGGTCTTAGCTTGGCCCTACGGGCCAAGATAGGGTTTTTTTCCATGTTGCCCCTTTTCAGACTCTACCCCTTAAAATTCGTCATGAGAAAAGTTCTCCTCAGATAGATATTTTGCAATCAAAGTTTGACCGGGTTAGATCTCCTCTTTCCAATAATTCGGCATTATATGATTTGGGAAATCCGGAAAGAGGGTGATTACCTCCGCTGTGACCTAATAATCGCGTGGGAGATACATTTAACAAGCAGAAATGTTTCTGCTCTAGTGCTAATCCACAACCGGATCAGCAGCAGAGTCAATTCCCAGCGACCGCATTCGCCATTTCCCAAAAACCGAAAAAATAAAACAACCACCACAAAAGTAAAAAGCACCGCGGCGAGCTTCAACAAGATCATTTTCGAATGTTTGAGTTCAGTTCCTCTTTTCTGGCTCTAGAATTTGCGCTTTATACAGCCAGATTAACCTAGACAGAGGGTTTTCTGGGATCAGAAACCTATGTAGAAAACCTGAGTCAGGGTCCATTTCCCCATTTAGGACCCTGACTCAGGAAAATTTGACAAAGTTGATACTCTTTTTCAGGCCTGAGCCAAATTAAGGGGGTAGCCTAGGCTCGGCAATTAAAAACCTGAGTCAGGGTCCTTAATAGGTAAAATGGACTCTGACTCAGGTTTTTTTACAAATTGATGAGCCTAGTACACCCCCTTAATCTGGCTTAGGCTTAAAAGAGAGTATCGATTTTGACAAATTTTCTCTAGAAAAAGAGACAAACACCATAAATGAGTCTAAGCAAACTCGCATTTGAATTTTACCGTTTCAATTTTAAATCGTAATAAGATCCCTATCAGAAACTAAATCGTCATAATTTGGTCTACGTAAAAATTTAATAATAAATAATGACAAAAATAAATAATCGAACAAACTGGGCTGAAAATTCTAAAGCGCTCTTTTTTAATTAAAATTGCGCGACTTTTTGGAAAACCAGATTGAGTGTAAAAATCGAGTTACCTCGTCTAAATTCCGAATGTAAAAGTGTAGCAATGGCGGTGTTTGGGCTCGCTCCGAATTATTCGTAATTTGATGAAATAAGCCCGCTTTGGAAAATTTTGGAAGGAGCCCAGCCCAAAGCGTAATTACTTTCATTTATCTCATCAAAGCAGGATCAAATTAAAGAAGAGGAAAATCTATTTTTTTATTTACGAAGAACAGTTATTTCAAATTTTAACCCATTGCCGCGGGAGGGGCTAAAAATGGACTATTTTTGTTATTTTAGCTCAAACAAAACTTTTCATTTTCAACCAAATTATTTCTTTGCCAAAGATGAGAAGCCGCTCGCGGCTTCGAGAAAAATATTTAAGCCGCGATTAGCGCGGCTCTTATTCATTTTGATCGAAGCCGCAAGCGGCTTCTCAACTTTGGCAAAGAAATAATTTGGTTGAAAATGAAAAGTTTTTTGTTTGAGCTAAAATAACAAAAATGGTCCATTTTTGGCCCCTCCCGCGAAGATGGGTTAAAATTTTAAACAACAACTTTTTAGCTTTCTTGATTGATTTGCGATTTTCGCAGTTAGTTATCTTTCAGCACGCTTAATTTTCGGCGTTTTTTGATCAACAAGAAAACACGGAAAAGTGTGTGCCCGTAAATCCTGGTTAAAAAGAGCAAGGGCGATTGTTTAAGGGTGTGATGGGTTTTCTTTTCTTATCGCGAGTTGTGTTTTTGGCGATTGTGAGGAAGTGTGAAGGAAATTAGCAACTGGCGCGGGGAACAGCAGATGCTGCTGTAGCCACTGCTTCCAAGTACCAGTCTCCACTCTAATCAGCATCAATCAAGGGGCGCCTAAGGGTACACACGCGCCTCAAGGGCCATATGGGGCGCCCATATTGCCAGCTCGAAATATTGTTGATTCATCAATCGCCGCTTAAGTACTTCCATTACACGCTCAAGCCAAATCAAGAGGGGCAGACCTTAGTCGACTTTCTCCGAGAAATAGGATCGTGACACCCTTATTGTCTTTGTCAAAATAAAAAGAAGGCACTATGCAAGGATCTTAACGCTAGTTTGGGTAGAAAAATAAGGGTTTCACTTCCTTAAATCATTATTTTTCGATGATACTTATCTTAGTGACACCCTTATTGTCTGGATCCAATTTGGGTAGAACAATAAGGGTTTCACTGCCTTAAATCAAATAGTCTCGCAAAAAATCATCACTTTTCGATGATACTTATCTCAGTGACGCCCATATTTAATTTATATTATATAAATATATAGAAATAAATAAGGGTGTCACTAAGATAAGTATCATCGAAAAAGTGATGAGTTTTTGCGAGACTATTTGATTCAAGGCAGTGAAACCCTTATTGTTCTACCCAAACTGGATCCAGACAATAAGGGTGTCACTAAGAAAATTTTATTTAAATTAGAGAATACCCTTAACACTGAAGCAAATTGCCTTCGCCACTTGGAACAACTCAGAATTGCGGTATTATTAAGGAGGGAGGAGCGGATATCGAAACTACTTGTTCTGGCGTTTTAAAACAACATTTGTTAAAAATTAAGAAATGCAAGTTGCCCCTGCTCTGAATAATAACTTGAACGGGGAATCTTTTCAAAGGAAACAAGCTCAGAATTTCTAATCAGGGATCTCGCTGCTTCTTTTTAAAGTTTTAACCTATTTAAAACGAGAGTGTTTTATGGAGCTAACAATGGAGGCGGAAAATCGACGCGGCGGGAGGACTTGAGTTCGGGATTCCGAATCCAGGAGGCGGCGGAAAATCGCACTGATCTCTGACTGTAGCCGACTACTCCTAGGTCATGATACCTCCTTAATATCAGCACAACGATTTCATGGTTGGGGAAAAGTCTGTTTAACACACTAGAGGTACCTGAAAAACTCAAGGTCACGTGTTTCTTTGAAAAAATCGGGATTGCCGATTTTGGGATGAGACACCCTTAATAAACTTGATAGAGATGTAGGCACATTCATAAATTACAACTAAATTAATAAAAAATTACCTCAATTAATGGAAATTAAGGATATACAGGCCGATATAGGGCCCAATATTTTCTTTGTAAAAATAAGGGTATCAACTTGTTAATTGTGAAATCTACGAAATTGGCGATTTTGTGACGCGAAATAAAAAGAAAAAGTTTGGAAGATGACACCCTTAATTTTGAAGCGAGCTTTTTCTTGTTACTTTTTCTTATCGAAAGTGCAAAAGAATGAATTTAATTTTTGAAGCAGATTTGAAGATTATCGAGTTAATGTTTTAAAACTTTTAAGTTGATCTAATTAGCATGATCGGATGGATTAGAGAAAAGGGTTGATGATCGGAGCTCGGCGGGCGGGCGGGAGAGTCAGACTCTCGCTCTCTCTGTTTTAGCTCCGGAGCGCCAGCTCGCCGGAGCACCAAATTCGCGCTCAGCAGTGGCTCTCGAGCGCCCTCGCGCGGGAGCACACCGCTAGCACCCCCTCCGCCGCGGAGCCTGGACCAGGGCTGATACGATCCTGAGAAAAATAATCTATTTTACGAACAAAGACTTTTTCAATTTGAATTTTTGAAATCGAGATTTCCGAAAAACAGATAAAAACTTTCAAAGCCAAAAAAAGAAAGAAAAATTTGGAGAAACTTTTTTTTGAAAAAACAGAAGTCACTAGAGATTTTTAAAGAAGAACTTTTATAAAAGAAAAAAACGAAAAAAATGCTGAAGGCGACTTTAATCTCCCTTGTAATGGGGTCCACTTTGGATCCATTATACTGGACGGTTACTGATCAAAGGTAAATTAACAAAAAAATTAAACAAAAAGCAATATTTTTAAAATTAAAAAATTATTTAAAATATTTTTTCAATTCGAAAAATAGTTTAAGGGGGTAGAAACAGCTTTTTCCGAAAAAGGCGATTTTTGACCGTCGCTTCAGACAAGAGAATCTTACATTTTCAAATTTTTTCTTCAGGTTTAGACAGATACCTTTTAGATCTAGGAACATCTCTCTCGAAATTTGTTTTAGTCATCAAATTTTTGAGTAAGCGGGCTCAGAAGCAGCTCATCTCTCCGAAATTCTCGATTTTCGCAAATTTTCAAACACGTATATCTCGAGTCCCCTGATAGTTAAACAAATTTCATTCACATTTTTGTGAAGCTCAACCCTTTTCTAGGAACATTTATGAGGAAATTCCGTGAACGTAAATAAATCTTATACTTTCTTTTACGTAGCTGCAGTCCAAAATCGAGAAAGCTGTTTCTACCCCTTAAAAGCAGGAATTTCTTTGCAGCAGCTTGTTATTTAAAAATTAGTCTGATTGAAATTAAGGGTATCTCCGTCTTAAATTTTCAATTTTTATAAGAAAAATATGCTTTACCATAAAAAAGCTTGAAAATTTGGAATAAATCGAGTCGATACCCTTAATTTCATCATTTAAAAAATGAAATTAAGGGTATCTCCTTCTTTAATTTTCAATTTAGAAAAAATTTGCTTTAGCATATAAAAAGCTTAAAAATTGGAAATAAATCGAGTCGACACCCTTAATTTCTTTATTTCAAAAGCGAAATTAAGGGTGTAACGTCCTTAAAAGCAAAATTAAAACAGGTGCTTAGTAGTTAAGCTGCTAATTATTTATCAAAATTGATAGCAAAAACTATTCTCCCAGGAGTGTAAAATTTATGCTCAGCGTTTTCTTGTTATTCGCGTTGATTTCTTTCTGGGCTGCGGAAAATTTGCTTTTTCAAATATTTACGCGTTGGACAGATTCGACAGCTATTCGTGTCCGCCAGCGTTGAAATGTTTGAAAAGGCACAAGCCTTTTTTGCTGTTTCTGTCATGTCCAAAATAAAAATAATAAAAAAGGATGAAAAATAAATCATCCCCTTTTCGGATCCCGGCTAAGCCCGCTTCTGAATGTGTCAATTCGCCTCCAATAAAAATCCTCTCATTTCCGATAAAACTTGCCCAAGCGAGCCCAAATTAAACGCTGCTCCCCGCGTGGAAGATCTTTAAGGGCCGCCCATCCATAAACCAGCCATAAACTAAAAATAAAATAGTTTCCAGCTGTATTTTCGGGAAAAACGCTCGCCGTAAATTTGGGCAACTTTAATATTCAATTATCAATTATTCAATTATCTATTATCATTTTGGTTATATGAAAAAATGCATAATAAGGCTCTCAATTCGTTATTTTTCTGACTCAAAATAACGACAAAAGAGCAGTGGATACCCTTAATATCTATTTATAGTCGATATTAAGGGTATCTAAGGCTATTCTAAAAATTACGACAAAAAGGAGTGGATACCCTTAATATCAATTATGAAAAATTATTAAGGGTATCCACTTCTTTTGTCCAAATTTTTGTATACCCTTAATAACTATTTTTTATCGATAATGCACAGATTTTTCAGACCCTGACTCAGGCCCTTTTCTACACAGTTTCAGTTACAGTAATGAATAATTCTAGAGAAGGGCCGCGTTCAGGTGCTGCTCGAATCGTCAAGTATTTGCGCGCGTTAAAATCTAGCTTTTATGCGTTTATTTGCGCAGGGCTGGAAATATGGCTGGAAGTATTTGGCCAGTATCGCCCAAGTTTTTAGAAGTTTTTTCTTTCAACAAACGTTTACTGCTCCTTTTCTACTTTAAGGGGGGAACCTCAAGTACCGCAGATGGCGGCGTCTTTTTGCCCCCAACTTGGCGCAACTCTCAATTTTTAATTCGACACAGCCCCGAGGCGAAAGCATCTGTTAAGGAGGTGACCCCCTGTAATTCGCATTAAGAAGATCGCTTAAGGACCCCCCGCTGCTTCTTAAGGATCTCCCCGCGGGAAACAAAAAAAAAACTTTCTTTTTTAGAAACGCTTTTTTCCAAAATTCGATATTGAAAAAAAAGTAAATAATTTGATAATTAAATTAAACAGGAAAATAAGAAAATTAAACAAAGCCGCAGAGCAAAAAACTCTGACACAAGAGTTTAAAAACCAAAAAACATGCAAACAATTCGCGAAAAAATTCCAATTTGAAAAAACGTGAGGGAAAATAAAGAACGCTAGAATCGAATAATTAAAGAATCGATTATTTCTCACCGAGATATCATCAAAAGCGGGCGCCGATATTTGGCGGTAAACAGGATTCTTTCGCGAACTTGGCGCGAAAAGAAAGTATGCCCGCTTTTTTTATATATATCTCGCCGAGGCGATAATTTTAGGCCGCTTCAAAAGGGTTAAAAAAGGGTTGGAAAAGAGCCAGTCAAACTAATGAAGAAATAAATATGCTACTCTAAAAATTTGGATAAAAAGAAGTGGATACCCTTAATATTTTTTTCATAATTGATATTAAGGGTATCCACTACTTTTTTGTCGTAATTTTTAGAATAGCCTTAGATACCCTTAATATCGATAATAAATAGATATTAAGGGTATCCTCTGCTCTTTTTCCCGTTATTTTGAGTCAGAAAAATTACGAGAATTTTTTAAAGATTGTAATGGTAATATTCGCAAAGCCGCTTCGCGGCTTCGTTTTTAAAAAAAAGCCGCTTTGCGGCTTTTAATTTCAGCTCTTTGAGACCCTGACTCAGGCTTTCTACACAGGTTGCCGAGCCCAGATTTTAGTACCCTATCTTCGATAACGTAAAAAAACTGTGTTCTGGAATTAATCGCGTTAACGCTGTGATACCCTTAACGACAGAAAATAGAAAGAGAGAGAGAGAGAAAAGGGTCCTCATAGAAGCAGTGGAGCGTATTCCAGCTCGAGAAAAAGAGCGTTCGGAGAATCACTCAAGCGCGAATTCAAACTTCTATTTTAAAAAATCCAGATTCAAAAACGCTAAAATCAACAATAAAAATGAAAAAAGGCGACTCAAGAATATTTTGGGCGCGTCTCCGCCGCTTGTTTTTCGGCCTTGTAGCTGGAAGTAGTATTACGCGCATCATTCATTTGGAAATTAACATGCAGCGAAAACGGAACCAACGACACGGCTTTTTTTTCTTCTTCTGTCTTGTGGTTCTCGTGGCGCTCTTCCGCTTCCGGAGAAGTTAATGTTGACCCCAACAAAGGGAGAAATCACCAACTGACTTGAGGAGACTTGAGGACACGCTACATTTATGGATGCATAAATGGGAAGGGCGGAAACCTGACTCAGGGTTCTGAAAGAGCTTTAAATTGCTTTAAGCTTTATTAAAGCTCTTTCAGGACCCTGACTCAGGTTTTCAACACAGGTTTTCGACACAGGTCAACACAGGGATGGGCGGTATAAGTAGCAAACCTGAGTCAGGGTCCTTAAAGAGCTTTAATTTATCATTTTTTTATTAAAGCTCTTTCAGGACCCTGACTCAGGCTTCTACACAGGTCGCCATCCCCAGATGGATACCCTTAATGATTTTCCTTTTGCGGAAAAAAAGAAGGCTCTTGAGTTAGTTACGCATTTTTTTTTGGCTTAAGCTGGTTATATGCAGCACCATTATCTGTTGGCTTAATTGGTGTCTTTAGAGAATGAGAAACACTCTTGAATAAACAGGGCTTGGTGACTTGTCCCGCGTTCTAACCCGCGTGTTTCTCGCTAAAAAAATGCCATCCACGCCCGGTTAAGCCTTAATGAACTGATTTGTCAACTTCAAAGAGTGAGAAAAAATAAGAAAAGACAACTGTTTTAGACTTGGTAAAAATTAAGGGGTAGACACCAATAATCGTGAAAATTCGGATATCGGTGTCTACCCCTTATTTTTGATTAAGGGGTAGACATCAATGATCAATTTTTATCTGAAGAAAAAATTGAATTACTGATGTCTACCCCCTTAGCGCTCCTCCCAGCTGTTTTTGATTGGGTTGAGTTAGGTTAAGGAGGTGCCAGCTTCTGCTCGGGCTACAGGCAGCTACGTAACCAAGTGGATTATGGAGACAGGCGTCAATTTTTCGCATCACATCTGAGCCCCCACCCTTTTAGCTAAACTCCCCAATATACAAATTTCGCGAAAAAAGACACGGGCGAATTTTAAATCGGATTAGCAATTTTTTAAAACTTCAAACTTCAGAATCTCGAATTTTGAATTTCCGAAATGGCCATTTTTGATCAAAGGCTGGGATTTAAATCCGGAAGCCCTTAAAAATGAAGGGGCCGCTCCCTGCTCACACAAGGACCGCCATTTGGCGAAAGGCCCTGTGTGCCCAACTGTAGCAACAGCCCGCTCAATGGCACTCGAGCTGCTAATTATTGTGTTTGCGCTTTTTTCAACAAAAGGAGCGAGCACACTTTCCAATTTTTCGGAGAGGCACTTGATTAATCGAAAGCACTGCGATTTCCGATTTGAAGAAAGCAGTGAAAAGTAGCGGAGCAAAAACTACAACAAATAAAGAAAAAAAACTTAAGGCGCCCAGAAGTCGCGACAGTTGTTTTGTAGCCAAAACAAATGTATCGTATAAACGAATGTATATAAATTGATGATGCCAATCTTTAGTTAAAAATATAAGTAGTATACACTTCTTTTTTGAATCGGCGCCAAAAAATAGAACGATCATAAACTAACTCCCCGCCCCTGGGCTCGGCAACCTGTGTAGAAAACCTGAGTCAGGGTCCGAAAGATCTTTAATGAAAAGCCGCGGATTTTGCAACTTATTGAAATGATAAGTTGGCAAAGCCGCTTTGCGGCTTCGTTCTTAAAAGCCGCTACGCGGCTTTTCATTAAAGATCTTTCAGACCCTGACTCAGGTTTCCTACACAGGTTGCCGAGCCCAGCCCCCAGGGAAAGAAAAAGGGAGGAGCTTTCTTTTGAAATTTCCAACATTGCGCTGGAATGGGGAGAAACACGGACGGAGACCCGAATTTTTGCATTTTGAAATCGAAAAATCCGCTGCACACGTTTTTGCTCTCAACCCTTTTTTAATTGATACGTTGCGAGAAGTAGAATCTCAGAATTATCAAATTCTCAAGGGCTTCTTTTCCGCTCCGGGGATTTCAATTACGCTTTTTAGAAATCAAAAAATCTATCAAAATTGATAAGGTAGTGACACCCTTATTTTATTTTGCCAAAAGAAAGTTTCAGCTTTTATCAATTAAAACTAAATATTTATTAAAAACATTTATCCTTGGTTTTTTCTTCCTCTTTTTGAATTTACATAAAACAAGTGTTCAATGCTCTTATCTGTCGCGACTCGCGCGGCCACGTGACCTTTTTCCGGGAAAAAAAGGGATATTTTCCGCGCTGGTCAAATTTGATATTTTCGCTCGAGCGATATTTCAGCTGGAGTTGCTTGTGAACTTGAGTGAAAAAATTGAGGCTGGAAAGGTCAATTACTCGGCCAGACCCACTAATTGGACAGTGAGCGCCTTAAAATGAATGAAATATAAACCAGTATTAAAAATGTATAGTTGACCCTCTGTCTCTTGGGAATGTTAAAAATCTGGACCCGAGCAGCTGGAAACTTGAAATATCGAACTTGCCAATATTTCAATATTCCAGCTGGCCCCTTAACTCGCCCTTGGCCGCCATTATTTCACAGTCCCTTAAAATTTGGGCCCTTGAAATTTTCGAGGAGCAGAAGGGGGCCCCTCAATTTTCAAATTAATTATTAAAAAGCTAGAATTAGAATTTTCTAGCGCGAAAATCGGGAAAATCGCGAAAATTAAGAACCGCTAGAACATAAAAGTTTCACGCAACATGCAGTTATCAGCAGGTTACATGCTCTTGCAGGGTTAAATTTTAAAATTTGAAAATTGAAAATTTTGAAAATTTGAAAATTATTTTTTAAAGATTTTTTATTAATTTTTTATTATTAGATTCGAGACAGAACCGTTTCACAAGATCACCGTCCGAATTGGCGACAAAATGGACCTGATTTGCCCTCGCCACGGCGATGGGTTAACCCACGATGGGAAGATGTTTCACAAGATCTACGAAGTTTCAAAGGAGGCATTCGAGTAAGTGGAAAACGTTAAAAATGAGCTTCTTTTGATAAAAAAGCGCGATGATGATCAGAGCGCAGCTTTAAAATTGAGATTGATCGGGGCCAAATTTGAAAATTTGCGCCGCTGAATTTGATATTGTTATAAAATTAGTTTCAGCAATTTCCGCATTTTTCGGGATTTTTCTGTGCACTCCCTTTTTGTCTTTTTGGCAGCAAAAGCCCCTTATCATCGGACTTTTCGCGGCTCAAACGGCACTTAAGGGAGTTAACTCCTTAGCGCGCGCGGAGGAAAAAGGGTTAAGCCCTATTCTCACGGTTTATTTGCGAAGGGTCAAAGATGATAAGCTTTTTCGAAGTTTTAATTTAATAATTTGCTCAATTTTTAAATCAATATTTTTAGAAACTGCGATTCCTCCCAAGGAAAACGACTCATCAGCTGCGATCAACCGACCAAGGAGAAGAAATACACTGTCTTGTTTCAAGAACTTAACCCGTCGCCCTATGGACTCGAATTTCTTCCCGGCGAGACTTATTATTATATCTGTAAGTTAAATTTTGATTACCCGAAAATGATGGTAAGGCAGAACCAATAAATGGAAGTGAATTTCTGGATCAGGGTTTTGATTGGCCGGTAGGCCAAATTCAGCAATCTTATTGGTCATTACATCCAAAAATGCATTTCCATTTTTTGGTTCAGTTCTGATAGTAAGTTAAATAAACAGAATTTCGACTCAAAATTCAAGCCATTTTTTCTCGGAAAATTATGATAGCGACACCCTTAATTTCTTTCATTAAAAGATGGGCCAAACGCTTATCTGTAGAAATTCTTTATTTACAGTTAATTGTAATTCTTACTGTATTTCTTTACTAACTAAACTGTTCAGCAACTGGCGACGGAATCGAAAGCGGAATGGACAAAAGACAAGGCGGTGGCTGCTCGAGTCACAACATGAAACTCGCCATCGCAGTTGAAGGTGAGTGACACCCTTAATTTTTCCCTTTTTCTTTTTGAGTGATTTTTAATTACAGCGCGGCGAAATTATATAACACGCGTTTTTTCCTTCTCTTTTGAAATTTGTTTTCTTTAATTTAGAAATTGAAACGAATTGAAACTTCAAGCTGGAATTTCGCACAAGTCTCTAATTAAAAAATTCCGAGTCTTTTCGACACTGTCAAAGATAAAAATACAAAAACAAGCCGCCGTCTCAATTTTTGAAATTGGCGATTCAAGCGTGAATTCTAGCGCTTCTCATGCAAGAAGACGGATTTCAGGCGGAAATCCTCAACCCTTCTTTTTCTTAGCTCTTGGATTAAGGATCTAGAGCACGATAATTCGAAATCGCGAAATTTGAGAATTTTTTGAGAAATTTTTGAAATTTTTGAATTTTTTTAATTTTTTGAATTTTTGGATTTTTTCGAATTTGAAAATTTTTTGAGAAATTTGAGAATTTTTTAACATTGATTTTAGCCGAGGACTTTTTGCTGGAAGAAAACGGGCCGAGCAACGGAAAACTGACGAGCGGAAGCCGCGGAGAAGGTGAGTTCTATTTGATTACCCCCTTTTCGGGGATATACGTTGTGACATTTTTAAATTTAATTTAGCCAAGTCCCTGTTTTGGGTTTAAAAAAGTACAATTGGCGAGTCGCGAATTTCATGGCTTTTTCGCTCTGACGCGATTTTCGGTCAATTAACCTTCTCTTTTTTAATTGATTAAAAGATTAAACTCAGAAGAGTTCAAAAAATAATAAAAAACGCAGCTGGAAAGGCTCGAGGCTCGAGAAAAAAATAATAAATTTGAAATTTTTATTTTTCAAAAAAAGAGCTCGAAATAACAGTTTTTCTTTAGAAGGACCACTCGCCGAGGAAATCGAAGAAATCGAAAACAACTCCGCGCTCATCATCGGAATCGCCATCGGAGCTGCCTTCGTCATGCTCATCGTTGTCTCCAGTTTCTTCATCTTCAGATGTCTCAGGTGAGAAAAACTTCTGCGAGGCTAAATTATTGTATTCCGAATTTGAAGCCGAAAGCTATCAAAGAATAAGTTTTGATAATTTCTAAAAATAATTTTAAAAATTATTCTTAAAAAATTTTTTTTTTAAATTCCTAAAAAAATTCCTAAAAAAATTCTACAAAAATTTTCTAAAAATTTTTCAAAAAAATCTAAAAATTTCTAAAACATAATTATTAACCCTCCTTTTTTCAGAAACCGAAATTCAACCAACGACAAAATGGTCTTCATCTCCGGCACCTCCCCCGTCGACATCACCCGCGTCGCTGGCAACTACGCCACCCAAGACGTCAAGTTGATTCCCTCTTCTCACCACTACGCTTCCGGGCCGAACAGTTCTCCCCGCCAGGCTACTGGGCCGGCCAGCAGGCGACTCTCGTGCCGCAGCTTTCCAGCGACTTGGATTTCATCTACCACACGGGCTCCGAACAGTCGACGAACCAGAGCTACGTCACCCGCGACAGCTACACGCCCGGCGACGTCTGCGAAGTCTAAAATTACTGTATCTCCGCCCATAACTGTACAAAAAAGAGCGACAAGAAGCGACCCTTAAACGAACCAAAAGCTACCACTTGCTGATCAATTTTTTCCAAATCGTCTTCCAAAAACAGACGATCGGTTAAAAACGAGCTTCTCAAAAAGAGAGTGCTCAGATCTCTTTTCTTCAAGATCAAAATAAAAATTGAAATCGAAAAAAAAAAATTCTGCAAAAGTAACTTTTTATTATTTTTGCCTGTTCATTCAAAGCTTTTTCAGCGACCCTCAAATTGTTGAAATCTGTAAATAAAAAATACCAAAAATAAACTAACTCTTTCATTTTTTTCTCAATAATAGTAAATAATTCTTAATAATACATTAATTTTTTAATAATAAGGGACGGTCCTTTGAATAACTCGGAAATTGAACTTACTGGCAAGTTATTCTAGTCGACTTAAGGACCCTTCCGTCAAGTGGGAATATTTTTTCAAACAGTGATTTCGGGGTGATACCCTTAAGATTTTCGAAGTATTTTTCGCTCGTCGGGTAGTTCGATGGTTGGTTGAGGGCAAGAAAGAACAAGCACGCTCGTTCACTTGCTAAGGGTGTCGCTTCGATAAGTTGAAATTTTAAGGGTGTCATCATCGATTCAAAAAGTATCTTCGAAACCTATTTTTATTACAATAAGATAGGCTTTATTTGTTTTTTTGGCAGATTTCGGAATGGTTAAATAAGGGTATCAATATGCTAGTTTGATAAAAAAGACAGATTGAAAATTTAGCTTTAGAATACCCCTTAATACTTTAAGATAAATAGTTTGGGAGCTTTTCTTTTAGAAAAAAAGGAAAAATTCCTTGTTTATGGATGAAAAATTGAAAACAACGATTAGGGAAAAAGGGAAGCAAATTGAAGCACTTCTCATTAGGGATGTTTATTGATAAGGGACGCGGCGTAGATTCGAGACTGCGATAAAAAACGTCGATCGAGCGTTGATCCTTGCTTTCTTTCGTAACCTGTGTACGTTTTTGCTAAACAAGAAATGGAAAAAGGAGGAGGAAGTCTTTCGGAATCAGAAAGATCGGCTGAAATCGGCGCTGGAGTCACGTGATTTTGTCTAATCTAACTTCACAATCGGAATGCGAAATATTTCCTCGATCCTCTTAGAGCGGAATTTCGGCCAATTACGGCGGCACCGCACAATTCCAACACTCGGAAACGGCCAAACACACAACGCCAGTTTGTTTGAAACGGTTTATATTGAATAACGCTGCTAATTAGGGCAGACACCCTTAACCCGGTAATTTTAAAGCGCCAAATATTTGCACCGCTACTGATCAGGCCCAGCGCATAAATTGACTTCTTCCAGAGAGACGCACGTTTATTTCAGACTTTTTCACAAATATAAATTTAATATATTGACACCCTTAACTTTTCAATTCAACTCTCGAAAATTGAGAAGCCGCTTGCGGCTTCGAGCTCGAAAAAAAAAAGTTCCCCGACTGGGCTCTGAAATTTGTGTAGAAAACCTGAGTCAGGGACTAAAAGATCTCGAATGAAAAGCCGCGTAGCGGCTTTTTCGAAAATTTTCGCAAAGCGGGTTCGCGAAATCAATTTTCGAATTCTAGCAAGGCGGCTTCGTTTTCGAAAAAGCCGCTACGCGGCTTTTCATTTGAGATCTTTTAGTCCCTGAGTTTTCTACACAAATTTCAGAGCCCAGTCGGGGATCTTTCTTTATTTCTTCGAGCTCGAAGCCGCAAGCGGCTTCTCGATTTTCGAGAGTCGAAATGAAATAAGGGTGTCATTATATTGAATTTTTTTTTTGAAGAGTCGATTTTGCTTCTCAACTTCGATTTCAACCACTTTTTTTAGAAAGAAAGACAAAAAAAAATGAACTTTTGAAATTTCTAAACGAAAAATAAAGACTAAAAAAGGAAAAAGAAAAAGGCTCGTTTTGTTTTGTGGCGAAGATAATGCCGAAAATCGACGAAATACGGAAATTGAAGAGGGATCGCGCGCGGAGGGATTGAGTATATTCACAACACGATAAAATAAGACTCCTCCGAAGAAGGACGACTTTTCCAAAGCGAGCTTCTTTTTCTTAAGGGCGAAAGGAAACCAAACTATTTGTACTAGAATCACCAGCCCCGCTGCCGACAAAGCCTGCAGCTCACTTTTTTAGAAAAGAAAAAATCCAACAGTAAATTTTTGAAGAAAATCTACCTTTCATAAATTGAAATTTCAGGATATGCAAAAAGAGATTTCGATTTAAATAATTTTTTTGAGTTAATTTTTGGTTGCAGTCGCTCAAATTGCTCAAATTCAGAATGGGTATTACAGAAAAGAACTACCACTAGTTTTCATTTTGTAAATCGACGCAGTCTTCTTTATTCTTCTCAATTTATTCAAGAAGTCAACCAAAGACCAATCGACGTTGATTCTCGAGAGTCATTTTATAAAATATAAAAAAGCGAAATTCTCTTGAAAAAACGAAAACAAATCAATTCTTCTTTCAATCTGGGCCAGAGTCGGTGCTCGTAAATGGAAAGTTATCGCTGCAACGGGTCATCAATTTTATTTTCAACTTCAAATGATCATAAATACTTTCCAAAAGCCGGTATAATTTAAAGCCTATAAAAGTCGATTTGTTGCCTCAAATTCAGAGTTGCAAATTTTGATTTATTTCTACAGATCTGAGCGGACCTTAGCTGTCCTTTTTTGAGCAGACATTTTTAATAGATTTGAGCTGAGCAGACCCTTTTAGAGCTGAGCTGGTTGAGCTGAGCTGAGCAGTTTTCCACTGTATTTTTACTAGTATATGAGTGCAATCTGAGCAGGGCTAAGCTAGCCTTGTCCTCAAATACTTGAGCTGAGCAGAACAGATCACTTTCGAAAAGCACTGAGCTGAGCGCCTGCTCAGCTCACTCAGCCCAGAAAATTTGCAACCCTGCTCGAACTCCTTTTCAAAATTGTATATGCAAACATAAATAAAGCCATTTTAAGAAAAACCAAGCGGGATTGACAAAAACTGATTGTTTATTTTTTATTGATTTTTGAGATAGCGAGCGATCATATTTCTAAACACATTCGATTTAATTGTTTTCATTTTGTAAATCATTCATTTTCTCTTATTTGAATCATCATCGCCCGTTCCGGTATCGTCTTCTCCAGAGAATGCGGCGAAACACTAAGGAAAATAAGAGCTCAAGAAGTCATTTTATATTTTTGTCGAAAAAATCGAAAAATGATAATTTCGATTCTCAACAATAATCGTAAATGGAAAATTATCGCTGCCACGGGTCATCAATTTTATTCTCTCCTTCAAATGACCAAGACTGGTCTCGGCAAGCTGAGTAGAAAACCTAAGACAGGATCTAAAGAAGTAAATGAAGCTGTTCAGAAAATCTGAGTCAGGTTTTCAACACAGGTTGCCGACCTTAGAATTAATTTATATTCAGCCCCAAAAAACGACAAAAACAAGGGTTTTCTTTTCTTGAATTCGTTTTCGGCTTTGGTGTTTACTGGGCGCGGAAGCGCTGAAAAAGTGGATGAAGGGCTCGGCTGGGGAAGTCTTAGGCATTCGAGCAGTAATCCAATTCCGGCAGCGGCGACTGGCATCTTTCACGTTTGCCAGAAAATATAAAAACACAGAAATTAAAAAAGCAAATCCAAACAAATCAACAATCCGGAGGAACCGCAAACGCCTTAACTCCCTAATTTCGTAAACACAAAACACTGAAATGAAAAATTCAAAAATATCATTTCTTTTGAACTGAATCTGAGAAGATTTCTTTCCTTCAAAGAAAAGAATATCATCACATTCAAACTAAAATGAACTTTCAAAAGTAATAAACTTGTTATCACGAGTTCTTGGTCCTGAGCTCGGCAACCTGTGTAGAAAACCTGACTCAGGTTTTCTGAAGAGCCTAAATGAAAAGCCGCGTAGCGGTTTTTCTAAACGAAGCCGCAAAGCGGCTTCGCCAGTATTAAAAAGATTCGAAAGGTAATGTTAGGCTCTGAGCGCAAATGAAAAGCCGCACAGCGGCTTTTAAACGAAGCCGCGAAGCGGCTTCGAAACATTACCTTTTGAATTTTTTAAATACTGGCGAAGCCGCTTTGCGGCTTCGTTTAGAAAAGTAGCTGCGCGGCTTTTCATTTGAGCCTTTCAAAACCTGACTCAGGTTTTCAACAAAGGATGTCCAGCTTAGTATTGAACTTTAGGCTGAAAATGAATTACGACGCGATACCCTTATTTTATATTTTGAAGAAGAAATATGCATAAGTTTTAGTATCGAGTATTTAGCTAAAAGATTCGTGAAGTGTTGGCAACGTGGTTGAATAGTGTTTGATGAACGTGCAGGCTCTCTGCGAGGACGGGGATAAACAAGCTGGGCACTCTGAGTTAATTGGTGGGTGAGCACCGAGCGGTGCTTGATGATAATGGAGAGATGGTTGATTGATGCGCCGTTCGAGAGAGTGCCCGCCACATCGCGGAGAGCCCTTTCGGAAACTACGTGAATCCACACAATGACACCAAATCCGGACGCCAGCCGCCAGATTCACAATCACTCATTTGCATCTCACTCATTTGCGCTCTTCGTATTCTTCTGTGTTAAAATTGTATTCCACAAGGTTGACGCTGGAAATTTCGACTTGGACTGAGAAGAAGGTTGATTGCTTTGATTGCTGTTTATTTTATAAAATTGGCAAATATTTGCGGCGCAAAATGGAAAAACGCGCTGTTACTTCACACATGAATCTGCTTTTGCTAATTTTTCTGAGAAAGGGGCGATTATGGCGTCTGAGCGACGGGCCAAAGTCGTTCAAAGAGGAGAGCCGCTGTGATGGGCGCGAAAAGGGGTTTAGCACCGCCAAGTGACAGCGCCGGAGCAAACAAATTATCACCCACATAAACATAACATCGAGCCACATTTATTTTTCGAAGGCAGATTTATGCCAACTCTGAATGAAACATCCGCCAAATCTGACAAACTTCTTTTGGCAATTTTCCCGAGTTTTTAACTCATGTTTTTCACCTCAAGAAATCTTGCCTGTGCTCAGGAACCTGTGTATAAATCCTGACTCAGGGTCTGAAAACCCGCTCATCAGACCCTGACTCAGGTTTTTACACAGGATGCAGAGCCTTACTCCCATAAAATCACGCTAAACATTGGGCTCTGCATCCTGTGTAGAAAGCCTGAGTCAGGCTCTTTCACCGGTTTTTCAGAACCTGAGTCAGGTTTTCTACACAGGCTGTAGAGCCCAATATATAGCGTCATTTTATGGGAGTAAGGCTCTGCATCCTGTGTAGAAAACCTGACTCAGGGTCTAAAAATCCGCTCATGAGACCCTGACTCAGGTTTTTACGCAGGATGCAGAGCCTTACTCCCATAAAATCACGCTAAATATTGGGCTCTGCATCCTGTGTAGAAAGCCTGAGTCAGGCTCTTTCACCGGTTTTTCAGAACCTGAGTCAGGTTTTCTACACAGGCTGTAGAGCCCAATATATAGCGTCATTTTATGGGAGTAAGGCTCTGCATCCTGTGTAGAAAACCTGACTCAGGGTCTAAAAATCCGCTCATGAGACCCTGACTCAGGTTTTTACGCAGGATGCAGAGCCTTACTCCCATAAAATCACGCTATATATTGGGCTCTGCTGGTGTAGAAAACCTGAGTCAGGGTCTGATGAGCGGGTTTTTCAGACCCTGAGTCAGGTTTTCTACACAGGCTGTAAGGCCATATATAGCGGCTTTTTATGGGAGTAAATCTAGAATTACACTCTACAAGCAAAAACAGTAGATCCAGATCTTTGAAAAAAAGAGTGCTCAATTAGAAAATATTTATCGCCAAAAGTCGATAAGGACCGAGAGAGCGATAAAGTGTGGTGACGAAATAAGTCCGTCTGATTAAAAAAAAAACTGAATGAAGCGTATTTAACGTTCGTTTTAGTTTTTCAAAAGCTGGGATTTAGATGGCACGTTATTGTGATAAGGGCCAGACCACACGGTCGAGAGAGTGCTCCAGTTTGGTACTTTAAAAATAGCGATTGCCATCGAAACGAAAAAAAAATCCCTCAGCGCTGGAAAATGAACCGTTCAAAAATCAACGCTTTCCATAAATGAAAAGTAGCTAGTTAATTACGAAATAAGCATGGTGACACCCTTAATTTATTTCATCAAATTATTTTATTTTTGAATATTTCAGGGTCCACATTTGTTTTGATGAAAAAAATAGGGGTGTCACTACGCTTTATTTTTAACTAACCGGTAATCAAAACGGGGATCGAAGTTGGATAAGAGTTGTATTTGAAAATATATTTTCGTTTATTATTTTTGAACTGGAAAAAGTGGAGTCTTAGGGCGGCGCAGTGTTGCAGCAACTGTTGCTCATCCTCTGGAGAAGATCATCCCTCCACTCGAATTTCTCAAAGAAAACGCAACATGCAAAAGACGACAGCCCTGTTTACCAAAGCAGCGTGCCACTATTCATAACATTTATGTGAATTTCTGAAAACCGGAATATTTCAAGAGGAATTGTTCTTTGAAAAAAAAGGACCAAGATTAAAATGTAAATCTGAATAAATCCTGCTTATTAAATAACAGCAATTGTCAGGTTAGTTATTTATTTTGATTTTCAGAAATTTCAAATTTGCATGTTTTGATTCAGTGTTTGATTTTTTGAAGATTCTGCCACTCTTAAAAATATGATTACTTTGTAGAAATTCAAAAAAATATCACTATGAATCATAAGTATGAACTTGCATTCTCACCTGAATATGACATATTTGCTTGATTCTTGTTACACCATTTACAGTATTTATTAAATTCTGCAATGTCGAATAGTTCGTTGGCTAAAAAATTGCTCAAGTTTTTTGTAAACTATTTGCAATCTTTATTTTGACTCTTATTTTTTGAAAATCTTGGGAATGATGACTCCAGATAATTATGTGTATAGAGCAAATATTCATTAATTTGAGAAAGCTTCATAAACTTACCTTCTTTACGTGATAGAGAGAAATTTTGCCAGAGATCAATGTCTATCTCGCACATGTAAGGGACGGTCACAAATTTCTTCCAAGTAACTCGTCCATAGTTGTCTACGAACTTCTCCACATATCTGTATTTGCTTTGATCCTCTTCTGAAACAATTATCCATTCGCCAACATTATCTTTCAGAGAGAAATGATGAACGACGCTTTTAAAGGGATAATTTCAGCAAGCTAACCCATCGGCAAACGCGTGGCACCGCCGATGCCACTGACAATGTTTTATAACTTTTAGCTTCCCTTTTCTTCATGAAACCCGGAACATTGGTAAATAGCTTATAATTTTTTTTTTTGATTATTTTTATAAGAGAAAACGACAAATGTTTTAAAGAATCAAAATTCGAATTATCGAATTTAAAAAGGTCGCTGCTAATATTATCCACCCTTAACGGAAGGCTAAGTCCATGATGTCGACAGTTGTAGACTTAAAATTTTCATTCCAACAGGATATTATCGCTAAAAATATATAAGCGTATTGGAAAAAAAAGATGATTACGTCAAAAAGATATCATAAACTTCGATTCTATTCTTGAGTTGGTTAAAAAGAATTGATATTTACCATTAAGCATTGAGCAGCCGTAAGCAAAATCTTGCTCTGTTGATGGATGAAAGATAATAGTATTCATTTTCTGCTTGAGCATCTTATCTTTGGGTGTCGATTCGTTATTTGTTGGATTTGGACATTTTCGCGCTCCTCCAGCTGCTTTCCGCTGAGGATCGTGAATTTCCGGAATGAGTATATCTTGAGTTCTTGGATTTTTCCTCCCTTCCTTGACATAGCAACAGTCATTGATGACAATCTTCGGTATACTTCTTAGAGTTTCAGTTTTTTCATCATCATCGTCTTCGTCAAGAATTTTCAGAAGTGTTTCAATGCAAACTTTGTCTTCCTCATTTTTCCTGTCACTTATTTTTGAGAGCTTCATATACTTTCCACCTTCATCGAAGTAGCCGTGACTATCTAAATAAATGATGACAGCAGAGGGGTTTTTTTCTATCATTTTGTTTTTTATTCTCTGGAAATAATTTTTCGCATCTTGTTCCATAACAGCATTAAACCGCTTCTTCCAGTTCTTGCATGGTTTAAGAATGTTTTCTTTTCGAATTGTCATAATTTCAGGATCTTTGAAGAAATGATTGATTGCCGCGGAAAAATTTTCTTCGTCCTTTGTAATTGTTGTTACTGATGGATCTTCATCCAGATCATTGTCGACTTCGACAACCATTGATGCAAAAAGGGGTTTTCCATCGAGCGGTTTTGGTTTCAACACAAAAACATCATCAACCAACGAGTGCGTCAAAGAAAAAAAGTCTTTCTCGATATAAAACATTGATTACTTTTATAAAGTTTTGTATGTCAAATTTCATATCAAAATCCTTTTAACAGTATTTTTTCGATCGATCTTTCATTTTTGCTCGAGCTCATCTGTTTTATAAAGTCTGCGAAAATTTCAATTCGTTCTTCATCAAAACTAAACGTTTCTTCTCTCCGACAATAGAATATTTTCATGGTATTGAGCTTCCCAGAAACAAGATGTTCATAGCAAAGACCATTATCCCACGCTTTTGAAAAAATGTGGTTTCTAGGATTTTCTTCATCTTCGACACTTCTACGTAATTTTTCGTCTGCTTGAGAAAATATTCTAAAAATTTTTTTATTGCGCTTAACCTATAAGTTAGAAAAACCTTGAATGAAAGCTCATAACGCATAGTCTAATGCGGCGAAGATTAATTCGATCTGGATCCTGGTAAATTGGTCGGAAAAACGCTTCAATAAGTCGCGGTCCTTCATCGAATTGAATAGCGTCCCCATCACGACTATAAAAACCGTCTTTCTATCAAAGGTTTCTTGAGTGAATAGGTTGACTTCTTCTGATAAATAGAACTTTTGGTCATTCATTTTCAATCTTTAATAAATATTAAGAAACCAGCCAGAACAACCGCGATCAAAGTCAGATCGTCTTCATTATTACATTCCTCCTTTATGCTTTTGTATATTTTTTCCATTTCATCTTTTGCCTCGGAAAATTTGCTTTGAGTAATAATGTAATGATATCCTTTATCGTCATCTTCTGCTTCAAGTTTAAGAAGTTGACCTATTTTGTTCTTAAAGATTGATTGTTATTTACAATCATTGGAAGAACCACGCTTTTTCAAAGAAAACCTAGTTTAATTTCTTGCCTAATTTTGTTTGTTTTCTTGTTGAAAAAGTGTGATAGTCCTCCTCGAAAGTGTGAAATTTACCAATGTCCTCGCGTAGTTCTCGTCGTTTTCCGGATCTTTGTAAGCATTCTCTTTTTTACCTCCCGGATTCACTATTATGAGCCTTGCATGCTTCTTTCTATCGGTCATTTTTCAGACCAAATAGAAAAAAATACTTTAGTTAGCTTTTGAATCAAGCAAAGGGTAGTTCAAATATTTACGAAATGATTTACCAGCAGGAGAAGATAACGCATATTCATCGGTCGTAATTTTACTATAAGTTAACGACTTTTAGGCCAACTAATAAGCATAGAATGTAAGTGTTTCGGAGAAATACTAATTTTTATTACCTGACCCCGTCAGCTTTTTTCGAAAAATCAAATTTCGGAATTTTAAAATTTTGACCCCGGAAGTGGATTCTACGAGTCAAAAAACGATTTTGAGGCTTCATTTTTAAATTGAAGCATTTGAAAATTGGACTTTTCGACGAAAATTGACGAATTTGCCCTTATTTTGACAAAATTGATTTTTTTTTTGTCAAATATTCCTCTTTTCGAGTTTTTGAATCAAGTTTAACCAGCGGACGCATTTAAAACCAAAAATATGGTCTTTTAAAAATTCAGTTTTTCGAAGGAAAAAGCTGACGGGGGTGTCCTTAATAAATGACATCATATTGATATAAATTATGAAAGGAACTTTTTGTCTTTGGCTCAGCTTGAATATCGATAATGTTAAAAAATTATCTAAAGTTAGAGGTTCGACTCAGCGTGAAAATAAACGCCAGGGCGTCTCGTTCAAACATCGTTTAAGTTTTTCGTTTTTCCGGAAGCGGCGGCGAAGATTCTAATTTTCTGATTTGAACGTTTATTTTCGCTGGGGCGAGCTATTCAAACGAGAAAATAGCTATTTCGACCACAGCGATTTCAATTATTCCCTCTTTTCCGTCTCCCTTCTTTTTTCGCCTGACAGCTACTATTCGCTTTTTGGAGCTTAATAAAACCGATATTAGCATAATTCCAAAATTAAAAATTCGAAAACCAAACTTCTGAAACTTCCCCCTTTTGTGCGTCTTTCTAAAGTTTGCGATCACGTGGGCGAGGTCGTCAAAAGAGAGGATGATAGACGTAAGCCCTCTTCGATTGCACTTGCGATAGGCCGCCGAGATAGCACTTATTTCGAAGAAGATCGAGCCGAAATTCGATCCAATTAGAATTTATTATCTCCAGCTAGCGCTTTCTTAATCATTTATCGAGTAAAGTTGCTAAATTGTGTTTTGAAAAATGGCGAGACACGACGAATTAGGTGCGCAACTTGCTTCCCAAAATACATCTAACATGTTCCTCCGTTCAAAAACTCGACTGATGTAACAAACATTCAACCCACTTTTTTCCACAAAAAAATAGAAAGAAAAGGCCCGATGGTCGGAATTCGCGTAAGTCTACTATACATGCGAGCTGGTGACATAAAGGACACATGCGCTAAGCTGCGTGTTTGGTTGATCAGACTCCGGCACTCGCTACTCGGACAAGTTCTAATCGGCTAGCCACCGAGACACCGCAGAGACAGAGCATTTCGACATACAAAAAAAAACTCCGACTTTCAAATAGAAATTTTTAAGACAAGCGCTTTTTAGAGCGCCTACATTTTCCTTCTAGAGCTTTTTTTGATCAATTTGATTAAAGAAATAAGGGTGTCACTTTGCTAAGTTTAGAGCTAGGCTTGGCAGCCTGTGTAGAAAACCTGAATCAGGGTCTGAAAGAACTGAAATGAAAAGCCGCGCAGCTTTTTTCCTAAACCAAGCTGCGAAGCGGCTTCGCTAATATCACCATTACAATCTATCAAAAATTCTGGCAATAGATTTTAATGGTGATATTAGCGAAGCCGCTTCGCGGCTGGTTTGAAAAAGCCGCTGCGCGGCTTTTCATTTCAGTTCTTTCAGACCCTGACTCAGGTTTTCTACACAGGTTGCCGAGCCCAGTTGCTAAGTTTAGAGATTTGTACTGGAATTGGCTTGGTTGGTCTAAAACGTGGAATTGGTGGAGTTGGTAAACTTTGGAATGAAAAAAGGAGCAGTTTGCTGGAACGGGCTCCGGCTTTAGAGACGACTCGGCGGTGCTCTACACGCACGGAGGTGCCACTTTCGTGGTCTCCAGCCGGAACTTCTTTCGCCTGGTTAGATGACGGCATATTCGCCTATTCCGAATTCGCCTCTGCATATATTCGAAAAACTGCATTTTTTATTTTACGAAAATTTGATAAAGAAAAATTTCTTGAATTTGGATTTGAAAAAAAATAAATATTTTAAATTTTAAATTTAGCAAGTGATACCCTAAATTTTTGCTGAATGAAAACGTGAAAGTATTTTCGAGTGTGGCGTTTGGTTGAGTTTAAGGGTGGCTAGATCGGATCTATAACTGCTGGTGGAACATGAGGTGGCGGTGGCGAAAGCTGCCGCAAATGGGCTTCTTTTGGTTCAACTTTAATATTTCGCCAGGTGCCAGTTCGAGAGCGATAGAATGCGCAAAACTATTCTGTTGCGGATGTGTCTAAATAGCCCCTCATTTTCAGCCTCCACGTGTTGCACCAAAACTTATGTAGAGATCCTGAGTCAGGGCTAGAGATCTTCAATGAAAAGCCGCGAAGCGGCTTTAAAACCAAAGCCGCGGAGCGGCTAATCCAAATTATCACGGGGGTTGTCAGGAACCGACAAAAAAATCCCGACAAATTTTACGTGGAAATTTTCAACCAATCAAAATCCTTGATTCTGCTTATAGGCCAATCAGCAGCCGAAAAGCCGCCCACGCAAAATTTGTCGGATTTTTGTCGATTCGTGACACCTCCCTATTATCACTCCAATTTCTTAAAAACTTTTCTAAAATCAGCTTTCTTGAATGGGCCATACTCTGATTTTCTACACAGGTTGCCGAAGCTAGCAGTAACGTGTTCCCTGTTTCTGTCGGTACTCCTCGATTTATTGCTGTTGTGAACACAGGGCTCTAACAACGCTTGGGCGGAAGCTAGAAATGTTTTTATTTTTGGTTAATTTATATTTCGTCAGATTTGATTAACTGAGTAACTATTCCTTTGAATTTTCCAGCTTTGATTGACTTTCAAAATTGGAGATTCAGAAGAAACAGAAAAAGAGCATTTTCGCGAAACAGAAAAAGTACGCTTCGGCGGCTAAAAATACTCAGAAGCTTCGTCAGAGGAAGATAAATTTATCTAAAGATGAATTTTTCGTTATTTTCGCGAAAATATACAAATCGACTTTTTCAACAAAATTAATTGCTAATTTGAACGGTGAACCAGTTTATTTCAAAAATACAACCTTTTTTTTTCTTTTTAGTTTGCTTCAATTACTGCTACTATTAAAGCTACTTGATAAACAGTAATTAACCTGTTGTACCGTAACCCTAAGCCTAGCAAGCTGGACTCGGCAACCTGTGTAGAGAACCTGAGTCAGGGTTTCGCAAAATTATTTTTTTCAAAGAATCTTCGAATTCTGGCGAAGCCGCTTTGCGGCTTCGTTTTTATAAAAGCCGCTACGTGGCTTTTCATTTGAAATACTTCAAATCCTGACTCAGGTTTTCTACACAGGTTTCCGAGCTCAGCTAGCAAGGTTGTCTTTTAGATAAATTGAAGAATGAAGAATAGAGATTAGAATTTATTGCGAATTGTGAATTGTGAGTTGGAAATTATCGCTGTTGGAAAAATAGATGATAAGAGCGATAAGGGAGGAGATTTTCGGAGTGAGAAAAGAGGAAATTGGAAACGCTCCAGAAGATACGATTCGCAGCTGAAGAGGAGATAGCACTGGACAGCGCATCCTGACAACTCCAATTTGTTCAACAAGCAACTTAGCAAAGTCCAGTTTTTTTAGTTAAAAAGAACTTGCATGTTTCGTTCCTTTTTATTCTGATAATTCTGAGCTGGGCTAGGCTGTCAACAAAACCTGAGTCAGGAGCTGAAGGAAGATGGATGAAAAGCCGGATAGCGGCTTTTTATAAAAGAAGCCGCAGAGCGGCTTTTCAAAAAAAGAATTTACAGTCAGACAGTGAGACTCTAACGCTCCTCTTTTTTCTGTAATACAAGAAACTGTATCTGCTTTATTTTTTATTTTTTGGTGGAGAGGGTAATCTGGTGCAGTGACATTTGAACGAGGAAAGCCGCGGCGAAATTGGTATTTACTCCGAAGTCGCAGCAGCTGGAGAGGTCGCCCCGTTCATTTACCGACGCCGTAATCTCGGTCCTCAAGAATCCAACCTTTACCAGCGCGAAAATCTAAACCGCTTTCTTTGATTCATCTTTGCAAGAAGATCGGTGCTCGCGAGATACCGTGGCAGCAGTCGAGTTCTGTTGCGTAATAATGATCGAAGGGTCGTTTTTGTGAAGTGGGCCCTCTCGATCACCAGCAGATAGAAAGCCGCGATAGGACTTCATTCGTCGCAGCCGACCGCCCCATGACATGTTCTATTTTCTTTCTTTTACCAATCGCTGTTTTACTTTTTTTCCACTTATCATCAAAAAAGAAAACCAAGCATCATGTCTTTCTCAAAATATTCTTATACTTTCAGAACTCCTATTTGCACCAAATATCTTCAAAGAAAGAGATTAAATCGAATCGACAGTTGGAAATAAACGACTATAGAAAAGGTGTTATTACCGTTCGATTTGGTATTGAGTCGTCTGACTGTCGATAGCCCGAATACAGTATTTTTCTTGTTGGGTATTAAACTTTGATTCGCGTTGAGCATCCTACTTTGTTGAACTTCTGCCCAAAAAAACTAAACACTTCATCCTTTCTATTAATGAGTCGCCCTCTCTCCCTCTCTTTTCTGTAATCGACTGTAATTGTTATTTGTTTGAAAAACTGGAGAATCTAGTACTGTAGATTAAGCTAGATTCTGTAGGTGCTCGATTGAAGGATTGAGTGATGATTGATGAGTCTTCTGATGATGCGAATTAGACAGCAGCGATTAAGGATTTTGTATTTTTGTTTTTTGAGACTGAGGACAAAATAAGCCCTGACCTATTTAGGACGTTTATAAGGATAAGCGAGCAGCTCAAAACGCGCTTTTAAAACGCACTTTCGAAAACTTTCGAAAACAATGATCTTATTTTTGTCGCTGCAATCTCAAAAGCTCTGGTGAGAAATTACTTCTTTTGCGAAATGAAAGAACAGTAAATTTCAGCCAACAAAGGAGGACTTTAATTCGATCTGCGGAGATGCCCCCACTTTTTCCAGTAATTTTTCATCTCCGGGATGGTTTGAGGTCTGTATAACACAGTGATAGGCACACTGTGTGAAAAACCTGAGTCAGGGTCCAAAACCTGAGTCAGGGTCTGAAACCTGAGTCAGGGTCCAAAACCTGAGTCAGGGTCTGAAACCTGAGTCAGGGTCCAAAACCTGGGTCAGGGTCCAAAACCTGAGTCAGGGTCTGAGTGAAGATCTGTTTCAGAACGAGCCGTATCCAGCAAATTTAAACTGCAGTTGGCATTTGAAATCGTCTTTTCCTTCAGACGATTCTTGCTTTCACGAACTAGAACTGCTTTCTTTGGACGTTGAAGAAGCTTCTAAAGATGGAACTTGTGCTTTTGACAGGCTAGTCATTCAAACAGGTAGAAATGAGAACAGAAATAAGACCAAAACAGACGTTGAAAATCGCCTTTTTCCGCGTCAAGTGCCGTTTTATCGCATCTGGCCTATTTTTGATTAAATACTGTAGATGCTACTTTAGAGGCTGGGAGATGGGAGCTTTGTGGAGACACGGCTGAAGATTTGGAGACGATTCGTTTTCGCGAAGCAACAGTGCAATTTCAGAGTGATGAGATGTTCGAAGGATTCGGCTGGAATTTTCGACTTGACTGTATGTGACAAAAACAGGATGACTTTTTGACCATTCCTTTAGATTGCCAAGAATCGACGACTGAATCTTCAACACAAAAAGCGGTTGAAGTTTTCAATGATTCGAGCTTTGAAACGATTGAAAATGATGAATCGGCTTTGATGGAAATCCAAGAGTTCGGGAGCTTTTCTGAAACAACTCAGACGACTACGACAACAACGACGAGAACAAGAACGAGAACAACGGAAATGACGTTGGAGCCAACGGAGATAGAATTGATGAAGGAATCGCTCGGAGACTTGGATTTTCTTGATACTTCGGGGGCGAGAGCATCTTTCTCTCGGACTGGAATTTTGACGAAAACGATTCCTGGTGGGAAGACTAGTTTAGCTTCTACAGCTGTGATATTTTTGAGCTGAGCAAGGTCGCAAATGCTGAGCTGAGTTTTCAACTTGCTCAGCTCAAAACTTGGCTCGGCAACCTGAGTAGAAAACCTGAGTCAGGGTCTAAAAGATAAAATGCAAAGCCGCGAAGCGGCTTTTTTAAAATGAAGCCGCGAAGCGGCTTCGCAAGAAGCTAAAAATAAGAATGAATAATAATTTTGCGAAGGCGCTTCGCGGCTTCGTTCTTTAAAAAGCCGGTACGCGGCTTTTCATTTTTGATCTTTCAGACCCTGACTCAGGTTTTCTACTCAGGTTGCCGAGCCCAGGCTCATAATAAGCTCTCTTTCTTATTTCTGAAATAAATTTAAACTGCGTTATATAAAAAGCAGTGTTTTTATTAAACCCGATAAGAGGCAGTTAAAAAGCAGGGCTACGTCGCGTTATCGCTTTTTTACGGAGCGGGAAGCAGCTTTTCATAATTTTTCTTGGTTAAAAGTGGCATTTACGGCGATGCGCGCAGAGTAAAAATATTCGCCGCACTCTGCCTATCGCTCCAGCAAGTGCCACTCGCTCGGGCGAAATTCTCAGCTAAGCTCAGACGTAGCTACCGATGTACTCGAAGATACCAACAAAAACCAAAAATAAAATTGCCGCGAAATTTTTAAATTGGCAGACGCCACGACATATGCACACGAACGCCCCTTTTTTATCATTTTTTGCGAATTTTGACGACTTCTGATTCTTTGGAAATCATATCGAAGAATCCAATTCCTTTTAGTCTCTTACCAAGAAATTAAGATGATGACACCCTTAATTTCGAAAAATATTGAGTAATTGTCAAAAGAAAATTAAGATTTTATCTCCATTTAGGAATTAATTTAAATAACTGAATTTTATTTCAATTTTTATTAAAAATTTAATGTAGAAACCCCTTAAATTTCCGCCTCAGTTCCTTTTTGAAAATTAAGGGGGTTTCTACATTAAATTTTTAATAAAAAAAAATTGAAATAAAATTCAGTTATTTAAATTAATTCCTAAATGGAGATAAAATCTTAATTTTCTTTTGACAATTATTCAATATTTCTCGGAATTAAGGGTGTCATCATCTTAATTTTGGGAAGAGACCAAAAGGAATCAGATTCTTGAATATGATTGATCAGAAGCGAAAAATTAAGGGGTTTCTACGTTAAATTTTTAATAAAAAACTTGTAATAAAATTTAGTCATTTAAATTAACTCCTCGATGGGAATAAAATCTTAATTTTCTTTTGAGAATCCATTCCATTTCTCCCAATTATCAATAAAAATCGGCGGCGATCGCTTACTCTTAGTTTTTATTTATTTTTAGCGGACGACAACGGACGCCATCCGGTGGGCAGCTTACTGTTGCTCAACCGAATTAATTATTTATGCGGCAATACTTAAGCTGGACAACTTTTGCGAATCTCACTTTTTAAAAAAGATAAAATTTTTTCACATTTTTGATGAGAAATTTCTTTTCCCTCTTGGCCATAGCAGCGATGCCTCTTCTCGCAAAAGGTAAATTGTTACTGTATCCATTGATAATTCGTTACTGTAGCCGATCCACTGGAAGAGCTTTTAGACGAGTACATGGCACAACCGGTTTATTTCCAAAAGGTACCCTCTGAGTTCCAAGGCTTCCGGAGCAAGGTACAGTATCTTACATTTGACAACAGATTCTTAAGGACCCCCTATATCTAAAAATATATATCTAAAATTTTAGATATTTCTTGCCTTTTGGGTTGTTAAATTGAAATTTTGCATTTTTTGAGAAAATCTTTGTTTTGCTCTTTTTTCACAAACATTAAGGGTATACCCTTCTCAAAATCAATTATATTCATAAAAATGATTATAAAAATGGCCATTTTAGCGAAAAATGAAGCTGTTGGACAAAATTTTTAAAATTGTCCATTTTTGAGTTTCCTTTTGTCAAGGAAAATAAGGGTGTCTCTCTGTTAATTTTTGAGAAAAGTCTGAAGAAGCGTAAAATTGAATTAAGGTGCACGAAAAACGCGCGCAAAGTATGCATCCCGACCAGCTCTTCCAGATGTACCAGAATATGCTCATCTAAAAGAATCTAAACAAGGCGAAAATAGAAAATGTCGACGAAACGTCGCGAACTTTTTTCTTTCATGACAAATTTATTCGCAAAATTTTTAACTCCACAATTTTTGGCTCAATTCACAAAATTTTAACTTTTTCTCTGACAGAAGGAGCGCTGCATTTTACAAAAACAAAAAATAAATCGAGACGTAATTAATTTTGATGTGTATTCCAGTTTTTGACAGTGACGTTCGAGGAGTTATCTATTTTGCTTCTTCAGGAAGCGAAGAAGAGTCTGAACGTTCGATTGATCATGGCCATAGATTTGACTCTTCCTTGCTATCAAAAGCGACTTGCCTTTTGTACCGCGATTTCATTCGGACTGACTGCAAGCGGGTGAGGGCGCTCGGGCGCAAGGCCGAGAGGAAATTTCGCGGACTTTTCGAACTCTTGCTCTGGGCGGAAAGTGGCTCCGGCGCCGGGCACTAGTCCCTTCAAAGTGATTGCGCGCCTCCATTTTACAGCTAAATAATAGCCCAAAAATTTGTTTCGTGAGAAATAAATTACTTCAGAAAATAATTTGCGGAATCGGTATGTTCATAAACTGATATGGCCTCATTTTAAAAAAGGCTTCATTTTAAAACAGTTTAAAACTGAGAACTAGAATTTTATTGAACGAAACGAACTATAAGAATAAACACAATTCGCTCCAGTTGCAAAATTGACCAAGTAGCACGTTCTTGTGGAATGTCGTTTTATTATTGAGAATTTTCATTTTACGCTAATCCGAATTGATGACAGGAAGCAGACGTTAATCATTAGATATTTCGCAGATGAATACTATGTAGGTTTCCCATGACTTTTTAACTACTTTTTAACGACGCAGCGCACGGATTCTCATCTGACCCGGTAAAACGACTATAACTCCGCAACGCATTATTCAGTAGAGTTAGCTCTCATAAAAGTTAAATTGTAAGAAAATTTAAATTTTCGAAAATGACAAAAGTAACGGGGCATCCAAAAGAATTGACGAGAGAAGTCATTAAGAACTGGCTTGACGGTTTTCATATGCTTTTGAAGAGAAAAACAACGAGGGACGATTCGGACAGACTTATCTTGTCCGTCGAGAGAATGGAGTTTCAAGAGTATCCACGTGGTCGATGGGACGAGGTTACTTTTGACGATGGAGAAGGCAAACATGATTCCTTTAAAGAAAAGTGGATTATCACCAAGTTACAAGAGAAAATTCTTGAGCGAAATCCAGATTTTGGAGGAAAAAAGCTTGAGCGATCTAAGTTAAAAAGAGAAGAGGGAGAATGGATTCTTGATCCAACATTGGAGAAGAAAAAAATTTCAGCTGGCGGAGAAGCAATAATTTTAAACGAGACTTTTGGGAAGTTGGATGTCGCCGTTCGAGTCCAATGTTTCGACCCGGCCCTTTTTACGGAGGAGTTTCCAGCAGCTTCGAATACTCAGCGATTAATTAAGAACTCGGATGAGCTCCATTTTGAAATTCATCTTTCAGCAGGTAATTTAAGGACCCCCCTCGAAAAATCAATTTTCGGAATTTCAAAATTTTGACCCCGGAAATGGATTCTACAGGTCAAAAAACGATTTTGAGGCATGATTTTTTGGGGTCTATCTCGACTCTAACACCCTCAAAATCGCGTTTGAAAATTCGACTTTTCGTCGAAAAATGACGTTTGAAATTTTTGGTAAAATTTTCGAGTTTTATTGGTCAAAACTTGCTCAGGTCAAGATTTTATACTAAATCTTATTTCCAGTCGCATTCAGAACAAAAAATACGGCATTTTTGAAAATTTTCATTTTTCGCTGACGGGGGTCCTTAAATAATTGAACTTCGAAGCTAGAAAAATAAAAATTCAGATTGCGAAGTTGCAAAGCCGACTTATCGACACGATGGACACGACAGTGCGATCCCGTTTCATCAAAATGTGATAAAAAATTTCTCAAATATTGAGATTTTTTGAAAGAAGATAGCAAGAAACAGGACTGTCTTGGCTGGATCACAGTCATGGAGAAGTGTGATGGTGATTTGAGAACACTGCTTAGAGGAAACAAGTTGGAATTAGAAGAGAGAAAAGAAATAGCAAAAGGAGTCATGGAGGGATTAGAATATTTGCGAGCCGTAGGGATCAAACATCTTGATGCAAAACCGGAGAACGTTCTCCTGAAAAAGGGAAACTCTGGTATTGTACCCGTGTGGACAGATTTCGGCATCATCGAAGGATCAAAAAGCGAGAGATTTCGACAAATGGGTTATAGAAGGAGAGGCGACAAATTTGTTCTTGCCAGTTTCATTGGTTAGTTTATTTTTCTGAACATGAAAACATTATAACCCTCCAATTTCTTTAGGGGCTGGTACAGCGGCTTTTACGCAAATTCAGCAGTTGGACAGTACCGCAAATAGTGGTGGAAGTCCTGAGTTTCCAGTCCACATTTGGACCCTTTGTGACTGGAAAACCGCGTGGAGTCTTTTGTTTATGCCAATGGAAACGGATGAAGATAGATTAGAAATCGAAAACGAGCTGAAGGTACAATTTTTTGATAAAAACGAAGAATTGACTTGTATAATATTTTTAATCTTATTATTTTAGTCTAGCAAGGCGGAATGGCTCTCTTCAAAAAAACCGTCAATCGAAGAAATCAAAAGCGTTTCAAAAATCATTTCCTTGAAAAACTCAAAATTTGATTTCGCTCTCGATTCAAATCTAACGAAATCGAAAGTCCTGGCGAATTGGAAGGGACAATACACGAAGCAAATGAACCAAGACTTTGAAAATCTGACGCAGAATATTGTCGACCAAAAAGACACGAATCTTTGTGTCCCAATTTCAGTCAGTACTCTTCTCAGATGGGCACTCCAAAATGACTTGGGTATAGACTAGGGTCGGACACAGAAAAAAGTTCTCAAATCCTTTTTTCTCATCAGTACCGAATTCAGCATGGTCAAAAACCCCCACCCACAAAAATTTAGCACCATTGGTGGTGAACGTTGGATTAGAGAGGCTAAAAGCCCTAAAAATGGCTATTTTTTGGCTAAAAAGCTTTAAAAAATCGAATTCAATATATAATGAATGCTGATGAGCTATTTTCTCTTTGTTATTTGCAGTAAAGGGTTCAAAATATATGCGAGACAAATTTCAGAGGCAAAAATGAAAAATAAGGACAGTTGCGACGCCTTTTACTTTTCAAGTGACATATTTTTCTTTAAATAGCTATATTAAAACAGCCTTATCTCAAAAAATCTAATAGCCGCAATCTCAATAATGGGTGTTTATATGTAACAGACACTTGGCTTTTATCCTCAATAAAAATTTTATGCATAGCTATTGGGAATATTTTTAAAAAATTTTTTCTTATGTCCGAACAGGACAAATATGGAAAATTTCACGTTTTTAAAAGGAATCTCCAAGAATTATTTCTGGTTTATAGGTGCTAGAAACATGGTCAATGGCTTATATTGGAGCTTTCAAAGCGTTTTCTTCTCATAACTGGGAAAATAAATGATCTGGGTATCCTCTGAGATTTTCTAGCGCCTCGAAGTTGACTGAAACTACCAGATACGAGAATTCAAGAATTTGAACTTTTGTTCTAGGCGTGCTATGATTACGATCGATAGCTTTTCTTGAAGCTAAGTAATCACTGAATTCATCGAGGTGATATTTTTGGAACCAGCTGGTCATTCTGGTGGTTCGTCGCGGTCCAAACCTTTGGATGGATTGAGATCCGGCAATATGTATATCAAAATGCATATTTTTTGATAAGAAGTAGTTCCAACAGATTTTCAAACAAAACCACTTCGTTGACCGACCGGTTCACAGCGGTTCAAAACGGTTCACGCTCCGAGTATTCACAAAATATTGAAATATGTATATCAAAATGCTTCTCTACTAAAAAGAGTCTTTCAAACTGATTTCCGAACACTTGGCTAACCGCCCGGTTCACAGTGGTTCAAAGCGGTTCACGCTCTTAGTATCAATAAAATGCTGAAATATAACCCTAACCCGTAGGGAAGGAAAGTCTCGTTTATTTAATTGAGTCTGCGACGGGGCGAAGCCGACTCGAAGGGGAGGCCAGTCTCGTTTATTCAATTGAGTCTGTGACAGGGCGAAGCCGACCCGAAGGGAGGCCAGTCTCGTTCATTCAATTCAGTTTGCGACGGGGCGAAGCCGACCCGAAGGGAGGCCAGTCTCGTTTATTCAATTGAGTTTGCGACGGGGCCAAGCCGACCCGAAGGGGAGGCCGGTTCCGTTTATTTAATTCAGTCTGGGACGGGGCCAGGTCGATCCGAATGGCCAGTCCAGTTTATTCAATTAAGTCTGCGAATAAACGAGACTGGCCTCCTCTTCGGATCGGCTTCGCCCCGTCGCAAACTCAATTGAATAAACGAGACTGGCTTCCCTTCGGGTCGGCTTCGCCCCGTCGCAAACTGAATTGAATAAACGAGACTGGCCTCCCTTCCGGTCGGCTTCGCCCCGTCACAGACTCAATTGAATAAACAAGACTGGCCTCCCTTCGGGTCGGCTTCGCCCCGTCACGGACTCAATTGAATAAACGAGACTGGCCTCCCTTCGGGTCGGCTTGGCCCCGTCGCAAACTCAGTTGAATAAACGAGACTGGCTTCTCCTTCGGGTCGGCTTCGCCCCGCCACCGACTCAATTGAATAAACGAGACTGGCCTCACCTTCGGATCGGCTTCGCCCCGTCGCAGACTCAATTTTATGAATGGGACTGTAAAAAGAAGATGAACTGTCTTGAACCACGACGAACCAGTCATTTAGCCAAGTAGTTTGGTTCGAATATCTGTTAAAATGACTTCTTAAGCTAGAGATACATTTTGATATTTATATCTCAGCATTTTGTGAATACTAAGAGCGTGAACCACTCTGAACCGCTCTGAACCGGGCGGTTAGCCAAGTGGTTTGGTTCGTTAATCAGTTTAAAAGACTCCTCTTGAGTAGAACAGCATTTTCATATACATCTTTCAATATTCTGTGAATATTCAGACCGTGAACCGCTGTGAACCGGGCGGTAAGCCAAGTGGTTCTGTTCGAAAGTAAGTTTTAGAGTCCTCTTGAGTAGATAGGCATTTTGATATACATATTACAATATTTTGTGGGTATTCAGACCGTGAACCGCTTTGAACCACTGTGAACCGGGCGGTTAGCCAAGTGGTTCTGTTCGAAAATCAGTTTGAAAAACTCCTTTTTAGTAGAGAAGCATTTTGATATACATATTTCAATATTTTGTGAATACTCGGAGCGTGAACCGTTTTGAACCGCTGTGAACCGGTCGGTCAACGAAGTGGTTTTGTTTGAAAATCTGTTGGAACTACTTCTTATCAAAAAATATGCATTTTGATATGCATATTGCCGGATCTCAATCCATCCAAAGGTTTGAACCGCGACGAACCACCAGAATGACCAGCTGGTTCCAAAAATATCACCTCGATGAATTCAGTGATTACTGAGCTTCAAGAAAAGCTATCGATCGTAATCATAGCACGCCTAGAACAAAAGTTGAAATTCTTGAATCCCGTATAATTATCACGTTTTTTGAAACTTTAAAAATTATTTAAAAAATATTCCCAACTCTCACGGCATCGAGACATATATCATTCGAATCGCTAGCTTCTGCTCTTTCGATTCATATATATTTCCCTTTTGCGGCTTTCAAAAATTTTTTGTGTCCGACCCTAGTATAGACGATAATAAAATGGCAATATTTTTCTCGATGGAAAGAGTTTTGACAACAATCACAATGATTGTTTATCCCCGCAGCTTGGCCGGATTAACTCTCAACCCCAAAGAAGAAGAACAGTCTTTTCAACACACTGAAATCGAAACGCTTCTCAAAAGACTCAAGTTCAAAACTTATTTTCATCCCACTGGATGGGAGATGATCGACAAAGGGAAAAACTCAAAAGCTGATTTCGATTTTAAACAAGGTAAAGTTACATTATCACTCATTTTCCAGAACTTTTCATTGATAAGTGCTCCTTCACGAAAATTTCAAATTAGACCGTCCGCTGACTGTTACCGGCGTGTATCAAAACGATGACGGTAGTTTTTAATGCACCAAATGGTGCTTGACCGAGTCGAAAACCGCGAATACGTTCTCCAGAATACTCTCATCAAACATCAGGGTAGGGTACATGGCAATCAACTCAGAATTCCGCTCGACCGGCCATACTACGCGAGTGATATAAATATGATGTTCAAACTCTCCAGCAGCAATTACGTTTATAAAGGAGCCAACAACGAAATCATTAATTTGGTTCATGAGAAATTCAACTTGAAGAAAGGAAAATGGCATCTTCTTCCTCAGGCATATTCAATCACTTTGAGTCACAAGCCTGCGATAGCAACTGCAATCCAAAATTCAAAAGCGGTAAATTTCAATATCAATAAAAATAAGTAATTATTCTTTAATTATGCGATTTAGATGGGGTTTGAAGAAGGACAAATTTTAGACGCTGTTGAACGTTACAGAGGTAATGAAAAAGAGCGCTGAAACGCCTTAATAGGAAGAAGAACCCGAAAAAATAAACGTATTTTTCAAACACGAACTCAATTCATTTCGTAATTGAAGTTGACGTTTCATAATGTTGTTTTCGTAATAATTTATTGGCAAGCTTTCGGCATTTCGCCATCATCAGGCCACTGGCCACTTCGCTGGGTTCCCTCTCTTGCGCTCAGCTGCGCACAATTTGTGTGAAAAAGTCTCTAGACTCTTTTCATAAAATTCTCTAGACTTCGTTTTGCCGGTTACCCTTCCCCCATTTCTAACTCACTCAGGACTTGTCCTGTTTCACCGTAAGTCCTCCCTACTTTTTCTGTATCTATTGAACCATTCAGTGGCCTGATGATGGCGAAATGCCGAAAGCTTGCCAATCAATTCATTTCACCTGATTTCTTTTACTAAAAACTGTATATTTACACCCTTCAGGGGTATTTTCAAAGGCAAAACATTAACAAAAACTTACAGAATATTTAACCCGTTTAATCTTACTTGAGGAATTTGCCTGTCTCTCTCTTTGGCACACTTTAAAAAATTTCAGTATTATATTTACTGACTATTTTCACTGACTTGTTTACTACTAAGTTACAAAAATATCATATTTTAAATATGACACTGACTATTCATTTGAAAAAGTGCTTTTGTGATTTATTGGTTTATAAAAACTTTAATTTGTTGAAGATTTGCGTTTTTGTGTATAAATAACAAAGAATACATATTTTTTATAAAGTTCCGTCGAGTCATCAGAATAACGGGTGCCAGGAAAGCTGATTGGGTTGTTGAAGGAGGAACCAGTTGGTTCGTAGAGACGGTTGTTCGTATTAACTATGTATTTTTAACTATCATAAGCAAATAACTGCTGTTGCAGTAGATTCGCCCTGAATGGCAAGATTTTTAAGAGGTTTATTTTAATTATCCATGGTCGGGTTGTTCGGTGAATCTGGGCACAATTGGCGTACACAACTTCCAACTCGCCGTTCGGTGCTCGTTTCCGACCAGGTCGCTTTTTCGATCAGTTCTTATGACTTAGCAGAAGCCTTCAGCGATACGATATGTAACTTTCTTAGGCTGTGAGGGGTGTTGAGTATAATGTTCTATATGATTTGAAAGGCATTATTTAAGAATTATCAATGAAAAAGTGATCGCGTTTATCCATTTTTGGAAAAAATCCTTTGTTCTAGAAAATTTTAGAAGAAAAAATGGCGGACTTTATCCATCTGCGGAGATTATCCAATTTTGACTTTATCCATTTTGATAAACTCTGCATTTGGATAAAGTCCGCCTAAATCGAGGAATATCGTCAAACAGCATCTTCGTCCGAGCTCTCTTTAATTTCGGTTTACTCTCTTATTCTAGTTTTCAAGAGTTCAACTTATTCAACAACCAAATTCACAATTTTTTGACTTCCGGACAAGAATGCGAAGATCGCAGCGTATTTATATGACCTCTTCGATTCCGACTTCGAATTTCTACCTCGCCGACTTCATTTTTCCTCGTGCTTCTCCACGAGTTTCTCCACTCAGCTGGAAATTTCGCTCTCGAATTTCTCTTCTCCCGCTAAATTTCTGACAGTAAGCACGGGTTGATGGGGATCAAACTTTGTCGCGGAGCCGAGCTTGAAAGCGGTAGCATCTTTGGTCACGGTAGACTACGGTAGTCATAATTTTTGATGGGAGCGAAATGGCAACTCTGTTTGAGCCTGCACTTTGGTTGCTTTTTGCGAAGCGGACGAGTTAATTCTGGAGAAAAAGAGCATGTTTGTTCTTTGGCGAACGTTCACGCAGCAGCGTTCGGGAAAGAATGTAAAGGTCGGAGAAAGCGAATGAAATATTTGTTCTTTGGTGGTCGCTTGCTCCTTAAAATAAACAACTGACTGGTTCTGCTTTCAAAGTGGTTACCTCAGCAAAGAGAGCAAAGATGATTTCGTTTCTATTTTTGACTTTGCTGGTCCTCGTTTTCGGGCGACTGCTGCAAATTTGGCTGAAGTACAAATTTCACCCGATTCCGAGCTTTCCATTCTCCTTGCAAAAAGCTCAAAACGCGAAAGACCTCGCCGAAGCCTTCAAAAGGGAAATTTGCCAAAAATCTTTCGCCCTGAGCTGTATCCCTTTTCGACTTATAGGAATGGCTTATAGCAAGTAGTTATCCAAAAATCGGCCAAGAGCACAAATTTAAGGGAACGCCCCTCTTATGTCCTCGAATGTCCAAAATGTCTCCGAATGTCCTCAAATGTCCCGAATGTACCCGAATGTTTCGAATGTCCCCGACTTTTTACTACATTCGGGACATTCGGGGACATTCGGGACATTTGAGGACATTCGGGACATTTGGGGACATTCAAGACATTCGGGGACATTTTGGGACATAACAAACGTCTACCAATTTAAGCCTTGAAGCAATTTTTACATGATCACGGATTTCGACTTCATGAAGGAAGCGTTCGCGCAAAAGGAGCTTTCGAATCGAGATTACAACGCGAAGATAAAAGTCGACACGGAAAGGAATGTCAAACACTACGAGATGGACAAACAGGCTCTGGAAATACTGGGCGCAGAGGACCAGCTGATCAAGAATGGCCCGGGATACAATTCAGGACTGGCGGATGGGCCTTACGATGACTTCCACAGAAAGTTTCGAACAATTTGGTACGAAACGACGAAAAAACTCACCGGGCGGAACCGAATCATCGAAATAATCGAGCAGAGCTCCGAGTCCGTGAATCGCATTCTCGGCCAAAAGGAAGCTCGGAAGAAGGCATCGACCCCAAAGCGGTTTTCGTAAATGGCACTATGAATGTCATCACAGGCCTGGGCTCGGCAACCTGTGTAGAAAACCTGAGTCAGGGTCTGAAAGAGCTCAAATGAAAAGCCGCGCAGAATGAAAATACTACCATTACAATCTATCAAAAATTCTAGCGCGGCTTTTCATTTCAGCTCTTTCAGACCCTGACTCAGGCTTTCTACACAGGTTGCCGAGCCCAGTCACAGGCTTTGCTTTCGGAACAACTTTCGACTTTGACGATCCAGGTGATAATTCTTAAGTTCTCGAGTCCTGACGAAAATTTAGTGTTCAAGATGCTAGAAGAGCAAATGAAGATTGTGTTTGAAACAATCGTTCCGGTTCTTTTAAAGAAAACGGCGGCTGGCAAATTGCCTCTTTTCATTTCACAAAATCCTCTTTACCAAATGATCTGGAAAGCGACCTTGGACAAGTACTACGGAGCGCACAAGAAGTTCAATCAGTTCTGCTTCGAAAACGTCGTCAAGCACAGAGAAACGCTCGACAAGAGCAATCCAAGGGATTTTTAGGTAACAAAAGGGGCCCATTTATATGTTTATTTATTTTCAAGATATGATCCTTATTGAGGCGGAAAATGAGCCGCGGCTGGGCTTCGACGTCGTCGCTGGAACTGCTCTTATCATTTACGCTGCTGCTAGCGACACTCTTGCGTGAGTATTCACGAAAAAATGAACTTGTCAGTCGATGTTTGAAGGAATACCTTGACTTGGTTGTGCGCAGTTCTTTCCGACCGGCCAGAAGTGCAAGACAAAATGCATCGAGAAATCATGAATTCGCTGGAGACAGATAATGATATCAAGAAGGAAAACTGACATCGGGGTTCGAAAACTTTACTTTTTCCTGATTGATTATTATAACTAAATTAGTAATAATATAATAAAATATAATATAATATAATATAATATAATATAATTTTTTACCTTTTTTGAACCCTTTTCGCCCATATACAAGATCCGTTCTGCTCGAAAACATGCGATTGAATCCAGCTGCTCCTGAAAACATCCCGCATCAGGCTTCAGAAGACATGGTCGTCGACGGCGTTTTGATTGAGAAAGGATCCACGCTTTACGGTTAACTTTCCTTATCTTTTTATTCTCTGAAAATGATTGTTAGCCTCGATGGCTGCTGTCTTCGCGAACCCAGCGAACTTCCCTCAGCCAGACAAGTTCATTCCCGATCGCTTTCTCAAGAATGGGGAGTACGTTCACGACATGCGCGTTTGCAGCTTTTCTGTTGGACTGAGGAACTGCATTGGAAAACAAATCGCCATCGAAGAGCAGTTTATTTTCGCCACGAACATTGTTCGAGAATATCGACTTGTCAGGTTCGAAATCTTTGTACTTTTGCTCAGAGTTGCAAATTTGCTGAGCTGCGTGAGCTGAGCTAACTGAGTGAGCTGGGCAGTCGCTCAGCTCAGCTCAGTGAGTTTTAAAAATGAGCTGATCTGCTCAGCTCAGCTCGGACAATTATCACTAAGCTCAGCTCAGCTCAACTTCCTTAAAAAGGCCAGCTCAGCTCACCTCAGCTCAGACAATTATCATTGAGCTCAGCTCAGCTCAGCTCTAATGAGGGTCCGCTCAGCTCAGCTCAACTTCATTAAAATAAGGCCAGCTCATCTCAGCTCAGAGAAATTTCTACTCAGATCAGCTCAGCTCAGCAAAAATAAAGCAAAATTTGCAACAATGCTTTTACTTGGTCTATATTTTGTTACCTAGAACGGCTGGAAATATGGACATTGCTGAAGACTTGTCAATGCGTTTTCCGAAATTTTCCATGATGCGATTTGAGAAGCGAGAAGAATAAATTCTTGAAGATGTTTATTAAAATTTTATTGTAATGTAAGCTTGGCCTGTAAGTTGGATAAGAACAGTGAGTTCAAAAGTGAGGTCATTTTTGGATAACTCAGAACCGAAAATAGCTTAAATAAATGGCTCTGCAAATAGCAATTTCGGGCAGAAAAAGGGCAGGAGAAAAAAAATGATCTCACAATTAAGAGTTTGCATAAAAAGAAACATGCTGGGCATTTTGTGTTGTTTTTTTCTCGGCAACGGTCGCGCTGATGATCAGGTCTCGTACACTGAAGATGCTGGCGGGCTGTTCAGGACAATGGAGGAGCATCCGGAGCGAGTCAAGCTTGAGAACATAGTTGGAGAAGTGCCGACTTGGCTGGAAGGATCGATGTTTAGAAATGGGCCCGGGCAGTACGAGTACGGAGACGATCGGTTCAAGCATATCTTCGATCCGTCGGCCATTGTCCAGAAAATAGCATTCGAAAACGGAGAAGTCTTCTATCAGGTACTGTTATTCAGAAAATACTAGAAAAGTTGACTCGAAAAATAAATACTGTTGGCTGAAATTAACTCTTCCTTCCTTGAATAAAGCTTCGATTGTAGAGCAAATTCATCGAATCGACTCATCGACTTGCAAATGAAGAAAAGGGCGAGATAGTTTTTACGGAAATGGGAACCTGGGCGGAGCCGGAGAACTACGAGGATCTCTCTGGGGCTGAGCTGCAGCGCGCTCGCTGCTCGCATCTGGACGAGTCCTTTCCTTCGGACAACACGGTCGTTTCTCTTTACCCGATTCACGGCTGGATGGTCGGCTTCACCGAGTCGCGAATGGTCACTCTCATCGATCCATTCACGCTGGAGACGAAGCACATTTTAGACTTGGCCGATGTCAAGCCGGAGGGATACTTCATCGTCACCGTCCTAGCTCATGGATCCTTGGACGCCAACGGGGACTTCTGGACAATGAGCGTCGGCATCTACAACGAGCCCTACGCTTTCCTCCCAAAAAGTAACACCGCTTTCGTCAACAATAAAAACATGAGTTTCAGCTGCTTATGGCACTCTCAAAATCAGAAACGCAATGCGAGACGCGAAAAATCCGTTTTCTTACCAAGCCACTCCGGAAGAGTTTCTTGCCTCGATCGAGTTTGGCGACTTCTTGTTCAATGAAGATGAACGAGACAACACCGTCAGATATTTTCACATGTTTGTCCAGACGACTGATTTTCTCGTTCTTCCCGTTACAAGGTAAATCAACTGCTGCCGCCTAGTGCCGCTTAATGTCGCCAAGTGCGGAATCGTGCCGCCTAGTGCCGCCTAGTTCCGCCTTGTGCCCCTAGTGCCGCCTAGTGCCGCATCTTGTCGCCTAATGCCGGCTAGTACCGCCTAGTGCCGCCTAATGCCGCCTAGTGCCGCCTAGTGCCGCCTTGTGCCCCTAGTGCCGCCTAGTGCCGCCTAATGCCGCCTAGTGCCGCATCTTGTCGCCTAATGCCGGCTAGTACCGCCTAGTGCCGCCTAATGCCGCCTAGTGCCGCATCGTGCCACTCAATCAAATTGTCCATAGAAGCTTTCTTTAGCATGGAACTTGATCCGATAAAAATGCTCGATTCTTGCAAAGAAGGAAAACCACCAATGGACATGATGTTTTACAACGAAGAAAAAGCCGGATACTTCAAAATTTTCGACAAAAAGAATCTAAAGTGGTTTCCAAAAACGTTCGCGAGCGACGCTTTCATGCAGATTCACATGATTCAAGCTTACCAAGACGGCGACAAAATCATTCTGGATACGTGTGAAACGCCCAAAGGAGATCTCATGATGGGTAAGCAAACAAAAGGCCGTTCCCTTTCAACTGTCTCTAGCGTATTACCTCGATACAGTCAATTCGACTGGACGAGCGCTGCAGGAAGTGCACGAAAGCATGCTTCCAATCGGAATTCCCGTCCGATACGAGTTTTCAACGGATGACCTGCTTTCCAAGACTGAAGAATATGTCGAGCCCAATGCAAGTGTTGAAACCCAGCGAGCGCGTTTTATCCTCAATTTAGGTCTTGTTCGAGGCAGATATGGTCGATTGGCCGATGTACACCGCCGCTGGAACTGATTTTCCGATGATCAACTTTGATTTTGCTGGAGTCAAATATGATCACTTTTGGTCTCTTGGCATGGGAAACATTATGGCAGACAGGCTCTATCACTCGCAAATATCTTCCAAAAAAGATTTGTCTGGAGAGAGGTCAGTTTTCAACGCCGTCTTTTCCTGATTAAAAACTTAGGCTGGCTACTCGCCTTCTGAACCGTTCTTTGTCTCCCGCCCTGGCGCCGAGTCCGAAACTGACGGCGTTTTATTATCCCTGGTGTCCGCTTTTGAAGGACACTCTGATCTTCGTCCCTTTGTGCTTATTCTTGAACCTGTGGAAATGACAGAAGTAGCAAGAATTTGGCTCCCGGAAGATTATGATATTTCGGTCTCTTTTCATGGCACTTTTGTCAAACACTGAGAAATATTCAACTTTTTAAATACATTTCATTTTCTTGTGTCTTTTTAGTATCAAAGGCTGTAGATTTTTTGAAAGAAAAAGAATTGTTTATTCGGATTACATTTTTTCCAATAAAGAGAGAGTAGATAAAAGAGTAAAATAAAAGGGTAAAATCGTAGTCATTCCATTTCGTGTCCATTGCCGTATTTCTGAAAGGTGGAGAAAGTTCACTTGTCCGGATTCATCGCGGTCACTGCGCGGACGACGTCTCCATCGACCGACTTCAAAAGTTCAACCACCCATTCGCCCTCGAAGCCGAGCTCGTTCATTTTGGCAATCGCTTCTTTCATCTTTTGCTGCTTCAATTCGGCGCTGACGTCTTCGAAGTCGTCTTGAGCTGGATTGGAGGCTTGTTTCTCGCTCTGAGTCGCTGAAGTGTTCGTTTGAGTAGAAGTCATTGGTTTGTCGTTTGTTGTAGTTGAGCTTGTAGTGCTTGTACTTGTGACTGTAGCGCCGTTGCAGGTGACCGTTCCGTCTGCGTGTTGGATCGGGATCACTTCTCCAGTCGTGGAAGAAGAAGCGGAAGAGCGGCCTCCTTCAGGCGCCATGATTCGGTTGAAATGAGAATGAAAGTTGTTCAACAGCGATTCTAGCGGTTGCCCCGCCGCAGCCGCAGCACGAATGGAAGACATCATGTTCTTCTTGCACTGGCGCTCGTGGATCTTCTGGATCTTCTTCTCCATCTTCGCCGGGTCTTTCCAGTCGTTGTTGTTTCCTTGGGCTCCTTGGTTGGCGCGGCCTTTTGGGCGGCCGGTGGTGGTGGCGGCTGGGGAAAACGGACGATCAGTTTGAAGAGCTTGTTTTCTCCTTGTTGGTTTTGGAAGAAATTGACGGCTTCCTTCATTTCCTTGTCGGAGGAGAACTGGACGTTGTCGCCTTCTTCGTCAGTCCACAAGAATCGAAGAGTCGTGTCCGCGGTCAGATCGTCGTAAAGCATGATCACTTGGTCTTTGAGGTGCTGAAACGAGTCCAGTTTCTCGAGGAAAAAGCGTCGGATCTCCTTTCTAAAAGAAAATTAGATCATTTCGGGTTTTATTTTTTCGATAGTGGATGAATGAAAATGACATTCTCGGGACCAAATACTGACCCCCATGTTTCTTGTGCTTATCTTAAAGCCCGTGATCTGGGGAGTCGAATGGTATAGGTTATGGGTGTTAGTCATCAACTATGACGTCATAGTGCTACCCCATTGGTCAAAACCTATGTAGTGCTCTAATTTTTAAATGAGCTTATAAAAGTATATTGATCTTGGGCTCATTAGAAAAAGCAGCTCGAGATCGAGGTCGGGAGAGCAAAATCGCGGTCAACCACCCGGTTAACCACGTGGTAAAAATTTTAAAACCGGCCGGTTAACCGCGATTTAGTGCTCCCGACCTAGATCTGGAGTTCCTCTTTCGAATGAGCCCAAAATCAACGTAATCTTATATGTCCTATAAAAAGTTATTGCACTACATAGGTTTTCCCCATAAGCCCCTTATTTCGACCAAAATAACGTCATTATCTATGACTCAGACCCTGTGTAACATACCATTCGACTCCTCAGATCACGGGCTTTCAGATAAGCACTAGAAACATGGGGGTCATGATTTGGGGGTGTAGGGCGGCTACGTTCGAAATTTCGAACGCCGTTCGAGATTTTTCGAACGCCGTTCGAAAAATGTCTGAAATTGCTTATAAAAATGAGCTCATATGCGCTCCGCGCCTGATTTGTAAGTTAACTCTCTCATAATGATGCCAAGTTCTTTTTCTTACACGATTTTAATAATTTCAGCTCATATTATGATAAAGATTTTTGGAAATTTCGAACGGCGTTCGAAAAATCGGCCCAAAACGGATTTCGAACGTAGCCGCCCGCCACCCTGATTTGGTCCCGAGAATGTCATTTCTCGATTCTTTCGGAAATAAAAATATGGAAAAAACAAAATTTACTTCCTAGATCAAAAATTTTAGCAACTAAAAAGGTACTTTTGAATTTTCTATCGAAAATTTTCAAAAATTAAAAAATTAAGGGTGTCTCTATTTTTAAAATGAAAGCGGTTTTTCTTACCTTGGAAGGACTTCCTCAGAAGGACCTCGATGAAGAATCACTTTTACTTGCATCGCGATTTTTTTCGATCAATTTGTTAATTGCTCTTTTGCGAGAAAAAGTTGGTTTGAAAACAAGTGGTGGATGATCCTTCAGCGCGAGCTCTTTTTATGCGATCGGTAGGCTGCTCTGGGCGGTGTCGCCATTCAATACTCAGCTTGACTCAGATTCACTCCGATGACGAGCGCTTTATTCATTCTGTTACTCACTGGCTTCACTGGAACCTGAATGTCTGGAGGGAGAAATAAATGCATAATTTATTTAACGACGTATTTTGTTTTGCTCGATATTATAACTGCGTAGCTACTGGTACCAAGTGGAATGTAATTTGAAATGCAGTTGTTTGAATTTATGGGATGTTTAACCCCGGAAATGATTGTTAAACGTGCTTCAGGGCGAAATCGGTTGACCAAAATCTTTCGAAGAAATGGCTCGTCCTTTGGGTCTAAAGGTTATCGTCGATAACTTATCGACGGAATCAGAAAGATTTTCATTGGCGCGTTGATCAACGGGGGCAGGCTCGAAAAATTTTGAGACCTGTCGGCGACCAACCAGTCCAACCAAACTGAAAAAAGAATTAAGGCTATAACGTCTCTTTTGGCCTCTCTGGAAAACGGACTTCCCTTGGTCGATTTCAAAAATTAAAAAGGCTCATATACTCAAAATCTATCGTAGATTTCAGAAATGCGATCAAAAATTTTTTCTTTTGAAATTTTGGCTTTATAATCATTTAAAAAACGCCATTCGGATTTCCGAAGAATTTTACCATTACAGAGGTAGACTTTTTCGATCAATTAATAGATTAAAGCCTTCTCTACAATCCCTACGGAAAAATTCTTCGATATCTATTCAATTTTTCATTCTAGCGCCATGTTAGTGCCTGAGGATAAAAATGCGCGTGGACGCGCTGCGCGGAGTGCTATCCTCCAGGCCAAAAGAGAGCGCTGTTGGCGAGCGTGTGAGTCAAGCGATTCATCGCGCTCTGATTGGCCGCGTGGATCTCAAGCGTTCGTCTATAAACAAAAGAGATTTAAAAGAAGAGAGAACTATAATCATAATTTAGGCAATTTCTTGATATTTTTTCCATAGGGATCATAGAGTTTGCCCTATTTAATATTATTATCGGATTAATTTTACCTCATAGCTTCCAGTTTTCTTGGAAAACCGAATGGCGATTTTTGAATGATTCTAGAGTAAAAATTTACGGAAGAAAAGTATTTTTGATATCATTTTTGAATTTTTAGGAGAAAACAAGTATATTTGTCTTTTATATTTTTGAAATCGACCAAGGGAAGTCCGTTTTCCAGAGAGGCCAAAAGAGAGGTTATAGCCTTAAGAGAAAAAGTTTGATAAAATGAATGGATTTTTGATAAAGTGAGGGAGAAAGAAAACAAAAAACAAAAGAAGAGGTAAGTTATTGTAACAACTATGTCTACTAACTATTGGTTTTTAGAAAAGAAGGGAGGGAAGCCAGAATGAGAACCATCTCCCGTTCAGCTACTCGGCTTACCCACAGATGTACTTTCCTGTGGGCCAGCCACAAGTTGTACAGCCTGCTGGGTATCACGGACACCAGATGGTTCACACTGGCTACGATACACGAGGCTGTCCGACTTTCACTTCGATGCCAAATCTGGCGATGCCGACCTCCTACGCTCAGCCGAATGTGATGCCGCCTGGCTACCCTCGCTTGTCGACGTCAATGTCTCATCCTCACGGATTGGTGATGCCGCATTCTACGCCACCTAAGCAACATCCGCGTAGCTTGTCTTCGGAAACTGTGGCGAAGAGAAAAGAAACACAGCCACTTCCAGACTGCATCGTGTCTACGGATCAGGAAATGCCGGTAAGTACTAATTCATCACAATATTAAAAATTATCTTATTTTTTCAAGACTGCAATCGACATGCAAGAATTGTGGCGACCTGGGAGAAAATCATCGATGACACGACTGACCAAGTCCTTCCACGATCTCTCAACGAAAGGTAAAATAATAATCAAAATTTTGAAATTTTCAACATTTATTTCTAGACAAGGAATGGGAAGGGTTCCGATCACCAAGAGGCAGCCACTATTTTTAGAAGATCGAGAGAAAGAGATCACTATTTCACCTTATCACTGCACTCTAACCTTTTCCGTCTTATCTTTTAATAAAGAAATTTTTACATTAAACCATGTTTATTTCATAACTTTATGCATTGAAGGGAAATAATAAATCCAGACCGCAAGTTTCCAGACCTTTAGCGAAGATGAGAATGAAAAAAGTGCGCACATTCCATTGGGGTTGACTAAGGGATGACTGGAATGTCTTCAACTTGTCCGTATCGATTAATCTGGCCTTATTTGCTTGCAACACTTGGAAAGCGAGGCGCGTCAATCCCTCTTTCAGCCGGATTTCGAAGCAGAAATCGTCAATGATCGAAAATGATCGTCTTTTTGGCGAAAATCGAGCTGATCGGGGGCTCGAGCTGGCCGCGGGCGCCCTATTCTGCGCTCTCTCTCCCGTTGAGTAAATGAATCACCCTAAACCAAGCTCCGAGGAAGCATTTTCATCGAGCTTCTTTCAATAAATCCACACGCCCTTTTTTTATAATTTTCAAAATTCGAACATTTCAAAAGAGAACTGAGAAGAATCAGCTTGTCAAAACCGCCGCCGAGAAAGAAAAGAAGAAAAAGAAAACGCGAAAAATTAAAATCCGAAAACATTATTTGTCGAAAATAACATGAGAGAGCCTGAACAAACAGAAGTCAGAATACAGAAGAATTGATGGAACTCGCCGCTAGAAAGGAATTTGTGGCGAAAAATTTGTTTTTTTGTTAAAAAAATTGGATATTTTTATCCTTTTACGAATTAAAAGCGACGCCCTTAAGTTTTCTATTAAAAAGCTCTCGAATTCTTCATCTAGTAATGTAGTTGGCTCGGCAACCTGTGCAGAAAACCTGAGTCAGGAGCTTTAATAAAAATCCGCGGCTTTCCCAAAATTTAAGCCGCTATAGCGCATATGCGGCTTATTTTTAAGAAAGCACCAGCGGGTTTTCATTAAAGTTCTTTCTTAACCCTGACTCAGGTTTTCTGCACAGGCAGTCAACCCAAGTTCAGTACTTGATGAAAAATTTAAGATGATTTTTAAAAGAAAAATTAAGGGTGTCGCGACTCACAATGCAAAAATCATTTAAAAACAGAGTGTTTGAAATTGTCATCATTTAGTTTTCTTGGCAGTAATTTCGGCTAAAAACGGAAAAGACAATATTCTCACGCATTTTTGAGCCACTATAAAAGCAATTTCACTGCCGAGAATGGCTCTTTTCACGAATCGAAGAGCACATAAACGCCGATCCTGGCGAAAAGGGAAGAAGGGGATTTCTCCTCTCTGGAAATGCTGGCACAGGAAAGACTACTTTTCTGGCCGAGCTTTGCTCACCGTTATGGGCTCTTTTTTCTTCGAATTAAGGCTGTACCCTACGTTAAAACCTGAGTTATGATGCGCAAAAAGCTTTGAGAAACCCCTGACTCAGGCTCAGACACAGGCGAGCCTAAAGGGTAGATGTCAAGATAGTCCAAAAGCGAAAAGTATAGCTAGTTTCCATTTGTCACTTTTCAAAGAGGAAGACAGTGACAGGCGTTGTCGACTTTGTAAATTAGTAAATTAAATAGTGGCGAGTCCATTTGAAAGACAGTTGCGAACGACAGTTGCCGCTCTAGAATCGCCTCCGCCATCGTGGCCCACCACTTCGTCAGCCCCTTCCAGCCCAGAACGCGCAAGCTCTCAGTCTTCCTCAAGTCCGTCTCGAGCCAGCTCAAAACTAAATTTGCTCCCCTCGGCGAGTTGCCAACCAGCGCCAATGGCGACGTTCGATCCATTGCTAATTCCTGGCATTCAGCCCTTGCAGGTAATCTCATAATACTTGAAGATTTGAAATAAGGGCATCACTATGCTATTTTCAAAAACCTTAACCCTAGTTCTTTGAAATCGGCTTTCAAAAAAGGCAGAGAAAAGATTTGAAATAGCGAGTGCTACCCCCTTAAATCCAAAGCTCTGATTATTCAATCAATAATCTTATATCGTCGCGCTTGGATTTATTGACTGTCAGCGTTGACAAGCCTCATTCTCAAGGTCAACAGAGTAATTAAAAACGAAAGAGCCCTGGCAATTTTTATTCGCAATAAAGATCTTAAGAAACGTCTCGTAAATGATCTACGACTTAACATTAATTGAACATCATCAAGCTATCGTTATATTTCTTATGACTTTTCCTATAGTTTTAGCTGGTGACCCCCTTAAGTTTCATGTGAATAACTTAAGGGCGGAGCGAGAATTCTCTAAAAAACTGATTCTAGCGCTACCAACTCCTCCCCAGCGACATTTATTGGTGATAGACGGGCTGGAATTGTCGACAGATATCTTCAGCGTTGTGAGCAACTTGAACTTGCCAAGCTGGCTCTCGGTGGTGTACTCAGTGGCGAAGGGACACAAAAGATCGCGCGAGATGATCAAGCTGCTTGACAAGCTGCTTCAAAAAGTAACTCTAGACGACATTCGCAAAGACCCAGTTTGCAAAGACTCGCAACAGTACATCCTCCGCCGCCTCGAGTCCAACCAGAATCTTCGCAGCGCGGTGAATCGAGACAATGCCGAATTTCTGAGCCAGTTGCACATTAAAGCTTCCGGTTGCTTTCTGTACCTGGAAGTCGTTTTGGACGGCATCGCTTCAGGTCTAGTTGGATTGCGCCAAGTTCGAGACATTCCAGGCACCCTGAGTGGCCTCTGGCTTTGGCTGATTCAGCTGCTCTTCGCGAAAAAAGACTTTGGAAAAGTTCGCTCAATGCTGGAAATCCTCGCCGCAGCTGGCTCCCCAATGAATACGAAAACGCTGGCCGAGGCGGCGAAAATGTTGAAACCGTCAACAGAAGAAGCGGACGTGGAAAAACGACTGGGCCTTTTGAAGCCGCTGATTTATAAAGACGCCTCTGGCTGGATACCGATTCATTCCTCCTTTCTCGCCTGGTGCCAGGACGTCAAGTACTCTACCTCCAAGTTTCTGTGCGATGTCACCAAGGGACATTTGGCACTGAGCACTTATTATGCAGTTCAATGCGCGCAAATGAGAAACTCGCAAAATTCAGAAGTAAAGGTAAAAGTCCAATTAAAATTACTGAGTCAAGGCTCGACAATCTCTGAAGAAACCTGAGTCAGAGTTCACAAAGAGTTCAAAGTTCTTGTGAAGCCCTGACTCAGGATTTCTACAGAGGTTGCCGAGTTTAGACTGGCGCTGCCAGAAACGGAAAAACTCTTCCTTGATTTCAACAAGCATAAGTTTTTTCAGGAGTCAGGAAATTCGAAATACAAGCGCCTGACGGAGCAACTGTTGGATCACGTGCGCCACACGAAATTCACGGAAGCAGAGTTGACCTTGCTGCTCGTCTCAGTGGGGGCAGAGCGCGAGGTCGTTAGATTTATGGACATGTTGGCTGGCAACTCGCTGCAGGACTCGGAGTGCAGGCACGGCTCATTTCGATTTAGGCTTGATTCACTTGCAAATTGAATCTATCTCCTTCTCTCTCTCGTCAAATGGGGTTTTCTAAGTCCCATGTATCTTTCTTTGAATTATTCATTCACTTTCTCTGCTTCGCCTCTCGCTCATTTGCACTACGCTCAAATCATAACATACATACAGCCACGCACGCCAGATTTGCCAGATTTGAAGCAGTTCAATTCACTAGTTTTTATCTACAAAAATGGAGAGAAGGTTATTGACATGTCTTTATGTCCGATTTTGAGCCCTTGTAGACTAACGACTCTTGCCACTCGTGGAGAGGAGGCCCAGATCGTCCAGCTTCTCGATTTAGGTGAGATTTTATGTGGGTTTTACTGGGTTAAATTTTTAATAGGTTTCGATGCAAACGGAACGCAAAAAGACGCAGAGCCGACGCTGGTGCCGCTGGTCGCAGCGGGCAAATTCGGAAGCAAGAAAATGGTTGAACATTTGATCAACAACGGCGCCGACCCGCTGCGATGCGAGTTCCCAGCCAAGCAAAATTTCTTTCAATCAGCAGCTCAGCATGGACACATTGAGGTGATCGATTTTATTCCTTTTATTTTTATATCTCTCATTGATCATCTGGACTGGAGCGTTTTTTTACGGATTTGATGGTGCATTTTTTTGATGACCCAGAGAAATATTCAAGAGATTTGTTTTCTGGAAATAATTTTTCAACCTTTTTGTTTAGATAATCGAGTGGGCAAGGACGAATTTCAAAGTAGAAACGCTCGTCAAGTTGCTCAAGGCGAAAGACGTTGAAGGTCGCTCTGCGCTGCGGCTGGCCTGTTGGCAAGGTGAGCTCGAGGTCGTCTCGCTGCTAGCCACGATGTCAGCGACGGCGGGACTCTCGCTCGATGAAGTGGACATCGAAGGACGATCCTGTCTCTTCGCGGCGACATACACTCAGACCGTCGACGTCGTCAACTGCCTTTTGGAAAACAAGTGCGATCCGAACCTGGCCGATCGGGAGTCGAGAACGCCGCTGTCGATCGCAGCGCTTCAGAACCAGCCAGAGCTCTGCAAAATGCTCCTGGCGGCCGGGGCAGACGTCAATTTACCCGACATGGATGGATTAACCGCGCTCCACGTCGCTTGCTACGAATGTCACGAAAACATCGTCGAAATCCTGCTCGACGCAAAAGCCAGCGTCGACAAACAAGACAACTCGGGACTCTCGGTTCTCATGTCCGCAGTAATTACTGGAAACGAAAGTATTGTCAAGCGAGTGTTGGCAGCGGGCGCGAGTTTAAGCCTCCTCGACGGCGACTGCAGAACCGTTCTCAGTCTGGCCGCGCAGCAGGGGCACGTCAACTTGGTCAAAATGTTTTTGGAAAAGGGACTGGACGAGTCGCACTCGGACAACATCGGCTGGACGCCGCTGCACTTGGTCGCGGCGGAGAACCACGTCAAGTGCTGCGAAGCTCTGCTAGAATTCCGAACGAATCCGGACCAGCGAGACAACGACGGACGAACGCCGCTGATCGTCGCGGCGATGGAAGGCCACACGGAAATCATGAAATCGCTGCTCGACGCGGGAGCAGACCCAGACATCCAAAGCTACGAAGGTTTCAGCGCGCTGCGCTTCGCGACGCTGGACAATCAACTCGAATCACTCAACATCCTCGTCGACGCAATGGCGGACGTGGACAGCATCGATCCAGATGGAAGGTCGATTTTGTACTCGTGCGTCTTGGATCAAAACGAAAAAATGGCCAAAGAGATTTTGCGGCAGGGAGCGGATCCTGAATCGCAGGATATGGAGGTAAGTTCGTTCTAATGCGCTCACCAGGTTTTTTATGGAGAAAATTGAGGGTTTTTTTCTTTCTAAAGATCTTAATGAATTTTCAGGGACGACGGCCGATCCACGTGGCCGCCTGGCAAGGGATGACTTCGATCGTGAAAATGCTGATCGAACACGGTGCGGATCCGAACTCGATCGACGCGGAAGGAAGGACAGCGATGCAAAACGCTTCTTGGCAAAATCACGTGAGCGTTGTCGAGCTACTCGTCGCCAAAGGAGCCGCGATCGATCAATTCTGTCACCAAGGGGCAACTCCGCTCTGCGTCGCCGCCCAAGAAGGACACATCGAGACTTGCGAGGCGTTGATCCGTCTTGGCGCGGATCCGCACCAGCCGGACAATTGCGGACGAACGCCACTGCGCGTCGCGGAAAAAGCTGGTCACACGGCCCTGCTGAAAATTCTCAAATCCGTTCAGTCGCAATTTTCGCCGATTGTTCCGATCAAACCAGTCGAGCATTCGGCCTTCAGCAAATCGAATCAGGCTGGCTCGTCGATCAACTCGGGAAAGATCTCGCAGGCGGAGTCGTCCGGCTTCGTTTCCGATCAAAACCAAGAAATCATCAATTCGCCGAGAAACAAAAAGAAACAATCCGTGCTGCAGAAGAAGCTGAACGCGGCTCAATACGATATGACGAACAGAACGGAGTCCGAATGCGAATACAACTTCGCCGACGAGATCAAATCACTTACACTTCCAAAATCATTCAGAAGGTGATAATCTACAGTAATACCAGTATAGTAGTCATCTAGGGACATCTACAAATGTCTAGGGACATCTTCAAATGCCTACAGACATCTGTAGACATCTAGAAATAACTGTGCACATCCGTAGACATTTGTAGACATCTACAGATTTCTGTTAATATCTTTGGACATCAGTTTACATCTAGAGGGAACTAAAGACTACTTCAAACATTAAGAGATCAATAAAGACATTTGAAAAAGTCAACAGACATTTGGAGACATCTGTGGATCTTTTTTTAATTCTTTTCAGATCGACAATGAAATTAAACGAGCTAGACACTGGCGAAAGTACGAGAAAGCCGACGAAAACGAAGAATAACTTGATAAAAGTCATCACAGAAGATAATAGCAAAAATTCCGAGAAAAGTTCAATTTCACTCAATTCCAGTCACGCATCTAAAGGTTTCCATTCTCCACGAGTTCCACACTTTTACCTTGCTTTTTCAGTTTCGAATTCAAATCTGAGCAGCTCTTTCCAAAACGGCAGTATCAATCAAAGCGCAAATTCAATAACGTCGTCGAATTGCACGACTCCGGCGAAAAGCTCCGAAAGCGGGGCGAAGATGAGGCGATCGAATTCGATGAAAGGGCGCATTTCGCAACTTTCGAAAAGAGTTTCGAAAATCAGGTAAAGACGCGTTTCTGAAATTGGTGCTAAAAGTTGCGATAGTTTAAACTTCAAAGCGGACAAGTCGACGAATTCGGACGATTTGAGCGAAGATGTGCTTAGTTTCAAGCGGTGTACTGACAAGGCGCGGATTAACCTTGCTCCGGCAGTCAATCCGCATCAGCTCTCGACAAACAAGGTAAGAATCACAGTAAAACACAGTTTAGAGTAAACTTCAATGTCTCTTGCTGCTAGAAATGTCCGGTATTGTCTACAGATGTCCCTAGGATGCAGAGAAATGTCTATTTGTCAGTAAAGATGTCGATTAATTTCTTCAATGTCCACAAATGTTCCTGGATAACGGCAGACGACATTTACCATCATGACATGAATAGACATTTCAATACATTTCAGGGACATCTGTAGACAAGAAGCGACATTAGTACACAGTTTCAGCAACAGACGTCTTTAAATAACGCGAAATATCAACTGTAGACATTCAAGGCTATATCTAACTGTATTCTTCCCAGACACCGATCACAGAGAAGCTACCGGCTTACATGATCCCAAGCGGGAACGAAGCTCAAGAAACGATGGAATTCGAATGCGACAAACGCACGGCAGCGCGCCTCCACGTCGACCAGATGATCAGCCAGTCTCTGAGAAGAGCGAAAAGATGATAAAAATGCATTTCGCTGATTCTAAAAGTTTGGATCTGAATTCTGTTCGCAACTCTTTGCACTCTTCTTTATTCACAAATAATATTAATATTCCAACTCACGGCCCTGTAACGAGTCTCACGCTACGATTGCTAATTTATTCCGACTGTATAAACGCAAGTTAATACATTACACATCTCCTGACTTCCAAAGGAAAAACAAAAATGATACTGATAGAGACATCTGAGGCGATCTTTTGGCGTCTTCTGACACTTTGAGATATTTACAGATGTTTTTACTGATATTTTCACATCTATCATCTTCACTAGATATATGATGAGATTAAGAGACATCTGTCGATGCCTATAGGTACCTAAAAATTTTAAAAACCTCCTAAGACTTCTATAAACATCTATATACATTTAACGACATCTATAAATATCTGTAGACATCTATAGGTTTGAATAGACATGGATAGACATCTTCAGTTGTCAGCAGAACTCTTTAGACATCTGAAGATATCTACTTTTTCTGTAGACATCTTCAGACATCTTCAGACATCAACAGACATCCACAGACATTTGAAGAAGAAGGAAGATGGCTTTTGAGCTATTCTATCAGTATCATCGAGTATTAGTTAATTTTTTAGGTAAAATAATTTATTATCAATACATAAAACATACAGAACTATTACAGGTGCATTTAAATTATCATTATAGTATAAAACACAGGTTTCTTTTTGAATTCATGAAGCAGCTTCTCCGATAAGCGCTGAAACATCTAGGGCAGGGCCGACAAAATCGTAGAACTCGACGAAAGACAAATCTATTGGCGCCGTATTTCTAACCAAAAAACCGGTGTCGCCGGCGATGACGCTGCACTCGGAAAAGATGCTGTGCGCGACGTGTGCTTCGTAGTGCGGGCTGTAGTGGTTCGGGCTTTGTTTTTTCTCGAGGAGCTCGTCGACGCTCCAGATTTTGAGCTTGCTCTGCGGGACGTAGAACCAGTTGGCGACGTGAGCGACCAAGTATCTCCCGCTCAAGTAGGCCACGCGGAAGTCTTCCTCGGCTTTGTATTTCAAAAGCGTCGTTTTCGTCTTCTTCTGGAAATCGAAGAGATCGATGCTGACTACTCCCTTCTCGGTTCTGTGGAAGAGAACGCTTTCGTCTTCGTACATTTGCGGAGCGATCGAAATTGGACTCACGCGGAAGTAGTCATCGAAAGCTGAAAGAAGGGTAAGACATTTTGGGACATGAAACGACATTTCTAAGGTAAAAGAAATCTTAAGACATTAAAGCATGTCTAGAGAAAATATGATACATGCGCTGACATCTACCGAGATCTCATAGTGTCCACAGACATTTCTAGATATCAACAGATAGCTGAAGACATTTACAAACATTCTAAGACATCTAGAACTATCTGAGAGACATCTTCTGGCAACTTTGATCAACAGACATTTAAAAAATACTCACAGGATAGATCCAGCTGTTTCCATTCGCTTCCATCGTCGGAAAGCTCAAAAGCAGATGTTTTAACTCGGAGATTGTGGTTCATGTGACTCGTGTGCTCCAGAAAGCAGTACTTTCCAAAGACACAGTAGGAGAAGGGGACAGTATCGACGCGGACTTTCTCGTCGAAGAAAACTCGGCCGCCGCCATTTTTGCTGAAAACGAACGTTTGGTAGAGATCGTTGAGTTCTGTGGATTCGCGTTCGACGACCGACTCGATCATCGAGTGGTTGGGAAAGAGGTAGATGAGGTTTCCGTTGTAGCTCGCTACTGTACTATCATCGATAATCAGCCGCTTGCCAAAATGGTTTCGCAGGAAGAAATCGCAATCTGGAATTTTCTTGATTTCGCGATTCTCAATTGTGAAGATTTTAAAGTGAATCCGTCTTTTCGAAGGTTGTTTTTAGACAGCGGTAGTCTACAGAGTAGAAATTTGTAGACATTTGGACATTGGAGCTATTCTTAGACATCTGAAGACATCAACAAGCATCTGTTGTTTGAAACAACCTAGCCTAGATTCGTCGATAAGTTTCGCCGAGATAATAAATTCGAAAATCCTCATCGTAAAGTCGATATCCACGAATTCAGCCTCCTCGCATTGATGGACCTTTTCTAGCGTTCTTCTGTCCAAAAGACACAGTTTAAAATCGTCGCTGACTGCTACGAGCTCGGGATAGTCGGGACTTTGGTAAACTAGCTTCGGAAGTTCGTTTCGGTAGAAATGTCTTACTAGCAGATTTTTCAAAGAATACTGCAAGAAAAAGAAAGATGAAAAAACCGCTTCCTTTGGGCTTCTTCAATTTGATATAAGAGCAAATACTCTTGGCGACGACGTAGTCCGAGAGACACATCTGCTTGTGAGCGATTCGTTCGAACTCGTCCTTCATAATCAAAGGCAGCTCTTCTTTCTTCAGCAGTCGTTTCTGCCAAAGGGATGGCCAGGGGTAGTCGATGAAGTCCCATTCGTGTATCTCCGACATTGATTCAATCGTTTTGTCATCGAGGAAATTGAGGATCTTCTCCAGAATATGCGGCGTTTCAACAGCAAGTCTGCTAACTACGTCCATCTACCCTGAAAACAGGAATCAGGACCCTGACTCAGGTCTCAACACAGGAAAGGTAAGCGAACTCACTGACAGGTTGAAATTTGTATCGAAATTGATATATTCTAGTTGTGATTTTGAATAATTAAAATAGCAGAATTGCAGAACTGAATTTCAAGAACATAATTGCCGATTGGCTGAAAAAGGTGATATACAGTGTCGATAATTAAACTGTAGATTGGCGTACTTTGAGACTGTTGAGTAGACTGTACAGTAATTTACACATACAGGCAGTGCCAATGATTGAAACATGGAAAGAGAGCACCCCTGATTCAAAGGTGCCGTAGACCAATTGCCGCTTCGATTTGACGGATGTACTTAAATTGACAGTAATTTGCTGGCTTTGGTAAATTTTGTACCTTTGGCTGAAGAGGTAGAAGGTTTTGTTGCCTGGTGAACTGGTGGCAAACGCCTGGGCAAATCGTGTTTTCTGGAGTCCGAGTTAGATTCAAGCCGGGAGAAGTGCACTTTGAACCGACTTTTTCTTCCGATTTTAAAACGGGGAGGACGTGGCCTTCTGTCGAGAAAATCCACTTTTCGGATTTGTGGAGCGGATTTTCAGCGTCAAACAGGAGCTAAAAGGATTCTAGAGATGTGGAAATGGCACATGTGGGTTTATGGGTTTCGCATCCATTCGAACTATCAAAGTGAACTTACGTATAAATATTTGACGGTTTCTGCGAGAAAGAAGGATTCCATTCTGTCTTCCAGAGTTCTGTCCAGCACAGAATGCAGCGTCGCGAAGCCGCATTCAGTCTTCATGTTTCTCTCGATCGAATTGAGCAGCTCTTTTCCCACGTGGAGGTAAAACGGGCTCTTTGTCACTCGGTAGAGGTGATATGTGCTGAAAATGGGTAAGGTGAAATCAGCTGCTAAAATGGTCCTTTTTCGAGTTTATCGAATCATGGGTTGTTCAAAAACTCTTCCTGATTAGGAAAAAACCAAGGTAAAACCAACTAAAACCATCTAAAACTATTGAAAACCAGCTAATATCGTCTAAAACACTATCTAAAATCAATCTTTTCTTATCGAAAACGGTCTTAAACATCGACTAAACACAGAAAACCCACATAAACTCACCTCTAGAATCTAGAAGCACTAAAAAAACTTACATGTTCGATGTTCTTTTCAAACCCCTGTTCATTCAATCCATATTCATAAATCCAATTTTCATGTGTTACCTTTCAATAAGCTCAGGCCGCAGCGGATAGAAATGGACAATCGACGAAAGTTTATTCCAATCAAATCGTTCTGGAAAAGCGTCGAACATTCTCCAAATCGTAAAGTACAGAAAATGAAGGCAGACGGCTTCCTCGACATCGCCAGAAAGCGTCAGAAGTCCGGGAAGGAATGCGGAAAGCGAGTCGAGCCAGGTGTTGGCGATTTCGCCGGTGGAGTAATTCACGTTCGTGAAAAACGGAACAGTCCCGTCGCCGGAGAAGCATTTTGGGCGACCTTGGCGCGCGTACTTTCGATAGGATCTAAATTTTGACGCGTTAAATCGACTTTTCCTTAAAAAGTTACCTGATGAGCTCAGTGAAGCGTGAGAACTCGACTTCGTAGCCGAACATAATGTAGCTCTTGAGCAGATATTCGGGAAAAGAATCGAAACCAGCGCCGAAGCCGGAGAAATTATTCGTCGGCAGCAGAGTTCGGGAGTCAATTCCAGACGGCCACAGTCCTGTTGTTTCGTTTCGGACTCCCCAAATGACATCGACAGCGTTGCGGGCCAAGGATAGGTAAGTGTCGTTGCCAGTTAGTTTGCTGAAATGAACAATACTTATTTCTTGAAAAATTTAGAGACATCTTGACTAGATAGAATGTCTCTAGATGTCTTTAGATGGGAATGGATGTATAATAATGTCCGCAGATGTCTACAGATGGCTGTAAATATCTGGGGATGACTCTAGTATCATGAGACTTCGATTAACATCTGACAACACTTAAGAGTATCAATAGACATCTAAAGACATCAGCAGACATTCTAAGACATCCACATAAATATTCCGTACAGCCATATATAGACATCAATAGACATCTGTAGACATTCTTAGGCTTCTAACATCAACAGCCACCCAAACACCTTTAGATATCTCCAGACGTCTGGATAAATCTTCAGATATTCAGAGACATCTGTTGATTTTCACATAAAACAGTACCTGAGCAGTCCAAATTCGAGAATAAGACTAGTCGCTGAAGCGATGGTGGTATCAGTTCTGTTGGAAGTGTGGGCAGGTCCGCCGTTGAGTTTAATCCTCGGCAAGGGGACGCCGCTGCTCGTTTCGAAAGAAGGAATGATCCGGTCGGCCAGGTCGACTGCTTTGCCGAGGAGACCGCCGTTGTATTCCGGATGCAGGTCTGGAATCATTTGCTCCGGGTCGACGATCAACGAGTGGCTGGACAACAAGGCGCCCAACACGCGAATTGTCACTTCAAAGACGTTCACCGAGTAGGGCTGGTTGAAATCGACGGACTCGACGACGAAATCGACCGCGCTTCGGAAAGACTCTTTGTCGCCCAGCAGCGCGAGCGTGTCCATCGAATCGATCAGCGTCAACGAGTAGTTGCCGAGCACGTCGTTGATGTTGATGTTTTCGGGCTTTTGGAGGTCCGGGCCGCGGCCCGCGCAGCCGATCGGGTCCAGTTCGTCGAGTGGGAAGGCGTGGGACATGTAGTTTTCGTAGCCGTGGTAGAACATCGCCCGCGCCTTTTCTTTGTAGAGAGAAAGTTCTTCTGAAGAAAAGGAAATCCATTTGTCGAACTCGCCATCGTCTTGGAAAGTTTCCCAGAACGGCGCTAGCTGGAACAAATTACAGTTAGGCTGAGAAACAGTTGTTCACCTTGGACTTGGCGGATAACGAGTCAAACCGGGAAAGCTGGGAAATCTTGGAATATGCAAAATCCACCAGCACCCCATGGAAGAGGAAAAATAAAAGCATTAAACCTTCCAAAAGGCCTTCACAAAAAAAATCAGAAAAAAAATATCAAAATTTTAATTTTTCCACAATTGTCATCGACGATTCTTTTTTTCTCTTGAATTTAGGGCCGTTCCTTGGGTAACATAAGCACGGATATTTCTTGAGAGCTGAGCCGAGTAGCTGCTCTCCATGAGAATTTAAGGCCACCATTTCTCTCGGTCAGCTTCTCCGCGCCAATCAAAGAGCGCGCCACAGCCAGACGAAGCGTTCTCCAGATTATCCTCTTTCGTTCCTCGCTTCTAGAGACGGCAGGAAGAATGAAGAGCAGCGTGGTGGAAGAAGAGCGAGCGGCGATCGAGGCGCTCATTGGCAAGTTCAAGAGCGCGGAGATTATTCAGCTTCTTTGGAAAGGAAATTGCTCGAAACTGAATTTATTGAATAGAAATTAAAATTATTAATTAGAAATTAATCAAAGAGAGAAGTTCTTATTCTTTATTTTTGAATGAATTTTAGTATAAGTGATTTTTATGTGGTTTTATAGGGTTTTTTTTACAAAAAAAACCATCAAAAAGACGCGCGAATCTCCGTAAACCCATTAAAACCCCCATAAACCAATCAAAAGGTCACATCGAAAATCAATAAACATTGGTTTTCGATTGGTTTATGTGGGGTTTCGATGGGTTTACGATGGTTTTTGATAGCATTGCGTGGTTTAAATGAATAACCGCGGAAAACCCATTGAAACCTCTTGCAAACAGAGAGATTTTAGAAGGGTTTCCGCAGTTATCCCGATCAAAACCGCCATCCAATTAATGAATTTCTCGAGCAACCAAGATCAGGATTCGGCGCAATCTACCGGGTCCAAAAAGAAGATGGCAGCACAGTGATTTTGAAGCATTTCAATTTCGCGCACGAAACTGAGCCCGAAGATGATCCAATGCCGAACGAGACGCGTTTCTTGTCATTCAAGCGTGAAATAAGTTTTTACGAAGAACTGGCCAACTTGTCCCTATCTGCCAAAGTGCCGCGGTACATCGCCAGCAAAGATATCAAGAGCGGAAAAGTGATGGCGATGGAAGATTTGGATCCGATCGGATTTCCAGCAAGGTTCAAAAATCGCTGCAATCTTTCGTTTGAGCGAGTTATTCCGATGGTAAAATGGCTGGCGAATTTTCACGCTGATTTCTGGCGCTGCGAAAAAGCAGAAAAATTAATGTGGAAAGAAGCAACCTATTGGAACATTGAAAAGCGAAGAGACGAGTTTGAACGATGCAAGGAGAAGGAATTGGATCTGATCAAGTTGGGAGAAAAAATTGATCGGATCATTCACGAGGCGAAGCACAAAACTCTGATCCATGGGGACGGGAAAGTGGAGAATTTCTGCTTTTCTGAAGATGGAATGGATGTTGCTGGCATTGATTTTCAGTGGAGTGGCATGGGAAAGGGTTGAAAAGGAGACTATCAGAACTTGAAAGAACTAGACTAGGTCTGTTAGAACTTTGCTTTGTAAAGTTAGAATCTGGGCTCAGCAACCTGAGTAGAAAACCTGAGTCAGGCCCTGGAAGAGCTAAAATGAAAAGCCGCGTAGCGGCTTTTTTAAAAGCAAAGCCGCAAAGCGGCTTCGCAAATAAACCATATAAATTTTCTATAAGCTCCTGGCGAACACGCTTTGCGGCTTCCCTTTTAAAAAAGCCGCTACGCGGCTTTCCATTTTGGCTCTTCCAGAGCCTGACTCAGATTTTCTACTCAGGTTGCCGAGCCCAAGTTAGAATAAGGAGTCTTTCAATGATCCTCCTTGTTTTCACTCTTTTGAAAAAGGCGTCGGAACAACTGATTTGTACTACTTACTGACGTCCTGTTACGAAGAATTTTCGCGCTACGACGAAATAGTGGACGAGTACTTCAAATTCTTCCGAAAAGCGATGGAAGGAAAGCCAGAAGTGGACGAGATCGAGCGAGAGTGGCGCTGGCTCTGGCCATTTATCGTCGCTGATTTCGAACGATTCCTGATTACTTGGAATCCGACGCATTGGAAAAGAAATGAATATTCTGCGCAACAGTCGAAAATTGCTGTGGAAATGATACGAAATTCCTCGAATAATCTTAGTTGAAAAATATTAATATTAAAATTGCTAGAATTTTAAATTACTAAAAGACGACATTACTGTAATGAAGCCAAAACTCTTAGACTGGTCAAAAACTAAAGAGAAATGTCGGGCGTGGACATGAAACTAGACGACTGGAATCAACGATGGGTCGACAAGCGAACCGGTTGGCATAAAAGCGAAGTTAATCCAACACTGGAGAAGTATTTTCCAACTGATGCAAAGCCCGACACTTTCTTCCCGCTTTGTGGAAAGACTTTGGACATGATTTGGTAAGACTTAAAACAGCGAAAAGGATGAAAAAAGAAATTTTTTTCTAGGGTAGCTGAAAAAGGATGCAAAGTCCGCGGGGCTGAATTTTCGCAGCTCGCGATCGACCAATTTTTCGAAGAAAACAGCATTGAAAACAAGGAAGAAAACGGCTTCCGCCAGTCAACTTCGAAAAGCCTCGATATTGGATTGAAACAGGGCGATTTCTTCGAGTTCCCGGAGGGTGAAAAGTTTGCATTAATTTTCGACCGTGGGAGCATGGTCGCTGTCAACCCTTCAGACCGCGAAAAATATGCTGAGAAAATCAAGAAGTTGCTTCGCAGCGATGGGAAAGTGCTGCTCTCGGCGATTTCCAGGTCGGGTTTTTAAGTTTTATCGCTGGTTAGATTCATTCTCATTCTGGGAAGCGATATAAAGAGTGCCGAAATCGAAGTCTTCATTTCAAATTCAGAGACGAGGAGCACTTGAAAAACGGGCCGCCATTTCATCTGACCCTGGAAGATGTCAAAAACGCGTATGAGAAGATAGGAATGAAAGTGAACCTTCTCGGCACTTATGAAGACCGCTCCAGTCTTGAGCGACTTGGGCTCATTACCATCAATGAAATTGAGATTACTTTTTAGAGGACTGTTAATTTTCTGCCTTCACTTCTCGATTATCAAAAATTCAGATTTTTCTTTTTGAGTTTTATTCTGACTTTTCTTCAAGGGTTTTTTTAATGAGGCCCTTATTTTAAATCACCAAAAAATGATACATCTTCCTTCTAGTACTTCGTTCGGGATATGAATCTTCACCCCCTTAAATTAAGAGTCAATGTTAAGAAGTCTGGGGCGACTTAATCGCTGTCGAATGAGTGGTAAATCGGGACTGAGCGTTGAAGACTGGTCAAATGCCTGGGAAAACGACGTTACTCCTTGGCACGTGTCCACAGTCAACTCTGTCTTCGAAAAATACTTGAAGAGCAAATACTTGCACGCTGAAGAGAGCAAGAAACTCAGCTGCTTCTTTCCCCTCTGCGGCAAATCCATCGATATGCTTTGGTAAAAAAAAAAACTCTTCCTTGATTTCAAATTTCCAAATTTAACCTTCAGGGCGGCGAAGCAAGGCTGCCTGGTCCGCGGCTCCGAATTCTCTCAAAAAGCGATCGACGAATTTTTCTTCGAAAACGCGATCGAAACCTCGCACTTCGGCGGCTTCACCAACTCCGAAGAAGACTCGCTCAACATCAGCTTGCGGCCGGGGGACTTCTATCTTTACCCAGAAGACGAGAAGTTTGAGTTCATTTTCGACCGTGGGAGTATGGTCGCGATTGACCCAAACGATCGGGAGAAATATGCGGAGAAGATTTTTAATCTACTTCAAGATGGCGGGATTGTTCTCTTGGAAGCGATTCTTAGGTAACGTTTTTCTTTTATATTTTTTAAAGAAAATTTCAGGGATGAGTCGGAGATCGCCAACGGGCCGCCATTTCACTTGACCTTGGAGCAAGTTAAATCGGCTTACGATCAATTCGGGCTCAAAGTCACTGAACTAGAAACGCGCCACGCAACCCAAGCTGGACACGGTCAATTCACGCTGCTCTACCTTCAAATCTCCAAATAGCTCCTTCTATATATTTTCCAATCTGTCTTCTAGCGCTTTAATTTCGCTCCACGACGTACTTTTTCTAATCCGCTGTATTAACACTTTTTCCGGATCGGATTAAAACTACACCCTTTTCTTTATTTTCCTTGTTGATTTCAATAAAAAAAATCATTGTGACGCTGCGTATCTCAGCTAAGCATTTCGGCAGTATTTTTATTGCGGCGAGAAAAAAAAGGAACCGCGCTTCTCGGACGAAACGAAACGGGAAATGTGTAAATGGGCAGATTATCCTTTCAAGATTTTGTATGGATCCCCTTCGGGCAGATTATGCGAAGCTTTATGTTTTCCTCGGATATCATCAGCGCCAGGCACGAATAAGCCAGTCAGTAGCGGATTATTATGGCAGAGAAAGAACCACCTGTTCCTCCTTCCAGAAAGTCCATTTGCAGGTAAAGCAGGCGACAAACCAAGGACCTCTTGACTCTCAGTGAAAAATTCTAGTGCATAAGAGGATACACATAAGATCAGTTAGAGTCTACTTTCAAATGAGCATTGACTTTTTTAAGAAAATTCATAGGAATAATTAAGGGTATCATAGATACCTGGGCTCGGCAACCTGTGTAGAAAACCTGATTCAGGGTCTGAAAGATCTTTAATGAAAAGCCGCGTAGCGGCTTTTTTAAAAACGAAGCCGCGAAGCGGCTCCACCAACTTATCATTTCAATAAGTTGCAAAATTCTGGCGAAGCGTTTTTAAAATAGCCGCTACGCGGCTTTTCATTAAAGATCTTTCAGACCCTGACTCAGATTTTCTACACAGGTTGCCGAGCCCAGATAGATACCAAGTTTGACAAAATAAAAAACCTCAATAAAGTAACTTTACTACAAAAAAAAACTAAAAGTTCAATGATTTACTCAAGAGAACTTGAGCTTTTCAAGCTTGCTGAGCTTCTTCTTTATTTTGTAATTGAAACGTCGACAGTTGATGATTGAAATTTTGACTGATGGAATTAAGAGAGTACGAACTCAAGCCAGAAAAGCCAGAGCGTCCGAAACGGCCGCCGCTTCCTTCCAGAGCGGCAAGTTTCAACATTCCAAAGTCATGCGGCATCCAGTCGAGTTTGCCTTACAAGTCGCTGGCGCTGAACGATATTCCCAGCGCGGTGCTGAACGAAGCAGTTCAACCAGGAATGAACGCCGCTTCCACGCCGCGTTCTAGCGTCGAGAGCAATTCCAGCACGATTTCTTCGGAACACAGCAATAACGAGGCAGGCGTCAGCGAACAACTGCGCAGATTCCAGTCAGTTTTCAAGGTTCAAATGGGCCATCTTTCGAATGCCGTTGAAAATGGCAAAAGAAATACAGAAAAGGAAATTCTTCTTTTGAGGTAATCAAGGTTTTTAAAATTTTAATAAGGCAGTGAATATTAGTAAATAAGATTTTTGTGCAAACTTATGTCTCCACTTAATAAAACACCCTTATTTTGGGGTGGCTCTGGAACCGACAAAAGAATTTCGACAAATTTTGCGTGGAAATTTTCAACCAATCAGAAGCCTGGATTCGGCAAACTGGCCAATCAGCAGCTGAGTAGTCGCCGACAAAAAATTTGTCGAAGTTTTTTTGTCGGTTCCAGACACCACCCCTATTTTTTCCAAGCTTTAGGGACTAAAGCCTTTTTTTTAGGAGTAAACTTGAAGAAGCCCAACTGAACGAGAAACGAACACAAACTCTGCTCAGCGCTGCTCTCAGAAGGTTCGTTTTCTGCTTCCAACTCTTTTTTCGAAATAATATTTTCATTCATTCAGAGAGGCGGGCTTGGAAAAAGAAGTAGCGAAGCTAGAGGATCAGATTGACCAGCAAAACTCGCTGCTCGATGTTTCCAGGGACGCGACGGATGAAAACTTGAACCTTCGACTTCAGCTGGACGAGCTCAAGCTGGAAAATACGAGATTGACGGCGTTTGAAAAGCTTGGAAACTGCTCGATATGCGTCGAGGAAAGGATAAAACATTCTATAGTGGGGGATCCTAAAATGCCCCCTCGAAGAGAATCCCCAAATAGGTGTAACTTCGTAATTGCCCATTTTCATTGTTGATTCAACTTGATTCATTTCTTTATCCTTCAAAAAGAGCTTCGACGATTCCGAAAAGAAGATGAGCTGCCTGAGCGTTTGCGGGCACATGCTTTGCTCTTCCTGCGCTTCCAAAGGCGACACTTGCCCCCACTGTCGGATCGAATTCACTGCTACTGATGTTTTGCACCTTTTCCCTTCTTAGCTCAACAACCCTCTTCTTTCATCTTCTATTTCGCAGAAATTTAATAAAAGTTGTCTTTTATGTTTGCAAAAAAAATCATTTTCAAGTTATGATTTTGGGAATGAGTCATTCCGAATGACATCAAAAGATAGTAAAAAGACTTTTTATATTTTAAAATATTACAAAAAAAAAGCAAGGCAATGTTTGTGTGATTCTTTTGTTCAGTTCGGGTGTTGCAGTTAGGGTCTTCTTGTTTTTCAATCATCGTATCCTTCAAATCTCGTGCCTTGAAATTATTCATTTCATTATTCATTCAAATATTTCTTCTACTACCTTTTGCTTGAGCAGGACGAGAATGATCCGGAACAAGAGTGTTTCTTCGCAACGTATCCAAGTTTCCACTACTTTTGTCTTGAAAATAGATCATGAAACGCCACATGATTCTAGAGCCCCTACTTTTTTCTTGAAACATGCACAAGCGCAGCAAGCAGCCCAGCAGTCGGCGCAGCAGAGTCTCAGCAAGCAAAGAATGATTATCAAAATCTAAAAAGAAACATTCGGTGGCGCTATTGGCCCTTTTCTTACGATGATGATGATCAGGACGATTATAAGCCAGATCCACCAGCAATCGAAATAGCTGTTTTCGTAGCACTTTCCTCCGCTAGAATCACGTGGCGTCGTGGTGACGGAAGGTCGATTCTTAATTATTTTCATAAATGAGAAGCTTCTCTTTTAATTCCAGTTACAGTGACGGTAAATCCACCGCAGCCTTCACATGTTCCCTTTACTTCAGCGCTGACGCCACATTTGTCGCCGCAAAGGACTATAAATGAAGTTATTGCCGAGCGTAGGGCTTTTCAAACCTTGTCGATCTCCGCATTTCGGATCCATCATAACATTCATCGGATTTCCATAAGCGTCGAAGCAGCCGCGCTGTCGAATGACGACGCAATCCGCATCGCAGGTATCCTGACTTTTGCACTTGTCCGCGGAGCAAGTCGAAGCATCCCAGCTTCCCCACTGCCCCCACTGGAAGCAGTTTGTTTCGTCCAAGCCGTTCGAGCAGTCGCGCTGGCCATTGCAGATCTGTTGCTGGTCGATGCATTGCGTGTTGGGGTTGTTTGCGTCGCAGCTGAATTGGTTCATGCCGCAGACTACACTGATCGCGGGTTAGCTCATTTTCTTCTATTTGCTTAGTTCTAGGGCTAGATTTGGTAACGAAGAAAACCTGAGTCAGGGTCTGACTCAGAATTCAAAAAATGATTGGAATAAAGAACTGAAATGAAAAGCCGCGCAGCGGCTTTTTAAAACCAAGCCGCGAAGCGGCTTCGCTAATATTACCATTGAAATCTATCGCCAGAATTTTCGATAGATTGGAATGATAATTTCGCGAAGCCGCTATGCTGCTTCGTTTTTAAAAAGCCCCTACGCGGCTTTTCATTAAAGCTCTTCAGACCCTGACTCAGGTTTTCCGAGCTCAGCTGTTGGGTGCACATCGAAAACATTTCGAGCAATTTCGGAAAAAGAAATCATAATTAACCCTTCTGCATTGGACTTCGTCAATTCCATCGAAGCAATCTTTCACTCCGTCACAAGTGTTCTGAGTATTGGCACAATTGAACTGCGCCTCGGAAGCAGTCCAGAAAGCTGCAAAAGCGCCGCTCTCATTTCCAATAAGTCGAAATTCGCGAATTAAAGTCTCTTTCTCTGCTCGCTGCTTCAAGAATTTATCCAAGTGAGACACAATATCAGCCGCGTCCACGAGCCTCTATCAACTGGAGTCCTCAGCCGTAACGCTTCCCATGGCCACTACTGAAGCATTTTACGGATGCCAGTCTGATGATTCTAATAGATCATTCATCATCACGAGTCCAGCCAGTTTCAAATTTTCCTTAAATTTTAAACTTCAACTTTTATAAAGAAAAATTTATCAGAAAACCCAAATTTCGCTTCGAGAGAAGAATTAGGGGGGTCACTTCGTTAAAAGGAGAAAATCAAATTCGCTATTAGGGGTCTATCCCCTTAAATTAAGGGGTCCTTAAATAAAACTTTTGGTGATCTTTTGGCAATTGGTCGATTCAATTATTCCATTTATCTCAAATAATTCATGATCGTTAAAAAAATGATGCCCAAAAACGCGACAATTTCAAAAAACGCTCGTCAAAAACACAAAAATGGACTTTAGAGATTCTGAACAACACGATTTGAGCTTGAAAATTTTGCTTATCGGCGACTCTGGAGCGGGTTTTTCGAAGCTTTTTGCTGTTTTTTTAATTTTGATTTCAGGGAAGACATCTTTGCTGCTGCGCTCTTCGAATAACAAATTTGAGTCTTCCATGATTGCGACGATCGGAATCGACTTTAAAATAAAAACAGTGGTGATTGACGGGAAGAGAATAAAGCTTCAGGTGTGGGATACGGCTGGGGCAGAGCGATTCAGGACAATGACGCAGTCTTATTACAGGTTTTTCTTTTCAATAAGGGACGCTAAAGTCTAGACTCTAGACATCACTCGCGCAGAGAGGTTTTTCGGAGTTAGCAAACTGACACCCTTATTTTATGATAACATTCTACGCCTGGGCTCGGCAACCTGAGTAGAAAACCTGAGTCAGGTTCTGGAAGTCTCGTAGCGGCTTTTTTAAATCGAAGCCCCGAAGCGGCTTCGCAATTAAACCATTTAAATTTTCTCTTTATTCCTGGCGAAGCCGATTTGCGGCTTCGTTTGAAAAAGCCGCCATGCGGCTCTTCATTTAAGCTCTTCCAAAGCCTGACTCAGGTTTTCTACTCAGGTTGCCGAGCCCAGGCGTAGAATGTTATCATAAAATAAGGGTGTCGCTGGATTAACTCTAAGAGAAAACTAATAGTAGGTGCGAGAAAAACTGAGTAAGTTTAACAATGATTTCATATTTTTAGAGGTTCGAATGGAATAATGTTAGTTTTCGACATGACGAGCGAAAAGAGCTTCGAAAACGTTTCCTACTGGCTGGAAAGTATCCAAACGCACGCGCCGGAAGACATCACTGCCGCCCTCGTCGCGGCCAAATGCGACTGTGAGGACCGAAGAGCGGTTTCAAAGCTGCGAGCACAGCGCTTCGCAGATCAAAACAGAATCAAGTATTTTGAAACTTCTGCGCAGGAAGGAATCAACGTCGAAAGCACTTTTCTCGAGGTAAAAATTACTTAAGCTAACTTCTTTCTTGAATCTCAATTTTTAGCTTGCGAAAGATATTCTGAAAAAGGACACGCTGGAATTGGAAAAGTCAGAAGGCGAAAACGTAGTCCTGGATCTTCAACGACCTGTTGTCCCGCCGAGGACACGAAGATGTTGCTAGACTCCAGCTGCTAGATATTTTTACCAATTTTATCTTTTCAAAAATATATTTGTTTTCGACCTTCTTTTTCGTATTTGCTGCCTTTTTTGATTCTTTCCTATAAAAATTATTAATCAGAAGCTCTGAGCTACTGGACCTGTTGAAGCTAATTTGAATTGATCTTCTGTAATAAATCACGACAAAGCTTTTACAGGCGAGAAGATGCAGAGAGAAAATCAGGAGCCATTGTTCCTCGCAAAAAAGTGTTTCAAACCAAAAATGCGGTCAATACTGTCTTTCGAAGCGCATTAATTCGGAAAAGTAAAAACGGCTTTTGCCAATTTTAAATTGAAATCAAAAACGATGGACGAAAACGAGTTTTATATCGACCAGGCGATAGAGAATTACTTGGTCGAGACGAACATTTCCGGGCGGATCCCAGGTAGAAGATCCCAGCTTTAATTGATGTTTGCTGATGATTGAAATTACAGTCATTCACAATGATAACACGATGCAAACGCAGGACAAAGTGCGAATGGCAATCTTCATTCTTTTACCGGTAAAGTTCACTGAAAGAGGGCGCTATTTTCGAATTAAAAAGAGACACCCTTAAATCATCGTCTTTCCTATCTCATTTTCTCTTTCAACTGAGTGGAGTCCACTCAGTGGACTTTCGATCTAGAAAAGTTGCAATTAGAATTGGTACTGATCAATTTTTCTATAATGTAGCTAGAATTGGTCTGGTACCAAACTTTATTCTCGGTTAGGGATTAGGGTTAAGGGCTGAGAGTACCTACTAGGGGGTCCCCTGGGTTAGGCTTTAGGGGAATAAGGCCCATAACTGCCATAATTCTAGCCAAATTATAGAATAATTTGTCCGTTACCAATTCTAATTGCATAAATCCTCGATCTCTTGTAGACTTTCCTTCTCATATTTGTTGCCTAAATTTGGAGTTCCTTAGCGTCCATCTTCGGTAAATAAAATAAACACAATTACTAGCTCGAGTGGTTTTGTCTCCCTCTATTGGTCATTTTCATATTGGGTATAAAACCTGTTGGTCGTCGCGAAAAGGGCAGGTTTTAAATTTATTTTCCGAGAATAAAATGCTTCATAATGTAATTTTCGATTTAAACGCTCAATTGTATTGCAAATTTTTCCGAAAAAACTGAAACTTGATTTGACTCTGACTCTAATTTGAATTGATTTTTGTAATAAATCTCAACAAAGCTTTTGCTCACGGGAAACCTCTTGTGTCAGAGAAAGTGATTTTTGTGAACTTTAAAGCCGCAATGCGGTCAATTCTGTCGTTTGAAGCGCATTTATACGGAATTTGAAAGTGAAAAAGTTTCATTTTCAAAAGATAAAAATCGAAAAATGAACGAAAATGAGATTTACATTGATCAGGCAATAGAGAATTATTTGACGGAGACGAACATTTCTGGCTTGATTCCAGGTAGAGGGAGTTTAAATTCACGATTCTTTTTTATTGCAATTACAGTCATTCACAATGATAACTCGATGCAAACGCAGGACAAAGTGCGGATGGCGATCTTCATTCTTTTACCGGTAAAATTGAAAGAAACGGACTAACAGGAGGAAATATTGTCGAACCGAATTTTAGTACTGAATTTTCTTACGGAGTAAAGAAAGTGACTCCCCTATTTTTTCTTACCGATTTTGATTCTCAACGTTTTTCTAGGGGTTTGTGCTGCTGATGTCGCTGGCATACTTGGTCTTCGACTTCAGCGGCTACTTCAAATATCTGTTCCGCTTCTATTGCCCCCACTGCTGCCCGAATTCGAAATCGAGCGCTCAAGAATACTACGAGGAATTCGTCGAAGATCCCGTTTCTCGCCGGCGCATTCATAGGACATTTTTTCAATCAACAAAATATTTTTTCTTTTTCCAGAAACATTTAAAAATCAAAAGAGACATCACTCCGCAGATTCCGTCTACGATGTCAACATGTTTAATTTTCTTGAAACTGTCAAATACAAATACAGCAATGTCTAAATTTCAACAATAATTTAAGCCCCGAGCGTCTATGTTATCACTTCAAGAATTCGCTGGTTTCAGAAACCTGAGTCAGGGTTAAACTCTTCAATAATTGAATTTATTTCGACCAGATTGATCTTGTCAACGAATCAGTAGCTCTTGCGATCATTTTTATTCCTTCTTCGTCAACGTTACTAAAATCACGCGTTATTTTACGATCTCCTTTCATTTCGAGGAGCGACGGGTCGAGCTGGAATACGCGCCTACCTCCGAGAATAATCGCTATCGCTACTAGCGTCAGAATCGCGTAAACAGAAGCGCACAAGACCACTGCTCTGGGGATCTTTCGGATGTCCGGCGGAGTCGCGTTTGGATGCACTCCTCTTTTTCAAACGGCTTTGAATTGAAACTGAAAACGTCTCTACGAAAATTTTTAAACCGTTTTTGCCCATTTCTCGCTCGATTGAGAGTCGCTTCCAAGTCGATGCTCATTTGCGAGCGGCGCCGTAGCTCTTCTTCGTCCAGTTCTACTTGTTGATTTTGCATTTTTCGAGTTCTCTAATTCTCTAGCTGGAAAAAAATAAAGTGACTTTTCGGTTGAAAAGAGCCTGACGTTTTAAAGAGCGCTCGAATGCTACCGAAGGAGATTTCCAAAAACAGAAACGAGCTGTTTTTTCTTGCTCTCCTGGGTTCGGCAACCAGTGAAGAAAACCTGAGTCAGGTTCTGAAGAGTTTCGATGAAAAGCCACGTAGGGGCTTTTTTTAAACGAAGCCGCAGTTTTAGATTTAAGTTCTTCAGAACCTGACTCAGGTTTTCTACACAGGTTGCCAATCCTTATATCTCCCGGAAATGATAAAATCTGAGCAGATTGGGATAATCATCATTGTCCAGCTTTCATCATTTTCGGTACTGTTAGGTCAAAGGAACTAGCTGTCAAAGCTGCTTGTAAATTATAAAAAAGCAATTATATCTATTTTTTTTTATCAAAAAAGTGCTCTGAAATTTTTGCTTAACTGATGCATTTTTCCATAAAACTAATTGCATCGTGGCTTGATATTTTTTTATTACAGCTTGGAATTAGTGAGAAAGTGAGCAAGGCGAGGGTTAACGGGAATGAATGGTTAACTGGATGATCTTGGCCTTTGCCTCCCGAGTCGCTTCAGCATCTGCGGCCATCGCACGTTGCATCTGAATATAATTTTGAAAAGAGCCTATTACAAATGTTGCTTTTGGAAAGTCCTCTTACTTGTGCCGGAAGAACAACATCTTTGAGCTCGACGCGTTCAACGCAAATTCCCCATGGATCTGTAGCACTGGTAAGAGCTTGCTGGATTTCGTCGCTGATTGACTCTCCCTCAGAAAGAACTTCTGTCAATGTTCGAGTGCGCAAGGTGTTTAGGAGAGTTACTTGTGCCAGAAGTCTCTGACAATTTTGATTATCATTTTTTCCAAGTTTGAGGAACTTACAGTAGAATGATCAGAATTCTCCACTTCGCAGACGGACCTGGTTGGCTCAACTTTTCGGTAATAAACGACCGCATCGACACGGATAGTGACTGAATCCTTGGTCAGAATCTCTTGGCTTGGGATTTCAAAGCAAACTGTTCTTCCGTCGATCTAAAATACAGTCAATTGATAACCTGTTCTTTTCTAAATCGTACCTTGATTAAAGTGTCGGTGAAGAAGTTGATCCAGATAATGCCTGGTCCAACTGCTTTACGCTGTTTGAGTTGACCCAAGCGGAAAATGACTGCTCGTTCGTACTCTTGCACGATTTTGAAGCAGCTCCAAATGAAAATTGGAAAGCCAACGATGATAACAACTTGTGTTATGAAAACTTAAAAGAGTTAGTAAGCCGTAGAACAAACTCTCTATCTACCGAGGAAGCGAGCGAAAAGTCCTTTTTCTAGATTTTCCTCTTCATCTTCTGGATTCTTCTCTATTGCTACTATCTCGTCGATCTGAAGGTCCTGAAAAGAATGAATGAATGAGATTTTGTTATTTTGTTGCTGTTCAAGTGCGTGTGTATTTTAAGCCGATTCGATGACTTCCAAAACGCTTACGAAAATGCAATGGAAGTGCTAGCTAGCAATGATAGCGTTGTTGTCAAAGGAGATGAGCTTGTCAAGATCATCTTCGACCAGGTCGACAACTTCCTTCAGGACATTAAAGTAAGTAATAATGAACAATGATCTCCCAAATCGATCCTCTCAAATTTTCCCTTACCTTTTTAAATCCCTGACTTTGACCACTGGAGGGCTCTGGGAGTGTGCCCGAAGACAGATCGCTCCAGCGGCTGTCTCCAGTTTGATCCATCATCGAATCGTCAGTATTCGGTTCTGAAGAAGAATGAGATCATAAATGGCTAAACAAGGTCTGTACTTACGGTCGAAGAGTCCACCCGGACCACGTCTGTTGAGGCGGTCGATCCGCACTTGCTTGACCGTTCGCCGCTTCTTTTTCTTCTCTTTTTCCATCCCGATTTCAGTTATCTAAATAAGAACAAATTAATTAAAATTAATAGAAAATAATGTCTGATTAAAAAGTTTTTCAGCCTGGCTTTGAGAGCAGTGTATGAGCAACAGAAACAAAGAGCCTGACTCAGGTTTTCTACTCAGGTAGCCGAGCCTAGTTTCAAGCAAGTACCAAGCTTTGATAAGAAATAGCAAGATAAAGATTTAAATTTTCTCCGAAGAGATGAAATAAGGGCGTTGCTGGATTAACTCTAGGAGAAAACTAATAGGCGCGAGCATAACTGAGTAAGATTAACAATGATTTCATATTTTTAGAGGTTCGAATGGAATAATGTTAGTTTTCGACATGACGAGCGAAAAGAGTTGAAAGAGCTTCGAAAACGTTTCCTACTGGCTGGAAAGTATCCAAACGCACGCGCCGGAAGACATCACTGCCGCCCTAGTCGCGGCCAAATGCGACTGTGAGGACCGAAGAGCGGTTTCAAAGCTGAGAGCTCAGCGCTTCGCAGATCAAAACAGAATCAAGTATTTTGAAACTTCGGCGCAGGAAGGAATCAACGTCGAGAGCACCTTTCTCCAGGTAAAAATTACTAAAGCGAACTTCTTCGAAAAATATAAAAATTGTGAATATAATATAAATAAATGGAACAGTAGAACAGCTTCAAACTTCTCTACGGAATAAATTTCAAGGCTCCTCGATTGCAACTGCGCTCGAATTTGTTATCTTTGGCTTTTGGCTTGATTTTGTTTCGCGCGGGGGCGGCTGCGGCAGCCGTCGGCGTAAATGATGGAAGTATGAAACAGATCGAAGATTTTGCTCATTTCTACCTGAACATGTCCCGGCCTGGCCATGACATGCTCAGGAAATCGAAAATCGTCGTAAGTTTTTCCGGTAATTTGTTTTCCTGCGCATCTTTCCATAATTCGCGCTCCTCGGGTCCTTCAAAGACACCGCTCTCGCCAAGCTTCACGTAAATTTTCGCGTCTTCCAATTTCTCGAGAAAATATTCCTTTTACCAAAGGTCGAATGCCTTCCAAGTATCAACAGCATCTGCGGTCGCTTTTGCTCAACATACGAGTGCTTGAACTCTCCGTAGGGACCTCGGGAGAACTTGACACTTTCCATCGTGGGGCCGTCAAAATTATAGAGATTTTTAAGAATCTCTTGTTCGTGTATTCCCTTGAAGTTCAAGTTCCCATCTGTTTTCCGAAATGTCTTGCAGATTCTGTTGATTTCCGTAACAAGTGCTTCGAAACTTTTCATCGAGACTTTTTCAGGTTGAACAGGAGCTACTGGTAAAGCCATCAGGCACTTTCGGTTCTCAAGCTTCTTCTCAAAAACATATATTCCCGACTCATCAATTGCTTTGTATGGGGAGAACTTTGGGTTGCCTATTTCATCGATAATCACGGAAGGCTCATCAGCGTATACGAGGCCAAGGTCAGAGTAAAACGCGTCTGTCTTTCACAAGCCGAGAATACAGCCTTGGAGACGCTCTTTTTCGATTTGTGATGTTTTGAGAAGAGCTGCTGCCGATTGGAAGAACGAAATAACGGACGGACTCAATCTCATTCTAAGCAAAATTTCATTGAGTTTTGCCGATCACACCTTTTTTGAATATTGAGCAAGAAAACGTCGAAGAAATTACGACTGTTACAGTCTACTACAGTAGTCCTTCTCCATCAAGCTTTCCTTCTTTGACAAGTTGCATGTAATCTACTAATTTCTGCGAGTCTAATCCTTGCGAAATGTGAATGGCGTCCAGTGGTACTCGATTGTACTGGCTCAAGCCTATTACTTGCTCCCTTCTTATCACTTTTTCGGCAGAAAATCTTAGAATTTTCAGGACTTTTTATATCGTTCAACTGGTCTCAACGAGCTCCACACAAATAATCAAGAAGTTTTTTGACGATTTCCGGGCCCGCAAATTTTTTTTTGAAATTATCAAAATCAATTTTCGTTAATTGTTTTCCCTCTCTTTCATATGATCTGCTGGTTCAAATCAGCAATATATAATCAAGATCCATTATCAATGTTCATTAGTTTATTTGAATGTTGCAAGTTTAGAAACAAAACAATTAGATCTTCACTGTTGTATCCGGCGAAAAAGCATCGTTTGTTTCCACATAAGCGGCCGAAGAAGCTGTTGAAGCTTGGCTTTTTTCTTTTCGTTGGAAAATACCGCTAAGAATTCGGTTAATTGATGCCTATTTTTGTTGCCTACGTGATGAGATAAGTTCCGTAAGTGCAAACGCCGACGACGAAGTAGGACATGACAATGTTCGAGAGTCGGAACTGGTCGGGGTCGGCCATGAATCCAGTGTAGACGAACTTCATCATCATTCCCAAAACGATCGTCACGCTCAAGAACAAAAAGAGCGCCTGGCCAATGAGCCGGTGAATCGGCAGCCAGCCCTTCTTGATGGCGCTCATTACAGTTCCCTTAAAAAACGTATTTTGCCAATGTTGCAAAATGTCGATCAATATTTACCTTGAACGGGATACAGATGGCGAAGAGAACGAGTCCCGAAATCCACTGGAAAAGGTACAGGGCAAGAGTGAGCAAGCCCATGTAAGTATGCGCGGAGTTGAAATGGTCGTAGCCATTGATCTCGATCGTGTCGTATTCAATCTTTCATCAGAGCTCGAAAATCGAATCTTTTATTTTTTTCGATAAGCTACAGTAGTCGTTGTTGATGGCGAATATTTCCGTCAGTACTGAAAATGTCACGAATGTCACGAATGTCACGATTTTGCTGAAAATGTCACGAAAATGAAACGAGTTTTCATAGCATTCGTGACATTTTCAGCAAAATCGTGACATTCGTGACAGTCGTAAAATTCGTGACATTCGCGACATTTTTAGCACTGTCGAATATTTCCATCAAGCTATTTTTTTGCACTTTTTTTTAATAAATTTCGATCTAAAACCTTCATAAAATCCAGCGATAGCTCCGCCCAAGCCGATTGTATTGAAGACAGCGTGAAAAATCTTGGCAATCGAGCGGTCAACAAACGTAAAAAGCCTAGAGTAAATGTTAGAGGTCGTCATTGCCCGCGCGTCTGGTCAGCGATGATCGGATAAACTCGAATTTAGGGGTCAGTGTTGTTAATTTCAAAAACCTGAATGAAGCCGCTCCGATGGCAAAGGGAAGGAAAAAGGCAAAAAGCATAAATAAAACGTGAAAGTTGCCATATTCACTCGAGCCAGGATTGTCGAAGCCGCCTTCAATTCCGCCCGCCCAGTCTTCCATGTATTCCCACATAAGTGCGACGCCACATGTCGTCAGGACGAGACCGAATGTCCCGAATAGAATGTTTCCGAAGCAGAATTCTGCCTAGTAAAGTTCCTTTAACAAAAATCAAGAATCTACTAACATTTTAAAACCTGGCATTATTATAGTGACACCCTTATCTGAGCTCGGCAACGTGAGTAGAAAACCTGAGTCAGGCTCTGAAAGAGCTAAAATGAAAAGCCGCGTAGCGGCTTTTTTAAAAACGGAGCCGCAAAGCGGCTTCAGCAGGAGTTTAAAGAAAATTAATATGGTTTATCTTTGCGGCTTCGTTCTTAAAATAGCCGCTACGCGGTTTTTCATTTAAGCTTTTCCAGAGCCTGACTCAGGTTTTTTATCAGGTTGTCGAGCTCGTTAAATTTATATTTTAGGAATTCTTTATCGAGTTTGATTTATTGAGATTTGGTAAAGAAGCTATGTACCTTTGTCATTTCTCTCGTGTGCACAAGTTTAAGACTCTGTTCTCGAGCAAAGGACTCTCATCATGTTTGCGCATGTAGCGAAAAGTGACATTCTGTTTGCACACGAACTTCGTCGGTATTGATATTAAGACCAGCCTGGCTTTGATAGCAGTGTATGAGCAACAGAAACAAAGGCAGAAAAACTGTACTTCTTGACACCGGATTGGAGCGCGCATTAGAAATCGATTCTGATCAGAACATTTAAGGATCGTTAAGGACGCAACGGTCTTTTATCGTCTCTTCCTGGAGCCAGACAAATGATAGATTCATCTTTGAAGTAACACTAAGGTCACTGCGCTTACTTCTGAATACTGATCCGGAAAAGCATCCGAAGGAGGTGAATGTTGGAATATGCCGTAGCCTACGGCCCGTAGGGTTATCATTTTTCTTAGAAGTGGGGGGTAGTAAAGCCTTACCGGTTAGGTTACTGTTTGGGAAGAAAAGAATATTTGAGATACGAATAAATTCAGCTCGCTGATACAGGCGATTGCCTTCCAAAGCCGGAGTTTTCGGAATTCAAGCGTGAACAATAAAATTAAGACCTCCGGATCAAGATGCCATAGATTACAGTGGTTTTCCGAGTTAAGAGGACCCGAAATAAGAGGACTTTTCATCTGCCCCTGTCATCCAAAAAGTCCTCTTATTTCGGAAAACCACTGCACTGTAAATAATGGTAGTATAATAATATCCTCGAAATTTTGCGTCAAATCCCTCTTTAGCCTTTTCTTCTCCAGAATAAATTATTCTCCCTAACCCTAACTTAGCCGATTCCGAATCAAAGTGAATTCTAGGCTCGCCCTTTCCAATAAATATCCCGAAAAATGTTTTAAAAAACGCAAGAACTGAATCGAGCAATTCTTATTTCGAAATTGATTGAAGCAATTTTTGATGTGCATTTTCGATTTCATCAAAAACTCGAAATAAAAAGCACTTACTCCTTCTCTTTGCCAATTTTTCTTTATTCAATGAAAATACTTCCCGAAAACGTATTTTTCTTTCGTCAAACTTTCGAAAAATAGGCACTTTTTTGAAGCTTTTTAGAGCTTTCCGGACTTGAGAAAGAACCCAGGCTTGAGTTATTCGAGCAGGAGTTGAAAAAAAAGGAGGGGAAATGCGGTAGTCTTCCATGTTTTCACGATCAGCTCGTGGGAAGATTCCGAGTTCGTTTCATAAGGATTTCATAAGCCCGCGCCTTGGCGCCGAATAGATGGCGGACTTCGCATTTTTAAAAGAAGTCGCAAACAAACAAATTCCCAGACGTTCCATAATCTTTGCTGCTCTTTACTAGCCTACTGAGTCCTACTTGCGCCTACTGGGTTATTCTTTTCTGTCGCGGGAGTCACGGGAGTTCTTCTCAGTTCAATTAAAGGTAACGATAAACACTGAGTGCACTGAGTTGTTACCTGGGCTCGGAAACCTGAGTCAGGGTTCTAAAAAAGTAAAATGAAAAGCCGCGTAGCTAGTTAAAATAATTCATTGAGTTAGTAACTTTGGCGAAGCGGCTTCGCGGCTTCGTTTTTAAAAAAAGCCGCTACGCGGTTTTTCATTTTACTCTTTTAGAACCCCGACTCAGGTTTTCTACTCAGGTTACCGAGCTCATGTTGTTACAGTACAGAAAACTCGATCAGCTCAATCTCTTCTTACTTTCAAAAACCTGTCCAGAAAACCTGAGTCAGGGTCCTGACTTATGTTGTCTACACAGGTTGACTAGCCAAGATCTGGAATTTCAAGAAACATAGAATAAGGGTATAGGCCCTTATGTTTATTTAGAGGGAAATTTTATGTGTTCATTAATTGCTAAATCAGAAAAATGGAGCAAGAGACAAGGGGGGCTAATCGCGTTTTCCATCGATCTCAATTATATTTGCCCTGCTGATTAGATCATCCATCACAAGTTACGTAACTCCCCAAGTTCACGCTCAACGAAAAAGCGCATGTGATCCAGAATATCCTCGTTTGAAAAACTCCTCAATTTGAATAACTTCCATCCCAAATTTTCAGTTTTCAAAAAACAGGAAAATTTTTAATGAAATTTTTATTAAAAAATAAAATATTCTAAAACTCAGAAATAAGGTTTCCTTTCAGTCTTTTCAATAATAAGGGTGTCAACGTGCTAAATTCGGAAGTTCAAAAACTGTATTACTCAAGTGACGTTGGTTTTATGCTTGGCGAGTTGAGCAAATTAAATTATAAACTGAGCTTTTCAACGAGAAGAATTGTATGTTGGAAGTGTTTTATTTTGGAATAAATTCTAAATTCAAAGCTCAAAACTCAAAATTCATTATTTTTATTTTTCTATTTATCTTAATAAAGCGGCCTTAGAGTCGAATTAACAACAGTTTTTGGCGAGTCCCTGATGGTATTTTAGAGGTTGATTTTTAGATTTAAGGGTGTCAACGCTTCAAAAAGAGCTTTTCTTAAAAACGACTAATAGCAAATGAAATAACGAGTGTGCGAACCGGGTTCGAAAAACCGGCAAAAGCACGTTGACACCCTTAATCGAGTCGACGATTCTAGCGTTTTTCCTCAAGGCCGTGACTTTTCGATTCCGAGATTTTGGCGATTTGCGCGTCTGGCAGACAGTGGAACTAAAGAGCCACTCGTGTTGCGACAATCGCCACCCGAGTCTCTCCCACCCAATCTCTCTCAACTTGCCTCTTCAATTTTCATTCTTTCATTCATTTTTTCTGCGAAAAAGAGAGAGAAAAACGAAGAAACGTCCCCCTTTTTAGCCATCCCTATCGAAAAAAGAAAGAAGCGGGCCTCTTCCCCGCCTCTGGGAGAAAGAAACGTGCGTGAAAGCGGAATTACTACGGTGAGAATACAAACGATCGAAACTCATCATCAGCAGCGACTCATGCTACATTCCCCGCTAATTACTACTATCTTAGGAATTATCATTTCATCGCGTTTAAAATTGGGAAAATGATATTTTTAGATATAGAATTTGATAGAAAAAATGATATTCTCGATTTATTACGCTTGTAAATTTGATTATTGATTAAATAATAAGTATGATTATAGTTTTGACCCAGAATTAAAATACATTCGTAATTAATTCTAAATTAATATTATTAATTTGATTCTTAATAAAATGATAATAATAATAATAGTTTATTTATAAAAATTAACATTTATTTCTAATAATTTATCAATTACGTAAGGGAGCCCTTAAATTTGTTTTATTTCAATCTTGGTTCAAATATCAAATTATTTATTATTAAAATTGTAAATATTATTATAATAAATAATTTGATATTTAATTTGATATCTGAGATAAAAGCAAAACAAATTTAAGGGCACCCTTAGTTAATTGATTAATTATTAGAAATTTATTTTAATTTTTAGTAATCAAACTATTATTATTATTATCATTTTATTAAGAATCAAATTAATTATATTAATTTAAAATTATTTAAGAATAAATTTTAATTCTGGGTCAAAACTAAAATCATAATTATTATTTAATAAGTAATCAAATTAGCGAGCGTAATTTTTAATTAATCGATTGTATTGATTAACTTGTTTGCATGTACCTTCGAAAATAGCGCTGCTGACCGTCGGAAAAATCCTTTGGCCAGCTTTCGGCTGATTTTGCGATTCGAGTCGAGCGAATTACTAAGAAGCGTCTTATTTCCTTTTTCAGAGTCAGATTTATGCGAAGCTCGGACGCAGCCCGCCCACAAGAGCGAGAAGCGGCCGATGAACCAGGTGGTCACAAACTCTCCTGAGCCACGAATCAGAACTCAACAAAGTGAGTAAGAGAATCAAAAAATAATTTTCTTTTAAAAATTTGATTTATGAATCATTAATTCCAAAAATTAAAAAAAGAGCCATTTTTTTGTTATTTTTTTCCTAAGAAATTTTCGACTCAAAAATTTTCTTTTGCCCGGAGCGTGATAAAAAATAGCGATGAAGTCATCAATTTTTGTTTCAGAAAGAGAGAGTCCAGCCTGATCCATTTCGCCATCAGGCGAAGAATTCAAATTCCAGCAGAGTCGACAGTCATTTCCTACAGAGATGGACAACTTTTACGGCTACAGGGATCCGGTTCAGGTAAATTTGAAATTCGGGCGCGCCTCGTTTTTATTTTCCCTTTTTATCAATTTTTTAATTGAAAAGAAAGTTTCGATTTGAAGCAAAAAGACTGGTCACGTCGTTTTTCTTTCTTTCTCCTTTCGCAAGGTCGCGAAAAAAGCGACTGTCTCGCAGACATTGACAACACTGGACCTCCACTTGACCTGGAAGCCAAACACGTCCATTTTGAACTTTCTCTTTGGTTTTAGCGGGATGATACCAGCGTTCATACATTTCGGAAAAAATAAGGGTGTCAACATGCTAACACCTTGAGAAAAATCACATTTATTAGACTGTTAGCATTGTGACACCCTTATTTCATTTTTCCCAAATGTATGAACCCTGATCTCATCCCGCTAAAACCAAAGAGAAAATGAAATAAGGGTGTCACCATGCTAACACTCTGAGAAAAGTCGCATTTATTGGAGTGTTAACATGTTGACACCCTTATTTAATTTTATAAAAAGCTCGTTTAAACTCCGAACATAGTTTTAGCGCAAATAATTAAGGGTATCACCACGTTAATACCTCGAATAAAGTCTACTTTCATAAACCAAACAGAAGTGACACCCTTATGCCATTTGGGAAAAGAAAGTTTAATGTACAAGCCCTTATCTTAATTTGATTTAATAAACAAGGGTGTCACCCTTATTTCATATCAATTTCAACCTTTTTATCATCGATTATTTTGACTAAAAACTGCTAGAAAAGGCAGCCATCACGTGGACAGAATGACGGATCTGATCCCCTTTTAGCTAGTCAAAACCGATTTTTGATTAATTGATCTAAATTTTACTCAGGTACACCGGAGCAAACGAAACAAAGACCAAGTCGGCGGGGCGCACAACTCGGACAGCTGGAACGTTAACAACCCATCCAAACGTCAAACTCCAATTTACACGAGTCAGAATCGAGCAAACTTGCCGCCGCAGCCTTACACTTGCCAGGAAAGGGATGCTTTTATCAATTTTTATCAACAAATAAATATTTTTGATTCTGAAAAAAAAAGCATCCAAAAAAGCAACAAACGCTGAAGCAAGAAATTTCTCCGATAACTACTTTTCAACAGTCTCCGGAAAGGGATCAAACGCTAGAATTTAGACTTGAAAGAAAGTATTTTGTGCTTTGATGTTTTGAAATGTCAATGAATGTCTCTGGATGTCGCTTAACATCTCGAAATGAATGTTAATGTCTCTTAATGTCACTGAATGTCAGTTTATTTGACGGACATTCAGGGGCATCGATGAACATTTTTAGATGTCAAGCGACATCCAGAGACATTCAAATACATCCAAATACATGAGGAGACTTAGTGGTGTCTGTCTTGGTACCCTGTGGAAAAAACCTGAGTCAGGGTCCTGCGAGAGCTTTCGCCAGAATGGACGGCTTTTTATAAGCTCTTTTAGGACCCTGGCTCAGGTTTTCTGCCTTGGCTGCCGAGCGCAGAAGGCTGTTTATCACTTTACATATGAAAAAAATGATGATTAATAAATCTGAAATTTTGATTCCACAAAAGCTCGACACAAGTTGCTTCCAGCTCCTCAACGGTTTTCCGAATGACTTCATCAGGTACCCAAAAAAAAGCCGAGAATTTCTTCCTGTCTGGCTAGAAATTGTTGATTCCTCGACTCACCACCTCACTCACTCTAACCGAGACTTAACCCATCGTCGACCGGCGCGTCGGGCGTGGGTTAATGCTGAGTTTCTACTTTCATTTGTTTGAAAGTGATTTGCAAAATGATTTGCTTTTAGGATTGGACAACCTTCTATTGACCTCAAACGTCGGTTGATCACTCTGACTAAGCAACAGTAGGTTTTAAAAACACGCTAGAACTACTGTAGGTTCTCGAGTTCTGTATTTTTCTCGCTCCACAAAATTTACGGGGGTAGATCATCTGTTTTCACTGAAAAGAAATTCGAGCCAAAAGTCAAAAAGCCGCTTGCGGCTTCGAGCTCCAAAAGGAAAAAGCCGCGCTTATTTCTCCTAAAAGCCGCAGGCGGCTTTTCAATTTTTGGATCGAGCTTATTTCAATACGACAATGAATGATCTACCGTAGATGTCGTTAATTTCGTTCTTCCAGCTGACTTTTTTTTAATGCAGAGCTATTATAGTGACACCCTTATTCAAAGAGAATTTTTCGCTATTGAACAGTTGTATGATTTTCGAATGATAGTTTTTGGAAAAAAATAAGGGTGTCATGATGTTAGTTCAAGGATTTAAAGCTGCTGGAAAAAGCGCGTCAACGATGTCTACCCCCCAAAGATAAAGAGAATGCGTTCAATGCTAACGCCCTCTGAATCTTCCTTTTGTGGATGACTGATCGGCGGTATCCTCCTTTTTCTGCCTGTAGCGCGAGATAGAAGGAGCAGGAGGATACCGCTGCGAATTATTCTAACCGGTGCGTAAATTCAGCTTTTTAAAAATTAATATTTCGAAAAATCAAAAACCATGATTTTTAATAAAAAATATTGAAAATAACGGAAACAACTTCAATATAGGAAAATCTAAAAATAGATAAATCAAATTCTTTGCCGCTTTTTTATATTTTTATTAGTCGGTTTGGACAGAGATATTGGAAATTATTCGATCAATAACTTTTATCAAAGTGAAAATTCTAGTCAAGCTCAATCGCATCCAAATTGACTCAAATAAAAGCTTCATTCTAACACTAGAAGATCTAAACTAGTCAATAAAATATCGAGCTTTCTCGATGAAATTTCTTCATATTTAGAGGCTATCGTTATGACACCCTTATTTTGTTCCGTCAGTAGAAAGTTCAAACCCTTATCTTTATAATGCTATCAAAATAATATTAAAGCTAAGGGTATCACCATGTAAAGTCAAGTTGACAAGTAGAAAGACTTGAATATCAGAATTCATAGTTGTTCGTTTTCAGTTTCATTTACAGTAACAGTAATCCAGCTTGGTGTTTCTTTCATTTATAGTTGTCTTTTTTTTCCTGGATTTTTCTTGCATGAATCGTGAAAAATCCATTTGGTGAATGAATTTCCTTTTTTTCAAGACACTTTTTGCGAGACACTTTTTTCTTTAGCGACATGGATTCCGAACGCGTGCTCTTCCAGTGCGGCGAGAATCAGTTCCACGAGATCTCGATCAAGCAGGAAAACTACTGCTTGGATGGCGACGGTTTCGGCGAGCCGGGTTGCTCCTTCGATGGGCTGCCTATCAGCGGGCTGACGCTGCACCGCGCCGCCTCGGAGAAAATCCAGAGCGAGCACAAATTGAAAGAGTTCCAATTCAAGAACTGGTTCATCTCCATCGTCAATCATGTCCAAGACGGCACCGCCAGCAGCGAAAGAAGGAGAAACCAAGATGGAGATATTTACTCAGACAGCCAGTTGGAAGAAATCGCGCAGGATAGAGTTAGCAGTTCTTTGAGCTGAGCTACTTCTGCTCAGTTGAGCCAGCTCAACGCTCTGCTTAGCATTTTTCTAACTCAAACTCAGGCAATCAGAACGCGGCTCAGAAGAGTCGACATTTCAAAAGGCGGCGCGGAGGACAAGTTCAAAGAGCTCTGCGAGAAAATCGTCGATGTTGTCAACACAAAAGACATGTTCGAAAAGGAGGAAAAAATTGATCTTCTTCGGAAACAACCCTGCATAAGAATTGATGCGAAAACGAAGGTAAGTGAAACGAAGGGTATAGAAGAAAAAATTCAAGACGAAAAATCGCATTAAATTTTAACTTAAAATTTAGGACGGACGAGTGCAAATTCCTCGGTGGACACGTGACAAGATCAGCGACCAGTGGAAAGAAAAGAAGGTCTATTTGAAGCGCGAGATCTACGTCCTCTTCCACCCAGAAGACATCCACACCAACCACCTGAAGCACAACCAGATCTACAACAAGTACTGCTCCTCGCCGAGCGAAGGCAACGGGCCGCACAATCTCTGCGTCAACGCGCTGCACTACGACAAGGTCATCGACGAGTCGTCTTTTTGCGAAAGGCTGCGGCACTGGGCTTTGAAGGATTCACGCCCGGTCGCGACTGAAGATGGCTTCTTGACGAATCGGATCGACAACGATGCCTGGGACAAGAAATTCCAGAAATGGGTCAAGGACCTCACCAAAGTAAGTTGGAAAAATTATGGGATAATTGCGGCTTCTCGATCTCTATCTGGTTTGGAACACAGGTTTCCGAGCCAAAAATTCAAAAATATCTATCAAAATTACAATTTTAAGTTTCTTCGCAACGACCGTTATTCCTCCCCAGATGAGTTCCTCAGATTGGTGGAAAACTACTCCGACAATCTGGTGAATTTCAAGTTTCAAAATCTGTGTCTGGGCAAAACAGAGCCTGGAGGAAAAGAGAACTCATCCGAATCTTTACGTCGCAGAAGTCCCTCCGATCCGTGCTGCCTACTCAAGCACAAGACAACGCGCGACTACGATACCAAAATTAAAGAAATTCTGCGCGGAATTCTAAGGGTAACTATCCGACTCCCGGTGATACAGAGAGTGTCAGAGAGAATCATATTAGTGACTTCTTTTTCTACCTCCCAGGAAAAGTTTGGCAACTTCTCTTTTTTTTTCTTCGAAATAAGGGTACTGAGACCCTAATTTTCAAGTTGCAGGAGTATAAGTTTTAGGCTTATTTGATAGGATGTGGTGAAATAGAGAAGCTCCGGAAATTGATCTCCGGATGCGATTTGAAGTTGATAATGTTGCTACTAGAACACTAGATATATCTACCTTAATTCTAACTCCATTTTGATGTGTTGTGTTCAGTACGTTCGCCACGAACCCAATATCGCCCCCGACCTGGACCCTCGAGACCTGTGGCAGTGTGCCGCGCGCAACCGAGGCGTCTACTGTATAAATCCACATCACTGTAATTACGAACCCAATAGAAAAACGAACCCAATGACAGATAGACTTATCAGGTACTGGCGCAATCTGCACCGCTTTTATAAACATAGTTACGTCGCTAGCCCTCCTACCCACCCCAGTAACCAAAATGCGCTGAAACAATGCTTGGAACTGCCCTCTTTCTCGCACGAGCAATGGTGCCACCTCTCCTTCATCCGCTTCTACAAAGTCCAGAATCAAAACGGCCAGAGCCAGCGCAGCCGACGCCTCCACGACGAAATGAAGGGCTTCTGCGAAATCGACAAAGTCCCAAGCCACAGTTCAAAATACGCCATTTAAATCTATGATCTAGTATTTCAAGCTTGAGTGAATTTTGTTTTTTGAATTCGAATCAAGATTGCTTCCAAAGGGAATCAATGATTTTCTCGTCTCCAGTATCAAGGTACGTTTCTTATTTTTTAAAATAAGGGCTGGGCTCGACAACCTGAGTAGAAAATCTGAGTCAGGGTATAAAAATCAAAAATGAAAAGCCACGTAGCGGCTTTTTTAAAAACGAAGCCGCGAAGCGGCTTCGCAATATTATTCCTCAATCTTATTTTTAACTTCTTTCGAAGCGGCTTCGTTTTAAAAAAAAAGAAGGTTCGCGGCTTTTCGTTTGTTATCTTATGAACCCTGACTCAGGTTTTTTGCTCAGGTTGCCGAGCCCAGAATAAGGGGTAGGCGAATGTCGCTCAATGTCGCTAGAAAATTAGCGACGTGAAGCGACATTTTGGCAACATAATCAGAGGGACTCTAAGGAGTGCGATTGTCGCTGAATGTCGTCAAATGATGCGAGAAGCATGTTTTTGAAAGTAACATTATTATCACTGTTTTTGTTCTTTTTAATCCTTTGGCGACAATTAGCGACATTCATTGATGATCCGCGACAGTCGGCGACAAACTGAGTGTCGCCCAGAATTTAAGAGCTAATTTTCAAGCAGAAATATTTTTGGAAAATCATCATTTTCTCGATTTTTGAAAAACTTGATTGTCCGATCTTTGAAATCAACGAGGACCTCCTAGGTTCGCCCGTACAACATCGATTTCTGGCCAAACGGCAAAAACAAGCTGGAAGGAAAGTGGTCGCTTATCAACAAGGAATTCGAAGACCTCGTCGCCTGCACCGAGCTCGTCCGATCGGGCGACGATAATCACAAGCAATGCATCGCCAGAAGCCGTCTGCAATCGCTGAACAACATCATCTGCTGTCACTCCTATCGCGCAAACTATTCCAGGAAAGAATTCAAAAGCCATTTTCAAAAATCCAAAGCCAAAGCAGAAATTTCTTGAGATTCTTAAAAAGAAAAAACTTTTTCGAAACGTTCGCGAATCTGAGCAAGTCGCGTCAATTTGATGTGGAAATGCGAATGAGCGCCCAACAACTCGAACGCTATCATAATGCTTCTTTGCGAAGTGAAAATGCTCCAAGGAACGGGTCTTTTCAAGCCAGACTTAAGGTGATAGGGACCAGTATTTAAGGATTTCTTGGGAACAGAAAACAGAGGTTTACGTTCAAGCTTTCCTTTGGTACAATAAATTAATGGTGTTACTGTGTTAATTATTTCTTGAAGAGTTATCATAGTAACGCCCTTATTTTTCGTACCAAAAGAAAGTCTGTACCTTCACCTCTGTTTTTATGCACCCAAATTGGGAGTCCCGATATAAAAAAAATTAACCCTTGTCAATTTAATATCAGCCGAAAAGACCTTTTCAAAGAGAATTGGAATACTCAATTTACGTACGAAATACAGGCTCGAAGGAAATTTACGTTTCCCTTCCAAAACAATGGACGGATGATCAATTGCCTCAGCCACCCTCGAATGTGAGAATTCCACTCTTTCCGTAAAAGAACGAATACAATGATTTTGCTTTAGAGTTTCTCCTGCGAGTCCTGCCGCGTTTTCCAACGACTTCATCCGAAAGAAGTCAGCAAAGAGCTCGTTTATTCACAAGAAGAGAAAAAAGGTTCGAAAAATAAGACGTTCTTTCGCCGGGAAATTCGAATTCTAGAGTTGGAAAATCTCGTCCGAAAGTTCTACGACGGGCAGAAAAGCCTGAGTGTTCACGAAAAGGAAGAAGCGTCCAGCGTGCTCATCCTCCTCGATTGGAACAAAATGGGAGACAGGAACATTCTTCAGGAAAAAATGCAGCCGCTAGATCCGACGAATCCAAGTTGCGAGGGTCTTTTTTCCTTTACCGGTAAGCCAAAGAGCTTAGGGTCGCCCCATGGATATCTGGGCTCGGCAATCTGAGTAGAAAACCTGAGTCAGGCTTTGGAAGAGCTAAAATGAAAAGCCGCGCAGCGGCTTTTTTAAAAACGAAGCCGCAAAGCGGCTTCGCAAAAAAACTACATAAATTTTCTTTAAACTGCGGCTTCATTTTTAAAAAAGCCGCTACGCGGCTTTTCATTTTAGTTCTTCAAGAGCCTGACTCAGGTTTACTACTCAGGTTGCCGAGCCCAGATGGATATGAACCTGTAAAATTGAGACCTCCATTCACTGAATCAATTGACTCAAGCTGAAACGAATCTTCATTTAGGCTCCTTCCACCAACTGGAGTACTTCCTGCTCCAGAACACCAAGACGCGCCAGTTCATCGAAAATCTCAATCAGACAAACAGCAAAGTAACCACCAGCAACTGAGCTCCAAGATAAAGTTCTTGTCCTAAATTTGAATTTGCAAAAGTTCCATTCTCCAATTCTTCCAAATTTCCAAAAAGTTTCAATCACTTTCTTTTTTCATTCACTTTTCAAACTCATCATCTTATCCGTATTCTTATTTCAACAATATCTATTTCACTACCTGACTAACTGAAAAAAGTCTTCCGAAATTGAAAAAATCACCCTTTAGAATCCTCACTAAGCAACTGGACTCGGCAAGCTGTGTAGAAAACCTGAGTCAGGGTCCTAAAAGAGCAAATCGGCTTTTGATTTTAGCTCTCTCAGGGCCCTGACTCAGGTCTTCTACGCAGGTTACTGAGCCCAGCCAAGCAAATACCTGTGTTATTGAAATTTTTAGATTTTTGTCACAAGAATCGAAGCTTCCAAAAAGTTCATTCAGTTCAAAAAATGCCAACAATTTTGGACCCTTTCTATAATTAACCATTTAGAAATAATCAGCACAAAATTGTCGAAAAATCTGAAGAAATTAGGCCCAAGATTCTCGATTTTCCATGATTTTGTGCTTTCGGCCAATCAGAAAGTGGCGCGCGGACTTCGAATCGTCAATTTTGGGCCGAAATTTTAAAGATTTTTGACAACCTTTGGTGCTTTTCTATCGTAGTTCAACTTTTAACTGTCTATAAGCTTTATTACTATCCTCATTCTGTAACTTGAAATTAAATGAGTCATCACATGTAAAAAAACTGCTATTCTTATCTATCTACTGAAGCTTTCATCCTAAAATCCTGTATCGTTGTATCAAAAAAATGATCATAAAATAAAGAGTTCAACTTTGCATCCCTTACTTGCCTTTATCTTTTTATGAATCTGAGTCATGAATTACTGTAACTAAAAAACGACCAAAGATAAATTTAGAAATAATCCTTTCAGAGAAAAAATAATGAAAAGTACACGAAAAGCGCTGAAAGTGAAATGAGTCAGTCGTGGTTCGATTCGAGTCCAGTTTAAATCGACCGATTCGATTGGCCAAAAAGCTCTAAAAGTGACGTGCCCCGAGTCATCCGCGTGTGGCAAAAGAGCCAGCGCCATCAAAAATGAATCTAGAGATTTTACAGAAGAAATCTTCCTTTCTACTTCCCACTCATGATTCTGTCAGTTACAGTACTATTCATTGAGTAGTACTCAATTCTTGCATTTAAAACGTTTATTTCCGAAAATATTATTTTTCTAGAAATTTATTTTCCTTAAAAATCTATTTTTTCTATTTTTTGAAAATTTCAATTTCAAAATAAATAATTCAGTACTACTGTAATTAACAGTAATTGGATGTTAGTAAGGGGTTCAGAGGAAGTTCTCTATTTATAATTATTTTTCAAAATTTTCTTTTACTTATTTTTTTCTTCCCAAAAAGTAACACTTTCGTCAGTTTTAGACATGTACGGGGGTGACCAAGGCGGCTACGGCGGTGATCAGGGCGGCTACGGCGGCGGTGGCTACGGAGGCGGCCGCGGCGGTGGCGGCTACGACCAGGGCGGCTACGGTGGTGGCCAAGGCGGTGGCTACGGCGGCGGCCAAGGCGGTGGCTACGGCGGCGGTCGAGGCGGCTACGGAGGTGGCCGAAGCTACGGAGGCGACCGCGGTGGCGGAGGATACGGCGGCGGATACGGGTACGTTCTTTAAAACGAAGACACACCACTAACAGTTATATTTTCAGCGGAGGCCGAGGAGGTGGACGCGGTGGCGGCCGAGGCGGCTACGGCGGTGGCGGAGGAGGCGGCGGCGGCCGATCCAATGGCCCTTCCGTCTTCGTCGGTAACATCCCATGGAGCGCCCAAGAAAACGACCTCGCCGATCTGTTCAGCGCACACGGACAAGTCGTCAAATTCAGAATCCTCGTTGATCGCGAGACTGGCCGATCCAGAGGTAAGCGAAGGCAACCTTCTGGGCTCAGGAACCTGTTTGGAAACCTGAGTCAGATTTCTGAAAGAGTTTTAATTCGCGGCTTTTAGTCAAACCTCTTTCAGACTCCTGACTCAGGGTTTCAAACAGGTAGCCAAGCCCGGACGCCTTTCTCTAACTCTAAGAGGCCTCCCTAACATCTTTTCTTCAGGAATGGGCTTCTGCGAGTTCGCCGAGGAGTCGTCTTGCCAAGCAGCGATCGACAGTCTCAACGGACACGACTTCAACGGCCGTCAACTCCGTGTCGACCACGCCAAACGCGACTAAACCAAGAACGCGTTTCCGAACCATCAAGAAGTAAAACCCTCCCATCACCCCGATTAAAATCCCGTCCTTTCAAACTCCCTTTTTTCAGACTCTCTTTCTTTACTCACAATTTTCCCTTTTTTTCTCTATTTTGGGTCCTTTCTATCGACCCGACTCTCGATCAGTGTTTTTGCCAGCAGAAGAAAATTTTAATTAATTTATTAACTGAATTACTCTATTTTTCCATCAAGACGATCAAGAAGTAGATTCTAGTGAACTCTAGAACCTCCTGGTCGCCGCCTTTCGGTGCAAGAACTAATTTGACTTTTGCAAATTTCGCGACTTTTGACTCTTTTTTTTTGGAACTTGCGTTTTTGCACCGAAACGGCGTCACTTTTTCAGATTGCCCAAAGCGATTTGATGAACCACAAGCTTTCATACTATGTGTTGCCTTTTGATCGGGCCAGGCACGGTCTTCGAGCTTGCTTGGCCCGCCGTTCTAGATCTACATCATCAGTGGATGGTCCCAGCTTGTGCTTTCAGGCACAGGCGCCATCCAGTGTCTTCTCGATCGGCCCAGCTTTCTTTTCTAGGCAGCTGGGCTCGGCAACCAGTGCGGAAAACTGACTCAGGGTTCTTTTTCGTGACTCTGACTCAGCTTTCTACACAGGTTGCTGAGCCCAGCTTTTCCAGAAAGAGAGCAGCAGCCGATGGTTAGGGCATTCATTGGCTCAGTACATTAGCGCATTTGCCGGTATTAAATAATATTGAATTTTGTCTCAACAGTGTCTCTTTAGAAAAGTTTACCCGAGCGCCTGGGTAGAGACGATATTATTAAGCGCTCTAACCAGGAGCTAGTTTCAATTCTTCAATCGTGTAATTTTTGATCACAAAATTTTATTCAATTTCATTCAACCAGCCGTGCATTTCAAAGTTGAAGTTTACGTTCTCGAACCGATTTGTTCACTCACTCGTTGACAAATTACGGTAACAAACAAATAAACAGACTAAAAATTAAAAAAAACGGCAGCAGTCCGCAATTTCTCCATTTCCGATTTTCCCAATTTCCATTTTCCATGTTTGAAAATTCATCATTTTCCTCTTTTTCTCACTTTCGCCAAGGTACTAGCTGCAATCAGGGATGTGGATCCGCAGCGCAAAATCCGCAAAACAGCGCAAAATGCGGGATTTTTCATTCTGCAGCGCAAAACAGCGCAAAATCAGCCCGAAAAATTTCCGCAATTTTTCCGCAAAATTGCGCGCAAAAGCGCATTTTGCGCGAAAATTCCACAAAATCTCAATACATTTTCAGTCCGCAAAATGCAATTTTGCGGGATTTGGCATATAATTTCTACATTTTTGGTATTAATTGTGAAGATTTACGAATCAAATCCTCATTCATCATCGCATTCACAACTTCGGCGGTAATTTGCGGAAGAAAAACTGAAAAATCACCCGACATAAAACCGTCCGATCTCGAAGTTAACCGAACAGTCATTTTGCCGACAAAAAACCAGACTGTTCGATAGAATTTTGCTGGGTGATAATTCAATTTTTCCTTGATTTCTAAATTTAAGGGGCTTGACGGCCCTTCGGGCCGTTTCAGCCCCGTTCCTTGATTTCTAAATTTAAGGGGCTTGACGGCCCTTCGGGCCGTTTCAGCCCCGTTCCTTGATTTCTAAATTTAAGGGGCTTGACGGCCCTTCGGGCCGTTTCAGCCCCGTTCCTTGATTTCTAAATTTAAGGGGCTTGACGGCCCTTCGGGCCGTTTCAGCCCCGTTCCTTGATTTCTAAATTTAAGGGGCTTGACGGCCCTTCGGGCCGTTTCAGCCCCGTTCCTTGATTTCTAAAATTAAGGGCTTGACGGCCCTTCGGGCCGTTTCAGCCCCGTTCCTTGATTTCTAAATTTAAGGGGCTTGACGGCCCTTCGGGCCGTTTCAGCCCCGTTCCTTGATTTCTAAATTTAAGGGGCTTGACGGCCCTTCGGGCCGCTTCAGCCCCGTTCCTTGATTTCTAAATTTAAGGGGCTTGACGGCCCTTCGGGCCGTTTCAGCCCCGTTCCTTGATTTCTAAATTTAAGGGGCTTGACGGCCCTTCGGGCCGTTTCAGCCCCGTTCCTTGATTTCTAAATTTAAGGGGCTTGACGGCCCTTCGGGCCGTTTCAGCCCCGTTCCTTGATTTCTAAATTTAAGGGGCTTGACGGCCCTTCGGGCCGTTTCAGCCCCGTTCCTTGATTTCTAAATTTAAGGGGCTTGACGGCCCTTCGCAGATTTTCGCAAAATCCGCGAAAATCCCGCAAAATCCGCAAATTTCCGCAAAATGCGCGAAAATCCCGCAAATTTCGCAAAATTACGCAAATTGCGTGTCATCTGCGCGATCCGCAATTCCGCAAAAAGCGCAAAATCCGCAAAATTTTCGCAAAATCAACAAATTTTGATTTTCCGCAAAACAGCGCAAAATTCCGCAAATTGCGCGATTTTCGGATTCCGCAGCGCAAAACAGCGCAAAATAAGTTCGAAAATTTTCCGCAATCGCAGCGCAAAACAAAGGAAAATTTTTGCTGATCCACATCCCTGGCTGCAATAATTATAAACTGTCTCTTAACTTCTTTTCTAGCTCTCTTATTACAGTTGATGAGGGCCTTAGAGTCAAGAAGAACGAGAACAGCCGGGGTTCTCTTCTTCGATTTCAGAAATTTTGAAATTTTTCAAACTTTTTTGAAATCAAGGAAGAGACTTCCCCTTGTGTTCCTTTTTCTTGGTGTAAGTTACTGACATGTTTTTCTACAATAACAATTATTACTGTGCTCGTTTTTTCGTGAAACTGTTTCCACCTTGAAAACCTCTTTTCCTGCGCGGACTGCATGCGCTTTACTCATTATTTTCTCTTTACAAAAAGCGTTCATTTGACTCTCTGACTCTGACTGCGGAAATTATACGAACTGCCCCTGTTGTGGTCTTACTGTAGCTAATCGTTTGCCACGTTCTTTGTGCTTGAAAAGTACAGAACCGGCGCCTGAATTAGCTCCCACTCTCTCTCGTCTCAGACTTCTTATATCGCTCTCTTATGGCTCATTAAAATACACCTGGAGAACCACCGCCAACAAAAGACTCGTCTCATTTTTTGCAGGGAATTAAAACAAATACGCAGTCTCAAGCAAGCTTTACTCCATTTTCAAGCAGTGTTTCAGTTGCATTGTGCAGAACTTATTGCCAATAAACTTTTGAGCAACTACAAGGTCAAACGATTATTTATTGGCTCGGCAACCTGTGTAAAAACCTGAGTCAGGTCCTGAAGAGCGAAAACGAGAAGCCGCGTAGCGGCTTTTTCATGAACCAAGCCGCAAAGCGCCTTCGCTAGAAATCAACAATAAACTCATATGCTAATGCTTCACGGCTTTTCATTTTAGCTCTTTAAACCCTGACTAAAGTTTCCTGCGCGGACCGCCCAGCCTAGATAAGCACGCTTACGGAAATTATCCTTGCGACAATTCGTTGCATACAGTGGTATGAGCGGTATCCGCACCCCTATTTTTCGCCTTTAAAAATTCATATCTTTTGATTCAGATATGATATTCGATTTCTGTTTCCAGTAATGAAATTTTCACGCCATTTTCTATTAGGGAAAAATACAATAAATAGAGTTTTTTTAATTTACTGTGTAATTTTAAAAATCGTAGGGGTGCGGAAACCGCTCATACCACTGTACTACACGGAAGCACAAGACTATGTTTCACGGAGATCGTTAGAATCATTGCAGTCATCACGAAAGCGGGATCGAAAATTACATGCGCATTCAATTCAAAGACTTTACTTGTATTTCCTGCAATGAGTCCTTTGAAATCAGAAATAATTATGACCATCATGTAAAAAAGCTTGAATGTTCAACTGTGTATTCTTCTTATATTGACACTAAACTATTCACTTTTTAGAAAAGTTCGAAAAAGCTCAAAAATGAGCTCAAGAAGAGAGAGCTCTCTGGGCGAACGCTAGGAGCGACCAGCAGTTCCGGAAGACGACAAATTCGAATTGGCTCCGAAGAATTCCGCAAGGGCTCGGTTGATGAATTCTTCTTCGATGACGAAGAATTCCCCAAGAGCCCGGAAGGGAATCAAATCATCACCACCGACACGATCAACGAGCTTCTGGAGAATATGTCTTCAGGTAAAAATATGCTGGGCTCGACAATCAGCGCAGAAAACCTTTCAGAGTCCCTTTATTAATTAATTCTATTAAAAATATCCGTGAAAAATGAATTTTTATTATTATTAAATAAAATTGTTGTAAGTTTAACTTATCCTTAATTTTTTAGGTTAAACTAAAATTGAAATTTTAAAGTGTAAATTTCTAAAATCGTAAAATAAGGTTGTAATTATCGAAAAATCCCCCGCGGCGCGCGTGTTTTTCCCACCGCGCGCTGCCGGGGATGTTTTTCTTTTTTCCGCTGCTCACGTGGCCGCGTGGGAGTTCCTAATTCGTCGGTTCCTCGGCCGCCTACGTGCGCTAGAAGAATCAGATTCCGCTGATTGCAATTTGCTCAGTCGCAATCACAGAATTAATCAAAATTTATTTTTTCTCAGACGAAGATGAAGAGATCGATTCCAACTGGGACGAGCAACTGGAGCTTGAGTGGGACGACTCCCTTATTGACACGCCCTTGTCTACTGCTAGGTATAGTAATAACGGAGAATAGTTTTAATTTTGTCTGAGAGACTAGTAAAATTCTAGCAAGTCAAATATTTGTCAATTTTTAAAAAAGAAGAGTAGCTAATTTTCGATTAGTTCGTCGCACGACTTCCAGAGCCAAGTGCAGAAAATCGTAATAAACGGGAAGGAATACAAGATTAACTGCTCCGTCATTGCTCCCTACTTGGACGTTTTACAACACGCTGGCTACACCAGAGAAGGTAAAGAGCCCGCTCTTCAGCTAAAAATTAACGAGTTTTAGGTCTATCGGCAGTGATCGTCTTCCAAGCGCGGAAATTGCCGCTCAAGACGGAGCCCAACTACGCCAAGATCATGCATCATCTATTTCTTCACTTTTTGCTGGAAATTTCTAATTTGGTTGCTGATTCGTATTGCTTACTCGTCTTTACTCGCGAGGGAACACTTCCACCGCTAAAATGGGTACGTAGAAGACATCAAAGTAGTCTTTTATTTAGTAGGGAAGACACGTCTTGGGCTCGGAAAGGCTTTGTAAAAACCTGAGTCAGGGTCCTGACGGACTTTGTAGAATTTTGTAGACCCTGAATTAGATTTATGCACAGGATACCGAGTCCACGACATGTCATGTCACTTATTCGGGGCGTAGGACTGTTCTAGGGCTCCGCTAGTACACTCTTACCTTCCGGAAAAGGCTATCCTTACCCTGGGAGCTTCGCCCCTTCCATCTTAACCAATGCAAGGGGCTTCGGTCCCTAATACTTCTATACCGTACTTAAAAGTACTCAAAACTGCTTCACTCTCTGTCAAGGTGAGCTTTTGGCCTCAGAACTTACCCCGATTCAGGTGAACTCGCCCTTTGAGACTCGAACTTATTAACTTTTATCCGACTTTTTATTCTATTTCGCTATTTTTAGCTGCGCGATTGTTACCGACTGATCAGCAGGCCACTGCGGAAGTCGCTTCGTCAATTCGTGGTGGTGGAACCGACCTGGTGGACGCGTCTATCGCTAGCAGTGGTGCGTCCCTTCGTTTCCGCCAAGTTTTACCAGAAGATTGTCACGTGTTCATCGATCGACGCGGCCGAAGAAATTGTCGATTTTGACTCTCGTTACGCGCGCGACATGATAGACAGCTAGCTACTCGTTTTTCGATTACTTACTCAATACTCATGCTTCATTCCACAAACGACTACTGCACAGAGCTCGGCAACCTGTGTAGACACCTGAGTCAGGTAACCTGACTGTCAGGTTAGGTACGCGGCTTCACATTTAATCTCTTCAAAACCAAACACAGGTTTCTTCACATTTTGTCGTGCCCAGTGTGCAGTAGTCTTCCTTTTTCCATCATTTTTCTTCACCACTTGCACCAGACTAAAATCCGCTTTACCTTAAAATCTTCCACTTTTTTCACTCTTCAACGAACTTGTATGTATTTTTTGCTCGATGCGATTTAACTTTCACTTTTCTTTTCGCATGTTATTTTCACGAAAACTTAAGTAATTACGGAAAGTATCCACTGTACGTTATTGTTTCTCTTCATCTCGTTATTTAATATTCACATGTACTTTTTGTCTAAAATTGTATTCGTTTCAGACAGCTCTCTCCCTCGCGTTCAGTTCCCCCTGCTCGTCTTTTTCTTCCCGGATCTTTGTCGACTAAAGAAACTCAAAAGCAATGGCCAAGGTACAGATCACCGCAATCGAGGTCCTTTCCGAACCCGGCGTCGATTTCAAGGCAGGGCTCGACAAACTGAGTAGAAACCTGAGTCCTAATTAAAAATTAGCTGTTAGAATACGCGGCTGTAAATGAAAGTTCTTTGAGGACCGTGACTCAGGCTTTCTACGGATTGCCGAGCCCATATTAAAGGTCTGCGATCCCTTCCGCTTCAAGATACGCTTTGAGTGTCATGAAGATCTCGTGGCAGATCTAGACTGGCGCGTGATCTACGTGGGCTCGTCGCTCAGTTCCACCCAAGATCAGGAGCTCGACGAGCTCTGCACCGGCCCAATCACGAAGGGAACCCACGAGTTCATCCTCGAAGTTCCCGGCCCAGATCCAACCAGGCTTCCAGCCGCCGAGATCGTCGGTGTCACTGTCGTCCTCCTCAGAGTCTTCTACCTCGAACAAGAGTTCATCCGCATCGGCTACTATATCAACAACGAGTACAAGACTGAAGAGATGCGAAACGAGCCCCCAGGTAACAAGATATTTTTGCTTGAGCTGAATTCAAAGAACTGACTTTAACTGCCGACTTCAGAAATGCCCGTGATCGAAGAGCTCCGCCGGCTGGTGTGCGACAACCCCCGCGTGACTCGTCTCTCCATCAACTGGGAAGAGAACTCGCCGCTGATGCCAAGCCCCGAAGAAGAGGCTCAATTCCAAGCGGACCAGTTTGAACACGAGCTCGACGCGATCCTCAACGCTGCCGACACAGACCCTGCCGCGGTTTCCGCCGCCTTTGACGAGATCTTCGCCCCGCCACCAGTTTTCGGAACTGAACACGACGAGATGGCTTTGGACTAATTTTAAACAATCGAAAAAGAAGATAAAAATATCCAATTTTCAGTGGGTAGTCAAAAAAAACCGATAAATCCTCATTTACCACCGAAAAAGCCCAAAAAAACAAAAAAAAAGTCTTCATTTACCTCACTGCCTCCTTTATTTTTCTACATCTGTACTCTCGATTTCTATTTTTTTAAACTAAATATCAAAAACACTAGAAATAAGAAAAGTGCCTAGATTGAAGATAACAAAGATTTTACCCTAGAATTTGATCAGATCGCGAAGCCCGCTTGAGGCTTTGAGTATTCAATAAACTAGCCGCGGCCTATTCTATTTTTAGCTCAAAGCCGCAAGCCACTTTGGGTCTTGATCAAATTCTAGCATAACATCTTGGTTAAAATTCGTTCTTTTTCTGCTCTTGTTTTCTACAAATAAACATATCTATTTATTTAAAACGAAAAAAAAACGCGTGTTCTCTTTGTTGATTGCAAAATCGTTATTCAAACGAACAAATCGAAAATTTCAAAAAAGCAAAATTGAGATTCGAAAATTCAGATGCTCGGGTCACGGCCGAGAGCAAGGTCGGCATTTCCGACCGCGGTGCCGTCGTATTTGGGCGTTCACAAGTCGGTCCTCGAGAATAAGATTCAGTCGAAGCGAGAGCGTGAAAATACCCAGCGGCTAGAATGGCAGGTGATATTCGATGTGATTTTTGAAAAGCAGGATTTTCTGGCAGAGCATTTTTGACTTTTATGAATTGCTACAATAAAGTAACACCCTTATTATATTAATACAGTAGACGACCTACTGTCGACATTTGATAAAAATATAATTTCAGGGGTTCACGAAGTACATTTCCAAAGCAGACGTAAAATCGGACTACGACGCTCGTTGGTCTCGTCCGAACTCCTCCTCGACAATCCAGCGCATCAGTCCCTTCCAAGCGCGAATGATCCGGACAAAGAACGATCTTCTCCCTCGAAAGGCGAAGCTGGCGCGGCTCTTGCGCGAAGAAGAGAGCACTTACGCGGCGGAGATGGCGGCGGCGGCAGAAAAGATGGACGAGGCGAGAATCAGCTCGATTCACGAGCGAGTTGAGCAGCTGAAGAAGGAGAAAATGACCGCGCGGCTGAACTCGGCCTCGGACAAGCGCATGCAGATGTGGCGAAGGGACAATCCGCGCGTGCGCTCGGCAGAAGTCGAACGAAGGCGACAGGAAATGGTCGACGTCTGGACCGGGCAGTTGGAAGAGAAAGAAGAGGAGCAGCGAGAGCGCGAGGCGGAACGAAGCAGAAGAGCTGAAGAAGCGGAACGCGATCGGCAACTCGCAGAGTTAGAAAAGAAACGAGCAGAGGAAGAAAAGGCGAAGAAGCAAAACGAGTTCAAGGAACAACTCGCCCAACAAGTTCGAGAGCTGCAGCAACGCGAAGCAGAACAGGTAACAGCTTTCGGCATCCTGGATGTCTTGTGATGTCTTTGGATATGTCTAGGGACATCTTGAGGTGCTTCGGGTAATCTTCACGCGTCTAAAAATGTCGCCAAGTGTCTCATGATGTCACTGAATATCATAAATTGTACCTAGATGTATGAAAATGTCACTTGATGTCCCTAAATTTATGAAAATGTTCCAAAAGGTCTTTCAAATGTTGCTAAATGTCTCTTTATGACACTGGATGGCTTATCCTTTAATTAAGATGTTTCATAATGTCCATAAGTGTCTCAAAGTTTAGTTAGATGTGTCATTATGTACCTTGATGTCTCTTAGACGTCTCCCGATGTCCCTATTGATATTTCCTTTCAGAATAAGTTGAAGAACGAAGAAAGGGCACTTCTAACGAACGCTGCTCGCCACGACCAAGTAATTCTGGAAAAGCAACTTGCCGAAAAACGCACACAGCAACAGGTATATATTCTTTGCAAATGCTCCTTCTCCAATGCCGCTTTTTCAGCAAATGCGCAAGCTGCTTTACCGCCAGTACCGCGCTCAAATATTGCGAAGAGCACAAGAAGTCGAACGCGATCTCCAAATGGATCTGGCTCTATTGGAACGGATCAGAGCCGAGGAAGAAGAGGAGCGACACTTGGAAGCGAACAAGAAAGAAAACCAACGAGCTCTGGCGATGGAAGGAATCCAACTGCTCAAGCAGAAACTCAAAGAAGAAAAGGACGCGCAAGAGCAAATTGACAATCTTTATCGGTTAGTAGCTCTCAGATGTTTGAATAAAAGTAACATTGGCTTCTAGTGACCAAGCATCAGACTGGTGGGAGAAGAAGGAGCAAGTCTGGGCGAAAGAAAACGCAGCTCGCCAAAAACTCCTCGACGTGAGTTTTAGTCGAAAAGAATGAGTTTTAAAAAGTGCGTTTTTAGGAGATCTTGGCTCATCGTAAGTCGCAGATTGACGAAAAACTGGCTCGAAACCGTGCTGCTCAGTTGGAAGTGATGGAAGAGCGTGAGAATCTGATCACAGCGCTAGAAACGGCGCGGCAAGAACAATCGGCGGAAGCGCAAGAGACGCAGCGAAAAAGAGACGATCTCGTCCAAGGCCTCAAGGAGCAGCTGCACCTCCGCGACGAGCGAATCCGCGACGAAATCGACCAGGAAGAGAAGGAAAACTTGGAGAGGATGAAGACGGCGCGCGAAGAAGCGGAATTGGAAGAGCGCGAAATTAATCGCGTCTTTGCCGAGAAACGAAGGCCCTCTACTGTTCGCTTTGCTTGGGACTAATCCAGCGGCTCCCATGGTCTGTTTCTTACTCATTCCGTAAAAATAATATTTTATATTCTTCCCTTTAAAAATTAACTTGCGAAATCGCACTGTAAAGCATTACATCTTCCAGGATGTCCCAAGATGTCTTAAAACCTCTGAAGATATCGCGGGATGCCTCAAATGTCCCTTGTTGTCTTGGATGTCATAAGGTGTATCCTGAGAGTTCTTGATGGCTTCAGATGTTTGAAAATGTCTATGGATATCCTTTTATGTCTCAGGGTGTCCCTGGATGTCTGATGATGTCTTCAGAGATCTCAGGATGTCCCGTGATGTCTCTGAACTTCTTTGAAGAGTCTGAACACTTTCAATGTATCCACAAACTTCTGAATGTCGTCGGATATCCCTAAATGCAGCCACGCGATATATTTTATCAAAATCATTCCTCAAAACAAATTTTATATTATAAATGAAAAGCTCTTGAATCTTGCATTTCTTTCGCAAAATTACACTGTACAGAGAATGACACATACGCTTCCACAACGAAAATTTCATCTTTTTTATTCCATTTTTCTACTCTAGCTGATTATTTTTTTACAAATAAACAACCATAATCATCAATCATTTTCATTTCTACAGTTTGATTACCAAAAGTCTATTTTTAGATTGATTCATTAAGGAAAGGCGCTCAAACTTTAACTGAGGACTACTGTATTTGAAATAGTCACTAGAATAGTTCAGGACTTACTGAGATGTCTTAAGATGTCTCTAAATGATGCTGTAGATGGCTTAAGTTTTCCAAGAGCATTCTGAATGTCTTTAGATTGTTGAGAACATCTCAGGATATACGAAATGTTTAAAAATGTCTCTGGATGTCTTTGGACGTCCATAAAAGTAATACATGTCTCTAGATGTCCCCTGATTTCTCGAGATGTCCGCTGATGTTCCAAGATGTCTTTAGATGTCTCTACGGTTCTAATAATGTCCCATGATGTCTAGATGTCTTCTTATGTATCTGGAGACTACTGAATGTCGTTAATTGTTTGGAAATGTCTTAAGATATCTCAGCTAATGTTTCTAATAGAAAGCTATGAAGCTACTGAAGTAATTGAGCCTAGTATTGAGCGTTTTCAAGACGAGAAAATGGACAAGACAACGTCGAAGAAGCAAAACCCGTCGGAATTCCTGCGCAAGATCATCGGCAACCCGGTGGTGGTGAAGCTCAACTCTGGCGTCGACTACCGAGGCGTTCTGGCGTGTCTGGACGGATACATGAACATTGCTCTGGAGCAGACGGAAGAGTACGTCAACGGGCAGCTCAAGAGCAAGTACGGCGACACCTTCATCCGCGGCAACAACGTCCTCTACATCTCCACCTCCGCCAAGCGATAGAAAATTGAAACTGATAAGAACTGATAACTGCCAATTTGGAATTCTGTTCAATTTCGAGACAACAATTATAGATCCAAAAAATAATCTTCCTTACTAATGGGTTTTCCATCCCAAAAAAGCCAAAGAACGCCACGATTTTTTATCTTTTCGACTTGAAAATTACGAGAACAGGTCTCCCACCGACTTTTATTTCAAACTGAGGCTATTTTGGACCGTTTTTCGAGCGAAAAATCTAAAGAATAGACTATTCTGAATAGTCATTTTTAATCATAATCGGCCGGAAATAGATTCAAATTGATACTTCAAGACGAAAAAGACTCGGCGGGAGACTTCTTATCGCATTTTCCAAAGGAAGACATGAGAGAATTGTGACTCAGCCGATTTTATTTGCCTTTTGTCCCTTATCGCTCCGATAGAAGAATCAATAGCCTTGGTGATTCATTATCAATCGCCAGGAATAATCACCATTTTCGACGATTCTTGATTGAGAGCGAATTTTAGCGTTTCGAGATTGTTCTCGACGCCGATTGGCCGAAGGGTTCCCCGTCCACGGGATCGGCAACCTACCCCAGCTGCTCAAACTCATCATTTCTCCTCACACTCCTTTTTCTTCAGATTCGGATCAGACTCGAACATGGAAAGTGGGGACGCTCCAGCGGAGGGAGAGACTGCAGTGGAACAGCCACAAGAGGAACTGCCAAAGACGCCCCAGATTTCAGAGATGCCGGAGGAAAAAGGTAAAAAAGTTCAGAGAGATGATACTGGATTATTTTGCTTATCTTTTCGCTAAAAATGATGAAATCTTTTTTAGAAGTCGCTCCTTCTCAAGCGCCAGGCGCCGAATCGCCAATGGATTCTGACCGAGCTCAAGGTAATCTTCTTTCTGATAGAACTCTTGATAATTTGCCCTTTTTTCTTCAGAATCGCTCGGCACAGGAGATGTGCAATCGATTCAGGAAGAAAAGGATGGGTTGGAAATCGCGTGCCTTTCCGATGAAAGCCAAGGACGCGTGTTTTCCAGTGAAACTATTTCAATAAGCGTCCAGAAGCCAAAAGTTGAAGAAGGAACAGGACCGAAAGAAACTGCGAAAGAAAGTCAAGGAAGCGCGGAATTGAACGAGTTATTTCCCAAAACTCCAGGGACTGACATGATCGACTTGACTACCGACGACGAAGAGAAGAAGAAGACGCCTCAAGCAGCTACAGTCGAAGAAGCTGAAGAGGGACCAGCAGCAGATGTCGTCGTTGAAAATGCTCGATCGGAGAATGCGGCGACAGAAGCGAATAAAGAAGAAACGAAAGAGGGCCCCTCGAACAGTAGAAAGCGAAAGATAAACATGGCTTGGGCGATGCCGCCAGAAGAAGACCCGTTTTCGGAAGCGCAAGATATTGACTTCGTCAACGTCGCCTCAGGAAAGGGTTAAAAAGAGATGTGAACAGTGCACCAGTTGGACTAGTTTTCTTTTGAAGAGTCTTTAGTCTGAACTGAAGCTATAAATGTTTTAACCCAAGAAAAAGTAGCTCCATCCACCCAAGAAGCGCCGGTTCCAGAAGACGAGCCAGTAGTCAAAAGGTAATTACAGTTAGTTTTACGTTTATCTACAAAATATCTATTCTTTTTCTAATAACTACATTAAGACGGCGGCAGCGCGGGGAACGACTGCGTTTCGAGGAGTTTGAAAGCGAACTTGGCGAGGTCTTCGGATACGAGTGCACCTTCCCGCTGCCGGAATCGATGGTCTTCCGGCTGGAGCGCGGTTTCGAAAACAACGGATTGCGTAGTCCGATGGGCATCGTCGCGTTCGAAGGAGCGAGTGCAGATACGAAGCTGGTTGCCGTGGCGAACACGCACTGTGGATCCGGCGAACTGGAATTCATGCAAATCAAGCACGGACAAATCAGTTTGATCTTCAAGCTGCCTGTGAACGGAGTCGATTGCCAAGAACCAACTGCTGTCACCGCGCTGAAGAACAATGGACTTGCGTTTTTGGACAAATGTAAGTACTTATTTCATCTGTTTCGAACCTGAGTCAGGGTCTGTGCTCGGTCGAAAATACTGTGCTTGGAAATACTCAAGCAAGGTTGTAATCAAAGACCGCGTAGAGTTAGCAATTTAAATTAAGCTCTTTGAAGACCATGACTTGAGGAAGGTTGCCAAGCGTAGTTCTTTTTATTTCAAGTTCTAAAACTGTTTTCAGGTGGGTTCACGATCGTCCATTGGACGGAAACGAATGGGCGCTTCCAACTGAGCCAGAAGAAGGCGTTCCGAATGCTGAAGCCGCGACGAGGACCGCCAATGTTCGCGACACGCGGCAAAACCGGTCCGTGTTTCGGCGTATTCTGCAGCCGAAAGCAGGAGGTCGGCACCTTCGTAAACGACATCAACCGTGGACCGGTGCTGTTTTGGTGGAACCCCTTCAGCGGCCAGACGCGAACCGTGGAAGTCGACATCAATCGCTACGCCCAAGTTCGATTTGCCAAGCACCACGGAGACGTTGTCGCCCTCAGCGACATGAATAGAAACGGCTTCGCTCTCTGGCTCGTCAACCTGGAAGGCAAGCAGCTCAAGAAGATCGACCTCCGACAACATGCCGTGATCCAGCCGGCAGGCGTCACCTTCGATCGAAACGGAAACGTTCTCCTTGCTGATAGCAAGGGCAAAAGAATTCTGCGATTCGACGAAAAAGGCGACTATACCGGTGACGTTGAATTCGATGTCCCCTACGAGCACAGGATTACGGACATCTCACTTGACGCCAGGTAAACTAGCGAAAGAAGATCTTTTAGAAGCTGCTTCTATTAAATTGCTGCTCAAATTATTTGAGCTTATCACCTTTAGTGGCCAATTAACGATCTTGTCTTTGAACAAGCACCTGGCCTTTTACCGCTGCGAGGAGCAATACGTCGACCCTGCTGCTGATCCCTTCGCTGAGACATCCAATATCGAAGTCAACCAGGAGGTAAGACTAGCCAAGTTGACTTTACTAGTGGACAACATCATAACTTGTCTTGGCAGCCTGTGAAGTTAACCTTTGAATGAAGCCGAGATAATGACCATCTCGATTCTTTTCATTTCATTTACATAACAGATTCCTTAAATTTTATTTTCAGCCGGAAAAGAGCGCGTACGAGGAGAGCAAAGACGACTTCGCCGCGGACATGGCCGAATTTGCCGATCTCACCAGCGAGCAAGGCGAAGGCGGCGGTGGTTTCAGCTGGAGCAAGAAGTCGCCAAAGAAAGAAAGCAGCGGCGGAGACTGGCAAAATAACTCGCGCGATTCGTCCGCCGGAAAAGATCTTTGGGCGTCGAAAGAATCGAAAAACGACGATTCTTGGCCGAAGTCACAGGCTTTGTCGCCGAAAAACGCGTGGCAAAAGCCCTCTTCTTCGGAAGAAAACTCGTGGTCAAAGCCGACAACGCCAAAGTCGAGCAACAAGGAACCTTGGCCGAAATCGTCGAATAATGATGGCTGGGCGAAACCAGTTTCTCCAGCTTCGAAGAGCCAGAACGCCGACTCGTGGTCGCAGCGGTCTCCTCGAGACGAAGCTAACCCCTGGCCCAACAATCAATCGAACGATGGAAGAAACGACAGTTGGGCGAAGCCAAAGTCCGGCGGATCCTGGTTCAACAACGGCAACAACGATCAGCCCCGCCAATCCCGTTCTCGATCAAACAGTTCTTCATCCCGCGGTCGCAGCAGAAGCCGAACACCATCCATTCCTCGAGATCAAACATGGGGAAACAACGGTGCTCCAAGATCGTCCTACTCGCGAAGTCCCTCTCCAGCTGCTGGTAAAACATGGGGGAACAATGCTCCGCGAAGATCGAACACGCGAAGTCCTTCACCAGCTGCTGGAAAAGCGTGGGGAAATAACCGAGACCGCAGAGACAGTTGGAATAGCCAGAGCAGCGCACGGTAAGTTACAAAAGAAATCATCCCTTTATTGTTAATCCCCGGTCTTGGCGACTCGTAAACAGTGTAAGTCCCAAATAACTTTAAATTTAAAAGTTTGAAAGTTTGTTCCTGACCCTGTTTACAGGTTGCCGTACCCATATAAACCCCCTTCACTTGAAAATAGGCTGAAACTCTAAATTTTATTCATTTCAGAAGCCAGAGCTGGGACTCCAACGGCCCCGGAAATCAACGACGTGCAGGAGCGAGCTCAAGTGGATGGGGATCCCAAGAAAGAACGAACTCATCTGCTGCTGGTGCTGGTTGGGGCAATAATTCCAAGACAGGGGCTTCACAAGACGCTGGCTGGGGAAACTCGTCGCAAGAAAAGCCTAACTCCGACTGGGGCAGCAATAATTCTCAAACAGAGCCAACAGAGCGAAACGCTGGAAGCGATTGGGGAACGAAGACCGCCGCGAACGATGATGGAAACTGGGGCTCGGCATCAACAAAGACTAACGGAGCTGGATGGGGCACCACTTCTTCTTCAGCTGGCTGGGGTGCTTCGGAAAACAAGTCGCCAGCGAGACCAAGTGCAACAGAAGGCTGGGGCGCGCAAGAGAAGACTAATTCGCCGGCGAAAGAGAGTGGAAGCGGATGGGGCGCAAAGCTCGATTCCCCACAAAAAGAAAAACCCGTCGGAAGTGGATGGGGAAATGCTCCGGAAACGAACTCGTCAGCGACTACCGGCTGGGGTGCTCCAGCAAAGACTTCTTCTGCTTCTGAAAGTGGATGGGGAACGCCACAAACGAACGATCCCCCAGTCAAAAGCAGCGGAGGATGGGGCGCACAAGAAAAGAACAGCTCGCCAGTGAAATCCACAGAAGGATGGGGAGCTCCAGCGAGAGATCAATCGCCTGTAAAAGCGAATGGCGGAAATTCTGGCTGGGGCGCGGAGAATAAAGCGTCGCCTGTTGAAACCGTCTCGACTGGCTGGGGAGCTCCTGAAGCGTCGAACAGTACTTGGGGCAGTCATAAGAAGAGCGACAATCCGCCAGCGAAACCGACCAGTGGATGGGGTGCTCCTGAACCAGAATGGGGAAACGCTACTGCGCCAGAAATCGAACCAGAACCGATGCAGAGCGATTCGTTGAGTGGCTGGGGCGAGAGTGGAGCCACAGCTGAACCGGCTACTCTTCGAAATCCGCCAGTGAAATCGCCGGCGGTAAAGCGCTGGGAGTTGAAGCCAGAGCCCGTGGAAACGCCTTCGTCAAAGTTCCTCGAAGGGATTATGACTACTTCGACTTCCAAGCCGACAGATCCTCGTCTCAAGAAGCGAATCAGCCTCGGCGATTACAAGAAGCGACCGACTTCAACACCATCAGTGGAGAAAGCAAACGAAGTCGTGGTGATTGCCGATTCGCCCGCCCCAGCGGAGAAGGATGAAAAAGAAGGTGAAGAGGTTAAGCTTGTTGCTGAGACACCAGCGCCGCCCAAATCAGAAGAGGCCTCGGCTAAAGAAACTGAAAAGAAGGTATAAAAAGTCGTTGTTTGTCAAATCTTGGCTCGGCAACTTGAGTTAGGGTTTTGAAAGGGTTTAAAAAACCGCGAAATTAATATTTCGAGCTTTTTCAAATTCTGGAGAAGCCGCGTATTTGAGCCCTTTCAGGACCCTATCTCGAGTTAAAAACTAATTTTTTAGACGTTGCCGAACAATGCTTGTTCTTAAGGATCAACTCTTATTGAAAAAGACTAATTCAACTATTCAGGGAGAGGAGAATCTCAACGATAGCTTCGAAGAGCCCTACTCACCAGAAAGCCCAGCGTTCGAGCCCGCCGAAGGACCCATTCCACCAGCTCCTCTTGTTCTTCCAGCGCCGCCCACTGCCGCCGAAGAGGAGGAATTGCAAAAGTCAGTGCTAGCTGATCTCGAGGAGCCGAAATTGAAAATGCTTTTGTAAATAGGAAAACTGAAAACTGCCTAAATTGCTCCTGACATTTTTTTATCATTGAAAAGAAACAAAATTTTTACCCTGTTAAACTATTTTATTTTACCCTGTGCTACTATCTGCTCCTCCACCACCATGCCTATCTTGAATAAAGCCACAAAAAGTTCAAAAAATAATCTTGAAAATTTCTAAGCATTTCTGAATAATGCTTAGTTTTTTGTCGTTCTTTCTCTTTTTTATTGGTGAAATGAAGATTTCAGCTGAAGTATTAAAGTTTAAAAACAAAATAAAATAGAATAGGATTTTCTTTCTCGTACAGTTATTTTCACAGTAACAGCGATAGCTACAATTGGTGAGGGCCTCTTCCTAAATGGCAGGTCTTTTGATTCGTTTTCGGCTGTTTCTCCTCTTCCTCAAAGGTTAGGAAAGAGGATCTCGTCTTGTCCGCAGCCGGTCGGCTCGTTGGCTTTCAGCTTCGCGAAGGCTCCCCACTCGCAGGAGCCCTGGTGCGCTTCCATGTACTCCACCAGCGCGCTCGTGTTCACCACGCTGTTGTCCACCGGCTCGCCCTTCGTCATCTTCGCGGCTTGCGGGCGCGAAAACGAGCATCGCTTCGGCTGTTTGTCGCAAAGTGCGTACATTTGCCGCAGCTTCCTGGCATCGTGGCTCATTCTAGCGCGGCCGTACGTTGTTATCTGAAGTTTTGAATTCAACTTTTTCGAAATCAAGGAAGACTCACCTTTTTCTGAAGCGTCTGATTGAAGTATTTGTAAATTTGAAAGTCTTGGGCGTAGAACTTCTTCAACGTATTCGACTGCGACGACGTGAAAGGCTCCTTGGTGTAAGGCTTCGAAACCATGCGGGAACGGGCGTACATTGCTTGCCACGGGAGACAGAGTCTTTCGCGCAGAAGGACTAAGCTTTCGTAGTAGTACTCCGATAGGACGACCAGGTCGAAGGCTTTTGCCAGCTCATTCAGCTTCCCACTCACGTACTTTTTGTCGTCTCTGAATGCAGAAGTCAAGAAATAAGAATTCGTACTCAGATTCAATTACCTTGTCCAGTCGAGACCAAGCTCAAACGCTTGGAAGTTTTTCGCCCTAAAAGCCCAGGGCGCGCTCTTATTGAAAATCTTTGGCAGACGATCGAGATATTCCGAGATCTCAGCGCCAAAGCGAACGCCGCCGTCCGCCTCCTCCGCCAACCAGTGCGCATAAGGAGCGCCCCAGCACGTAAACCCGCATTTTCGATTTCTAAACATAATTGAGCTGATTTCTTGGAAGCCTCAGAACTCCATCGGCGACGAATTAAATAGAAAACAAATGTTAAAATCGCTTGTTAAAGAACAGCTGCGTGTTATGGGCGATAAACTAACAGGAGCAACAACTTAATCATTTGCCGAAAAGTTTAAATGACTTTTGCTTCAAATGGACTTTGCGGCTTCTAGTTTATTTTCATGAGCAATGTTATCTTACCTGACTGCGGCTTCTGAATCCCAGCGGCGGTAGAAATACTCAAACATGGATCTGAAGAGCGAAAGTGGCTCGCGAACTGAAGTGAGGAAGAACGCGTTTTCTGGAAAGATTGCTTTCTCGACCTCGAGGTTGAACACTTGGTGAGTCGATATTGCGTAGGGCTTTGGGTGGCGAGGGGAGCCGAGGAATTCGGGCTGGAAGGGGCCTGGATAGCCGCCGGAAACGGAACCGACGGGAGGGGACTCGCCAGGCATTGAGTAGTAGCGGCAGAAGTTCTTTGCTACTGTCTTATTGGATATTTTGTTATCATAAAGCTACAGTCAGTTGTGTCAATTATACCTGTAGCGTACTGGAAGCGGACTTGTGCTTCTTCAGAAAGACCATTCCCCCTGGCGGAGTGCACGAACTATCTTGAATAGAAAAGCCATCTTTTCCAACCCTGATTCCATCTTCGGCAACTGAGTCGTCAATATCATCCTCCCCATCCGCGTTGCCGAGTTCGCCGTAATCGTAGTTCAGGATGTAGTCAACCTTTGGACTCGTGTTCTTTGAAGGACCCGGCTTGCCTTCCGCTTCCCGCGAATTCACCAGGTATAAACTAAAAATAGACGATGTGGCTTCTTTCTTTCAAGCTTCCATCCCTTCTTCAAAATTTAACATGAGCGGAATTTCAAAACAAAAAGATTTCAAAACAATAATCTTTCTTTTCCCCAACTTACGGGCATATTTTTATGTCTAAGTTAGCATCGTGAAACCCTTATTAAGAATAAATAAAATAAGGGTGTCACTATGTAAATTAACAAATATAGATATGAAATAAGAGGAAAGTTTTACCCAAGATTTAATTTTTGATGTAACATAGAAGATTATTGAATAATTGATTATTATTTAAAATTATAAATTAAGGGTGTCTCACTCCTTTAATTAATTGCAATCATTTATTGAACTAAGCGTTTTTTCTTCATATTTTTTTAGAACAATCTTTTTGTTGAACGAATTTTAAAATAATAAATTTAAAGTTAAGAGGGGATGTATTAAATTACCTGAGAAGAAAGAGCACGGAGGTGTAGATTATGGAGAAGTAAAACTTGGCTGAGTTCATCTCTTTTAAATCTCATCCCGCGCCAGCGAGTCCATAATCAACAAAAGAAGTGTCTTCTGCAACTTATGTTTTCAGCACAACTCTCGAACTATTGAGGAGAAAAAGAATGTTCCCAAATCAGGCAGGAAGGTTGATCACACAAAATGGAGTAGCTGACTTGAGAGTTGAGCGCCCCCGGGGCCAGCCGAGGTTCCGAAAAAAAGCTCCGACCGCCGAGAAATTGATAGCACTGCAATCCTGTCCAGTCAGCCCAATCAACGATGCAAATTAGGGGAAGCGGCCCAAGCTTTCAACTGCATTCCGCCGCGATTTGAAAGCCCTTCTACTTCAACGCATTTCATCGTTTAGAAATTATTGATGGTGATTTTTGAAAAACATTCTTATATTTTCTGCTTTTAATTTTGCTCCGATTCTGCACTATAAATCTATAATTATACAGATCTTCGTCTTTGAAACCAGATTGTTAATCATATTTATTGGGTCGATGATTGTTTTTAAAAAAGTTCTTTTATTTGCAATTTGTTTTCAGAGAAGTTCAAAAAATACATTCCGATAAGAATTTCTAAAAGTCGTAAATTAATGAATTAAATATTGTTTAAAAAAAGTTCTTGTCGTAGCAGGGCAGGTTGACGCATTCTCTAACGGCGTGTAAGCTCGTTCGGTCGCAATTTCGCACGTCGATGCAACTGTTTTTTGGGGATCCAAATCTAACCGATTTTTAATTTAGAAAGTTCAGTTTCTTTTAGACCCCCTTCCTTCTGTGGCGGCGTTGAAGACCAGTTCCACATGTTTTCGAGCATTTCGACCAGCTAGACCATTTCGTAAAAGTCGGTGGCTCTATCTTCGTCTTTTCCTGGATCTCGCCGACTAGACTCATTGGATCGTCATTGACCAGTTCTTCATCATCGTCGTCATCCTCTTCGAACGCGAAGAGATCTTCTGACTCCGTCATGACTGTATCGATGGTTTCGCAATTTTAAAACTTCAAGCTTATTAAAAACAGATGAAAACCCGTTCATAAGTCACTTTCGTCTTCGGAAATGAATCCGTCGATTTTGAGATCTTCGACTTCATCGTAATCCGGTCGGACTGCTCGATCCGCGACCAACAAGGACATCTCAGCAGATAAAGACATTTCAGCGGAAACAGAGAAGCCGAAGGACTCTTCATCATCAGACCCAATGAAATCGCCCGATCCACTAAATTTATTTGCAAATAACTTTCTTCTTCTTGTCTGTGCTCAAAAACCTGTGAAGAAGCCTGAGTCAGGATTTCGCTACCCAGGCTTTAATTGGGCTCTTTCAGGACCCTGACTCAGGCTTCTGCACAGGCCGCTAAAACCAGCTTCTTGTTGGTATTGAAATCCTTACCTTCCTTCGCAGACAGAAATGTCCTCGCATTTCTGCTCTAATCCTTCACACTCACTGAAATTAATATAAATCAAATTATAATTTCCAAAAAGAAAAGTCATACAACTCATCTCCATCGCAAACTTGTCTTTGAAAACCCGTGCTGCAATCACATGCGCCCCAAATACTAGGGAAAAGGTGAGTAAAGACGCTCTGTTAAAAAAACGCTGGAAATACATGTTGTCAGGTACTGGCATCGGATCGCCGTCGTTTTTGTCAGAGGCTCCGGTAGGTTCTGGAATGTGTTCTTCTAGGCATGTTTTCTGGAAGACAGAGTAGAAATGATCGTCAGGACAGATGCAGTAGTCGCTAAAATCATTGTTCACGCAGGTTCCTACTCCGCAGTCGAGCGAACAGTTTTCTTCGGAAAGAGCTCAGAACGATCTTTATCACTTATCTCAGTATGCGCAGAAAACAGTGCAAATACAATCATACGTATTTAGTTCATGAGCTTTCCTGGTTGAACAACTGTTTCAGTTGTCGTTGTTGTTGGCATTGTCGTCGTAGTCTTTACTATATTTATCGGAGTATCTTTCGTTGGAGTATGTGATAAACATGTTCCCTTGAAAACGGAGTAAAAGTGGTTTTCAGGACAGATGCACAATTCGCCGATATCATCCTTCTCGCAAGTTCCTACTCCGCAGTCGAGAGAGCAATCTACAAAATCTTCTAAAATGAGCTCTAAATTTGCAAACGGAAGGGGTTAGGGTTAGGGTTACGTTTACTGGGGGATCATTAAAGTTAACTAGGTGCATATAAAGAGAAGTTAATTTTTGAGCTTTCCTGATTTCAGAACTTTTTCGGATGTCGTTGTTGTTGCTGGCTTCGTCGTAGTCTTGATTGAGCTGGTCGCAGAAGTCGGTATAGTTGGTCGAGCATATTTGATCATACATTTTTCGTACATGCTGTTCCACTCCATTCCTTCCGGACAAGACATGATCGAAGCGGTTTCTTCAGGAGATGCTACAAAAGGATCGCTAGTAGTGGTTGTTGTTATAGTGGTTGTTGTTGTTTCTGAAATGCTAAGAGTAGAAGTCGAGAAACTTGACTGAACAGTAGTGACAACTCGCTCCTCTTCCGTAAAAATGACAATCGGCAAAGTTGCTGTTTCAAGTCCTGAGCCCTCGATTTCCGGCGAAGATGTCGGCTCCACTAAGTTGTCGCAGTCTTCAATGAACGGATCGCACTCGAGTTCGGGCTCAGGTTCTGGCTTTTGATTCACTTCTGAAGCAGGAACGCACTCGTAAGAAATGTAGTCCGCGTCGGCTTCAATGATCACTTCTACCTCGCCATCGGCGCAGACGCTTGTGCTGTTGTCAACGACGATCAGATCGTACTCGTCGTCAACAACGGAAGAGCTTGTCGAGGAGGGGCTTGAGCGAGTTGGGGTTGGAGCTGGATTTGTTGGCTTGGGCGCTGCTTCTGAAGAGGGATTCTTCGCATCCCAGACGCATTTTCCGTAAGCAGCATCGTAGTGTTTTCCGGAGGGACAATCTGTTGACGCTGGCGATTCGGAACTTGAACTCTCTGATTTTGTCGTCGCCTTTGTCGTTGTTGTTGTCGTCGTTGCCGGCTTGGTAGAAGTAGTTGTTGCAGTTGTAGTCGTTGTTGTTGTGGTTTTCTCGCAAGTTTCAGAAATCGGATTGAATCTTTGGCCAGAAGGACAGAGGCACGTAAACTCGTTGGCGATTTTGGCGCAGGTTCCAGTGCCGCAATCGAGGTTACATTGCTCGATGCAGGTTCCAGCCGGCTGCGAGTAGTAGTAATTCAGAGGACAGAGGCAGTAGTCTCCGTCAAATCCTTTGACACAAGTTCCTACACCACAGTTAATCGAGCACGCGCGATTTGCACTTTCTGTCTTTTGAGTTGTTGAAGTTGGTCTTGAAGTCGTCGTTGTTGGCGCTTTTGAGGTTGTTGAGAATTCTGGCTTCGTAGCGGGCGCAGATGACGGCTGCAAGTAATTTATTTGATGGGTGTTATGATGGTTGGTCTTACTGTTAGACTCTAATACTCCTGTTTCTAAAAACAAAATTCAGAGTTACCTTGACTGTTGGCAAGAGCGGCATATACGTTTTGCAGGTGAGTCTCCAGAATTTATTCCTGATTTGATATTTTTTTCGATCTCTTTGAAGCTCCTTGGTAAAATTGATAAAACACTTTTTAATCTCGTCAGTTGGTAGTCGCTGGGAAACATCCATTTCTCCGCGATACTCGATTTCCGGTTGGTAAACGATTGCTTGGCAGAACTCTCGACCGGGCAGTGCTTATTTCTGGGCTCGGCAACCTGTGAAGAAACCTGAGTCAGGGTCTTGAGAGAGGTTTTTCTTGAAGCCCTGACTCAGGTTTCTTCACAGGTAGTCGAGCCCAGCCTCGTTTCTTGCAGCGAACGGGCGAAAGCGCCGGGAAGCAAGGAGAAAGCGGTTGAATTTTCATCACGCTGCCATCGTCCCGAACCGCCATCGCTCGTTTCAGATGGCTTTCCATTTGAAGGGTCCATTCTTCGCTCCATTCGGAAGGGCAGAAAGTCTTGGCGTGGGAAAACGAAACCAGTCCCAAGGCAAGAAAATGAGGGATGAGCCCCATCGCCGCTCTGAACAGTGTTTTCTCTTTTTTCTTTTTCTAATTAGAGAGGAACTCGATTTCAGAGTTTGATTTTGCTGGTTTGTTTGCGCGGCGGAACTAGCTACAAATCATCCCTTCCAGCGGCCATTCTCCTCCTACGATGCCAAATCTTCAGATTCCAGTTTGCCCCCCTACTACTCTTTTTCAAGGTCAATATTTCCACCATAGCCAGAGAAGAAATCGAAAAGAACCTCGAGAAAAAACCGTAGAAACTGCGAATTCGGAATTTGTAAATTCAATAAATTTATTCTTGAATTATTTCTTTCAGTATTGCAGTGCATTTGTTATAAATAAAGTCATTTAGTCAAAAGCTGTCTGATAGACAGTCTAATCGTCTCCTCGTCCAACAGTAGAACATGTCATATGATCTTGGAAACGGTTCTGAGCGTCTGAAAAAGATTGTGCTTTGATAATTATCGGCGCGCTTTGCAAATTTTGACAGTTTTTGCGCGATCAGATAATTCAGGTATAAAAACGATCCCTAACGACAAGGTTACACCAGAGTAAAAAAAATCTACAATGCTGCGGTTTTTGCGAGAATGTCTTTGCCCGACTAGAGAGGATGGCGTGGAAATGCAAGAGAATCAGCCTGCTCGGCCAGCTCGGGAGCCAGAGGAGAGAGGTAAGACTGAACTGTAGTTAATGATTTAAGTAACGATAATTTAGGGAATAATAACGCCAACCTGGAAGCCGAGATCGATTCCCTTCGATGGGAGTTAGACCAGTCGAAGAACAAAATCGCATCGCTTCAAAAGGCCCTCAACGAGAAGACCTTGGCCGAAGAAGAAAACGAGGCGAAGATTCAGCTCCTCAAGGGAGAAGTGGAGAAGCTAAAATTTCAAAAAGAGATGCTTGAAGATCGACTCAAATAAACGTCGCATATTATCAAACTATTATTTGTTGTTTCGTTTTTTTCTAGCAGGATTAAAGGCGGCCTTAGAGACCCAACTGAGGTCGGCGTTGGATTGTCTGGGTTAGTTGCCATTTCCCAGTTATCCACTTTTTCTCGGAGACTCATGTTGTACATTTGATCGTGCATCTGTTGGACTTTAGGATCAGATATTTCGGGACGGTGACTAGCTTGGCTTTTCGTGATGTAGCTTTCGGTTTGCGCAGGATGACCGGAAGGCGTCAGGTTTTCTAAAAAGCGTTTTTAGACTTCCAGGCGATAGATTTTTCTTTTAACTGTACCTTGATTGAAATTACCCCGTTGAAAGGGGCTCGTAATCACCGGCGCTTTGGCAGCTGTTCTTGGACTGGAAGTGAGGATAGGAAGGTTTTGGGCTTCCGGTCTTCTTAAAACCTCTGGTGGCTTCTTGAATTGGTTAGCCTCGGAATACACTTTTCTGAGAAAGCTCCTTGGCAAAGTTGAAAACCAGAAGAAAGAAAAGTCGAGAGCGAAAAAAGAGTTTCAGCTCCGAATACTCAAAATTGTTCCGAAAAAAGCATGATGGCCGTGCCCGACTCGAAACGAATCCAGAAACTCTCGCTTCAGTCCGATTTTGTCGACGATGGAGTCAGTCGATTTTGCAGAAGAATTGGAAAACTACATGGCCGAAAGAAGAGAAAAAACAGAGAAGAAAACGAAGCGGCGGGAAACTGGCCAGACTCCGCCGACTGTTATTATCAGGAACGGGAAATTTGACTGTTCAGATTTCAGAAATTTTCGAGTCGAAAAAAATCCCCCGAAAAAGAACACTCATAAGCGAGACTGGAAAAAGAAACGAAAAACAACGAGAAAAAACCTTGAAAAAATGCAACCTCTATCTCAGCGCGAAAAGTGAAATCATAGAAGACGACCTCGGCGAATTCTGGCTCAATATTGGTAAACAACAATTTTCGTTTTTTGCAGCTTTTTAACTTGGCTTTTTAGCTGGGAGCTTGAAGGATGTGGCAAGAGCTCTGGATGCGTTCACAAAAGAGTCTTTCGTCGCAGTCACGGCGGTAAATTTAAAATTTGACAAAATTCTAGAGCTAGATGAGCGAAATTCACTTTTGATTCGAAAATGAATCGGCTTTTTTTTCTTTGTCGATTCGAAAATGGTCTCGGCAACGGTTTGAAAAAACTGAGTCAGGATTTGAAATTTTCAAAGTCGTAGCGGCTTTCTCAAAAAACCTAGCCGCAGTTTTTAAAAATTTAGTCAAAATAGGAATTTTCGCAAAAACAAAATATATGGTTTTTAAAATTGCTATTTTAATTCAGTTTTTCAAAACTGCCGCTTCGCTTTTGAAAAAGCCGCTACGACTTTTTAAATCCTGACTCAGGTTTTTAAAACAGTTGCCGAGACCATTTTCGAGTCGAAAAAGTAGTTTTAAAAAGCCTTTTGATTCGGTTTCGACCCAATTTTCGCTGCTTATATTTTCTTCTCTTGATTTTTTCTTTCCTCGTTAACTTCATCTTTTCTAGCACCAGCACGGTCATCTGATCAAAGTCTACCTGCTCTCCTCGCTCGTCCGCGGAAAGAAACACAGCCACAAGAAAAAATTCGAGATTCGAGTTCTGCGCGCCGAGTGCTTTGGCTTCAAACTGCACCAGAAGATCAAAAGCTATTTGGAAGGAAAAGACGATGATTCCCAAACCAATCTCGGGCCCATCCTTCTCGATCCCGTCGATGTGAAGACAGAGCCTGAGCCGGTAGAATGCGTCAACTGCCAACTCGTCAAAAATGAAAAGCGAAAAGCGGACAACGAAATTATGCGACGAGAAAGAGTAAAGGGCAATCTAATATTGATGGTTTTGATAATTTTGATTTACTAATAGGAAAAACAAGCGCTGGTGGAAGGAATCAACAGAATGCTCGAAAAGTACTTGGCGCACGGATAAAAAAAATCTACTGTTATTTTGTAATTTGGGAAAGAAATAAAGAATCATTTATCGAAGCAAAAACCTAGGCTCGGCTACCTGTGTAGAAAACCTGAGTCAGGCTTGAAGAGCTAAAATGAAAAGCCGCGTGGCTCATATGTATTTTAAAAAATATATATTAGCTCTTCAAAGCCTAACTCAGGTTTTCTACACAGGTAGCCAAGCCCAGGCAAAAACTCACTGTCGAATTTTATCAATCTATTTTACACTTACTGTCAAGTTGACAGTACTGTCAACTTCATACTAACAGTTCTTTCCGGAGCATGACAACCTGTGTTGAAACCTGAGTCAGGATTTGAAAGATCTTTGATGAAAAGCTTTCACAAGAGATTTTTCAAACCCTGACTCAGGTTGCCGAGCTCAGGAAAGAACTGTTAGTATAAAGTTGACAGTAATGTCAACAGTTTTTTCCTGAGCTCGGCAACCTGTGTTGAAAACCTGAGTCAGGGTTTGAAAAATCTCTTATTCAAAGATATTTCAAATCCTGACTCAGGTTTTCAACACAGGTTGCCGAGCCCAGAGTATTTCTGCTTGCTCTTATTTCCAAGATTTATTCAGAAATAAAACTTCATCCCTAAAGAACTTTCAGTCCTTCAGAGTTGAAAATAAGGTGCACTGGAACTCGCGGAATTGTGAAATAGGCGAAAGAGAGGAGCTTTAGAAAACCGACGAGAGTTTTCTTCCAGCAGGGCGCCGTAGGGAGTGCCAACACTCGGTGGAGAGTTTGATTATCGCGCCACAGCCGAAAGAGCCAATAGAGCCTGCTACCGATGAGTCACGGCTAGGGTGACTTTTTCCGAAAGAGGTCACATGTTCTCAGTCGAAATTTTCGAATCTTCGTCTCAAAAAACTAAAATCCAATAAAATTTAAGGAGCGAAAAACTGAGATTCAGCTAGTTCTGCCGACTTACAGACAAGCCTCAGTATAAGACCACTTTTTGGAAAAAGAGCGAAGCGAATCTTCGAAACGAAAACGAGCGAAATTCATTAATTTGAGAAAAAAGTTTCGATTCAAAGATTCGCTTCGCTCTATTTTCAAGAAGTGGTCTTATACTGAGTCTTGTCTGTAAGTCTGTAGAATTATATGAATCCATTCTTCTTTTTTGACCTCGACATTTTGTGTAGAAAACCTGAGTCAGGGTCCTGAAAGAACTGGTGAATTTTAGCGAAACCGCTACGCCGCTTTTTTTTTATAGCTCTTACAGGACCCTGAGTCAGGTTTTCTACACAGGCTGTCGAGCTATTTTTCGAGCTATTTTTTCGAGTCAAAAATGAATAAAAAAATATTTTTTTTTTATTTACTGTAGAACCCGATTCGAAAGAGCTCTGGCGCTAGAAAGTGGCCTCATTTGGCGGTTGCGTGGCGACCCTATCGTTTGCTTTTGGCGAGAAAGGGTGGCAGGCCAGGCACACTCATTGCGTCGCTCTCACGCTGGCTGACTCTACTGCGGCCTACACGCTCGCTCCCCCGTTCTCATCCCTTTTTCGAGACGCCTTTTTCCAACCAAAAAGTTATGCCAAACCTCTTTCTTTTCAAAGACTGAAAAAAACATTCAAAAAAGAGTCATTATTTTGATTTTTTAAAGTTCGGAAATTCAGAGATTTTGAAAGAACGAAAAAGAAAGAAAAAAAAAACGAAGAAAGAAAATAAAAAGGAATTTTTTCTTTAAATTTTTTATTATTTAATTCAATTTTCTGTAGATGAAGAAATGAGTTAATGAAAATGAATTTAAAAAAATATTATTTCTGAAAAGTATATTTTCTGCTTACTTTTGTGGAATTGGAATTCGTAATTATGCGGTTTAGTTTTACTAAAAATACATCTGCGCCAGTTATTTTGAAGAAAATCAAATTAGGAAATCAATTAGCTCCTTCTTTTTGAAATAGAGGCCGCTATTTTAAGAAATACGGAAAAAGTAATTGCAACTAAGGGTGTCCTCGAGATTGTCGAGGATAGGGCTTGGCGACCTGTGGGGAAACCTGAGTCAGGGCAGAGAAAGATCCCACAGAGAAGGTTTTTCAGAACCCTGAGTCAGGTTTTCTGCGCAGTTTCAGAAGCCGAGCTCAGCCTGTGTAGAAACCTGTCTCAGGGTTCTGAAAGAGACTCAGTATAATTCCTCTTCGCATAACTCTTTCAGGACCCTGACTCAGGTTTCTACACAGGTTGCCGAGCCGAGGGGAAAGCTAATGTCTCGTAGACTACCAAGGCCGATTTTGTCTAAGACGCGTCATTTTCCCTCGATCTAAGCAAAAAGCAAAACAATTGCTTCATTAAAACTAATTTACGAGTATCTTTCTCTCTTTCTCTGAACCAAAGTAGTCTTTTTTCATAGCCTTTTTATTCAGTTTTGTTTCTTTTTAGAAGGTTCGAAAATGAGTTGATAACGCGAAATCGGCATCACTTTGTCGAAAAAACACTGCGAATTGCGGTCGTCCAATTCTCCAAGTTCCGGGGCCAGTAGCCGGGGCTATGCTCCCCTACCATGGCGGCAGTCTGGCATACCAACAGCCCAAGAAGACAAACAGCAAGAAGAAAGACAGTCACAGGTTAGTACTATCTACTGTCTATTGACTGCAGACCACAGGAACTTTTTAATGCTAGGGTGAGCATATTTTATGGGTTTTATTGAAAATATCGGGGTTTATGGGTTCCAGCAGTATTTGATGATCTAACACGAAGAATTCTAGCGTGATTGAATAAGAAACCATTTTCTTCGTGCAAATATGGGTTCTATGAGGGTTTTTAGCCACCCAGAGTTCTTATGATCCATCAAAGGAATACATGATTTTGATTGGTGTAAAATCCCTATAGAACGCCCATTTATTCGAAGAAATAGGCTTTTCATCCAATCAGGAACTGTTATTCTATACCTCAGCCAATCAAAAATGACTATTCCCCAAAAAACCCATATCTTATAAAAACGGGCAGCATCGTTTTTATCATAATCTTGTTTTGATCGTCGCGTCTTCTCTAGAACATCTACCTTCGGATTTGATTTTGCGCCTCTTTGGCAAGTGAAGATGGTAGTTAGAATCGCGGAGTAGAGCTTAATCGGCCCATAGCGGGTCGCACATGCAAATCGCTACAACTTAGGGTTATCCAAAGCGCCAAAAGTAGCTTCTTCTTTTCGTGTTTTTTCGGTCCAAATGGATAATCCGTCGCAAGTCAGTATGGCCCATGTTTCGTCCCCTGTCAGTACTACCATCCCCAAGACAGATACCAGTACAGTTACCATCAGTACAATCAGCAGCGACGAATCAGGCAGCATTTTTCCCAAGACAGAAGTAGACCCCCAATTTCTTTCAAAACGCCGGACGGTTTGACCGATTCTGGGCTCGGCAAAAACATCAAAAAAATTATATTTTATATGGAAAGAAAGAACGAGAAGCCGCTTGCGGCTTCGAGTTCCAAAACCAAAGAAGCCGCTAAAAGCGCTACTCTATTAATATTTTATTGAAAGCTACACTTTTGAAGCTCGAAGTCGCAAGTGGCTTCACGATTTACTTTAATCGTTTCTTCTTCTTTTTTTGACGAATAATTGAATTGAGTTCGTTTTCTGCCGAGCTCAGCTGACGGTGTACCCAAAGGCCCTGCCCTCAGTTCATTTGTGGAATGGACTGTCTCAAGATTACCAGTACCGATGTGGGCTAATCCACCATCAGCAGCAGCAGCAGCAGGGTCGCAAAATGAAAATCCCGTTCTTCCGCTCGCCCGGCAGAAAGTATCGATTCTATCACCCGCCGAATCCGTACGTCTCCTTTCTCTTTCTTCGTTTTTTTTTTCTTTTCGTTGAGGACGAGCTAAATCTAAATCAGATAATTACCGAAATCGAGGACTGGAGAATATTCCAAAAGTAGCTCAGTCGTGACCAAATACCGTACCACACTTCTCCGCTCTCGCGAGTAGCCATTTTTACCATTTGAAATTAGAAAGAAAACAAAACGAAAGAATGAGAAAAACGCGCAAAACAGCGTCAAGTTATAACTTTGCAAATGTCACGTATCCCTTTTCTATATCAGAAAGCTTCTTTCACAAGGATCGTTTTGGCGAAATTCAACTGCGTCGCGTCAACTTCGAATAATGCTTTCTAGCCCCTTAAATCATCGCTAAAATTCAAATCAACAGCATAAATAGCATGATAAGAAAGCTTTTCTATGATGCAAGTTTAGTTGAAAACGCAGCGCGGCTTTTTGTTTGAAGCTCATGCCGCAAGGGACTTCGATATTGCCAGTTTTACTTATTTTTAGTGATGATCTAAGGGAGTTAAAGGTGTTCAACGAGCTTAGATGGGTTAAAAAGGGCCTTAGACGAGAATGGGTTAAAGGCTGTTTCACTCTTTCGAGTCTTGAGATCCGCATTTTTTGACGAGACGCAATTGAATTTCGCTGTTTGAAGGCTCGATTGTTTCAACTTCGAGAGTTCCGACGGTAGTAGTTAAAACTTTAAAACTATCGAATTATTTTAACGTTACTTTTTGTTTCTTTGAAAGGAAACGGGAAGCCCATTTCGTTTTCGTTTTTAACCTGTTTGTTTTTCAGTGAGGGCGACTACAAGCTGGTGCAGCATGAAGTGCTAGCGTCGCCGACGTCGCGTTATGAAGTGCTGGAGTTTCTGGGGCGCGGAACATTCGGCCAGGTGGTGAAATGCTGGAAACATGGGACGAACGAGATTGTGGCGATTAAAATTCTGAAGAACCACCCTTCATATGCTCGGCAGGGGCAGATTGAAGTGTCCATCCTCACCCGCCTGTCGATGGAAGAGGCCGAAGAGTTCAACTACGTCAGGGCGTTCGAGTGCTTCACCCACAAGAGCCACACCTGCATAGGAACAAGGTCGAAAACCTATAACAGCTAGAATGATATGAAGACCCTTTGATGAGGGTTTTTAGGCTCTAGTCAAACTTTTGACCTGGAAAAAAGTGTTTGAAATGCTGGAGCTGAACCTGTACGATTTTCTGAAGAACAACAAGTTCTGCCCGTTGAAGCTGAAGTATATCCGGCCGATTATGCAGCAAGTGTTGACGGCGTTGATGAAATTGAAGCAGCTGGGTCTGATCCACGCCGATTTGAAGCCCGAGAACATTATGATGGTGGACCCGGCCAGATACCCTTACCGAGTGAAGGTGATCGACTTCGGCTCGGCTAGCCACGTGAGCAAGGCTGTCCCGAGTACTTACCTGCAGAGTCGTTACTACCGCGCGCCGGAGATCATCCTCGGCCTCCCCTTTTCCGAGCGAATCGACATGTGGTCGCTGGGCTGTGTCGCGGCAGAGCTCTTTCTCGGCTGGCCACTGTATCCAGGCGCCAGCGAATACGACCAGATCAGATACATTTGGTAAGTTGTTCGGCGAAAAAGACGAGATTTCGACTTGCCCGAGTTCAATTTGATTTTTCGACAAATTCAAATTAAACTCGATGAAGCCAAAATCCACTCATTTTCAATAAAAAAGATCTGATTCTCGTTAGCCGTCGAAGAGTTACCCTATCTCTTGTCACTCTCTTTCGATTTCTCGAAAAAAATAAAATTTTCGTTTTTCCGGATCATCTGCAGCTCATCCTCGGTGCATGAGTCATCGATGACGCGCCGTGGGTGGCCACTAGTGGTGGAATGCTCCAGCGTTCAGTACCTAATTTTGAATTTAGGGAAAAACGCAATCATAAATTACTGAATAAAGAAAGAGATTGACTAGAAATATAACTTCCGGATGATCCCTTGTATCATTTTAGTTGCTTTATTCACTGTTGATAGTGAAGAAGGCAGATACCATGATACCATGGCATTCGGTTATTCGACAGTGCGTTATTAAAAAGAAGCGAGTGAGACGAGGCCTTTTTACGGAAAGGAAAGTCTCTGCTGATCTCTTATTGTTTTTTTTTTTCACTAGGGCTTATTTACATGCGAATAGGGAGTGACACCCTTACTTCTTCTTGCCAAAACATAGCTCTAACCTTCATCCTCTCCCCCTGAAAGTCACTGAAAGTTCTATAAGTTCGTGATGCCCTTTATAATAAAGGCTTTATCTATCATTAATATTCATTCATTATAGCAAAAATAATGATTTGTTGGATAAATAAAAGCTTAAAATTAAGGGTATAGATGTCAATAAAAACATTCAGTAGCTTTTAGCGGGGACGATAAAGGTTGAGGCTATATTTAGGCAACGTGAAGTAAGGGTATCGCCATGTTTATTTTCGCGGAAGCTTCGATAATTAAGAGTCCAACAAAATTCGTCGTCATTCATTTTTTCTTCAGTCAAACGCATGGTCTGCCTCCAGAGCACATGCTCAACGCCGCCTCGAAAACGAAGAAGTTCTTCTCCCGAGCTTACGACACGCCTAATCCGCTGTGGTGCCTCAAGCCGCAAGAGGAGATGATGGCCGAGTACAACATCAAGTCAAAAGAAGCGCGAAAATACATCTTCAATTGCCTAGATGACATGGCTCGAGTGAACATGCCAAAATACGAGTCTTCCGAGCTGCAAGTTGAAAAGGTTCGATTTGACAGCTCTGAAGGGCGATTGTCCCCTGCCAAAACCTGAAAAAGGGTCTATTACCACTTCTTTCGTTGATAAAGGACAAAGACGTCACTATTTAGATCTTTCACCTGCGAATACGGATTTTACTCTTCGAGTAAATCTAGTGATACCTTTCTTTTCTTTCACAGACTAGCAAACTTTATCGTTATCTAGACGATACTGCCGCGACACCCTTAATTTTGGACAGAAGAACAAGATATGGTTAGAAGTTTTTTTTCAATGCCAAAATTAAGGGCATCACTTCAGTAAATTCAAGATTGTTTCTAACTGAAGAATATTACAACATTCTGGTGGTAGACAATACGGGTGTCACAATATTAGCTCGGATTTAGAACGTTAGAGCCTCTAGAAGTAAAGTCTGTATTTTCAGATGAAATAAATTCGTCGAAGTCAATTATCTTTCTAAGCTAACATTATTCGTTTTCAGCACGATCGACGCGAGTTCCTGGATCTCCTGAAGAAGATGCTGGTGATGGACGACCAGTACCGAATCAACCCGATGGAAGCGTTGCAGCACAACTTCATCACGATGGGCCACTTTGTCGAGTGCGCGAACTCGCATCTCGTCAAATCCTCGCTGCAGAAGATGGAAGTTTGCAAACGAAAGGTAACAACGCAAACGGCGATTCAAAGAACTACCCGACTCTTTTCAGCATAATTACTACGAACTGGCTTCCAACTTCCAGAAGATTCAACGGGCGATGGAATCGTACTCGAAGCCGATTTCGCGACGATCACGAATCGGTAAGTACCACCTAAAGAGGACTATTTAATCGAGAAGTCGCTTGTGTCTATCACCTTAGCATAAACTCTTCCTTATTCATGTTTCTAGAGCGAACGACGGATTTCCAACCAAATCTCGTCGGCGGCTTGAATTTCGCTGATCAGCTGGCTTCGCAGACGCTCTCCCAGGTATTCTTGCGCGATGGAACTGTTTAAGAAACGCTTTTAGGTCTTACTTGGGCCGTACGGACAGCCACAAGGGCTAGGCGATCTCACACCAGGAATTCGACTTGATCCGACGCTGCTCGCTCCCAACGCTTTGGGTGGCAATGCGGCCAGCGCAACCACACTCGTCGGCCCGTTTCAGAACTCACCGATGCAACTGCTCAATCCGCTCGGCTTGACTGGCGCTGGTGGCTGGCCCCTTGGACCTTTGGGGCCCACAAGGTCCACTCTTCCCGAAAACGATCTCTTTTCCAGGCAGCCTTCTTCGCTTACTTCGAGGTGGGAATAAGAAGAGATATCTTTATTAGTGATATCAAAGTTTGGACTACTATTTACTTCGTTGACTAACTTCTCCATTAACTATCTTAATTCAGGTCTGTACGCGGCCAGTCGCCAACGGACAGCAATCGAATGGAATGCGAAACGCAGAAATCGACGAAGAAGTCGTCTCGCCTGTCGCGGCAGCCCTCGTCGCGCCAGTTCGCGCCCGTCTTTCCGCAGTCAGAGAAGACGCCGGTGATCGTTTCGCAGCCGGGCGCGGTCGGAAGCTCGAGGAACAAGTTCTTGAAGCAGACGCCTTGCTCGCGCTCGCCATCTCCGGGTACAAAAATGAATTTGATGGAGGATGATAGTCACATGAATCCTTCAGCGTGTTCTATCATTACGATCTCGTCCGAGTCCGAGGAGGACAAGCACAACAATGGGTTGGGCACGCGCAACGGCGGGAACTCGGCGGCGCGAGAGAACGGGAAAAAATCGAGCGGACGGCAAAATCACACGAATAATTTAGTCGGCGCCAATTCGCCTCTCATGCAGTCCACGGGGCGACCCATGGTCAGCTCGGTCGACGATGGACCGCCTCTGTTCCTTCCTCTCAACGAACAGATGCAGACCAACTCGCAGAGCATGCACAGACAGAACAGCGAAATAGACGTAAGATACTCTCTCAGAAATGGACCTCAAAGTAAAGCTTCCCTTCTAGCGCAAGTTCTACCCGAACCCATCTGTCAAAACAGAACCGGAGCACGAGCTCCTCGCTCCAAGCGCATATCGTGGCTCGTCGGTGGATTTCACCGCCCGCTCCACCGCCGACTTCTTCAACTCGTCCTCCGCTTACCAACCTGCGTTCAAGGGTGAATTGCAAATGAATCAAGACCGAATCAACCAATGTAACGAATCTCAAAGCAAAATATCCGATTTAATAATATTCCAAATTTCAAGTCCAAATTCAAGCTTCAAATTTGTCAATTTTGAATTTTGATTTCGTAAAAAATCGCCAAATTATGATTTAATTCTTGACGTTAATGGCGATTTAGTGTACGGCCGGAACAATCTTCCTGTCAATTTGCCGAGCAGGTCACCGACGCACAGGTAACGGGAATCAGTCTAGAGCCAAAAGAACGAGACGCATCATTTTCTAGCGGCTTGGCAGCGACGCAGTCTATTATCCCTCCGAGTAATCCGCTCTGTGGTTTCCAGCCGCTCGCGCAGCAGCAGCAGGCGCTAAACGGTAAACACGGCAAATTTTGGCGAAGCACCCTGTGTAGAAAACCTGACAGAGGATATTAAAGGGCAAATAGAATGCCGAATCTATAATAAAATACTGAATTCAGGTCTGAAGCAAAGCTACGGACGACGAGATGCGCCTTCACCTCGCTCGGTTTTGCTTGGGATTCGCGATCGACGAACGGAGGAGTCTTTACGAGATCCAAACTCTTTTTGTAGCGTAACCGTAGCTCAACCCTGTAGCTCCTATCTCTCCCCCAACTTCCTCAGTTTAACACCAATTCGCACGGGAACGGCATCGCGCAGGTCAATTCAATCAGTTCCGCGCGCTCTCCCTTCCATCTTCCATCCAGTGCGGCCTTTTTCCAGCAGCCAGCAGCGGGGCCAGCAGGGCTCAACTCACTAATTAACACTCAAGGAGGACGACAGGTCTTTCGCGCTAACCCTAACCCGACCAACGGTTCTGCTATTAACCCGCAGCAGGCGCACATGACCTCGGTCATCCAGCTCAACCCGGCGTATGGCCAGACGCCCGTGTTCTTTTAACCCCGACTGGAAATGAAGCTAACCCGGTTGCGACTAACCCTTTCTTTGCGAATTTCTCCGCCACTAACAACCCATAATCCAATCTACAATTGCATGAGACATTGACATTTTTCATTTTCGCTTTTTCGAATCCCACTAAAAGCAGTCCGCTGCCGCCTATAACTCCGCCTTTCCTGCTGGTCTTCTTCCGCATGGCTTGCCACTTATCGTAAGTCTTCTTACAGTAGCAACTGTTTTCAGAACAGGCTCAGAACCACAGTCTTTCAGAATTCCTAAAACTAACTTGGTGATTTTTAGCCGCAATATGGATCTAGCAGATCGGGAGGGAACTCGCTATCGAGTGCGTACGCGTTGGCCGCAGCTTCGCCTTCCGCTGGCGGATTCTACTACAATCCGCTCAATCCGAGGCACAATCCGTATTTGCTTCAGTAAGACGCACTTACACATCTCAGTAACCGTCATTCTGGATTTTTCACAAGTCCACTTCTACTGACCTTTCCTTCAGCAGCAGCTCGTCTGTTTGCTCCACTCCCTCTTTCTAACTGTAAGCGTTTCTAACCTTACCGTTACCCTCTTTCCACCAATTCCCAGAATCCGGGAATCGATGTTTTGTTGCTTTCTATAATTAATCGAATATTCTCCAAGCTTATTCGAAGCGATCTATATAACCCAGAATTAAAAAAATTCAAAAAAAACCACAAAACTAAGGGTCAATCGTGATCCCTAACCAAAAATATTTATTGTTCTCGTTTTAGCCTTAGCGTTAATTCGTCATTTATTATAATTTTACTCCTTCTCTTACTGTATTTCCGAGGACACCAGATGCGCCAGGAGACTAAGAGAAAGTAAACCTCTACAGAAGCGTCTTTGGATAACGCATGATTTCCATCCTGTCTGCTGATCAGTCGGTCAACCAATCAGCGGAAAGGATGGAAAGCATTCGTTATCCAAAGAGGATTCTGTAGCTATCGAATCGAATCAATTGCCCGGCGCATGTGCACAAAAAAGAGGAATGATCATAACTTAAAGTTCGCACGATCATATTTCGCGTTTATATATATAAATCTAAAGATGTCTTGTGTGTGTCCCTGTTATTATGCCTGTTTTACATAGTACCCATATTGTATATTGAATTATCCCCGATGAGCGGGCCCTACTTAAACTACGCTTGTGAAGAGAACTTCCTCTCGAAAGAAAAGAACAGCGCCAGAGAGCTTCTCATGAGCTAGTCGTGTTGTATATTTTTTCAGATAGACCATCATCATCAAAAAAAACACCATCAATCAAGAAAGACCCTTTTCAAATGTACATAGTTCTTTTTTTCTTTAATCCCCTTTGTAAAAATGAAATAAATTTGCAATGAGTGTTGATGGTAATAAAATGATAGCCTTGACGCAACAAGACGCGGTTTTTCAACGCTTTCGATCATCCTCCTTTCTGCTCTACAGTTAGAGGCACTCTTTCCCTCTTTCTCCAATTTCTAAATGTACCCGTGTATCCAGTCTTACATTGCTCTATCCACCCTCTTTTTATGTACTGTTCTTCTTTTTTTCTGATTCATCTATGAAGCTAGTACTCCCTGTTCAAAACTCACTACTACTAAACTCATCCAACTTATATATTCATTTTTTCTTCTTTATATCCTTGATTTCGATTCTACCTACCAAAAAATATACTTTTTATTCATTATTTTTTTCTTTATTTAAAGTTCTTCTGCAATGCTGTAGTCTTTGCATGCCAACAAAAAAAATATCCAAAAGCATCATTTTCATTAAAAAAAAATATATATATTTCAAAGTTTTCCGCTTTATTTCCAAAACTTTAGTTAAGTAAAAGAGGTATAAATTACTTTACTAAGGCCAAAATATAATTTACAAAAGAATTTAATACTGTATCAAGACTCTTATTTCGTGAAAATGAAGCTGTTTTGTTCCAAAATAAATAAACAATAATTTGAACATCCAAAATGCGAAAAAAGAAAAGGTCACTTTTTCGTGGTTATCTTCGTTCTTTATTTCAAAGTTTTTGTTTTGACTAGGTGAAAATAAATAAATTGCAGGTTTGATGCAGAGCTAAGAAAGGAGCGATAACAGCGGTGTCATTACAATTTCATATCCTCTCAAAATATTAGCAATAATTTTTGAGAGAAGAGTTGGAGCACCACTGCCGAGTAGTCCAACAGAATCACCTTGGCAAGAGTCGATTCCGCGTTGGCCGGGCATGTCTTTCTCCCCCTCTGCGTCTGAATCTCCATGTCTTCCGCTTGCTCCATCTCGTCCTAGAAACATTTTCAAAAATTCAAAAGAATAATTGCTATTCTACCGAATTCGCCATGGGAAGAGTCGATTCCAGGATCTGTCAATCCATTGCCATCAGGGAGTTGGCTCGTTGGCGCTTCGAATAACTGCAGTTGGCGTAGTTGGCGCTGCTGTTTGCCAATGTTGACGCTATCGCACTCCAGAGAACGCTGCTGCTTGCCACTCTCATTTGAGGCCAGAACAACAGGGAAGAACAGGAGGATGAACAGGAGGAAGAACAGGATGAAGAGGCAGCGATTTCTTTTTGAATTCGATTCTTCGGGAGAGACGGTGTTATCTTTTCAAAGGTTATAACTTATAAGCATGGATCTTGTTGAGAAGGTGTAAGACAAGGCGCTCTACCAAATTTTGAATTACGCTTGATTGATTTCACTATCTATAAACTTTAGTACTTGTTTATCCTTTCCTGATTCATCGTAAGCCTCAGTGTTTGTTGCAGAGTCAGAGGTCTTGACGGCAGTCTGGACTGCAGTCTCGACGGTGTTTTTCTGGTAAGTTTTCTGGTAAAGTCGTTCTACAGCGTCGAGCGTCTTATAAGCATTAAAATTATCTATGAGATAAAGAGTAACCTGTCCGAAATTCCGCTTGAGTCGAGGCAAATCATTCAAATTTGCATTGAGGTCCTCTGATTTTTGTAAAAGCTCGTCTAGTCGATAATCGCACTCCGGCTAAAAACTTCTTTAATCGAAAGAACAGACCCTTGTCTAAATTCTAGCGCAGCTTCGCCATGATTCATCAAGTAAGAAAAAATTTTAAACCCATTTTAGCTTATTTTTGGTTTCAAATCACTCCCTAGTAATTATTATAGATAGACCTCTTATTTGTCGATTTTGTTAACAATAATAACCGTACCTGTAGATTTAGTGCCAGTGAATTGTCGCTGCTCATTCTCTCTCTCTTCTTTTTGAAAAAAATTAGAAATGAGAGAAGGAGCCGGTGCCCAAAAATATTTTCCAGGTGCGATACTAAGATATTTCCGTAAAAGGAAATTTTAACAAAAAAAAGAAAACAAGTTGTTTCGGATGGATGGCGGGCGCTATCGGTCTAACAGACTAACCCTAACCCTTTGATGGATTCTACGCCCTCCTACTCTAGGAATCACAGAACACGGATATGATATGATATCGAAATGAGACATGAAAGAGACATTTTTTTTTAATTTGAGAAGTTCTGTTCAGTTTCGTGAAGAAAAGCGTCATTTTGATATTCTCGGACTTGGAAAGGATCAAGTCTGTGTCGGCAGGATTGAAGTAAGATCAACGTCTAAGCATTTGCATTTCTGTACAATTTCGACCTGAATTCAGAAGATCTTTAAGGGGATAGCTAGCAGGATCGCGTGTTGATTTTTCATTTTACATAGTGACTCCCTTATTTTTCATCTAAGAAAGGTTTTTAGGGGAATACTTTTTCCTCTGTAGGCCAAAAAGGGTCTTCTTTCTTTTTGTTAATTAAAATAAGGGTGTCACTATGATAATTCTTCTTTGAAAATTTTTCTTTATAAAGTTCGTTTTTTACCTTTTTCCGTATCTTCTTTCGTCGTCTATTATCGTCTTTGCAGTGGAGAGTCACATATTTAAAAGTCGTCTTATGTGGTTTGCCTTAACAGCTCGTTAAAATCTGTAATTTACGCTACTTTGGCTTTATTGAAGCGCCACCCCGAGCGGGAGGGATGTGTTCGACGAGATTTACCACCTCGTGAAGCTATGTCGGCAGAGTCCTTTATCTTCAGAGGAGCGCGCCGCGGGGCATTAACACCCGAGCCCGGGGCGAGTTCTGCGCCCTTCGCGCCCCGAAACCCAGCGCGAAAATGATTTCCAGAGTTCAAGATTAGCTAGTAGTGCACATACGACCCGCTTCGGTACAGTACTACGTGCTTACAGTAAGAGCAGGAGGCGAACGGCTGGATCTCGGAAGAAGACGGAATGAAGAAGGAGTTGCACTGCCCGTAGCAATATCTGAAAACGTAAATAAATCAGAATTCACCTCAAAAAATCAGCTAAAAAACGAGGAAAACTCAAATTTTCTTCCTTGATTTCAACAAAAAAAACGTACTTGTTTGTGATTGTGCGCGATTTGCAGCCGTCGGCGAAGACTTCGAACTTGACAGAGTGCGCCTTGCATTTTTCTTTCTTCACGAGCAGCCGGTCTTAGAGGAATTAATGATTTATGCTGTGCGAACGGGTAGCGAACTTCACGTGAGAGCTACACTCAGTGTTGGAAAAACCCGCCCGCGAACCCCGCGGGGGCGGCGGGCGGGGGTTGCGGGCGCCCGCGCCCCCCGTACCCGCAAAAAATTTCGGATCTGGCCCCCGCGCCCGCCCGCGACCGCAAAAAATTTCTGATTTGGCCCCCGCGCCCGCCCGCGCCCGTACAAATTTTTTCAGCCGCCCGGGGCCCCCTTCCCTCGCCTTGAATTTAAATTGAGCTTGACGGCCAAATGGCCGATTCCCCCCTTTTTCTCCCTCCTTGGTTTTTGAATTCAAGGGATTCCCCTGTTTTTTCAACTCTTTATCACAGGTCTCATGGCATGTTAACCTTACAACGACAAACCGGAATTTCACCCGCCGACGACAATTGTGGCATGTATGGCACATGGATTTTAATGCCATCGTTTGATCAATAGAATGCCCGAAACCAAAGCCTAACCCAAACCAAAACAGAGCCCGAAACCTAAACTCGAACATGAACCTAGTGTCCATCCCAGTCTAGTGACCAAAATGGAAGAAATGGAAGAAAAGAGAAAAATGGGCGTTAAAAAGTTTTTGTGCCATATATTCCCAGCTTTCTGAGAATCATTTTGATGTATCACACTATCCCTTAACAAACATCTTAACCCGAAATTTTTGCCCACGTAAAAATGGGTATAAATAGTACTAAGCGTGAAAATGGCGATTTTTTCCGCCTTCGGGCCGTCTCAGCCCTGTTCCATGATTTTTGAATTTAAGGGGCTTGACGGCCCTTCGGGCCGTCTCAGCCCTGTTCCATGATTTTTGAATTTAAGGGGCTTGACGGCCCTTCGGGCCGTCTCAGCCCTGTTCCATGATTTTTGAATTTAAGGGCTTGACGGCCCTTCGGGCCGTCTCAGCCCTGTTCCATGATTTTTGAATTTAAGGGGCTTGACGGCCCTTCGGGCCGTCTCAGCCCTGTTCCATGATTTTGAATTTAAGGGCTTGACGGCCCTTCGGGCCGTCTCAGCCCTGTTCCATGATTTTTGAATTTAAGGGGCTTGACGGCCCTTCGGGCCGTCTCAGCCCTGTTCCATGATTTTTGAATTTAAGGGGCTTGACGGCCCTTCGGGCCGTCTCAGCCCTGTTCCATGATTTTTGAATTTAAGGGGCTTGACGGCCCTTCGGGCCGTCTCAGCCCTGTTCCATGATTTTTGAATTTAAGGGCTTGACGGCCCTTCGGGCCGTCTCAGCCCTGTTCCATGATTTTGAATTTAAGGGGCTTGACGGCCCTTCGGGCCGTCTCAGCCCTGTTCCATGATTTTTGAATTTAAGGGCTTGACGGCCCTTCGGGCCGTCTCAGCCCTGTTCCATGATTTTTAATTTAAGGGGCTTGACGGCCCTTCGGGCCGTCTCAGCCCTGTTCCATGATTTTTGAATTTAAGGGCTTGACGGCCCTTCGGGCCGTCTCAGCCCTGTTCCATGATTTTGAATTTAAGGGCTTGACGGCCCTTCGGGCCGTCTCAGCCCTGTTCCATGATTTTTGAATTTAAGGGCTTGACGGCCCTTCGGGCCGTCTCAGCCCTGTTCCATGATTTTTGAATTTAAGGGCTTGACGGCCCTTCGGGCCGTCTCAGCCCTGTTCCATGATTTTTGAATTTAAGGGCTTGACGGCCCTTCGGGCCGTCTCAGCCCTGTTCCATGATTTTGAATTTAAGGGCTTGACGGCCCTTCGGGCCGTCTCAGCCCTGTTCCATGATTTTTGAATTTAAGGGGCTTGACGGCCCTTCGGGCCGTCTCAGCCCTGTTCCATGATTTTGAATTTAAGGGCTTGACGGCCCTTCGGGCCGTCTCAGCCCTGTTCCATGATTTTGAATTTAAGGGGCTTGACAATGGCTGGGAACTCTAAGTTGATCAATCTCAGTTTTGTCCCCAACCCCACCCACACCCATCGTTTGAAAAATTCAAATTATCTTAGTTTATAACTCTATTATGGTTTTTATCAAAAATTATTTTTTATTTGCTGATTTCTGAACCCGCGGGGCTTGCGGACGCGAGGGTTACGGGCGCCCTCCACCCCCCGGGCGCCCGCGGGCGCGAAAATCTGCGGGGCCCCTGCCCGCGCCCGCCCGGACCCGCACGAAATTTTTGAGTTGGCCCCCGCGCCCGCCCGGACCCGCAGGAAATTTTGGAATTTGCCCCCGCGCCCGCCCGCACCCGCGGAAAATTTTGAAATCGGCCCCCGCGCCCGCCCGCGCCCGCGGGAAATGTTGCGGGTTTTCCAACACTGGCTACACTCTTCGCTTTTCGCTATTTTCACTTTCGCCAAAATAGAATTTTCGATTTTAAAGATTTTGTATTACAAAATTTGTAAGAAAGTAATTTTTAAAATTATTTCTTGCTATTTTTATAATTTTGAAATCAACAAGAACACTAGCCCTCGGCTCGGCAACCTGTGAAGAAAACCTGAGTCAGGGCCAGAAAAACCGTTTAAGAAAAGCCGCAAAGCGGCATTTTAAAATACGAGCCAGAATTTGAAATTTGATTGAAAAAGTTGATTTGTGAAGCCGCTCTGCGGCTTCGTTTTTCAAAAAAGCCGCTACGCGGCTTTTCATTAGAGATCTTTCTGACCCTGACTCAGATTTTCTTCACAACGTTTGAATTCTGTCCTACCTATAACGATGTGAGCTTCATCGGTGGAAGAAGTGAGTTTGTCCTCTGGCGTCTGAACTCTTCTACATCTCTTTGAGCGGCGTCCCTTGGAATCCCGTAAAGAAATCTGGATTTTAGAAAAAGGAAGTGCTTACTTCGCAGGAGCTGGTTCTCTGAATGGAAAGGGAGTCTTCCGACGACACCGCCAAGCAGTTCGAGAAAACGCAGAAAACGACGAGCAGATTGAGAGCTTTCGCGATCAGCGTCGAGTTTCTCATAAGCGTCCGTGGCAACTTTCAGCAAGAAAGTTTGATTCTTTCTTGGTTGGAAAGAAAGCGCATCTGACCCGCCGCCGCCGCCCTCAACAATATTTCAACTCAAGACTTTCGGGAAAAAGCACTTCTGCTCCTCCAGCCACCTGACGCCAGCCGAAGCCCGTCAAGGTCGACGAGAAGGCGCCAAACTCGAAAACTTACAGACTGTTTTTTTTTCGTCGGAAATGCTTTTGTCCTTTTTCTCTCTTTTTTCTTTCGCTCAGTTTTTTTCTCTTCTGATTTGCTTTTGCAAGTTTCTTTCTTTTTCTTTAATTCTAGCTTCGCGCGTCGGGAAGTGCGTGCGAGGAGCTCTAGATCTGATTCTGGATGGATTTACTTTTTGGTTCCTCAGGCTGGCTGACGACTTAGGGCGCGCGAGACACCCCTAATGCCTCGAGGCGATCCAAGGCGCTGTGCCTGAAGAAATGAACTTCGTCAGAAAAATAGTAACATTGCGATCTAAATCTTCTTTTAGAACAGCTGTCTTTCAAATTTATAATTTATCGGCGATCTGTGGAAAGAGTCTGAGTCAGAGTCCAAAATAAAATTTTTCATACTCTGACTCAGAATTGCTGCTCAGGTTGCTGAGCCCAGATACAAAATCCGTAAATCTGGGGTTGGGTTCGGCAACCCTTGTAGATAACCTGAGTCAGAGCCTGAAAGAGCTTAAAGGAAAAGCCGCCTAGCGGCTTTTTTATAAACAAAGCCGCGGAGCGGCTTCGCGAATATTACCATCACAATCTCTTTTTGATTTCTGGCGAAGCCGCTTCGCGGCTTAGTTTATGAAAAAGCCGCTCGGCGGCTTTTCATTTATGCTATTTCAGGCCCTGACTCAGGTTATCTACACAGGTAGCCGAACCACGATCTGGTGTATTAGAATTTCTGGATGAATAAATGATAATTTCAAAAAGACAAATCTAAAACAGTATGAACCTTATTTCTTGAATACCAGGAGCTAATAGGGGCTCGGAAGGAGGCAGCAGGTCGGCGCCCGGCGTTGTTGACGGTGTCTGGTTGTGATTCCAGCCCGGATCCGGAAACCGGGAATAGCCACTCTTAAACAGATGCGGCAGACACCAGTCCGACGCCACGAGGCATCATCCTCAAATCCTTTTGTGTGCCCATGTGCTTGAAGATCAATCCTGCTCGAATATTTTAAAACTGTGCTGAGCCGCTTCAAGCATAAAAGACGCTCTGCCGCGGCGTAAAGAACACAACAATCCTACTTTTCCATGCTCGGATTTACCTGCTAATCCGCTTCAAGGAGAAAAAAATGAGAATTATTTTCCAAATTTGAAATTCCAATGAATTCATAAATTCTGGCAAAGTGGCTTTGCGGGTAGGCTTCACTTGGACAAGAGCTTCACTTGGACAGAGCTTCATTTGGACAGAAGCTTCACTTGGACAAGATTTTTAAAAGGTCCTCTTTACGAATTTTAAGTACGATTCTTAGGAAGAAAGTAACGCTTTTTATAAAATTTGCAAGTTTCTTCCATAAACATCTGATAAAATAAATTTATTGGTGATAAAATGGTATTTTTCACTTTTTAGATAAAGAAAAACATCTTATAGTGTTAATTATTAATGAAATTTCGCCATAATAATATTTTATTAGTTACGTTATTCATATATAGTCGTTTTTGAAATTCGTAAAAATCTTGTCCAAGTGAAGCTTCTGTCCAAATGAAGCTCTGTCCAAGTGAAGCTCTTGTCCAAGTGAAGCCTACTCGTGGCTTTGCGGCTCCCTTTTTGAAAAAAGCCGCTAAGCGGCTTTTCAATAAAGATCTTCTTGGCTCGGCAAACTGAGTAGAAAACCTGAGTCAGGCTCTAGAAGAGCCAAAATGAAAAGCCGCGTAGCGGCTTTTTTAAAAAAGAAGCCGCGAAGCGGCTTCACAACTTGTGAATCACAAGTAAACCGTTTAAAATTTCTTTGAACTAGTTTTTAAAAAAGCCGCTACGCGGCTTTTCATTTTAGCTCTTTCAAAGCCTGACTCAGGTTTTTTACTCAGGCTCCCAGAAGATCTCTCCGACCCTGACTCAGGTTCTCCGCGCAACCTGTGTAAACCATGAATCAGTTTCTCTCTGAGAAAGAAATGCAAGCAAAGAATTTTAAGAAGTCTATGGGATCAAAACCGGATGCTTCTTAAAACTTCTGCGAAAATTACGAATTCTTCAAAAAAAGAAAGATGAAGAGTTTATTCCTACTTGCTTCATCTTTTTCTTTTTGCAATGCTCAGTGTCCAGAGGAAGAAAATAGAAAATTGTGCTTGGAAAAATGTGCTTTGGAGTTAATTGATTGCCTCAGGAGTCGTTTCAGGTTTTTTGAAGATTTTTTGATGAAAACGAAATTTTTGAATGAGAAAAAAGTGATTGCGAAAATGAAGAATGCATGGCTCAATGTAGAAGAAATGAAGTAACTTGTGGAAAAAACTGCCCTTGCGAAGAGAACTGCCCGTTTGGATGCCCCTGTCAAGGTACCTAGTAGTTCAAGGGCTAGGCTTGGCAACCTGTGTAAAAAACCAGAGTCAGGATCTGAAATATCTCTGATGAAAAGCCGGGAATGGATAAATCCTTTGCGGCTTTTCATTTTAGCCCTTTCAAACCCTGACTCAAGTTTTCTACGCACTTTGCCGAGCCCAGCTCAAGAGGCCTCTTTCAGTAAGAATAACTGTACTTTGAGGCTGGTGCGAGGAAAAGCTCCCTTCCGGGGTCCAGCAAGATATTCCTCTGGAAAAATTAAGGAGCGATTTCGATTTTTTGTGCCATTTTCACAAAAATTTCAAAAGAGCTTTTTCAAATCGATTTTGTCAGAAATCTTGGCTACGAGCCGTACTATCAAGAGCTCTTCGGAGTCAGCCCAACAGATGAAGATATGGATCCGGAAATGGGTGGGGATTACCTGTTCATTGGTTGTAAAGAAAGGAACTCCGATTCGTTCAACGCTGGAATTTTTGGAGCCAAGAAATTTTTACTCGAGCTACAGGAGTTTGAAAACAGTCCTTCTATGATTTCCAAGGCGACAGGTACAGTCAATCTGGGTATTACAGAAAGCCCTGAGTCAGGGTCTTAAATATCTTGATTGAAGATTCTTAAGAACACAACGGATTTTACTACTACAACACGAACTCGCTGAGCTACTGTGGTCCAAACAAAATCTTCGGCTTCTCGCCGATCGAGAACATTTATCCGTTCTGCGCCGACTACTACGACTGCAAGTACCAAGTCGGCAAGGTGGACGTTTGCGAGGAGCACGAGTGGGACAACACGAGAATGAGCGTTTTCAAAAATGACCGGAACTGGGCGGGCTGGCGCTGCGGACGATTCACGGAATATGATGGCTACGTAAATCAACTGTCCTGGCTTTGGGAAAATTTCGAATTGCAATTCTGGACTTTGAAACAATAAAAAACAATAATAATTACTTTCTTTGTCCTCGGCAGCCTGTGTAAAAAGCCTGAGTCAGGGTCTGAATAACGTAAAATAGAAGCCGCAAAGCGGCTTTTTAAAAAACGAAGTCGCAAAGCGGCTTCACCAGTAGTTAGAAAAAGACTGAAATCTCTTTTTTTACGCTCTTTCAGAACCTGACTCAGGTTTTCTACACAGGTAAGGGGCATTAATAATCTGCGTCAAGTAAAATCTCCGTGCGCAAATAGTAAATCGCCGCCAAGTTCACCATAAAGACAACTTGCGTACATCCTGGCTATTGAATCACTTTTTTACGATCGATTTAGCTCTATAAATTCTCTAGTCAAGCCGCCGATCGCTCTCATAACAAATAAAAAAAAGAGAAAAAATGCGGCTATTCTTCATTTGGCTGCAACTAATTTACCTAGCAGCGGGTCAGAAAACCGCCTGTTATCCAGAAGACCTGGACTATTCGGATGGAACCTTTGCCATTCTCGACGAGAGCAACAATGAGTGGACGGGAATGGTCAGTGTTCCGAGAAAAGCGAAAGAGCTTTTTTTGTTCTTTGATCGAGAAATGGATCACGCAGAGATCACTGCTCTCGGAGGAAGCATCAAGTATAGAAGTGGAACTTTGGTGGTCATCGAGCCTTTTGAAATGGACCAAGCTCAGGTCATGTTTGAAGTAGAAGGCTCAAACATCGCTGGAGTAATCGTAGCGAGCTCTGCTGCTGGCTCAGATCTCGCTTGTTTCGAAGAAAAAGAAGAAGGATGCCCGACTGTTCATTACGAAAACGGGCAGTACAGTGTCAACAGTGATGGCTTTGCAGTGCAGTTTCCCGAAAATGCCGAAGAAGTTTTCATCACTTTTGACGAATCGATCGATGGATTGATCTTTTCTACCGACGATGCTGACTCGTTTGAGCTGGTTGGTGATTACGTTCTGGCCGTTAGTGGTCTTTCCGGTTCTCCGCTGACCTTTCAAGCTGATTGGGACTCGCCTATGGGGGCAGTAGTCAGCTATCTCACACGGGCGAGGGAAGATTCCTGCGACTATCCATTTTTCACAACTTATTCCACTACAACTACCACTGCTGCTATGACAACAACAACGACAACATCAACCACGACGACAACTACAACGACAACAACTGAGCCGGGAGTCGACGCTAACGGCTGCCCATCAATTCAATACCGAGACTCACAATTTTCCCTCGACGCAAATTCTGGCTCATTCAGCGTCCAAGTCCCAGTTAATGCGGTTGAAATCTTCATCACATTCGACAAGCCTGTTAGCGATGTTGCTTTCTCTTCAGATTTCTCCTTCATTTTAATCGGCGACTTCGTCCTTTCCGTTGAAACAGATGGCTTCACAACACTCGAATTTGATGCTACTTGGGGAGAATGGGGACCGACCGGAGCAGTTGTTAGTTTTATCAGCTCGACTCGCCCTGGTCACTGCCAATACCCGTTTTTCGATCGAGAAGTTCTCACAACAACAACCTCTTCTACAACGACTACGACAACGACCACATTTTCGGAGCCAGTAACCACCATCGATGAATGCCCAGTTTTATTTTACAACGATGTAGAAGTCAAAATGCTTCCTGATGGAGTTTTTATTGCCGCCCCATCATCTGCCGTCGACCTAATTCTAACTTTCGACGACGAAATCAATGAACTGACATTCTCAACGGACTTGGATTTTGTTTCCGTGAGTGATCGAGTGCTCCATCTTAAAAATATCGAAGATGGAGGGACGAAATTGACCGTTAATTGGGGCGAAGAAGTCGTCTTTCCAGTCGCGTCTTTTGCCAAAAGATCGATTCCAGAAGATTGTGAAATCTTTTCGCCACCAAAAATAACCACAACAACAACAACGAGTACCCAAACAACGACAACAACTGATTCTGGCGTCGATTCCGCCGGCTGTCCGATCATCAACTACGACAACTCGCGCTTTGCCATCATCGAAAACGGCTTCGCCGTCCAAGTTCCCTCCACCGCGGTCGAAGTCTTCGTCGCTTTCGACAAGCCCATCACAAGTGTTCAACTTTCTTCGAGTTACGAATTTACTCAAGTCGGCGAATTTGTTATTGCAATTACTGTGCCGGAAAGTAGCGGCACGACGATTTCTTTTGATGCAAACTGGGATGGCGATGGAACGATTGGAGGAATCGTCAGCTATTTGACCATTCCAAGAGATGATTCTTGCCGATACCCGTTTTTCGATATCGAGGTGGAGACTACAACCACGTCTACAACCATAACAACTACATCACCAACAACAACTACGACTACTACTTCAACAACGACAAGTACTACAACAACATCAACAACTTCCGCGACAACAACAACAACCACGGCAACCACCACGACAACTACAACGACAACCACGACCACAACGACCACCACAACAACATCAAGCATGGTCTTCGAAGGCTGCCACCACGTACACAACATCCATTCCGTCTCTGGCTCGGTCCACCTGTCCGAGTGGCCCTCAAACACCGGCAAATTCAAGTTCCACCGAGACGTCCTGCTTCCTAAAAACTCGCCACCAGCTGGCTGGTATCTCCATTTCTTCTTTTCAAAGGGAGTCAGTGGAATGAAAATTTGGGATTTCAACGCCGAGAAGGTTCGAAAAACAAAATCGAAGGAATGGAAACTCTTTCCAAAGGACACCTCGGTTTTGGACGGAAATTCTAGCGACGATCCTTATGCCTTTAACTTCATTGGAACTTCGAAAATCAGCCACGGAATCGACCTGACCATTCTCATCTGCTACACCTAAGACATCGTCTCCCAATCCAACTTTCTTTCAATAAATTTCTTTGCATCAGATTCTTACGATTTTGCTTCTAATCTTTCCGAAAATAAATTTTTGTGCCAGGCCTTCTAACAAATTAATTACGGTGGCTAGGAATGGAACCGTCTATTGTGGCGAGGATTATTTTGACATCGTGTCTTGCCCATAATTCCAGCTTGTTTTGGGAAGTTGGAAGTTTTGAATTAAAACTCCGCCTTGATTAATTTGATAAAAACATGACATCACCAACAAGCGCCAAACGCCCTATTTAACGAAGCGTCTAAACGAAAAATGTACTCATTCTAGCGAACTGAATGCCAGAGAACTAGAAAAAAAGAGAGAAAATGAGAACCTCACCGCTTTTAGCAATTTTTGTCGGCTCAGGCGAAGCCGACTTCCTCGACTTTTGGAGAGAGACTGATATTTTCGCGCATCAAATTCGCGATACAATTTACAAGAAAGGGGCTCAAAAGTTCAGCAAAAAATACGATCGTGTCCGGGAGGTCGTCAACTTCTATCAAAGCAGCGGCGAGTGTGACTCCGTCGTCACGAGCCCGACCTATGAACCGGTCACTTTTGACGAAGGCTCTTTTGATAGAAGAGCGAGTCCAGCCACGAACATCGCGGTTTTCACCGATCTTATTGATCGTTGGATTCAGTCATACGCTTGCATCGAGGATCTAGCGACATTCGACTCGATAGTGGAAGCTCTGAGTGACATCTTCAAGATCGCCAAGCGAAAAATCAACCGCGACCAAGACGTAGCCTTTCACCTCTCCGAAGACGTGATGACTTTCGATCAAGCTCGAGCCTACTGTTTTACCAATGACATGTGGCTCGCCAACCCGAAGAACTCTGGCCAGCAATGGGGCATCAAGAGAAGCGAGTTCACCAACAAATTCGTCTGGTTCGACTCATGGAAAGCAAATGAAGGCGAGTGCTGGTACCAGAACTCGTGGCACAAACTCATCAATAATGGAACCGGAAGCATGGCCGGTACGAACGAGGGCCCAACAGATTGCAACAACAAGTACCACGCAGCTTGCGAGAGTGGCCAACTCTACGAGAAAACGTGCCTTACCTTCAAAAAAGCTCCTTACGGCGAGACCGAGTTCGTGGACGCTCAGGCCTACTGCAACTTGGCAGGCGGCAGTCTTCCATTTTTCAACGACAAAAAGGAGCTGGACGAATTCAACTCGCAAGTTTCAACCAGGCAAATGATCGGTCTCGTACGAGACAGCAAACTTGCCAGCGGGTGGATGACCAGAACCGGCGAAGAGGCTACTTTCTTCAAGTGGCGTAAAGGTGAGCCCAATAACGCCGGCGGAGATGAAAACTGCGTCGCAACTGCCAGCAACAGCGATCTCTTATGGAACGATGTTCCTTGCGGATTCCCTGACCCCGTCGATTTTTCATGCAGATTCGACGAAACCATTCATGTCTGGAATTCGTGCCCGAGGCATGTGATGCCCGCGCGTCCTCAATGCTACGACCCATGCGACGGATTCGACAACTGCCAAACATTCGTCGATAGCTGTCCAATTGTCCCAAGCAAGGACAATCTCATTGCCACGGTTGAAGAGCCAACGATCAACTTCGAAGTGACCGTCGACGTTTGGTTCCCCTACGCCACCGCTGTCAACGGTCAATACTTTCAAATCTTCCGAATGGGAACGGGAGGTCGTGAGGGCGAATTTGGCGATCGGTTCTTTGGAATGTGGCTGAATAGAGGCAAGAGCAAGCAATATCAGATTCAGATGAACGCAGTGCAATCGCTTTCAATTCTCCCCACCTTCTACGCAAAGCAAATGGTAGGAATATACGAATAATTCAGACATGATCTTGTTTTGATACTTAAAAAATGAACTTAACATATTTTAAATATGATATTTAGGTAAGCGATATTGACAACTCTGAAATGCAACGATGGTCAACCTTCAAATACTCTCAAAGTCCCCACGAAACTGATAGCACGAAGACAACATCTAAACTCTTCAAAGACGGCGTCCTCATTGCCGAATTCGATCAAAACACCGCCGATATTGAGATCGATCGATCTCTTAACGTCTGGGTGGGCGATCCGTGGTACAATGCAGCTCAAGAATACCGCGTCAAAAATTTTTCCTTCAAAAAGTTTCCGTCGACGCCGCATGGAAATGTTGCAAGCATAATCGTCTCTTCCGGAGAAGTGAGCGGCCACATCCAACGATTTGACTGGGACGGAGAGAGCCTGAGCAAAGGACGAGTCGTTGGAGACGTCGGAGACACCAGAGATATGACCCGACCTCTTCTCTTTCCGTTCAGCATGGCCGACGAATGTGGACTCATTGAGACAACAAGCGACTCTGCTGGCGCCTTCACCCAAATCGATGATACATATGGACTCGAAGGTGGATGGCTTGAACGAATTGCTACTACTTTTTTCAGGTACAGATATAGTCCAAATTTCGCGTTTAATCTAAAAAGAATGAGTCTAAACATGATTTTAGCGATGGAACTCAAGTGCATCTCGACTTCCGTACGCCGCCACCAGTGGACGATGGAAACATGGGTCGTCTCTATGCTGCGCAACTTGGAAAGGTCAATGGACAATATTACGTTTTCGGAGGTTACAAGGCTCCCTATGCAATCTATTCCGTAAATGGATGCGAGATGGAAGAACTGCCGATTAAACTCAAGGTATTGATTGGAAATTTATGGCTTCACTTAAATTTAACTATCTTTAAGACACAACGCGCAGTCTACGGTCCGGAAGTTCGAACTCTTGTCCACGCAGATGGAGATGAAAGAGCTTACATTTGCTTCTCGAACTCCCAAAATGGGAAATTTTCAAAATTATCAAATTTCAGACGCTGCGATACATTCGATGGAAGCGAGGTTGAAACATCCCTTTACAAAAGTATTACCAACCGCAGAGATGCGTCTATTGCAAGCTATCGTGACGGTCTTCTTGCTTTTGGGGGTTACAGTTACACAAAGTCTGCAGAGATATTCACTTCCGAAACCGGCTTCGTCCCGACAACAGACTTGATCGTCGGAGTGAAGGGCATGACCTCCGCCACAATCGGCGGAGATCGAGTGTTTTCTTTCGGCGGAGATGTTGACGGATTAACTACCGGTACTTTCAACTCAGTCATCAATGACAAGATCTTCATGTATTACGACGGCGTGTGGTCTGATTTAGGATCAATGGTCACCAATAACTACAGAATGAGTGCCATTGTTTTTGAGCACAATCTCCGGCAAATCGCAGCAGCTGATTGCGAAGATGATGATCCCGATTGCTAGACAAAAAATCAGAAAGCATCTTATGTTACCCCTGTACAATCGAAAGATAGTGTTCATATCGCTTTGAATGTATTATCTGCCATAAATATATATTTGTTTGTAATTTTAAAAATGTTCTTATTTCTATTTGCTTTCAATATTCAAAGTTAGCGAAGGGTCATTTGTTTTTATTTTCGGTTCTAGCTTTCAATCAAAGTGTGCCATCGACAGACTTGAGTGTTGAGCGAGCGTCGCATTTCTTCCCAGTGGTCGGCTTCGTCCTGCGCGCTAGAATTGGCGCCTAAGCTGATCCATCCGATCATTTCCTTCTTTCTTCCCGCCATTCCTTCGATTATCGTAAATATCCATTTTCAATAAAGAGACCTACCTTTTCTCGAAAAGACGGAAATCAGGACTGTAATTTGAGAGAGCTGCGAAAGCGCCACTTGGAAAAAGAAGGACTCTTTGTAAACGGGATTGGGCTGTGCTTTTCGAATCGTCGATTTCGAACGCGTTACTTCCTGGAAAAACGTAGCCGATTGTTGTTACAGTGATCGTACCTTGCAGTTTCCGTCGAGAAGTGTGAGGGTAACAAATGTATCCGGCGCTTTTTGAGAAGTCAAGTTTCGGAAGTGCGATCCTTTCAACAACTCAACCGAGAGACGCCCTTAATTCATCCAATAACTGCTCAATGGTACAAGCAAACCTGTAAGTGGCGAATAAGAAAGTCCAAACAACAGTTCCGCCTGGCTCCCGTGCCTAATCAAAATTACAAAAACCCGCTAAAAAATAAAACCCACGTAAAACTGGCCAAACTTGAGCCAGAATCCGTCGTATTTCCAGCTGCGGTTCCGTCTCCGCCGAGGACATTTCTGTTTACCGAAGCTCGTGGTTCCATTTCCAAAGTCACTGAAAAGAGAATATTTGGCTCGGCAACCTATGGAGAGAGCCTGAGTCAGGTTCTGAAGAGCTTAAATGAAAAGTCGCAAAGTCTTTTTTAAATTCTCCGCGGCTTTTCATTAGGGCTCTTCAGAACTCGACTTAGCCACTTCTTGGCATCTCTCAATTTTTTAAGGACAAACCAGTCAGTTGTTTTTGTTGAAGCAAATTCACATCGGAAAAGTGCAACAACGCTTCGCCAACCAGTCGATCTCGGACTTTGCCAATTCCGTAAAGTCTGAAGAAAAAAGGGTTGAAAATATATTTTAAGAATATTTCCTACCTAATTCGGCAACCCATTTGTTCGACATCCTCAGGCGGGATTCTGGAGACTTTGAAGCATTCGTTGAATTTTGGATTGTCCACGTGTTGAACTTTTGTTTTGTACTTTCTTTTGCTGGGAAACATTTCGATTCGGACCTGAAGGTAGGGTTAGGGTTAGAGTAAGGTTAGGGTTAGGACTTGAAGTTTAAATCAAACGATTTTTTGAAAAGGAGAAACTGACCTGTATAATTGGCGCGACTCCTCTGTCTTGATTTGGCAAGTCATTGCACTCTAGAATCGTGACAGTAATTCTCCTGTTGCTCGGATTGTATTCAAGTCCAATGTCGATCGAGCCGCAGTGCGAAATCAGATTTTGAACCTTTTTTCAAGCTTCATTTTTTAATTCTCTTTTGCGAAATTTCAAGCTTGAATTTGTCGCTTCTTTCCTTGATGTCTTTTTAGGCGTCGCGTTGGCAGGTTCCTTCGACATTGGCAGGGTCGCCGAAGAAACGTCGTTTTTGCTCTTGACTTCGTTTTTTTCCCCGCTTTCTGCTTGATTCTCCGAAATATTCCAAGGCCAAGGCTTCTCTTTGGCGAGTTTGATTACTGTTTTCAAAAAGCAAAAAGTACCTATTGTATCGTAGGCCGGCTGGTAGTCCGGGTTCGGCTCTGGCACATCTTCTTCGAGCGATCTTTCTGATAAAAAATTTAGAAATCTGGCACCAAGCCCGTTTTGCTTCTCATACCTAGCTCTTGAACATTCTCTTCTTTCCGGGCTCCCTCGTGTCCTTCCTTCACTCCCTGATAAAAAAGGTTGATTGTAATCAATAAATAGAACAATTGAAAATACGATTTTCACTATTATATTATATTATATTATATTATATTATGTTATATTATATTATATTATATTATATTATATTATATTATATTATATTATATTATATTCCGCATATAAATGATGAAAATAGCATAATGACACCCTTATTTTTGGGGAGGTGACTGGAACCGACAAAAATATTTCGACAAATTTTACGTGGAAATTTTCAACTAATCAGAAGCCTGGATTCGGCAAACCGGCCAATCAGCAACCGAGTAGCCGCCCACGCAAAATTTGTCGAAATTTTTTGTCGGTTCCAGACACCATCCCTTATTTTTCTCGCTCAAACAAAGCATTTTCTTTTCTCTTGAGAAAAAATATGAATCAGTGAAGAAATCGGGACGTTTTTCTATAAAATTGGCGCTAGAATCTGCTAAATTGGCAGATTTTGGGGAAATTTTTCTGAAGAAAACTGTTAAAATTTGAAATTCTAGCGTTCAGAGAAACTCCAGTAAGCTTTTGACTTTCGATTGGTGAAATAAAATAAGGGTGTCACTCAGAAAAGAGACGATTATTGATGTCTCTTCTCTCAATCCTCTAATTTATAAAAAAATAAAAAGTACTTGATTTTGATTATTTGTCGATTTGAGAAGACTTTGCTCGTCTTCGGAAGCTTCTTCTTCTTCCTCTTGTTCCTCCTCTGTTTTGTTCTTTTGGGAGTGTTTTCTGAAGAAGAGTTAATTCAGAAATAGTAATAAATTGTTTTCGTGATAAAAATCGATTTCAACATGTAGCAATGTGGAGAGATAGAAAGGGCTGCACAAATGAGAAGAGAGCGCATTTGAATTATTGACAATTATTGACGCCAAGAAGTTTACCACTGGCGGCCTCTTAAGTACAGAAATATGCATTTTTCCTGCCTTAATTACTGTTCCCAAAACCTCGGCAGAAAACAGTAGATGTTTGGATAAAAAATGAATTTACAAGGTATTTTCACAAAATTAAGGGTGTACTCGTCGTTAGTTCCAATTTACGATTGGGGACGAAATTTAAGATAAATAAGGGTTTCATTACACAAAAAATGTCAGGATTCCTGACTCAATACTGTATTGATTTCATTTTCTTTCCTGAGTCAGGAATCCTGACAATTTTTGTGCGATGAAACCCTTATTTATCTTTTCTTTCCTCTCCAATTTCAAATTTGAAATAACCAGGACTACACCCTTAATTATGTGAAAATACCAAAAAGTATTGAGAATACTTAATCAAGACTCGGCAACCTGAGTCAGGGGAAAGAGCTTCAATAAAAGCCGCGTTATTTCTTGAAGCTCTTTCAGGACCCTGACTCAGGTTTTCTACACAGGTTGCCGATCATACGTTGTTGAAAAACAATCTTTAAAAAAATAACCTTTTGTGTTTTTAAAGCATTCTAGCGCTCATTTTCCCCTCAATTCAAAAAACAACAAGAAAAAACAAACCTTTCATTTCGCGGCGAAATGCTCAATCGAGCGGTCGGTTTTTCTGCGGCGAGTGTTGAAAATCTCTGCAGCGTCGTACTGAACCATTTCGTAAAATTGGCTCTTTCGGAGGGCGAATGAATTCCGAAAAAAGCCGACATTCTTTTTCAAAGAAAGAAGAAAACGACTGAAAAGTGAAGAAAAAAATCCTCTGCGAAAATGCGCCTCTTGGGAGATGCGACTATTTATCTCCGTTAAAAGCGCTGCGTTTTTATTTCTGTTCACCTGTTGCGCGCGATGTGAGCGATCAGATGTTCGTGGTCGCCGTCGGACTCGTAATCGCATTCTTGCTCCGAGCACGCAGACGACGGTCTGTTTCAAATTTGATTATTTGTATATTTCGCTGCATTTAACTGGCAAAAGCGACGAGAAGCGAAAAATATCGCGACAAATTTTGCGTGGAAATTTTAAAAATAAAAAATTTGATAAAAAAGAAGCGGTAAAAAGCGAAAAAAACTGCGACAAAAAATTGCGACAAAAAAATTCGTGAAAATTTATGTCGCTAATTTTTTGGCGACAAAAAACTGTAGTTTTTTTTGTCGACATCTGATTGGCTGCCTGCCGGCTGGTATACCCAAATACCGTCTTTTGATTGGTTGAAATTGGTCGCCAAAATTTGCGACGAAACTTCAATTTGTCGCTTTCAATATGTCGCTTCGCCTCGCAAATTTTGTCGAAATTTTAACAACTTTTTTTCAAAAAATCGCAAAAATTCACGTTGCCGCCGAATTGATTTTCAACGTAAGCTACAAAATTTTCGAATAGCGTTATCTCATCTTAGCCCCAAATCAAAGCTTGTACAGAATTTAAGAATTACAAAATAATCTCTCAAATTTTCCTTTTATCAAATTGCGCCACTGCTGCTCCTTGTTCCAGATCGTCCTCTTCTTGCTGGATATCAAACGTCTCTTCCAGGAACTTGCGGTTTTCTTCCTTGCTCGAGACCGAAGCTGCAGCTAGAATTGATTTTGAACCAGCGCTTGTTGAAAGTTTGGTTACCTGAGTTTCGCCGCAAAAGTGGAAATTTCATCCCGGAATTGGCGAAATTCGAAGTTTGAGAAAGAAGCGCTGAGCCTGGTTTGCCGTACTCCGCCCAGGTTTTTAGTGCTTTTCCCTGACAAGGTCTGGGCTCGGCAACCTGTGTAGAAAACCTGAGTCAGGATCTGGAAGATATCCAATGAAAAGCCGATTGGAGATCTTCCAGATCCTGACTCAGGTTTGCTACACAGGTTGTCGAGACCAGAACAAGGTTCAACTGTGCTACTTTTATCTATTGTTATTTCAGCCTGAATTATTTTCTAGATATTAAGGGTGTACAGGTCGATATCGAGATTTTTCATAGGAATACCCTTATTTTTGGCATCAGAACTGGAATCGAAGTCAAAAAAAAATCTTACAAATTTGAAATTTCAGCTTTCAGAGGAACAAATAAATAAGGGTGTCACTATGTTATATTTGAGCGAAGAATCAAAATAAAAATCATAATTCTTGATGGCTAATATTAGTAAGAGGTTTACGATTTTGTTGATTTTTTCGCCGAAAAATTGGTCATTTTTGCTCCATATCGCTCCATACTGCTATACTGAACGAGGAGACATTAAAAATTAACAATTTTTGACGCGCTAAAATGTCAATTTATCTCTCATTTTTTTCCACTGAGAAGCCGAAAAGCGAACGCAAAAGAACTGGGAGAGCATTACCGTAACTGTGCCTTATTAATTAAGATTTAGTTCTAACCACTTTGTCAGCAGGTTGGCAGAATCCATTTCTCTGAGCTTGTTTGGCCAAATTAGCTCTGCTGAGCGAGATAAGTCGCCGCCATCGACAAAATATAATGGAATTATGCATTTTTAAATACTTGCAAATTAACGGGCCCCGAGGACGACTTTCGGGTCTGATCACTTTAACTTTCCGCGGTCTTTCAAATAAGGGTATCACTAAGATAACGACTAAAGAAGCAATCAAGGGTCGATTCGCGATAGATCAAAAAGGGCGTCTAAAATCTTATTTCAGAAGAAAATTTGATTGAAAAAGCAATTTTCTGAAATTAAAATAAATTAAGGGTGTCACTATGTTAATTTTGGGAGTTCCGCTGGCTCAACCATTTCCTATGATAACAACAACGACGACAAAGCACGCGCCGCCAAGAGCCAGAGTCAGCGTCAGATTCGAGTCTTTTTCCAGTTTTCTACTGTTTTGTACTGTCACTTACAGTAATTTCTCTCGTTTATTCGCCGAGGCGGCCGCAATACTTTTTCTTCAAAGCGCGTTTTATAATTTATGAAAAAGTAACAAACCAGATAGCTAGTTATTTTACAGGCTCAGCAACCTGTGTAGAAAGCCTGTGTCAGGTCTCTGAGAGAGCTTAAATATAGCCGCGCAGCTGCTTTTTGAAAAAACAAGCCGCAAATATCATTTTTAATTTTTTTTTTTGCGGCTTCGTTTTTTGAAAAGCCGCCCTGCGGCTTTCGATTTAAGCTCTATCATAACCTGACTCAGGTTTTCCTAGATCAGGTTTTCCTACGCAACTGAGTAAAAACCTGAGTCAGGTTTTGAAAGAGTTAAAATAACTAGCCGCGTGGCGGCTTTTTTGAAAAGCAAAGCCGCAAATAGTTTTTTGAAAAAATTGCTTTGTCGCTTCGTTTTTCGAAAAGCCGCTCTGCGGCTTTTGATTTAAGCTCTTTCAAAACCTGACTCAGGTTTTCTACACAGGTTGCTGAGCCTAGCAAGAAAGCCGCTAGCCTCTTCGAATCCTTTTTCGAATTCTCTTATGAAAATTAAAATAATTGTAGAAAACTGGCCTATCATTTTGTTTTCAAAGTTCTGGACGTTTGGGGCCTCCAGCGCGACGAAAATGAGAAGGTCGAGCATTTTCTCTAATTTTTGCTTTCTTTCTTTTTCGCTTTTGGCGATTCGGTTAAGCGGCCAATTTGTGGAGTTGAGAAGTCACTTTTCAGACGGCTGAAAATGGAATCACTCAATTACCCTGCCCCGAGCAGCCAGATTCATTATGCAAAATATTCAATAATCAAGAATTTTAAAAATAAGCAAGATCCCCGATTCGATTGAACCACGCTTGCATTGAAAAAAAGGCGCAGCTACTGGAGCAAAAGAAATAATCAACAGATGGCATCCTGAGTAGAAAACCTGAGTCAGGGTCTGAAAGAACCAACGCGGCTTTAGATCTTCAGATCCTGACTCATATTTTCTACTCAGGTTATCGGGAGAACTGGGCTCGGCAACCTGAGTAGAAAACCTGAGTCAGGGTCTGAAGGCGCTGAAATGAAAAGAAGAACTTCAGATCCTGACTCAGGATTTCTACTCAGGTTGTCGAGACCAGGGGGCTCTAGTTGAGCTTAGTTCGATATTTGTTTGAGCTGGCTCAGCTAGCTTAGCCCAGCTCAGTTTGTTTGCGAAATAAAAAAAAACTTAGCTCAATTTGTCCACAGCTGAGTCAGTTCAAAAATATTTTCAAAGCAAAATTTAGCCTCGGTCTCAAGAAAAAAAAAATTTAACTCTTGGCTTCCCAGATAATCGCAATTTTCCCCGGTCAGAAAAAAAAGCTAACAAGCTGTGCTTTCCGGAGCAGCGGAATTTCGCCCGTACTCAGAGCATCGTCTTATTTTAGGCCCAAAATCCGTCCCACAGAGGAGTTTATTATCTCTTCCAGCTACTGCACTTTTTTCTTCTTTACTTACAAGTTCTTATCTCTCTCTTCAAGAATTTTCTTCGTCTTTTTGAAGAAAACAGGGTGGAAGTCTCTTTTTTCTTATAAAAAATTGGATTTTTCAATTTTCCGTTTTTTTTTTCTTTTTGTTTTATTTTTAGGGAAGTGGTCTTTCCGCTTGCTTTTGTCCTTCAAGTCCTGAATGATAAATGGAAGGTGAAAATTGAAATTAAAATTCACAGCGTTTATCAATCTTGCATTTCGGCCCAGTTCAATGCGCGAACATTCAGCATACATGCTACGATACATTTCTATTTTCTCAGAATAGTACTATTAAAATACTCAGTTTTTAGAATATAAGATGAGCTGAGCAGAGCAACCTGTAGCTGAGCTGAGCTGAGATCGGCAGAGATGAGCCAAGCCGAGCTGAGCTGAGCTGAGCTGAGCTGAACTGAGCTGAGCTGAGCTGAGCTGGCTGGCTGAGCTGAGCAGAGATGAGGCAAGCCGAGCTGAGCTGGCTGAGCTGAGCAGAGATGAGCTGAGCTGAGCTGAGCTGAGCTGGCTGGCTGGCTGAGCTTAGCTGAGCTGGCTGGCTGAGCTGAGCTGCCTGGCTGAGCTGAGCAGAGATGAGCCAAGCCGAGCTGAGCTGGCTGGCTGAGCTGAGCAGAGATGAGTCAAGCCGAGCTGAGCTGGCTGGCTGAGCGTAGCTGAGCTGGCTGGCTGGCTGGCTGGCTGGCTGAGCAGAAAGAGTCAAGCCGAGATGAGTTTGCTGGCTGAGCTGAGCTGAGCTGAGCTCAACCTTAAAATTGCTGAGCTGAGCCGTCGTAGAAACTGAGCCTGATCTTGGCAACCTGTGTAAAAAGCATGAGTCAGTTTTTGACGCAGCTTTTCATTTGAGAATTTTGAAGACGCTGACTCAGGTTCTAAAGCCCAGAATTGAGCTGAGCCTTTTTTTCTTGAATGAGCTGAGCTGAGCTAGCTGAGTCTAGGTCAAAAATTGAACTGAGCCAAGAACTCCGCTGGCTCAGCTCAGAAAGCCATTTTCATCAACATTTTTTTCCTTATTGAAATAAAACAAAAATTGGCAATTGATTGTTTTGATAGCAAAAGGAAAAGGATTAACTCATTGAAAAAGTCGCAGAAATGTGTCGAGGAGAAAACAACATGCAGAGATTTATTGCGAAGAACTGGGCGACCGATTCTGTCGACAAAGTTCACAGACGAGCGGGGCCGAAGCCGATCCACAGATGCGAGCCATGTCTCGGCCAGTTGTGCGACTTAATTGACATTAAAGAGTTCTGGGCGGACTATCTTGTCGAGATTTTTTGCAAACGCTCAGGAAAGCTGCTCAGAAAAAAAAACTGCTCATCATAATTGAGAATGAAGGTTTTTGGGTTTTCAACCTGTGAAGAAAACCTGAGTCAGGGTTCAGACTCTGAAATACGATCATTCAAACCCTGACTCAGGTTTTGTCCACAGGTTGCCGAGCCCAGGCCATAATATTTTTTTGAACGTCGAAAAAAGATCGAAAAGCGACGGATGATTTCATCAAAGAAAAAATCGCTAGTCTTCAGTCAAACTGGACCCTTTGCGATCACGTGATCTTCGACCAGGTCAGAAAGGTCCAATCTCAGCATTTCAACCATCAATAAATAGAACAACACCCCAAAAGTGAAAAACATCATCGCGACGCTGGATGCCTCCAACCCGTAAGTTTCGCTTTAGAAAAAGAAAGAAGCTCAATTTTAAATATTTAACTATTTAAAATTGAGGACCAAGCTCCTTGTGGTCGTGCGCAACTATCAAAGAACAAGCAAAACTCCGTCAGCAGAAGAAGTCGAAGCTGTGGTTCCGAAAGAAACAGTTCCAAAAGAATCGAAACAGCCAATTTAATTTCCGCCAAAAATAAGCGCGTTCAATTTAAAATGCTTTGAAAAATTAGGAACTGGCGATTCAGCGATTATTTTATACGCAGGGGGTTAAAATCAGTAAAAATAAAGAAGCCATTAATTTGAAAAAATGAAAAATAATAAAGGAATTAACCCCGATTCCCGACGCTAAAAGTGATGGATGAGCTGCTATGCAAAGCAAAGGCCAGGTTTTTCCCAAAACAAACATCAATCTCAAACGATATTTTCCCACATAAAAAGGAATAAACCAATTTATGGAAATACAATTTTGGGTAACCAATAAGATTGCTGTATTTAGCCTCCCGGCCAATCAAAACCCTGATCTAAAAATCACTTCCATTTTTTGGTTCTTGCCCTTGGGGAAGTTTTTGGGTAGAACCAATTTTTGGAACAGATTTTTACGGAAAGGGTTTTGATTGGTCGGTAGGCCAAATACAGCAATCTTATTGGTAATCCAAAAATTGTTTAGTCCATTTATTTAACTGATTTGACATTCTTAAGGGTACTACCTTCGATTTCCCTAACTTGACGGTCATTGGGGAAATCGACGGTAGTACCCTTAAAACCGGTTACCTTGAGGTTAAAGAACCCCTCCCCCTTTTTACTTTAAATAAACCTGTTGAAGGAAGTGAATCCAGAATTAACCCTCGAAGTCATTTTCACCGACTCGCTGGACGAAATCAACGGATCGGAGCAATTTGTCGAGTCGCTCAAGAAACAGGGCAAACTGCAAGGTCTGGCTTTTTTCCTTCGAATTTTTCCTTTTGAGGTCTGTTCTTTAGATGTTCACTTTTTGCTGGATCTGAATGTGCTAGGTAGAAGCAACCCGAAAATATTCGCGACGAGTGAGACTACAAAAGTCGAATTCGACCATATCAGGAAATGACTTCAATTCGAATATACGAATTTTTCAACAAGAAAAAAAGTTTCAGATAAGGTGAAATTTTCTTGTTAGACAAGTTCTTAGTTACTTGACGTTTTCTTATTTATTTTCTCGGCGCTATCTTGATGAATAGTCGAGTGGCCGTAATTAGGCTAATCAGGAAGTATTAGGCGCTGCTATCATCCGCTATCGCGTTGAACGCAGCTCAAGGCCACTGTCACTGCCGCTAGAAAATCACTTCTGCAACTGCTGACTGCGTGCTTTATTTATCTTGATCCTGGGCTCAGCAACCTGTGTAGAAAGTCTTAGTCAGGGTCCGAGAGAACTGAAATAAAATTTTTGATAGATTGTTATGGTAATATAAGCTACGCGGCTTTTCATTTCAGTTCTTTCGGACCCTGACTCAGGTTTTCGACACACGTTGCCGAGCCCAGTCTGGACCTGTGCAGAAAACCTGAGTAGGGTTCTGCACAGCCAAAATGAGAAGCCGCGTAGCGGCTTTTTCTAGAACGAAGCCGCAAAGCGGCTTCAAAATTATTTTTCAAATTTGCGGCTTTAATTAAAAAAAAGCCGCTATCAAAAAATAATTTTGAAGCTTTGCGGCTTTGTTCAAGAAAAAGCCGCTATGCGGCTTTTTGTTTATGCCTATTTGAGTAGAAGCCCTGTTATTAATTCAGCAGCTACAGTTGACTCGTTAGAGCTGCTATTCAAAATTCGCCTATTTGAAATTAAAGAGAGTGAAAGTTACACTTGTAAAAAGTCATTTCAGAGCTGTGGAGAAGCGACTCAAGGAATCGGGCTCGAAACAAGAAGCGAGAATTGTCGCCGATGAATATTGAAAAAAGGGGCCGTTCAATTTTGGGCACTTTGAACAAGCGCCATTCATTTTTAAGGCGAGCTCGACTTCTCCTCTGGAATATTGAGCACTTTCCTTGGCGCTACTTCTACATCCGCAAGGTCGCCCGTTCAAGCAGGGAAATCGCGGTCTACAGGGATTTCTCGCCAAAAGACAAAGAAAAAACAAAGAAAAAACGAGGAACACATGTTCTAAAAAATGATTCAAGGCGGGGAATTTCCTTTTTCCTGCCGTGGATTAAGAGCTCCAGTCGACAAAAATTCGATTTTCTTATTTTTTATTTCAAGCTTAGCTCGGTCACCTAAGTAGAAAACCTGAGTCAGGGTTTAAAATAAAATTATGCCGAAGCCGCTGCGCGGCATTTCATTAAAGATCTTTCTTGAGTCAGACCCTGACTCAGGTTTTCTAAACGGGTTGCCGAGCCCAGCTGGAAAAATGTACCAAAATTCGATTTTCGAATAATCATTCTGAGGCCAATATTTTTTTTTATTTCAAGCTTAGCTCGGCAGCCTGTGTAGAAAACCTGAGTCAGGGTCTGAAATATTTTTAATCAAACGCGGCTTCGCAAAACTACCTGAATTCTGGCGCAAACCAAAAAATGGAAGTCCATTTTTTGATGGCCAATAAGATTGCTGTATTTGCCCTACCAGCCAATCAAAATCCTGATTCAGAACTTCCATTTTTTCGCTCTGGCATTAATTCTGACTTTCCGACTTCGTTTTTTAAAAGTATCTTACAGACCCTGACTCAGGTGAAAATTTTTCAACACAGATTGCCGAGCCAAGATTTCAAGTCTTGTTGAGCCAGTTTGAAAGGAAAAATCTGCTGGTGAATCACGATTCCAGCTATTTCAACAAGGAAGTTCACGCTTATTCTGGACTGTGGACTGAAAGCACACCTTTCCAAAGCGAAAACGGTGGAAACAGAGCAACTGCTCACTTCAGCTTTTTGATTTTAGCTTTAGTCGCGACGATGAGACTGCTGGACGACAACATCGTCTCTTCTGATCAACGCCAAGCGGTGCTGGACCAAGACGTTTGCAACAATATTTTGCGCATTTTGGCGGTTTTCCTTGGCGACTATTTGTGTCAATAAAAATGTCGATTGTCTTCTTTGAAAAAGTCTTTTTTTTTTATTCTTCAAAACTCTTATTTAAAAAGCGCGTTTTTAGAAGCATATTGAATTGACCACTTCAATTAGCGATATCTTGAAACCACTTTTTAGCGATATGAAAGTACGCCATTCACAGTTCCTCCGAATAAGGGTGGCGTCAGGAACCGACAAAAAATTTCGACAAATTTTGCGTGGGCGGCTACTCGGCTGCTGATTGGCCGATGAGCCCAATCTAGGCTTCTGATTGGTTAAAATTTCCACGCAAAATTTGTCGAATTTTTTTGTCGGTTCCTGACACATCCCCAAAAATAAGGGTGTCATCTCGGAAAGTAAAATTTTATTGGATCTTTGATTTCAAACATATCCCATAGCAGAGTCCACCGTGTTCTTCGCAGACCTAAAAACGAGCAATAAAATCCAGGGCTAAAAGAAAACTCACCTTTGGCGACAGTAATTCACCGCAGTCGTCAGCGAAATAGCAAAGAGCAGAACCACGTGACTCAGTGAAAAGTAGAAACCTCTGTCAAGCAGACAGGCGCTTTCGCAGCTCTCAAAATTGAACGAATTTTGAACGAGAGTTCGAAAAAGTTGGAAAACGTTGATCCAGGCTGCTGCTTTGATCAAATTAGAATTCGAATTCTTAAAAAAAGGCTGACGTCACATTTTCGCTTTTTAAGAAATTAAATGAATTTAAGTTCTTATTCCGCAAAGCACGGAAAAAAGGCTCCATCCACACGTTTTCTCGTATACAGTGGCTTTATCGCCAGACTCTATCAAAAGCCACAATCTACTGTTTCTAAAACACACTCTATCTTGGCGAGCATTATCTTATTAACAAGAATTGAGAGCCTTTTTGCCAGGAGATCCGTTGAAATTCGCTGTCATCACCGACTCGTACGCCAAAGGAAACACCACGATCGAGTACAAAGCTGAAAAAATAACAATTTTGTAGACATCTGGACTCGGCAACCTGTGTTGAAATCCTGAGTCAGGGTCTGAAAGATTTTTAATGCGGCTTTTTAAAAACGAATTTATTTCAGACCCTGACTCAGGTTTTCTAGACAGGTTGTGTCGAATCTTTTCTTCAAAAATTATAGAAGTGATACCCTTATTACATTTTTCTATCTGGGCTCGGCAACCCGTGTAGCAAACCTGAGTCAGGGTCTGAAAGAAATTCGTTTTTAAAAAAGCCGCTGCGCGCTTTTCAGTCAAGTTGAAACCGACCCTGACTCAGGCTTTCTACACAGGTTGCCGAGCCAAGGTAGAAAAATGTGATAAGGGTATCACTTTTATAATTTTTGAAGAAAAGATTCTACACAACCTGTGTAGAAAACCTGAGTCAGGGTCTGAAAAATCGTTTTTAAAAACCCGCTGCGCGGCTTTTCATTAACGATCTTTCAAACCCTGACTCAGGCTTTCTACACGGGTTGCCGAGCCCAGATAGAAGAATATAATAAGGGTATCACTTTGATAATTTTCGGAAAAAAGATTGTCGAAATCAACAGCCGACTTACCAAATGAAAATGCGAGGGCTTTAATGGAGCTTTTAAATTTTTGAAAATATTTCTGCGTAACGTTTAATCCGAGCTACAGTTTCCTGGCTTAGTTGAATTTAAAAATTTAAAATCAAGCTTGACCTAAGATTATTTGTCCGTAGATGGCTTGGCTGCTTTGCCGTTTCTTCTTCAGCGTCAGCAATTCATCTAAAATCTTGCAAAACCGGATTTTTCGGAAACTTACAGAAGACGAAAAGAAGTTCAAAGCAAAAAGCCAAAAGCGATCCTAGCTGGACGGAGAAGAATGGAAGATCGTTCAAAGCGAAGTTGCTCGGGCTCTGAAATTTATGAAATTTTTATGAATTTTTTGAGCTCAGCTGCGGAAAAGAAAATTTATATGAGCTGAGCTTGTTGAGCCCGCTCGAATTGAGCTGAGCTCAGATTCATCGGGCTCAGACTGAGATGCGTAAATGAAATTTTCTTCGCGCTGAGCTGAGCCGCCTCAGCAACCTGTGTGGAAAACCTGAGTCAGGATTTGAAGACCTAAAATGAAAAGCCGCTTAGCGGCTTTTAAAAGGAAGCCGCGAAGCGGCTTCGCCATTATTTGAAATAAAATCAAAGTGATTGTAATGCGAAGCCGCTTTGCGGCTTCGTTTTTAGAAAACCGCTACGCGGCTTTTTATTTTAGGTCTTCAAATCCTGACTCAGGTTTTCCACACAGGTTGCCGAGCCCAGCCCCTCAGATTGTAAAGAGCTGAGCTGGGTGTAATTTTTCAAAGCTGAGCTCAGTCAGCTCAAAACTTAGCTTAGCTAAGCTTCGGAAAATTCAACATAACTCAGCTCAGCTTCGCTCAATCTAAGCGGACTAAGCTCAGGGCGAAGAGATTTTTATGCATCTCAGTTTGAGCCGGTTTTTCTGAGCTAAGCTCAATTTCAGCGGGCTCAATTTGAGCTCATATTTGTGCTCATAGTTTTCAGAGCTATGAAATTAGTTCAAGCAAAAGATTTTCAAAGAAAAGTAATCATAATAGCTCCGAAGAGCGCGAATTAGGGGTACTTACTTTGGAAAGCTTTGTGCACTCAAATCTAGGACCGGATAGACGGTGGCAATTACATCGGTACTTAATAAGCTTCAAAAATGTTTTCCTGAAAACTTAATGTTTGGAATCAAATCAAATTATTTTCTGAAATCAGCTCTTTTATCATTTTAATTTCAATTTGCTCTGAAGCCCGTTTCCCAAAGCGAAATCCACTCGCTATTTCCAAGTAATCCATCCACGCTTAATTCAGCAAAAGTTCGAAAGAAAAAGGGATGAATCGTTAATTCCTCTTTTAAGAGGAAACTCACCAGAGGATCCAGGAGAGAACTTGTCCACAATAATCATCCCATGCGCCACCAACAAAACGACAGCTGAAATTAGCCGCGCTCTTTCGACTAATTTCATTTCAGAAAGTTTCTCTTTTCAGAAAAAAGGACGTTCAAAAATCAACTCGAAATCTCATCACAGCCAAAAAACGATAAGAGAGTGCCCTGGCCCCGGGCGAGTGCGCCCAGTTGGCTTGCTTTATTTTCTACCGCTTACTGTAACAGTAAATTAAGGGGACCCCAAGGGTTTTCCAGGACTTAGTAATCTGAGGAGAAAACCTGAGTCAGGGTTCTGAAAGAGCTTTGATGAAAGCCGCGTAGCGGCTTTTCAGAAACGAAGCCGCAAAGCGGCTTCGCCAGAAGATAGTAATAGATTGAAATAATTATTTACATTTGCGGCTTCGTATCTGAAAAAGCCGCTACGCGGCTTTCATCAAAGCTCTTTCAGAACCCTAACCAGCGTTTTAGCAATGATTGTTACAAGTTAGCTGCTCCAAAAACAACTTGCAAAGGAGGCAAATGACAGTAATTTAGACCGTTTTAGAGGGTCAAAAATGACGATGACAAATACCGCGCTTTTTGAAACAACAACTCTTTTGCGGATTAACTGCGTCCTTAATTCTTCCGAATCATCATCATTCGGCCTCGTCTTCAGAGAGAATTTTTTTCTTGAATTTTTAACGATGGATCTTTTCAATGCAAGTCAGCTGCAAGCTTGGAGGAACAGTCCAATACCCATTTTTCGTTTAGAAAAATTGCTACAGTAACTTACTGTAGGAATGAAAATGATTAACTGTCAGCCGAGCGTCCCTGCTGCACCTCTGACTTGTCTAAATGACTGTAAATGACCTGTAAATGTGACAGCAGCGGCTGGATTCTGATTTTACGACGAATCTGTATCTTGTCTTTTAATGCCGACAGCTGGTAATAGCTGCCACAAAATCGCTGCTGAGCAAAAGCTCCTCCCTTTCCTGACAGCAAATCCTCGTTTTTCGTTCGTTTTTGTTTATTATTGAGAATATTTTTCTGTAATTTTTGATTTCAAAACTATGAAAATATCGAGCTAATTTTGAAACGAAAAGAAGTTGTACTATATTTTGGATTGATGGAAAGCAATAATTCTCAGGTAAAATTTTATCCGAGAAACTAATTAACAAAAAGTCCTAATTTAAACGGATTCAAAATAAGGGGACCCCCATATTTTACAAAAGAGTGGGTATTTTTTGGGTGGCGTCAGGAAAAAAATTCGACAAATTTTGCGTGGAAATTGTCAACCAATCAGAAGCCTGAACTCGGCCAACCGGCCAATCAGCAGCCGAGAAGCCGCCCACGCAAAATTTGTCGAATTTTTTTGTCGGTTCCAGACGCCACCCCAAAATGCCCACTCTTTTGTAAAATTAGGGGTCCCCTTATTTTGAATCCGTCATTGTATTTTCAGGTCAATATTTCCGAAATACAGAAGTACCTTACTGAAGGAAAAGTTTTTCTAAGAAGGATTTATTTAACAAATATGCGCATCATATAAAGTAAAGCGACATTACTGTAATGGCCGTGAGAAAAAGCGCTGCATAAATCATTTAGCGCAAAACGTGAATCACGTGTTCAGCTAAAAAAACTTGCTAAAGGGAGCTTTGAAAGCAGCATCACAAGTTACGGTAATGAACTTTGAAATCATTTTTTTACTTTTTTCTAGTGCCCGTCGAGTCATGGTTTGCGATTTGCTACTTTGGCGTTTTGGGAGTTTTTGGACTGGTCGCTAATTTGGTCGTTATTGTCGTCTTTATGGGCACTTTGAGAAGGGTACGTTCTTTCGGCTTGAATTCTCGGGCGATTTTTTATTTAGAAAATGAATCCCTCTTTTGGCTACATTTTGAACATGGCTGCGGCGGACATCTTCATGCTTCTTCACCTGGAATGTGTTTTATCATTTACTCAGAAGTGCGGGCTTTTAGAATTCTGGCTGGGCTAGGATAGCTAAGCTTAGGTCGATATCGAGCTGAGCTAAACTGAACCAGAGTTGCAAATTTTTGAAAAATTTTTCTGAGCTGAGCTAGCTGAGCTGAGGTCGAAATCTAGCTGAGCTGAGCTGGCCTCATTCAAAAACCACTGAGCTGAGCTGAGCTAAGCTTAGCTGAGCTGGTTTATTTTCAAAAAACTGAGCTGGGCTGACCCTCACCTCAAAATTAAGAAGCTGAGCTGCAGCTCAGCACAGCTTGCTCACAAAATTTGCAACTCTGAGCTGAGCTGAGCTACATTGAAAAAGAGCTGGGCTCGGCAGCCTATGTAGAAAACCTGAGTCAGGAATTGAAATAGTTTTGATAAAAAGCCGCGTAGCGGCTATCACAAAACGAAGCCGCTACGCGGCTTTTTGGAATTTTTTAAATCCTGACTCCTTCACTTTTTATTGCAAGAATTATAAGATGATAGATTTTCCAGTGACTTTTTACGCAATCAAAAACCGATCGATCGCGGGAACAACTTCCCCTTTTCGTTCTAAACCAAAAGATAGAGAAACTCTCGAAGATCAGAAATTCGAGATTGAAGAACAGCTCAACCGCATGCAACGCGATTTGCAGCTCAGGTAACGGCAAAAAGAGCTCTGGAACTGAGCTGATTTTCTTTCAATAATTATTGAGCTGAGCTGAACTCGCCTCATTCTGAAACTGAGCTGAGCCAGAGTTGCAAATTTGCTGAGCTGAGTGAGTTGAGCAGTCGCTCAGCTCAGGTCAGTGATTTTTGAAAATGATCTGCTCAGCTCAGCTCAGACAATTTTCACTTAGCTCAGCTCAGCTCAACGATTTTAACACAATTTTACTACTAAAAACAGCTTAGCTCAGCTCAACCAGCTCAGCTCATCTCTAATAAGGGTCCGCTCAGCTCAGCTCCGCTCAATGACTTCTGAAAAGGGCCAGCTCAGTTCAGCTCAGCTCAGTAACCTCCGAAATAGGCCAGGTCAGCTCAGAGAAATTTTTACTCAGGTCAGCTCAACTCAGCTGAGCTGAGCTAATAATGGCGAAAACGACCCAGGTTGAACCAGTACTCTAAGGATGAAACAAGGGAAACGTGGTTTCCTCGGCGGCTTTAATCGTGCGTGATATAACTCGCTTATCAGAGCCAATTAGAGCTCCCGAAAGGGCCGATTAAATTATAGCGAAACTTAAATTTTGCAAAACGTGAGGCTACAAGTAGCAAGTTTCGAAACAAAAATATCAATCAAGCAAAAATACATTTGCGAGTTTTATCGATGAAAGAAGGAGCCGCTCCTCCTCGCCGAGTTTCTCTCAAAACTGATAAGAAGCGGCGATTAAAAAGTGCAGTTGGTGAAACAAGTGAGCGTGGAGAGGGATAAGGGCTGTACTTTTTTTATCGGGGAAGGGGCACTTGTCAATTTAGTCAATTTTGAGGTCGATTAAATCGCTTCATACTTGGTAAACTAAAACACACGAGAAAGCCACTCACTATCGCTCGGCACTACAAGGAAAGGGTGAATCTAATCTCTTCTGGATTGATTCCGGCTTCGGCGCTAGAAAAGAAAAAGATTCATCAAGAAATCAAGAACACCTTTATCTTCGGCAGCCAGCGTCTGGGCTCGAAAACCTGTGTAGAAAACCTGAGTCAGGGTCCGAAATTGATACGCCGAATTATGGAAAAGCCGCTTTCCCTAGGCTTGTCAACCTGTGAAGAAAACCTGAGTCAGGGTTTGAAAGAGCTCAAATAAAAGTCGCGTAGCGGCTTTTAAAACGAAGCCGCAGAGCGGCTTCGAAAATGGTACCGTTTAAATACATTGAAAATTCTAGCGAAGCCGCTTTGCGGCTTCGTTTTAGAAAAGCCGCTACGCGGCTTTTCATTTAAGCTCTTTCAGACTCTGACTCAGGTTTACTGCACAGATTTCTGACCCCTGCGCTTTGCGGCTTTGTTCTTGAAAAAGCGGCTTTTGGCCTTATATAATATAAGTTTTATTTAAGCTTTTTCAGGACCCTGAGTCAGGTTTTCTACACAGGTTGCCGAGCCCAGGCCAGCTTTGCCACACGGACTTGGCGGTGAAGAATGTTCACTTGTTCGTGATGCTAGGACTGTTCGGCTTTGAAAAGAGAAACTTAAGAATCTAAGGATCATCCCTTACGCGCTCTTATCACTTTTCGGGAGCAAAGTTGTAAGATGATCTTGGCAGAGGATCAAACAGATTTCCTAAAAGAAAAAACGTGGGCTATCCGTTCCAAAAAGACATAAAAAATCTTTCCTTTAGAAGGGGTGAACTTTCCATCCATTCATTGGACAACGTGATTGGTCGAGCTGAAAACATTGTGTATTTCTTTTGCCCTCAACCAATCACGTCGTCAGATGGATGGATGAAAAGATTCGTCATTGTTCGACCCTTCTATAAAAAGATTTTTATGTCTTTATTGGAAATTTTTGCTAGAAAAGAAAATATTAAATTTTGTGCTGATAAATCAATAATAAGATCTGACGTAAGCAGCAACTGCGAACGGTGCGTCTTATTCGTAAATTACCGGTAGAAAGGCGGTTAGGGAAATCGCTCCAGATAACCGAGAGGATCATTACCGTTGAAAGCGTCGAATTTTCAAATCCAAAAAAGGGACAACAACGTTGATGGCTGTGGACAGATATCTCGCCGTGGTTAGCCACAATTTAGTGCCAAAAAGCTCAAGCAGCTGCGCAAGGATCCCAAGTTTGTCGTTTTGCTGTGCTCCCTCACGTGGTTGCTCTCGGTCGTTGCGATTATTCCTGTCTTCCGAAGAACGATTTTCAAGCAAACTGTTGCGAATGGAACGATCACTTCTTCCCAGTGCTACATTGGTATTTATGAAATTTAGGGAAAATAAGGGTGTCCCTTTCTTAAAATCGAAATTCGATGAGATTCATAAAGGTTGAAAATGTAAAATGACAAAAATAAAATAAGGGTGTCATCGCGATATAATCCGTTTTTGCAACGTTTTTAGTGTCGATTTTTGCCGGATTTTGAAGCGCCCCCATCCTTAATTTAATGCTGAAAAGGATCAGGAAGCAAACCGGATGGAGCACTTCAAGACAACAGACGGGCTTTTTTCGCTGATTGAAGTAAAAATAACTTTCTCCAAAAAAGTCGTGTTTTTCCCAAGGATGTTTTTTTCCGCGGCCGGACATCGATTCCAGATCTGTTAATTTTTCGAGTTCTGGGACTTTCTTCTAATTGACGAGTTGAAATTAAAAACAAGAAGATTTGTTTCGTGTTCAAGCTACAACCTTCTTGTTGGAGTCGATTCAATTATCTAACACTCAAATTGCGAATGCTGTTTACAAGCGAGACAATACTCTACTTAATATTCAATTTACGAAGATAAATAAGTAAGATAGAAGTCTTTTCTTGTTTGTGTCGGAAACTGGGCTCGGCAGCCTGTGTTTAAAACCTGAGTCAGGGCCCTGACAAAGTTTAAATGCACAGGCTGCCGAGCCTAGTTCAGAGGTGACAATCTCTGAGCGACATCATTTGCGTGGTCAGCTACTTGAGGGAGGTGTCTGGAATCGACAAAAATTCGACAAATTTTGCATGGAATTTTTCAACCAATCAGAAGCCCGGATTCGGAGGAAGCAGCCGAGTAGCCGCCCACGCAAAATTTGTCGAAATTTTTTGTCGGTTCCTGGCGCCAGCCCGCTACTTGGCCCCTCATTGGCTGGCATGAAATTTCAGCCAATAAGAGGCCTATATTTGGCTTACCAGCGAATCAGCAGCTTCGGATAGCTACCTACTCAAATTTTGTCGCAAATTGAAAATGGTGAAGACCAAAAAGTAATTCTTTCTTTTCCAACTCAGCCTCCTTATCACCAATCCTTTAGTTGTCAAACAACGGGTTGAACAGTCAGGGTCACGTGCTCTCCGATCTGCATCCTTTTCGGATACGTTGATAAAAAACGTGGGAAGTGGGCTATTTCTGAAAACGTGCAGTCTGCCGCTAAATTCAGAAGTGATAAAGACTAAAGCCTGGTTAGACAAGTAGCTGATAAAGGAATTGTAAACGTGATGTAAAAGTGTGCACTTGTTTGCATAAAACAGGCACATAAAGTTTACACCAAAGTCTTCAACTTAAAAAAATTGAACTTTTCAGACTGGAGCAAAACTGGCAAAATGGAGTGCAAGCCGATCAAAAACGACTCTTCTTCGAATTTCAAGTTGACAAAAATTGAAGTCGATCGTTTTTAAAAATTCATTTTAGCGACGATTCTTCTTCATTGAACGACCTTAACATCGGATCATCGGATTTCCACGAGTGCGGATGCAAAAGCACCCAGCCCTATTCAGACATTCGGTTCGAGCTACAGTAACAGACTGCGACTGGCAGTAACAGAGGGGCAAAGTAACCGAAAAGTAGATTTCATCATCTGTCTCTTCGTTTTCGGCTATTTCTTGCCAATTGTCTGCTTTTTGCTGAGCTACGGCTCCCTCCTCTGCAAGATCGTCAAATCGCAGGATTAGGGCGCTCCAGATTCTTGAGAAAAAGAAAAGATACACCCTTATTTTTCATTCTCAGAATCAAGAACCTCAAATTTAAACCTGTGTAAAAACCTGAGTCAGAGAGTTCAAAAGCTAAGTCATGATTCTAGGAAAGAAAAATAAGGGTGTCTCTATGTTAATGAAATATGTTAATAAGATAGAGACACCCTTATTTTTCTTCCCAGAATCAAGACTAAGCTTTTAAACTCTCTGACTCAGGTTTTTACACAGGCTTTAATGTCATCCTTGATTGTGGGAAGAGAAAATTAGGGTGTCTCTATGCTAATAAAATATTATGATATTAACATAGAGACACCCTAATTTTTCTTCCCAGAATCATGACTTAGCTTAAAACTCTCTGAATCAGGTTTTTACACAGGTTTAAATGTCATCCTTGATTCTGAGTATAAGAAATAAGGGTGTCTCTTTGTTAATATTTCATAATATTTCATTATCATGGAGACACCCTTATTTTTTCTTCCCAGAATCAGGACTAAGCTTTCAAACTTTCTGACTCAGGTATTTACACAGGTTTAAATGTCAGGTTCTTGATTCTGAGAAAAAATAAGGGTGTCTCTACGCTCATTATATGAGAAAAAGAGCAAGAAATTTCAGTTTCTTTCTCTTGAGCCCTTTTGAAAGGTATTTACTAATCAAAACCCATGAAAATGAAAAATTGATTGATCAACTTCATTTTTGCCGTTTCAGAAGAAACTCGTCGGTCATTCGAAGACAAACTTTGTCGGCAATACAAACAGGCAAGTTGGTCCACTCCAGAAAATAATTAACCAGCTTCGACGGATTCTAGCGCTTTGAAAGATTGATTAATTTATGTTTGCTTTTCAGGGGAATCAACCGGAGATCTGTTTACATGATTTCAAGCTTGATGCTGGGCCTCGTTGTTTGCTACACCCCCTTTCATGTAATTCGGATAAGAAAAAGTTCTAGTCCTCGGAATGTCCTTTTCGTTAGATTTATCACATCATGCGCGTTTGGAATATTCGCCTATCTCGAAGCCACTGCGATCGCTTTAAAACGACTGTTGATGCTCTCATCTGGCTCCTGCCAGGTACAGTAAGCTACAGTAAGGGTTTAGTCGTCGATTTGGCCGATTGATGACTATACCCTTAAATTCTGGCAAAGCCGCGTTGCGGCTTTCTTTAAGAAAAGCTGCTGCGCGGCTTTTCATGAAAGATATTTCAAACCCTGACTCAGGTTTTCAACACAGGTTGCTAAGTTACCTACCCAAACAGTTGTTTTTTCCTTTTTTCAGCTATCAACCCTCTTTTCTACTCTTTCTTCGCCTCCGAGTTTCAAACGCGATTCAAAGTAAGTAAAAATAATCATTTTGAATTTCAACTTAATTTCGCTCCAGCTGATTTCGAGCAGCACGAGGCGATATTTGGAGAATATGAAGAAACAAAGAAGCTTCGCCAAAACTAATCACCAGGCTTGCTTGGACGTGCGCGCAATAGGTACAGTTGAACTCAGCGAAAAGAAAAGTCCTTAATTCAAGTTTTAACCGAAGACGAAGACCAAACCTCAAACCTGTCGTGGGATAACTAAATAATAACCCGTCTCTTTCTGAATTTTGTCAAAAAGATTGCAATTTAGTCATTGCACGGTGACACCCTTATCTTCACGATACTTATTTTCCTTAAAAGATTAAAATTATAAAAATAAGCCTACAAGACAATTTCAGAGCGACCGAATTTGCGTTGGCCGCTTTTCAATCGCTTATTGGCCAAATACAGGGAAAGCGACGAAAAGCGACAAAAATGAAAAGGGTTCACGACGCGACAATTTCTGAGCGACAAAATCTTACCAAAAATACCGCCAGTTGATTGGCTGGTACGACGAATACAGGTTTTTGATTGGCGTAATTTTTTGTCGCTCAGATTTGTCGCTCAGAAAGTGTCGCTTCTTGAAACCAGTTCCACGCAAATTTTGTCGCTCGGAAACGGGATGGTGTCCGGAACCGACAAAAAATTTCGACAAATTTTGCGTAGGCGGCTACTCGGCTGCTGATTGGCCGGTTCGCCAAATCCAGGCTTCTGATTGGTTGAAAATTTCCACGCAAAATTTGTCGAAATCTTTTGTCGGTTCCAGACACCTCCCCTCGGAAACAGTCGCTCCTCCGCTAAAAACTGTCCAATCGCCCTCGATAAAAATAGCTATCCCAAATTTCAAGCGGAGCTGTACACGAACGAGACAAACACAACTTGAAGTCTCCTCTCTCGAAACACGACGATAAGACAAGCTAACTAGTCGACTACATTCAATAAAAGACCCTTTTTCCATGTCCCGCTTTATTTTTACAAGAAACAAATTTCTCCAAAATATCAAGCGAACGATGTGTTTGGCGTTTAAGCAAGAGTTTCGTAGGGAATAAAGCACCATAAATATGTCTAAAGAACGTCTATCCATAGGTGAATTAATTTTGTGTTCGCGAAAAAGCGGTTTGATAATAATATTATTTCAAATAGAGCATTTCAATCGAATTAATTGAAATTGCATTAATGATAAACCGCAAATTTGAATGATCAACTGTTGATTGAATAATTTTTCGAAAGAACTTTATTTCCTACCCAGATAATGATTTTCATCCTTCTCAATACTAGAGAATAGGCTATTCAGAATAGTTGATAATCTGGCATCTTCCGAATTTTATTATTATAACAATTTATAATATTGTATTATTATAATATTATAAATTCTTATTAGAAATTCGGAAGATGCCAGATTATCAGCTATTCTGAAAAGCCTATTCACCAGTATTGAGAAGGGTGACAATCATTAGCTTGGTAGGAAATAAAGTTCTTCAGAAAAAATTCGAATAGCTTTTAAAATAACATACGAATTTTTTTCAAAAATTGAGCTGAGCTGACCGTCACCTCAAAATTGCTGAGCTGAGGTAGAGCTCGGATAGCTCAGCTCACAAAATTTGCAACTCTGGCTCAGCTCAGTAATTTTTGGAAAATATGTAGCTCAGCTCAGCTTTTAGTCGAAACTCTGCTCAATATGCTGACCAAGATTTAAATCGAAATCAGTTCAATAAGCTCAGTTCTAAAAGATGCCAGCTTAGTTCACCAATTTCTACGAAGCTCCTAGCTCAGCTCAGCTCAATTTCGATCTGAGCTTTTATAGCTCAGCTCAGTTAAAACTTTTCGAAAAGAAACCTTTTCCGTCAAAAGCTGCTCTAGCTCAAAGCAGAACTGTTCCAAAAACAATTGTTGTATTCAACGACTTATTCGATTATTTAATTTAGTGGAAAATAGTATTCGGATATAGAAACATCCTTTTCAGCGAGTGTAAATAAAGCTTGTTTAGTGTTCGTTGGCGGCGAAAGTGAATAAATGATAGCGTCAAGGGTCCGCGCTGGCGACGGGCGCTGTTTTCGCTTTCGCGATTTTTCAGGCGGCGCCAAAGAGCTCCGCTATAAAGCCCTTTCATCCAAGATTAGGCTATACATTGTAAAAAAGAGAGAGAATTGCGAAAAAGATGAAAACGTTCGTCGGCCTTTTATTGTCCGGTAAAAGTCACTTCTAGCTTCGTTTCTAGAGAAAAAATTCTAGGACACGCTTCGCACATCACCAGACAAACGCCAGAAGAGCAGAAAGTCCTCACAGAGATTCCGAAGCCGAAAATCGCAGAAAATCCAGATGTCATTTCAAAATCAACATCGCCAAAAATAATGCTCAATCTGGAATTTTTACGATGGAGGAAAAACCAGCGGTAATAAATTATCAAAAAACTAGAATAAATAATTTTTAAAATAGTAAAAGATTTTTAATAAAATTTTCATATTCGTGAATAATTTTTTATTAAAAATCAAATTTTAAAATTTTATTAATAATAAAAATATTATTTGAAAAAGAAATTTTTCTGAATAAATTATTTCAGGAAGATGTTTGCGAAGAAGAAAAACTTTCATCTGCAAAAACAAGAAAGAATGCGGCCAGTGGGAGTGCGAAAACGGCGTCGGAAACGAAGCGATTTGCAAGCTAAAATGCAAAAACAGAAGAGAAGGGGGACGAGAATGTGCAAGTGTTACCGCGAGCTTGGGTTCGTGAGCTTGTACGTTGGCTGTTCCTGGGACACGGATCTCAACGACGAGTGCGAAGCGGCACTTCCGGTAGTAGGAAGGTGGAACTCGGGCTGGAGGCCGCCAAGAGTAGGTCCTCCGAAAACCACCACGAAAAAAACAACAACCACCACCACCACAACAACTTCTACCACAACTTCTACAACAACATCGACAACAACGACAAGCACAACAACGACAGAGGCAACAACGACGGAGGAAGCAACGACGACGGAGAAACCCAAGTCGACGATTGAATACTTGAAGTACATGCACATGGATATCGACATGAATATTCCATCCCTTCCGAATTACGATGATGAAGAAGAAGAGGAAGAAGAAGAAGAAGAATTGGAGGAGGAAGAGTACGAAATCATAGAAGTCCCACTTCCCGAAAAACCAGAGCTTTTCTCAGCTGATTCCCCGAGATCCCAATTTGCGAATTCCGATTTCATCAACGTCTTCCCCCAATTCGCCTCCTGCCCTCGCTTCCCCGACAATGCCGAGTGGGAATGCAACGCGACAAAGAACCGAGTCCGTTGCAACATCACTTGCGGCGAAAACTCCAGGTCCAACAGATGTTTCTGCCACAACAAGGGCGCCTGCCAATGGTCGAATCGCTTCCCCAAAACTTGTCGCTACTCGAACAAAGAAAAATCGACGAAAGAAGATCACGAAAAATCATCCCCGGCGCCGATGTTGTTGGACAATCCACTCGCCAATCTCTCTAAAGATCTTGAAGCAATCAATTCTCTCGACAATGAAGCTCTGCGCAGCATAATGAACGAAGGTAATCTAGATTTTTTAAGTAGCTAGGCCCTGTAGCTCAGAATCTAGGCTCGCAAACCTGTGTAGAAAACCTGAGTCAGACCTTGAGAGATTAAATGAAAAGCCGCGGAGCGGCTTTTAAAACGAAGCCGCGAAGCGGATTCGCTAAATTATAATTAAAACCTTTTTTATACTCTAGCGAAGCCGCTTTGCGGCTTCGTTTTAAAAGCGCTCCGCGGCTTTTCATTTCAGCTTTTTCAGAACCTGACTCAGGTTTTCTACACAGTGTGGTCAGAATTAAAAAATGATTGAAATAGTAATTTTGGCGAATGCGCTTTGCGGCTTCGTTTTTAAAAAGCCGCTACGCGGCTTTTCATAAAAATCTTTCAAAACCTGACTCAGGTTTTCTACACAGGTTCCTGAAAACTCTTTTATATCAAAGCTCTTCTGAAGACTATTAATTTTTGCTTTTGAAAGATAGCTCATTTGATAAAGCTCAAAGTTGTTGTTTCTTTTCTGACTGGATTTGTTTTCAGGAGAAGTGTACGTAAACGCTTTCGAGTTAATGCAAAGTATGCAGCGCTGGATGTACAATTTGGGTCTCTTCGCGGTGAACGAAGCTTTGGAGAATTAAGACGTTTCAGCCAAACCTCATGTCAAGACCGAACGACCCTCATAAAAATGTACAGTTACCAATTTCCTTTTTTTTTTAATTTTTATATAAATACCTGTAATAAAATTTCCCAAATTTAAGTTTAAATCGATTTCTTTTCAATGAAACAAGTTGGGGTCTGCGAACCTGGGCTCGGCAACCTGTGTGGATACCTGAGTCAGGTTTTGAAGAACTAAAATGAGAAGCCGCGTTGCGGCTTTTTAAAAAACGTAGCCGCAAAAGGATTCGTTTTTAAAATAGCCGCTACGCGGCTTTTTATTTGAGGTATTCAAAACCTGACTCAGGTTTTGAAGACAGGCTGCCGTGCCCAGCCGCAAGCCTGTGTTTAAAGCCTGAGTCAGGGTCTTCCACACCGCTTTTCCTTAAAGCCAGTTTAGGACCTTAGGCCCTGACTCAGGTTTTCTACCCAGGTTTTCGAGCCCAAACATTTACATGGAAGTTTGATTTTTTTTTCATTTTTTATTGTGAAAGTCACTTTTTGTTCGAGAAATACAAGCTGTCTTTCAAACAAAAAAAGTGTCGATTTCCATTATCCATTGCGGTATCGGGCGACGTACTTGTGTTGGCAGTGTTCTCCGTGGTAGCCAGTCGGGCAGCTTGAAAATTAATTAACAAAACTTAATTTCTTGAAAGAGACTTACATGCATTTCCAAACGGAAGTGTCAAAGTACTCGTAAAAGCAAACGCCGATTCTGCTACAGTAACTCGGCTCGCAAAGCCTAAATATCAAATTATCCTCTTCTTTTGGAGCAAAAACTTACCCGTATTCGGATTCGACGGAAATTATAATTTGATCGCCGTATTCTTCTTTTCTGCACTTTCCGGCGTAGAACGGCTCTTTTTTGCAATCAGCGAGGAGTAACCTACAAAAACGCTCCAAATCGACTAGTACAAGGAAGCTGGGCTCGGCAACCTGAGTAGAAAACCTGAGTCAGGGTCTGAAAGAGCAAAAATACGCGGCTTTTCATCTTTGCTCTTTCAGAAGCTGACTCAGGTTTTCTACTCAGGTTGCCGAGCCCAGCAAGGAAGACTCTAGAACCTGCAGGGATGAAGGGACAGATCTACAGCCACATCTCCTCTCACAAAGCAAGAAGGCCAAGAAAACGGATCCTGGAAGTAGTTGCAATCTAAATTTGAAAATTGAGACCCTCATATTTCCCGTGAAAAATTTCGTACCAATTTCATTGCAAGCGTCTCTATTTTGGTCTTCAAATTGCGCTAGAAAGCAGGAAACTAAAAAGAATAAAAATTTCATCTTCTTTCTTTTTCTCTTCTTGCTTTTGCTCGACTTGGATGAGTGGGACCCTAAAAACTGGGACCCTTTCCAGAGTCAAATATTGACCGGCGAAAAAAGGCAAATCCTCTGCCAAGTTTTCACCCTTTGCGATTTTAGCTATTTGAACTTGCAACTGCGAATTTAATGTCAAAATATTTATGTGTCTGTTGCATTGGTTCTTATAAATTAGAATCTAAATAAAGACAATTAATATTTTAAAAAATTGAAAGCCAAATGTCTTCAAATTGATTAAATTCCACATTATTGTCTATAGACTATTGTTCCCTACTTTGAATTGTGATAATAAAAAGAAGTCGTAAACTCAGAGTCAAAAGTGCGGTCTCTCGCTAGCTTACGATCTTCCGCGATTGAAAAACATTTTGAAATCACTCTTTCCGAATTTTGGTTATCGCTTTTTATACAAAATGAAAATTTCAACGCATCCAGAAGAACTGACAGGAGAAGTTGTTGAGAAATGGCTGGAAGATTTTAAAAAGAAATTGAAGAGAAAAACGAGCAGAAATGATTTGGACAGGTTGATTTTGTCGATGGACAGAATGCAGTTTGAAAATGATCGTTGTGGTCGATGGGAGGAGGTAATTTTCGAACATGGAAAAGGAAAGCTGTCTGGAAGATATGAGGAAGAATGGGAAATAACTTCATTTCAAAAAATGATTCTTTCGATAAATCCAGGCTTCGAAGGACGAAAAATTCAACGTTCGGAATTAAAAGAAGAAATCGGAGAATGGATTCTAGATGACTCTTTGGAATCGATTTCAGCTGGAGGAGAAGCGATTGTTTTGAAAGAAAAATTCGGAGAATTGGAAGTGGCCGTTCGGGTGCAGGCGTTTGATCCGGCGCTGTTTGCGGAGAATGAAGAATTTGCCTTTGAAATTCATCTTTCGAAAGGTAATTTTAATTTCTTATATTTTTTTATTTTTTTTTTTAGAATACGAAATCGCCCAAAACAAGAAAAAAGGCAATGCCCGGGTGATTCCTTTTCACAAAAACGTGATCAAGAATTTCTGCAACATCGAAGTGTTTTTGAGCAGCGACTTTAAAAAAGAAGACTGTGTTGGCTGGATCACGATTATGGAGAAATGCGACGCGGATTTGAGATGCAAATTGAAGAATAATGAGTTGAATTTGGACGAAAGGAAGAAAATTGCGATTGGCGTACAAGAGGGATACGAGTATTTGGGGAATATTGGAATTTGGCATTACGATGAGAAGCCGGAAAATGTCCTTCTGAAAAATAGAGAAGCAAAATGGATCGATTTCAGCATTATTTGCGAATTAACTGGACGAGAGAGTTATCGGGAGATGGGTTACGCGAGGAGAGGAAGCAGATTTAGAAATACCTACTGTTTATGTAAGTTTTGAGCTTGTTGAAAAATGCTCGTGTTTTATCTCTTTTTTTTCGTAGATGCGGGGTCTCCTGCTTTTTCTACTGGCGGGCAGATAGGCGAATACTTCGGAGGGCTTGGATCTTCTCCTCATATTTTGATTCTTTGCGAGTGGAAGACGGCCTGGACTCTTTTATTCAAACCAATCGAAGAAGAAGAAAGAGAAATCATCAAACAAGAACTTGAGGTTAGTCTTTACTTTTTATTTAAGAAAATAACCTTTCTTAGACTTGCAATGCTGGCTGGCTCTCAAACGAAAGACCATCAATCTCAGAAATCCAAAACTTGTCAAAAATCATTTCTCTTGAAAACGCGTCTTCTGATTTTTGCTTAGACGATCCGAATTTGACGAAATCAACTGCAATGGCCAGTCTGAAACAAAAACTGACAAAACAGATCAATTTCGACTTCAAAAATGTGACGAAGAATGTTTTAAGGGATCCCCCCCCGATCCGAAAAATTTTCCCAAAAAGTATCGAGCGGTGCATATTTAAATTCTCCATGATCTGAGGGTCATTTTTTACCATTATGTCAAGGCCCTTAGATCACGTGATTTCTCGTGAGAGCGCGTTGAAGTTGCATTACACTCTATACTTAGCAGAAATTTTCGATTTTTTCAAAATTTGAATGTCTTCATAACGAGGCGAATAGGGGCTTATTTGAAAGCATATAACGCCCTTATCAAGAAATAAACAGTTTTCGAGAAAGAAATTCATCTCTTGGTGGCGCTAGAGAGCAGAAAGACTCCAAAAAATCGCTAAAATGACGGCTGAAAGTTTTATAATAAGAAAAAAATTTTCTACTTTTTCAATCATCATGATCATGCATGCAAATGTAGCCGAGGGTCTAGACGTTATAAAACTGAAGAAATTTTGGAACTACATAAGCCCAAAAAAAAGTAGATACAACTTGAAAATGACCGAAAATGGCCGTTTTTGGCAACCTAAGTCACTTTGACAGCCTCTAATGCATAAGTAAATCTTATAACTAGGGGCTTATCATGCATGCATTTGCTCGTCAAGAAACGGGCTTCAATTTGAGCCCCTATACAGGCCCACACGCAAGACGAGTAAAAAGTAGATAGGGGTCAAAGTTGGGAAAATCGGGGGGTGATCCCTTAAACCAAAAAGAAAGCGATCTTTGTGTACCCATTTCTGTTTCGGTGCTTTTGAGATGGGCACTCAAAAATGATTTGAAAATTGGAGATTGGGAAATGGAAGAATTTTTTAATCTGGAAAAAATCTTCACAAAACTGACAATGCTGATTTATCCGCGGAGTTTGGCTGGCTTCAATCTCAATCCGAAATTCGAAGAACAACAATTTCAAAGCAACGAAATTGAAATGCTTCTCAGAAGATTCAAGTTCAGGACTTATTTGAACCCAAGTGGATGGCTAATTATAACACAAGAAAGCACAAGCGACGACTTGATAAATGCCAATTTTGATTTTGAGCAAGGCTATGAACTCGAAGGTAAAGATCAAATAAAACTTAAATTCAGTCCTCCTCCATGGCAACTTCGTCTTCTCCCGTCCTCTAACCGTCACCGGCGCCTATCTAAATCCCGACTCTTCAATTCTTTTCCACCAAATGGTGCTGGACCGAATCGAAAACTCCGAATTCATTCTCCAAAACACTCTCATCGCCCATTCTGGCTCTCAAATCAGAATTCCTGTTTCCAGAGAATTCTACGCCAATGAAGAAATGATGAAAGACTGCTACAACAGCTACAACGACTTTGTTTTTTATGGAGACAACAACGAGTTTCTTGAGTTAGTGAACGAAAAATTCAACATGGAAACAGAAAAATGGTATCTTCTGCCGCAAGCTTATTCAATTACTCTGACTAAAACTCGAAGACTGTAAAAAAATAAAAATTGCGAAAATTATTTTCATTTTTTTAGTTTTGCAGTCGACTATTACTAGAGCGGCGAAGAAATAGCTCCTGTTCAGAAACCAACCAGAACGGAAACAGCTATTTTGCTCTTTGTTTTATTATCGATGTACAGTTTGAAGAGATTGCGGCAGGTGGTAGGACAAGTGAAAGAAGCACATTTACAAAAAGGGGATTAGACTTGGCAAATGTAGCGGAACTCGCGGTCGCATTTTGAGGGGTACCATTTGTAGCCGAACTGCAGGCCCGCGGACTGAATGCACCGCTCTGAGCGCTAGAATCGTTGAAAGAAGGGAATGAGTGGTAGAACTTACTGTCGGGCGGATTTCTCCGTACCAGTTTTGGAAAGAGCTCTCAGTGACGGTCGTGTTGTCTACCCAGCTGAGGCGGTCGCTCTCTTTGTCCAGCGACAATCCAACCCAGTAGGAAGTGTCCTGAACAGTTATTTCAATCAGTGCTGTTAAAAACCTGGGTCAGAGTTTTAAGCTGCTCAACAGAAAGCTTCGCCAAGTAACCATTTGAATTAATTTTCTAAAACTATCGAAGCCGATTTGCGGCTTCGTTTTTGTTAAAGCCGCTACGCGGCTCTCTGTTGAGCATTTTCGAACCCTTACTCAGGTTTTAGCTATGGTTGTCGACTGGAATTTCAGTCAATTCGAAGATAATTGCCATCTTGCTTGACTTACATAAGAGCTGCCTCTAATCAAATTCGTAATATACAACATCGTGTCCTCGTCCTTGATCACCGCCAAAGATCCGCCCTGTCTGTTACATCTCTGCTCGGCCGCCTCCCACGAGCGCTTGTCCTTGCTCAAGTTGAAGCAGAAGCTTCCTTTCTTTTTCCCGTGGCCGGCGCAACGGAATCGCGCGTCTTTAATCAATTTCTTTGAGCATTTTTGAACTCGGAAAGAGCTTCACTTACTTTGTAAGCGATGCTTCGGGTGCGCGTCAGTTAAGGCGTTTTTGCCATTTGCGTCCTTTAAGGCATTGCGTCAGTTAAGGCACTTGCGTCAGTTAAGGCGCTGAAAAATGACTAGTGGAATTCTGATATCAACTAGGGTCTGCTAAATTACCTCGATTGTAACTATCCTTGAAATTCTCATTTCAATCTCAAATTTAACAGCGTATTCAAAATAATTTAAATACGATACGTATTGAAAACGATCTGAGAAAATTAACTAAAATTTTAGTGTCGAACCTTTATTTTTACAAATAATAAATTTATTCTATCACGAAAAACTTCAAATTCAATCATAAACCAGCGGTTCAGCTTATAACTGAATATAAAAAGATTTTCTTGAGAAAATATTAACTCTGGCACTTACCCTAGGAATTGGTAAAGTAATATTTTATCAAGAAATCTAGCAGACCCTAGTTGATATCAGAATTCCACTAGTCATTTTTCAGCGACGCAAGTGCCTTAACTGACGCAACGCCTTAAAGGACGCAAATGGCAAAAACGCCTTAACTGACGCGCACCCCGATGCTTCGTAAAGTGCGCCACTGCTGCGGTGCTGGAAATCGACTCGGCCTGGGCGTTGAGGCGTTTTTCGTGCTCTTGGATCAGAGCTTCGTCGCGGCTTTGAAAGATCTTTAATAAAGGGATTCAGACCCTGACACAGGTTTTCCACTTTGATTACCGAGCCCATATCTTACCTTGACTTCGTGCTGGTATTCAGAAACGACGCTCAAAATCTGCTGTCTCTCGTCTTTTAATTTCTGAACTTCGATCGCCAAAAACTCATTTTCTTCCTTTCGCGACTTCAATTCCAAGGCCATGGTCGATTTCTCCGAAAGAACGAGATCCATTCTCAACTGCTGCTGAATAATCGCCTGGCCGATTGCCGGAGGAATATCGCACTCGCAACTTTTTCCGTTTTCCGACTTTTCCGTTTTCAAAAGCTGCTCTTCAAAATCCGGCAGTTTCTTCAGCGTCGTCGAGTTCGTTTTTCGCTTTGGAAAGTCGCCGAAATTCTGCTTGAGCGAAATTTCCTGGATCTGGTCTGAAGGGGACTCATCAGAAGCTACTAATTAGGGCGATTCACGGGCATTTGTCAAGTCGGGCAATTAAAATTTAGGATTAAGAAATTCAAGATCAAGTTTAACCACTCTGAGCCTGGGAAGAAAAGGGGGACAAAATGAGACTTTTCTGCAAAAAGGATTGGCATTTGAAATTGCCTGCCTCAAAGTATTTTTAATTAATTGATCAAGTTGATGATTAGCTCTGGCGAGAAGATGAGTCCCGGTGTCTAGGATGTAGACTTGGTTCTTCTCTAATTTCTCCACTCGGTGAGAAACGTCGTTCTTGATGATTGTGTCTCTGATCATTTCCGAGGTTCTGTTACCAGATTTTCCATAGATGCAGCTCTAGAATAGCTCTAGAACTGCTCTGAATGACTAAATGGCTGATTGAAAATCTGTTCCTTTGCAAGTCGCGTTCGAAAACCTCGATCGCTTCGGCAATCTGGCGCATGAGCTCGCTCCTCAGCGTCGTTCGTTTTTGTTTTTAAAAGGCGCTGCGCGGCTTTTATCATCAGATCATTCAGACCCTGACTCAGGCTTTCTTCGCAAGTTGCCAAGCCCAAAAAATTTCTTCTAGGAAGCCTTAATCGTAAAGCCTTACTCTGAAACATTCTGCTCAGAATTCTGGTCAACGAGTTTCTCGATTTTCTGGCGCAGCTGTTCGATCATTTTCTGGTTGAATTCGATGTTGGCGCCGTTGGTGCTGACGCTGCTGCTGTGCTGCCTCAGTTCGCCGTAAAACTCGGCCAGACGCTCTTCGTGCTTCGTGATCTTCTGCAGCTGCTCGAGCATGTCGCTTTTCATGACGTCGATTCTGTCGGTGAAGAGGATCGCCATTTGGCGCAGGAACTCGCGCGGGTTCGTCGTTTGACGCACCTCCAGGTCGCGAACGCGGTGGCTCAGGTCGATCGTGAAGTTTTGAATTTGGTCCAGCCGGTTCAGGTAGCCGCCTGATCAATTTAAATGAAGTTAAATAATTAAATTAAGAGTATAAGCTTTAATTTAATATTCCCATTCGGATTTATGAATGACATAATTTACTGTCCTTCAAGTTTTAGCTCTAGAACCTCGCGGCTTCAAGTTAAAATAAAATTCTAGAGCTATTTTATGTTCGAAGCGTTCGAAGTCGCGCCGAGGATAGCCGTGACTTACACACAGAGCTGTTGTTTTTTCGAAAACTGTTTGCCCGAATATTTGAAAATCGAAACACCATAAGATCGAGGGGAGCGGAAGAGTAAGGAATTTTAATATAACGATGATTTGTCGATAAAATTATTCTAGCTTCTTCGTTGTCTCAAACCCTAAGCCTATTAAGATTAACGAAAATATAAATCAAAAATCCTCCTTAAAAAGCCTCTAGAACCTGCAGGGATGAAGAGACAGATCAACAGCCACATCTCCTCTGACAAAGCAAGAAGGCCAGGAAAACGGATCCTGGAAGTAGTTGCAATCTAAATTGAAATTTGAAATTCGAAATTTTCCCTTGAAAGATGTTTTTGTACCAATTTCATTGCAAGCGTCTCTATTCTTGTCTTCAAATTGCGCCAGAACGCAGAAAACTAAAAAAGCTAAAAATTTCATCTTCCTTGTTTTTCTCTTCTTGCTTTTGCTCGACTTGGATGAGTGGGACCCCAAAAAATGGGACCCTTTCCAGAGTCAAATATTGACCGGCGAAAAAGGCAAATCCTCTGCCAAGTTTTCACCCTTTGCGATTTTGGCTATTTGAACTTGCAGCTGCGAATTTTAAGATTTTCGTCGAAATATTTATGTGTTTGTTGCATTGGTTTTTATTAAATATAATTTAAGGAGGTACGGGGCGGTTTGGCGAAAATTCGAATTTTCAAATTTTCTTTCCATTTTTAGATAGCTCAGGTCAAGAGCAACAAAAAAGGTCCCTATGTTTTTTCTCATCGATAGAGAAAGATAGTAAAAAATGGCATTGAAAGTTGGCGTTTTCATGAAAACTTGCAAAATTATATTTTTCAATGTCTTAAAAATTGAATTATTTTTATATTTTTGGAAAGTTTACTTCTTGTTAAGTATTTTTGATAATAACACGGACTGCGTTATTTTACTGTATTACGAGCTAACTGTATTTCGAATGACAATTTTTGGACGTTTTAGACCCAACTTTCAATCGCAAGCTTACAATAAGCATTTTTTGAGAAATATTAAATTCCTTCAATTCACCCCTAGAACAGCAATGGAAGTTTCCTTTTATTGTCTTAGTTTTAAAAAATAAAAATATTTTCATAAGAAAAATCGCGTTCAAAAATGACGCAAAATGATGATTTTCACGGACATGACTTGAAAGTGAGCTCTGTATGGCCAAAATCCCTTAAGCATTTTTTCTGAAAAAAATTTCAACTCTAGTTTACGGTCAAATCTATAAGTAGAAGAAGAGTTTTTAAAAATTTTCTTACCCATCTGAGCCTGAGTGCTGTTTGAAAATGGTCAATTTCACGAAAACCGCCCACACCTCCTTAAATAAAGAGAATAATGACCCTTGCCCTAACTTCAAAATGCTCGTCAGTAAGACAGTAAGTCCCCTCATCTAGCCTCGGCAACCTGGGTAGAAAACCTGAATCAGGGTCTGAAAAAATCTATTATGAAAAGCCGTGTAGCGGCTTCTTTAAAAAACGAAGCCGCAAAGCGGCTTCGCCAAATAATCATTCAATCTTATTTAAAACTTTTCAGACCCTGACTCAGATTTGACAACAAGGAAGAGGGGCAATAATCAGCGCGCTTATGCTCGTCGGTAAGATCGTAAAAACGAACCCAAAAAGCGGAATCAGAAGAGTTTTATGATCTGGTCTTAAAACCGGCGAAGCGAGCATCATTTCAAAAATAAACTTCTTTTCTTGTTGATTATTATTTCTTTCGAGAAATCATTAGAAACAGCTGATGGATCGGGCAATCGAATTGAACAAGAGAATCTGTTCTTTGGTCGAGCTTCTGGGAGGCGAAGGAATTCCCATTGTTCTTGATCGAATCGGCGGCGATTCCGGCCAAAAGACGGCAGGTTTGCAAGAGGCTTCTGTTGAAGAGAAAATGAACGAGACAAGTCAAGAATCTAATGAGTCTTATGAGTTGGAAAACGAATTGACGCATCCAAAAGAACTGACAAGAGAAGCTGTTGAGAAATGGCTGGAAAAGTTTCAAAAGAAATTGAAGAGAAAAACGAGCAGAAATGATTTGGACAGGTTGATTTTGTCGATGGACAGAATGGAGTTTGAAGATGATGAGTGTGCTGTATGGGAGGAGGTCATTTTCGAACATGGAGAAGGAAAGCTGTCTGGAACTGTCCCGTTTTCTGGACGCAAAGTACAGGAAGAACGGGCAATAAGTTCATTTCAAAAAATGATTCTTTTGAAAAATCCAGGCTTCGAAGGACGAAAAATTCAACGTTCGGAATTAAAAGAAGAAACCGGAGAATGGATTCTCGATGAATCTTTTGAATTGATTTCAGCTGGAGGAGAAGCAATTGTTTTGAAAGAAAAATTCGAAGGTTTGGAAATGGCGGTTCGGGTGCAGGCTTTTGACTCGGCGTTGTTTGTGGGGAATGAAGAATTGGGCTTTGAAATTCATCTTTCGGAAGGTAATTGTTATTTTTTTATTTTTTTTTTATCTGTTTTATTACAGACAAAACGGGCAATTCCGGAACGGGCAATTCCGGAGATTTGAGGGAAATTGGAAAAATTTTGCAAGCGCACAATTCCGGAAAGTTAAGACAAAAAATTCAACTGAGAGGCCTATTCTCTATATAGGGCCACCTTTTTCAAATAAAAAGGAAAAAAGAAATCAGAGAAGGGTCAAAAAAGCCCATTTTCTGGTTGACACCCTTAAAAAAGGCACTTCTGACGCAAAAAAAAAATGCCAGTCGAGTTCGGACAATTCCGGAGATTTGGCGCTTTTTCCCGAAAAAAAAACTTCCGGAATTGTCCGTTTTGTCTGTATTTTTTAAGAATACGAAATCGCCCAAAACAAAGAAAGAGACGATGCCCGAGTAATTCCTTTTCACAAAAATGTGATCAAAAATTTCTGCAACATCGAAGTGTTTTTGAGCAGCGATTTGGAAAAAGAAGACTGTGTTGGCTGGATCACGATTATGGAGAAATGCGACGCGGATTTGAGAAGCAAATTGAAGAGTAATGAGTTGAATTTGGACGAAAGGAAGAAAATTGCGGTTGGCGTTGAAGAGGGAAGAGAGTATTTAGAGAATATTGGAATTATTCATTGCGATACGAAGCCGGAAAATGTGCTTCTGAAAAATGGAGAAGCCAAATGGATTGATTTCAGCATTATTAAGGAATCGACTGGACGAAAGAGTTATCGGGAGATGGGATACGCGAGGAGAGGAAGCAGATTTAGAGAAAGTAGCTGTTTATGTAAGTTTTGAGCTTGATGAAAAATGCGCGTGTTTTATCTTTTTTCGTAGATGCTGGGTCTCCTGCCTTTTCTTATGGCCCGCAGATAGGCGGAATGTACGGATGGTGTCAATCTGAAACTCATATTTTTATTCTTTGCGAGTGGAAGACGGCCTGGACTCTTTTATTCAAACCAATCGAAGAAAAAGAAAGAGAATTCATCAAAAAAGAACTTGAGGTAAGTCTTTACTTTTTTTAAAAGAAAATAACCTTTCTTAGACTTGCATCGCTCCCTCAACCGAAGATATCCAAAGCTTGTCAAAAATCATTTCTCTTGAAAACGCGTCTTCTGATTTTTGCTTAGACGATCCGAATTTAACGAAATCAACTGCAATGGCCAGTCTGAAACAAAAACTGACGAAACAGATCAATTTCGACTTCAAAAACGTGACAAAGAATGTTTTAAACCAAAAAGGAAGCGATCTCTGTGTGCCCATTTCTGTTTCGGTGCTTTTGAGATGGGCACTCGAAAATGATTTGAAATTCGAAGATTGGAAAATGAAAAGATATTTTACTCTGGAAAAAATCTTCACAAATCTGACAATGGTGATTTACCCGCGGAGTTTGGCTGGCTTCAACCTCAATCCGAAATTTGAAGAACAAGAATTTCAAAACAACGAAATTGAATTGCTTCTAAGAAGATTGAAGTTCAGAACATATTTAAATGATAGTGGATGGAAAATTATACAAGAAAGAACAGACGACATATGCGGTCAATCTTCGGGGTAGGGATCCCGAAGAATAGTCGATTTTAAATACGCTCAATCTTCGGGGTACGATCCCGAAGAGCTACCAATATATAATGCGGTTATTCTTCGGGGTCAAATGAGTGTTTTTGAGATCGGCGAGTGCTAAATTTCGCTGCCGCGTTATCGAAATTCCTATCATCCGCCCGCCTTATGAATGTTGCTATCAGCACCAGAGTTGGTAAAAAAGTATAATTCACCCTGCGCTTCAAAAATCTGCAGGGCGCCCTTCATTCTCGAAGCGCAGAATGCGCTTCGTACTTCAATTTGAAGTACGAAATGGCTCGGAAGTATACTTCATTTAAAATGAATCATTTTGAAGGGCGGGTGAAGTATACTTTTTAACGCCGGAACGCATATACGACCCATTTTTGGGTAATACGATTTTGCTCATCAAAAAACCCATATTATATTTGATATACGCAGATAATATGATCACGCTCAAGTTATATTTTTGTAGCTTAGAGTCCGGTTATAATATATAAACCCGGATTTTTATTCTCTCTATGCCCAAATCGCGACAATATTGGGTTAAATAGTGGTCAGAAATTGGCAAAAATGGCCATGCGTTCCGGGGTTAACCAACTCTGATCAGCACGATTTCTTTCAAAAACAGAAAACTTCGTCTATTCTATTCATTCTTTTAAATGAAAAAATGGAAGAAATAATTATTATTGAAATCAAGAAAATCGTCCGTAATAATATGGACTAACTGATAATAATTGAAGGCGACAGAGAGATTCTCCTTCACCAGAAGAACGCTCTTTCCAAGTCGATAACCTACGAATGTTCTCAGCTTAAAAGTATCTTAGAGTATCCTTCAAATTTCTTCCATGCTCCCGAAAGACTTTTTTCCGATTAAAAAATTAAAATCATAGTATTTGCTAAAATTAAGGTTAGGGTTAGGGGGCACCTTCAAAAATGACGGAACAAATTACCCGAGGGGGATAGGCTAGGGTTAACCCTAAGTAACCCTAGACTAGACCCCGGCATCTTAGGACCGAGGGGCGGAGCCCCGAGGTAAGGGACAATCAGATTTGATAATTTTCTACTTTAAAATAGTTTACTATAGTTTACTGTTAAAAACTTTCAATAAGAGAGTTTTTAATTGGCTTTCAATCTTTAGGACGAATTTTTTTCTCGGAAATCTCTCAATTTTGGTCGGAAATATCGGCCACTTTTATAAAATAATATTCATAAAATTATTATTCATTCATAAATTTATTGAAATTAATAGCATCGGATTTCTATTTGTTTGATAGTTTTCATCTTCAAAGTTTTTTTTGACCCCGAAGATTCACCACAATGTTCATCGGTTATTCTTCGTCTCCGGATTTTCGAGACCCCGAAGATTGGCCGCATTTTCTATCGGTCGCTCTTCGGGATTTTACCCCGAAGATTGAGCGTATTTAAAATCGTCTATTCTTCGGGATCCCTACCCCGAAGATTGACCACGTATGACCAGAACAGAGCACTCGATAACTGCCAATTTCGATTTCGAGCAAGGTAAAAATTCAAAACTAAAAATCAAATAAAAATTAAATTAAGTCCTCCTCCATGGCAACTTCGTCTTCTCCCGTCCCCTAACCGTCACCGGCGCATATCTAAATCCCGACCGATCAATGATTTTCCACCAAATGGTGCTGGACCGAATCGAAAACTCCGAATTCATTCTCCAAAACACGCTCATCGACCATTCCGGCTCTCAAATCAGAATTCCAGTTTCAAGAGAATTCTACGCCGTTTACGAAATGATGGAAAACTGCTACAACAGCTACAACGACTTTGTTTTTTATGGAGACAACAACGAGTTCGTTGAGTTAGTGAACGAAGAATTCAACATGGAAACTGAAAAATGGTATATTCTGCCGCAAGCTTATTCAATTACTCTGACTAGAACTCGATGACTGAAAAAAAACAATCATTCTTTTATTCAAAACACGTGATCGATTTATATAAATTATAGCGGCGAAGAGATAGCTCCTTTGCTTATCGAAATGCATGAGAATAAAACATGACCTATTCTGTAAAAAAAAAATAAATAAAAACAAACTGTTTTCTTCATTTAAAAAAACGAAATCGGTTTCGAATGGAAGAATAAGTTTATTGAGACAGTAACTGCTGGAGTGGCAAAGAGGGAAACAGGAGAGAAGGAAAAGCAGGGTATTACTGTAACTAAGCGAGCTCGGGGCGATAATGCGTCACTACTAGCTGCACTTCTATCAGTTCTGCGTCGCGGTCGATATACACTTTCTGCGAATCTGAAAGAGAGATGGATAAAAATCATCGTAAATTCGCATTTTTTACCTAGTGCGCAGTTGTTCTGGCAGAGCACCTTCTTCCAGCTGTAAAAGTTTCCCTTGTGTTCTCCAGAGACGCTCTGCTGCGCGTCCTGAATGACCTTGTACTGCCACTTGATGGCGGCTCCCTTCGAGAGCGAGATCTTGAGCTGCCCGTCGAGCTCGCACTTCATCCAAAACTGCATTCCGAAGAACTGGTGCCGCTGGCTGAAGATCACGTCTCTTTTAAATCGACTGGTGACGGGCGAGAACTGCCACTGGAAATAGTAGAGTCCGTCTTTGACGTCTTCCGGCCGCAGCGCCTTCGACTCCCCGTTCGACAAATCGACCACGTTGGCGAATTTCTTGATCTTCGAGGAAAATCCTTTTTCGTTTTTTCCGGCGAAGGGGACGGCAGTTCCAGTCGGTGTTTTTCCAATCAGATCTTTTTCGCCGTCGCTTGTTGACTGCCACTTCCTTGTTTACTGCCGTAGCCGGCCACTGGTTTTGATTTTTCAATTTTTGAAGAATGAAAATAATTTTAACAGCATTCTGAACCTGGGCTCGGCAACCTGTGTAAAAAACCTGAGTCAGGTTTCGAGGACCTAAAATGAAAAGCCGCGTAGCGGCTTTTTAAAAAACGAAGCCGCGAAGCGGCTTCGCTATACAATCTCTTTGATTTTATTTCTAATAATGGCGAAGCCGCTTCGCGGCTTCGTTTTAAAAGCCGCTACGCGGCTTTTCATTTTAGGTCCTCGAAACCTGACTCAGGTTTTCTACACAGGTTTTCGAGACCAGATTCTGAATCAGATCGAAAACGAGCCTGGTGGTGCTGGTTCTTTACTTTTCGACGCTCCTCCCCACGTGACGGATTTGGACTGAGAAGAAGCCGCTTGGGAACTGCTTTTCGCGTTCGGCGTCGAAGTCTTCGGCGCCTGACTGGAAGAAGCACCCCAACCGCTCGACTTCACCGGAGTTGAGCTGTTTCCCCACCCAGAGCTCGATTTCGAGCTGCTTTTGTCGGCACTAGTAGCGCCCCAGCCCGAGTTTTTGCTTTTATTCGCGCTGGAACTCTTGAAACTTTGTTCCATCTCTTCCGAAATCGTTTCTTCTTCCAACTCGCGGATTTTGCAGTCGCGGCAGAATGTGAATTCTTTTTCTTTTAAAATGGATTCATTCACTTTTTATATTCAGCAAATCATTCCTCTTAAAAAGGGTTAAATTGAAAAGCCGCGCAGCGGCTTTTTTAAAGACGAAGCCGCAAAGCGGCTTCGCCAAAATAAATGAAAGATTGATGTGGTAACTTTCGCGAAGCCGCTTTGCGGCTTCGTTTTTAAAAAAGCCGCGCAGCGGCTTTTCGCTTGAAATTAACTCGAAGTCCTTATTTCAAAAATTTCACTAGTCTCTCACCCTAATTCTAGGTTCCCAAGCCAAGGATTTCGGGCAACTTTCTCCCCAAAAATCATAAAAAAATCGATCCATGCCTAATTCGTCGACATGCTCTTCCATCGTCTTCTTTAACGCTGCAGCTCCTTTTTCCCCGTTGAAAAAGTCCTTGATCGACGAGACTACCTGCTGAAGAATGTCAGTGGCGGAGGCGAAGATGTAGGCCTTGTCCACAAGCGTGAACTTGGGCGCTCGGATCGTGCTCATCCAGTGGTCGCTTCCATCGTTCCCCAAGGTCCAAAAATAACCAGACGAAATGGAATGACCATTTCCTAAGTTTCTTCAAGTAGCTGCTCACCCGCTCCAGCGAACTCTTCTGCTGCACGTAGAAGTCCGTGAACATCTTTCAAAAAAAGCAAAATTTTATTTGACTTCTCAAAATAAAAAAGTACCTCGCAATTGGCAAAAATATGCGATAAGCAATCTATATTCGCGGATTGATCGGAATCGTGGGCGAAAAAGTTCAAAAAGCCTTCCAACAAGCCGTCTTTGGAATACATCGGCAGATCGTCGGGATCCTGGACTTTGCAAATGTCCATGTTTTTATTGCCTTGCTCGGAAGACATTTCTGTCAGGAACTCGAAGTACTCTTTTTTGAAGCTCGTTAAAAATGAACTTGAATAAATTTCTTAAAGAAATAAATTAATAATTAATTAAAATAACAATTTATTATTATAATTATAATAAATTTATATAATAATAAAATAATATAATAAAATTACATTATTAATTAAAATAATAACTTATTAAAATAATTTTTGAAAATAAATTATGAAATCATCGCTGAAATCAAGGAAGAAGAAAAAAGAAATTTGGAGCTGCCCTTGTGCCATGTCGTCGTAATCTGGTCCGTAGTCGTCGATGAACTCGTTGACTTGGACTCTGGCGACGAACTTCGCAAACTCTTTGCATCCGTTCTCCACCAAGTCCAGCGCGTGTTCGATAAAGTAGTTTGTGCTGTTCTCCGCGCTAAAGAGATATTAGACTTTGAAACCAACTGGAAAATTTTAGAATTATTAATAGCGAAAAAAGATTAAAAAGATAAAAAATAATCCTGGAATTAGAAAAAGGGATTAGCTGAAAAAGATGCTCTTCTCAAGCATTTTTCGCCGTTTGGCGGCTTACCTGTAGTCGTGATCCTTTTTGAGCGCTTTCTGGACCCAGTCTTCTTCAATTGTGAGCTGTTTGCAGACTACTTTCTTTCTGAAATAAAACCATTATTGTTCGGCATTTTTTAAATAAATGATAAAGATTCCCTGATTTCTGGTTTTCCTGTGTAGAAAACCTGAGTCAGGGTCTTGAAATCTATTTCATATTCTAGTGAAGCTGCATCCCTGACTCAGGTTTTTTGCACAGGTTATTGAGCCCAGACTCGGCTCGGCAATCTGTGAAGAAAACCTGAGTCAGGGTTTGAAAGAGCTAAAGAGAAAGCGATTGTATTTTAGCCCTTTTTGACCCTGACTCAGGTTTTCTACACAGGTTGCCGAGCTCACGCGCTTGATTACCTTGCTGCGGGCTTTGGTGGAGACTTTGTCGTCGTTTTCGGAGGAGAAGAAGTAGTCGTCTTTGTCGAGGAAGTTGTGGATTTCGTTCCGGCCATGGGAATCGAAGAAAAAGGATTTGCTTTTGTCGACGATGTCGTCGAGGGTTTACTTGATGTTTCAAACAATTTTGCAAAAGGATCCGCCGCGGAGGACTTGGACGAGTTTCCAAAGCCGCTGCTTTTCGAGGAAGAGCCGAATCCGGAGGAACTGCTGGTTGTTTTGGTTGTGGTGGAGGACTTCGAGGGTGGCGCCCCAGAGCAGCCAAAAGGCTATTGAGATCAATATTCTAATGAAGAATCTTTATTTTGAGCATGAGCGGACTTTACTCTCTTTCTCAATGAAAGAAAAATTTCACCAACAATTATTTTTCAAAAGCCTTTTTAGTCAAAGACTCTCATTTTTGATTTCATCTTGAAATCTGCTAAATGGAAGTACTAAACCTATCTGTCAATTTAAAATGAAGACAGTTTTTTTAATAAGCCAAAAAATAACGACCGAACAAAAACATTCATACACAAGCTCAAGCAAAAGCACATTTTCAAAACACCAAAATTCCCAAAATGCGAAAAAAATGCGCTTTCTCGCTTTTTCGTCGGAAATTCCAAAAAAGGACGAAAAAGAGAACACTGAGTGAAGTCTACCTTATCTTGTCCTATGTCAAGCTTGATTCCTCCCTTTGCCTCGTCTTTTTTCGCCGTGGTCGAGGAAGAGCTCTTTGGCTTTGGCGTCTCTACAATGTCGTTTTCCCAGTCGTCACTTGGGTCTGAGCAGGACGAGCTGCTCTCGCTGTCAGAAAACGCCATAATTTGCACTAACTTCTAGTCCCTTCTTCCGACGCTCTCTCTCTTCCTATTTCTTTCCGTCTTCTCCTCGGCGCTATTATTTTTTTTTTAATTTCAACCCTCTTCGCCAAGAAAAAAAATGTTCACACTCGGTGGCTGAGCTCAAAGAAGGCTGGCTCTCCGCCCAAGGCAAGGGCGCAGAATTCCAAAAAGCAATTTTCACGAGACTGAATGAAACACTCAGTAGTAGCCCGAAAGTGAAACAGCTCTTGCTCTTTCCTGAGAACTCGAAAAAAGAAGAGAGTGAGCTTCTTTTATGCTTCACTGGGAACACACACGGGCGCCTACACGGACGTACCGAGCTTCTCAACCTGAACCACTTTTCCTAAATTCGAACATCGTTTTTTTCATTTTCTAATTTCGCACTCACACTAGGCCCCTATATTACGCGTTCCCACGCTTCTTACAGTGATTTTTTTACTTCCATTCTCATTATAACGAAATCCAAGTAAACATGGAAAATCGGTATTAAATACATAAAATGACCACCATTTTAACGAACAAGTATTTCTCCACTTTAACTGAATGAATATTCTTCAAGAAGGTACCCATCTTAACGGATTGTATGAAAAGTTGTTACCTCATTACCCTGAGACGCGCTTTTTTTACGGTTGGATTCTTATAACTTTTGATAGAGCTAACCAAATCTGAAGTTTTTGGGATCAAAATGATTCTCTCGAAAAACTTTAATTTTCCAATGCATTAGATTTTGAAAATTAAGTACCAATTTTCCACATTTAGGGGTACCTAAAATCACTTCCGGAAAATTGGTACCTAATTTTCGAAATCTAATGCACTGGAAAATTTTTATTTTTAGAGAGGAGCATTTTGAGCCCAAAAACTCCAGGTTTGGTTAACTCTATCAAAAGTTGTAAAATCCAACCGTAAAAAAAGCGCGTCTGAGGCTGGAAAATCCGTTAAAATCGGGACACTCTTGAGGAATATTCAACCCGTTAAAATTGACACCTCTTAGAAGTCCTTATCCGTTAAAATGGTGACCCCTATTTTCTAATATATTATTTGCCAATTCTAGTGGCTTGAACGTTTTTTTGGTTTCATAAAAATAAAGGTGTCAATATTCAAAAACCACCCGTTCATCTCCTTACCAGAGAAATTGCTCTTCCAAATAAAATCAAGAAAGTTCTTCTCAAGGTAGTCAATTTGTTTCAAGATCGCTCTTCTCAAGAAGAGACGATTCTCTCTCTTAGATTGAAGCTCTCTCCTCTTCTTTTTTATATTTTTTGCGCAAATTGGTTGAATGAAAAAAATCTCAATTTGGTTTTCAAATTTACTCCTCGACGGGGGGCTCCTCGGCCCGGCGGAAGAAGCATATGGTGACCGACTAAAGAGGCCATTAACCCAGACAGAGACAGGTCAAGTTTGTTCCAGCCAGAACAAAGAGGGGCAATCAGACTCTTCTAAGTACACAAAACTAAGTTCCAACAAAATAAATGCTCGAAAAAAAGATAAAAAAGGATGATCTCAACGGCATTCCTTCGCTGGGTGGAGTTTTCTTCTCCATTGCGCCAGTAAAGCCACCTGCTTTGGAACCGGCGATCGGAAAATCAAAGAGCTGATCCGCTTTTTCCGCGCTTTTCATTCCTCCTTTTCCGGCAGCAGCAGCGATCGGCGTCGGGACTCCAAACTTGGGCGGTTCTTTTCGATCAGCTGATTTCGGCTGCTTCGTTTCCGGGTTGCTCTTCATCGCCGCCATCCCCATTCCACTTCCTTCTTGTTTCAACATGGCGCCAAGTGAGGCCTCATCGAAGCCGCCCATTCCACCCTTGAAAAAGGCATCCAGTCCACCGCCACCGCCAGGACTTCCTCCCATTGAGAAGCCCATCCCACCAGAAGGCGCTGATTTTTCCATTTTGAGGGGAGCTGCTTTTCCCGCATCTGTCTTCCCCGTCGCGGCCGCTAGCAAGCTTTCCATCGTCGTCCCAGCTCCTCCCCAGCCACCCAAACTTCCTGCGCTCGGCTCCTTCTTTTCCACCCCTGCTGAACCCCATCCGCCCAAGGTTCCTTTGCTCGGATCTTTCTTTTTCGAAGAAATATCCGCCGCTGCTGCAAAATCGTTGTCCCAGTCATCTCCGGGGTCTTTTTTTCAAAGATCACATAATTTAAATAAATGAAATAATTTATTATATAATTAAAACTATTAGTTTTAAACGATTTATTTCCTTGTTTCAATTCATCAGAAAAGGTAGGAAATTGGATATTTACGATGCTAAAATAAGGGGTTATTCTAGGAGTAAATTCGGATCAGTGAAAACCAAGTTAACGAATCTACCCCCTTAAAAATCAAATAGCGACCTTGCGTGACCTCTTGCCTGAGCAGGAACTGTCAGATTCAGTCTCGCTATCACTTTCCGACCAACGCGCGTCTGCCATTATTTAATCTCTTTCAGCATTTGCTGATTTTCCCCTCTTCTTCTGAGTTAGTTTTTTTTTCTTGAATTTAGGAAGTTCTTTGTCTGGCCAGCTAATCTGCGCGTGCTCGATTCTCGCCTTGGTAATAAAAGGAATGACAGAGTTCTTCAAAGAGAACCAGGAAAAGTGCGATTTTCTACTCTGATTATTTAATTTCTACATTTTACGAGCTCCCTCTCTCAACTCAAATTGCTACTACTATTTGCGGAGCTCGAGTATCTCAGCGTAAATACTACCAAGCTCACTGTGGGCGTTTCCTCACTCAATGAATAAAAAAATGTGGTGGTTGACTTGAAGAATTATTGGCCTGTCTAAAAACCTGAATCAGGGCCTCCTTCTTGCCTTATTTATCAAATAATTTCATGGCAAATTTAGATTCTTCGCAAGTTACATAAGAAAGGGAATTTTTTTATTGGAGAAAATTACATTTCGAATAAAGAGCAGCTAGTATAATCCTTTCACGATTCTTGAGTACAAATTGTTGGCAACCATAGAGATCTGCTCACAAAGAGCCTTCCAATCATCATCAAATTTCGCGTTTCTTAAAATATGCTGACCGCGAAGCAAAAAAAAACTTACGTATCTGGATGATAGAGACGTGTCACTTTTGTAAGACAAGTTTTGATATTTTCTGGTGTTCCTGTGACTCTTGGCATCTCATAATGTTATTATAAATATTTCTAAATTATTATTTACTGTTCTTTTCTTCGGTGGATGATTTTTTGCCAGATAATTGAGAAACTTTGTTGCTGATTTATTGCTAAAATCCTCATTTGTGAATCTTTGAATAATTTTAATCCCTTCCTCTGATGGATTGAAAGTTACTCCGAAATGCGTTGTCTCCGCACTAAAATGAAATTAATAACTGATTACTAAGTCTCTTTCCAACGAGACTTTAGCGAGATATTCTCTTGCTCTCTTCAACCAATAGAACTCTTTGGTATATCCATTTTCCAATGCAATATGAATGCAGTCTTTGTAGTATTCTTTTGCTTTGATTTTTGCATGAGGCCGTTCATCGAATTCAATAAAAATGTAGCCCATCTCGGAAGCAATAACGCACCTTGCTTTCTGGTCAATACCAAGCGTTAAGTCGTATCCTTGTTTCTAACGTAATATTCGTTATTAAACTTAAATAAATAGTCTCCTGTTTTATAAAAAAACATCAAAATTTAAAACAATTTACCAGTAGATCGAGTGCAACAATCACACCACCTTGACGTCTTCCATCTTTTATAGCTGTACTCATCAACTCTCTCGCTTGGTAAAGTTTCTGAAGTCCTGCAGTTCGAGAGAGATTGTCTTCAAGCTCATCTTTGAGCTCGTTTAGCTCATCTATTTTTTCTTCAGAGAGAATCTCCTTATTAACATCTAGAAAAAAATAAAATGAAGATTATAGTATGAAACACTAGTCTATACATCAAAAACACAATCACAATTACTTACGAGCCAGAAGAGATTCAATTTCTTTTAAGAAAAGCATTTCCATTCGCGTTCTATCTTTAAAACAAGTTCGCACATTTTCGATGTCTTCATAGGGCGTTGAAGTAATTTCTCGGAGGTAGTCTTTATATTTAAGACCTTCGTAGTTGAGTTGTTCGCATACTTCTATCAGACTGACTGCCTTGATTTGGAAATGATCTGGTAGGATAAGCAAACCAGCGGAAAGGTATTTAAGGCAAATTTTTTTAAAACTGAACTCGTAGCCGTCCAATCTGGATATATCCTTTATTTGTTCGAGCGCATTGATGCAAACGGCGATTTTCTTGTCATTTTCTTTTTGCAATTCTGTCTCTTTTATTTTATCTATAATATTATTGCTTGAATGAATCCTACCAATTATTTCTGCTAATTCGCAGCTCATCGCGCCGTATCGAACACATTCGACAAAATTTATCATCGATTGAATGAAACTTGAAACTGCTCCTTTCTCGAGGCTGAGTTTTTCGAACAAAACTTCGACGTCTTTTCTATTCTTATCTTTTGCAAGATTTAAATACAGTTCACCAAGTCGATTGAAGCAATTGCTGAGAGACTTTGTAATGGAAATCTTTTCAATAATACCCGGCCGCAATCGGAGAAATTCAACAGTCTAAGATCAATTGGATTTCTTTACTTCGACGAGGTTACCTTGTATGCATTCATAAAATGCGTTAAAGCTGAGTTGAGAAACTCGATTTTTTTGGCGGTGTCAGTCACTTTCATGAAATGAACGAAAGCTTTTTTTCCGCTCTCGCGATGTATCTTCGCGATGTTTACTGTTTTTGTCTCATTCATTTTGGGCGTGGTTTTCTCTAAGTTTTTATCCCATTTTGAAAGTTTCTTCGTCTTAAGGGACACGCCCGTGTGACTTAACACAAAACTGTAAAAATTATGGGCTAGCAAAACAAATTTCATGTCGAGAAGCGCTTCAACAACGTTTTCACGCAGTAAATACCAACCAAAGACTTAACTCATTTGTTTCACGATGAACGCTTGAGCTCTTTTAAAAATTTGAGGCAAGGAAATTTTGAACACCTGAAATACGATAGCAACGAGATAGAAGTGTCGGAAATAAAACTTATAAACTAAAAATTATTTTCATTTAGTTTATTTTCAATGTTGCATGGGACAAAATATATCCATTCCAAAGAGCGATAACAAGAGTCTCTGCCAAAAAAAAGACCTCTCTTTTCGCTCTCATGCGGTAAATGTGTACTTGTAACTTGTGTTACCTCCGTGGCAATTCAGCTCAAAACAGACAAAAAGTTTCAATTTTGAGCATGTAGAATTTACTTTTGAAACAATTTTAATAGAAAGATTTATTTTTGAATATATAATTGCATTTTTATTGCTACAGTAATAGTGATTTTTAACTTTTCATTTAGCAGTTTCCTCTCACTGAACAATTATAAAAATTGTTGGCCACCATTGAGATTTGCTCACATAGAGCTCTCCAGTCATCATTAAAACATGCATTTCTTGAATAGTAGTTTATTCCCCTCGTTCTCGTAGATACCTGTCAGGGTGATATAATCGCGTCGCTTTTGTAAGACATTCATTTTCATTGTAAATTGTGGCTATCGGCATCTGAAGCAGGTAAAAGAATGCGCACAATTTGAGTAATTATTACTATTACTCTATTATAGACGAATGAATTGGAGTTTATTTATTCTTAGTACTTACAGTACCCTTTTTTGGAGGATGATGTTTTGCAAGGTAAGCGAGAAATTCTTTTGGTTCTTTTTTGTCAAAATTCTGCTTTTTAAACTCCTCAATAACCTCGATCCCTTTTTGTGAAGGCTGAAAGGTTACACCAAAAGTTGACATCTCCGCTCTGTAATGGCATTGATAAAAATCTTTAGTTGAACGATCTTACGCGACTTTAGCAAGATATTCTCTTGATCTCTTGAGCCAAAAGAAATCCCGTGTGTATCCGTTTTCTAGTGCCGAATGAATGCAATCCCTATAGTATTCCTTGGCTTTAATTTTTGCGTGAGGACGTTCATCGAACTCAGCATAAATATATCCCATCTCAGAAGCTATGATGCATCTTGCTTTCTGGTCGATTCCAATCGTCAGATCAAATGCTCGTTTCTTATTAAATTGTTAGCATGTTGCAGTTTCAAATACGAACCAGAAGATCAAGAGCATCTATTACTCCAACTTGGCGTCTTTTACTACTTATTGCTCTATTCATCAACTCCCTAGCTTGATATAAATTTTGAAGCCCCTCAGATCGAGAAAGGCTATCCGCGAGTTCATCTTGAAGCTCGTAAAGGTGATTCAATTGCTCGTGAAACAGAACCTCTGTATTGACATCTAGTTATCCAACTGTTTATAATCTATTTTCTAAAAGATAGCTTACGCGGTAAGAGGGATTTAATTTCTTTTAGAAAAACCATTTCCATTCTCGTCTTATACTCGAACCATGTTCGCGCCCTTTCGATATTTTCGTACGCCGTTGCTCTCATTTCTTGAAGATAGTCCTTGTAATTCAGCGCTTCGTAAGTGAGTTCTTTACAGACTTCCATCAAACTCACTGCTTTGACCTGAAGATTGTCTGGTAGCAAAAGCAATCCAGCAGAGAGATATCGTAAGCAGATTTCTTTAAAGGTGAAATGGTTATCATCAATCTTAGAGATATCTTTAATTTTTTCGATGGCATTGATGCAAACAGCGATTTTCTTGTCATTTTCCTTCTGCAGATCGGTTTCTTAATTTTCATCATTTTTTATTGCTAACAAGATATTTACCGATCGAATCTGCTAGTTCACAACTTATTGCTCCAAATCGAACACATTCAACAAAACTGACCATTGATTCCTGAAAACAAGAAGCCGCTCCCGCGTTAAGGCTGAGCTTCCTGAACATAGCTTCTACATTATCAGCCACATCTGATGGAAGGTTTTCTTCTTTAGCTAGATGATAGTATAGTTCTCCAAGTCGATTGTAGCAATTGCTGAGGGATTTCGAAATTAAAATTTTTCAACTACACCAGCTCGTGACCGAAGAAACTCAACGACCTAAACTCAAAAAAGAATTCAAATGAAAAAATGATGAATACTACTTCGTAAGCATATTTAAAATGACGGATGGCGGACTTTAAAAAATCAATTTTCTTTTCATAATCAGATGTGTGTATGAAATTAATAAAGGAGTTTTTCCCGCTTTCTCGACTTATTTTAGCAACACTTATTTTTTTAGCATCGTTCATTGAGAGATTTCGTAATTTCTCTTCGGGTGAATTGGAATTTCCATTTGTCTTTTCTTCTTACGCCTGATTGTAAAAAATACAGCGTTACAAAACAAATTCCATGGTGTGAAACGATCAAACAGATAGTATTAGACTACTAGCTGTTCAATCATACCGATGAAAGTAAAGCATAGGAAAAAATTTTGCTTCAAGTAAGATTAATTATTAAGAGGGGGGTCGTCAATATGGATTTTCAGGGTTTATCAAAATCCCACTTCTACATATAGTATGCATATGAAAATTATATTTTTGGAATCTACAGATTCTGACGAGTCTGTTGAGCCTAAAATTATAATATAAAAATAAGTTTTAGGGGTAAAATCGGTGAATTTGTGAAAAAATGACCATTTTTGGTGAATTATCGCGAAATGGCCCTACTTTGGCGGCTTTTCTAACCGATTTTTCTGGCCAAATTTTTCTCGTTTGCGCCGATAGAATTTTACAACCCTTTTCTTTCCCCTAACAATTTTAGTTTTTCTATCCAATCAGGTTTTTCCGCTTTTTTGCTCAAGAGAAACCCCGATATTGACGACCTCCCCTTAATAAGTTTTATTATGCGCAATTTTACTAAAATTCAATAATGAGCCGAAACCCGCTGCCCACTTGCAAATGCTGCCGATGAATTACAAGCCTCTTTTTGCGCGTGCTCCGACTCTCACTCGTCTCAACTTCTCATATCGCTCTCTTGTGGCTCACCGGAAGAGTCGAATCCAATAAATCTTTTCTCTCATTATGCATGAAATTTTATCAAAATTGCAAAATACGTCATTTCAAGCAGGCTTCACCCCACTTTTAAATCCTGATTATTTTCGAAAATTTAAGAAACCGGGCTTGTTATAATTGTAATTTGAACAAATTATAACAAGCCAATTTTGATATGATGTTTTTATAAGAATTGTATTTTCTGGAAGGCAGTCAGAAAAAGAATAGTCCGAAAAAGCGAAGAATATTTTCTTATAACAGTAGCGCTAGAAACAGAAGAGGAAATACCGAATGATTGGGTATTTGAAAGCGAAATTCTTTCTTTTCAAAACAAACTTGAGTAATAACCTGGAGGTTATTTTCATTAGAAATAATTGTTCCAAAGCGTTATTAAATTGTTAGTTGAGATTTCTATTCTTATTTGCGAAGGGTCGATGAAGGAGCAAGTGTTTGGCGTAAACTAGCGACAGTTTGGAGAAGATCCAGCGAGCGATTTCGGAGATCTTGAACTTGCGTCTCCAGCAGCGCCTTCTCAAAGTTCGAGTTCGAAGCTGCTGAGTTGCTGGCGCCCGTGCTGGCGCTGAAGGCGGATGGCAGGTTCGTTCCTCCTCTGAACAGATATTCGTTACTTGCCCTGTTTGAGTCTGAGCTGGGCAACCTGTGAAGCACACCTGAGTCAGGGGGCAAAAGAGCTTTTATAAAAAGCTAAATAGCACGATATTGAAAAACGTAGTCGTCAGAATTCGAAAAAAAGGTAGGAAATGCGGTTTTCATTTATTTAGCTCATTTTCCCTGACTCAGGCTTCGACTCAGGCTGCTGAGCCCATGCCCCCGCTAGAGTCTGTTTGAGTGCTACCTTCTGGGCAAAGAAGGAATCCATTTAGCGGTGGAAGCAGACGGCGTCCTTGGCTTACTCGTCCCCGGCTTTCCTTCTTTATCTACTGGCTCCTCTCTTTCTCCACTTTTTGGCTTCTCGCCGGACTCTTTCGGTTTTGACTTCTTCTTTTCTGAAAAGAAAAAATAGAAAATGCGGCATTCTTTGAGATACGAAATTGAAGCATTCAGAATTATCAGCGATATTAATTCTATATTCAGCCAAAAGCGAGTTTTTATAGAAATAAGCGAGCTTAGAAATCAGAATCACGGAACGATCAATCCAAGCTACTGTTAGTGACATCAAGCTTAAGCATCAAAAAAACTTTCAATTGAAACAGTACTATTTAGTACTGTTACTGTTTCTACGGCTTTTATTTTGAGAGAAATTGCTTTAGTTTACAAGGGACCAAAATTTTAAGTGTCTCTTTTTTGGCTGCGGCAAAAGCAAAACGGTTGGATACCTGATTGAATAAAGTGTGCGATTTTTCCGTGCATGGCATTCCATTTACCCGTGGGAGCAGTTTTAAGCGGCTTGTGCAGCGCCAAGTTCAGGCTTTGGTGCTGCAGCGTCGCCATCAGAAGAGGGTCCTAAATTCATTTGTTCAATTCGGATCGCGATCTGGGAAGTTCAACTTACGTTCAAGTGCAGAAAGGGCCAGTTCATCCCAAGCGGAAAGATCGGCAACGCCATCGTATGGTGGTGCGAATGCTGATGGTGGTGCTAAAACAAAGGAAGTCAGAGCTCCTGAAAAGAAGGTACCTGATAGGTGAATACTTGGCGATGAAGTCGGCTGTCCAGCGTCTCGCGAGTCTCTCGTTTCACCGTTCTTCGCGGCTAAAAATGCGGCTTAATTATATGGAACCTGTGTTTTAGTCCCGAAAGAGTTTTGATAAAAAGCTTAGGCCGAAATTTAAAAAATAGATTCAGAGGGGAATATACATGTATGTATCTCCCTCTTTTTTATTGAGCTTCTTCAGGAACCTGACTAATGCTTTCCCCACTGCGAATGTACATCCCTGTCCACGAGCGAAGCCCAAAAATCGAATAATAGAAATCCGTACCTTTTGCGTTTTTCTCTTTCTTGTTCGGGAAAGGCCATTGGAACTAGGCAGCTTTTCGCGGAGAGAGACGGATTGGGGTCTTAAATTTTCATTATTGATCGATTTGAAAAGGCAGCTGTACCGGAAGAACTGTTCAGTATTGCCGCTGCCTCTGGAACTGATCGACTCGGTGTCTGGAAAGTAAAACGAGCTGCTTTCGATCGCCTCGAAGTAATTCACTTTTGGATCCAGCAATTCTCGAATCGGCGAGTTTCGCTCTTCGTTTTCAGCATTTTGGGGTTTCGGCAGTTTTCGGGAAAAATTATTCTTTTTTCGAGAATTCGGGGAAAAGGGCGGAGAGGCACTCAAAGTCGAGGAAGGAAGATTCTTGGGCGAGAGAGCTCCGGACTCGTATCTTTTAAACTCTGAAAAGAAAAACTGTCATTTTGGCTGATCAAAGCTCAAGGGTACCTCTGATGGAAGAAAAGGCGACGAAAGGATAGTCGTCTAAAGATCCAGCGATGCAGGCGTCGTTCTTCGCAGAAGAGAGCGCCAAAGACTGAAGCGTCGCTTTTTGGCTTTCGCGAGTTGAGTCCGGCAGCTCGAGCGGGGGAGGACGATGGCGACGAGTGCGCTTCCTGCATCGCGCCTTTTTCAGCACGGGCGCGTCCTGGTCTTCTGTTTCCGAGTCCGGGAACTTGAGAGCGCGCGACTCCTCGACATTTCGTCTTAGCGCGCGACGGTTGTACGCTTGGACAACGTACCGAGCCGACAGTTTCTTGGACTTCAAATCAATTAAAAACGATCTTTGTTATGATAATCATCATTTTGAGTATTGTATTTTAATTATTAACAGTTACAGTAACAGTAAGAGCGGCTACAGTTTAAAGCCGTCGTGAACAACAGCGATTCCAAAAGTGTAGTTTTGGTAGCTGACCGCTTCGAAGCCTGCGCCCTCGATCATCATTTTGAAGCGCTCCTGGTCCGGGAATTTGCGAATGCTTTCGACCAAATATTGGTACGAGTCCCAGTCGCCGGCGACTACTTGACCCATCGGAGGAATCACTTTTGAATTGGCTCCGCAACTTGTACTAGACATGAGTCTGGCAACCTGTTTGGAAACCTGACTCAGGTTTTGAAAGAGTTTGGGAGCCGAGCCTTGGAAAGAGTAAAAGTCGTAAAAGGGTTTGATAGCTGGACAGACGTTTGGCGAAAACTCGAGACACATGAAACGGCCGCCAGGTTTTAGGACTCTGTACGCTTCGTCGAGCACCTTGTCGATGTCCGTGCAGTTGCGAATGCCGAAAGCGATCGTGTAGTAGTCGAAAGAGTTGTCTTCGAAGGGCAGCTCGTGTGCGTCCGCCGCCTAGAAGCAACAAGTTACTGGGCGAAATAATGCTCAAACAGGAAGATTAGACTCGTCAAACTGTGTAAAACCTGTGTCAGGGTCCTTGAAAGGCTCTCAGTCAAGAGACCCTTTGACTAAAAGACCCTGACTCAGGCCAGTTCTACGAAGTCGACCAGAGTCTAGGCAAGACTACTTTTTCTTTCACCTGAAAAGTGAGACAGCTTTCGTCGACATCGTCTCGTTCTTTGGCCCGTTTCTCGCCGACGCGAAGCATTTCCGTGTTGATGTCCGAAACCGTGATTTCAAAGTTGGCCTTTGCTCTTCCGTACTTTTTCTGTGCGAATTGCAGCGCTTTGAAGGAAATGTCGCCAGTTCCGCCAGCCATGTCCAGCATTCTAGTGCCAGGCCGAGGAGCCAACTCGCGGACGAATGATTCTTTCCAGCATCTGAATAATTTTTTACAGTTTTGAAATAATTTACTAAAACGATTCTCATTTCTTTGTGAATCTTCTGACTCAAGTCTTGTAAAGCCTGACTCAGGCTTTCCACACAGGGTGTCGAGCAAAGCTCAGAATCCGATTATTCTGGATTAGATTTTACTTCTTTTTAAACTCATCAAAATCAAGCACAAAAGAGAAATACTAACAACAGTTTTCTGAACCCAAATTCTTGCATCAAAAACAGTACCTGTGAACTCCAAAGCTCATGACATCGTTCATCACGTCGTACGAGTCTGCCACATTGTTGAAGACGGAATTGACGAGTCCCTGCTTTTCCTCGACTTTGACTGTTTTTTCACCAAAGTGGGTCGATTTCTCGCTCAAAACTCGCGAATTCGAGATTCGTCGACTTCGCACTCTCGAAATTCGCGACGCCGCCGATCGGATCATCCTCTTTTTCGTCTTTTTTGCAGAAAAAAATAATAATTCTTGTTTCAAGATTTTGATTTTCGCATTTTTTCTCGGGAATTCCTTTTTTTGCTTGTAAAGCTGACGTAATTGGCGCGCGCGGCCAATCAGCGCTCGCGATTTTTTTCCATTGATGAGAATTCGAGGATAATTGAAGAAGAAACCAAATAACCGTCTTTCATTTCAGAAAAAAAATGAGCGACACAGAATCGGACTTTTCGGAAGACTTGGAGCTCGAACTGACGGCGGAGGAGCTCGAGGAGGCAAAGCAGCGCCTTTTGGAAAAGAAGAAAGATCAAAATGAAAAGAAGACGACGGGCGATATCGTCATCGACTTGGACAACAAGCCGAAATCGAAAAAGTATCTTCCGCCAGAAGAGTTTGGAATTGAACTTATTAATGAGTCAATTGGTAAGATCTTGCTTTACTTGAGAAAGCCTGAGTCAGGGAAAAATATTCTATGAAAAGCGTGAGTCAGGTTCTCAAAAGCTCAAATGAAAAGCCGCGGAGCGGCTTTTTTAAGAACGAAGCCGCGTAGCGGCTTCGCCAGTTGTTGAAAATTGACTGAAATGGTGATGTTGCGAAGCCGCTGCGCGGCTTCGTATTTAAAAAAGCCGCTACGCGGCTTTTCCTTTAACTTTTTTTGTCGAGATCCTTAACTTTGCTAATTCTTTTCAGGCGAGTCTTACATCGACTTTGATTCGGCGAAGAAAAACTACGAAATCAACTTGGAAGAGTTCGAAAAGAAGATCGAAATCGGCGGCGATTTTCTGAAAAAGAAAAGGATCGACACGGCGAAGTCGAAATACGCGAAAGCCAAGGAGAAAGAAACGGCGAAGAGCAAAACAGCTGGGAAGAAGTGGTTCGATATGGCAGCGCCGGAATTGACGGAAGAGGTGAGTATTCTTGCTTCAGTGAAAGTGATAGTGAGGCTTACCCTGAGTAGAAAAGCAGGACTATTTTCTACTCAGGGTCAGGCTCAGTTCTGGGCTCTTCAACCTGTGCAGAAAGCTGAGTCAGGGCCATGAGAGCCCTTTATTTGTAGCTGCGCGGTTTTAGTACTCAAGCTCTTTCGCGACCCTGACTCAGGTTTTTACACAGGCTACCGAGCCCAGTTCGAAAAAAAGACCTGACTTGGAGACGTTTTCAAGCTCAGAATAGCTGAATTGGAATGGAGTACGCTTAGACGTTGTTTTGACACATTTTAAAATTAATGTGTTTTTTGCTGCTCGCCCTGGCGTCTGGGCGTGTTTCCGAGCAAACAGCTTGAATGTGTGGTTTAGGTGAAAAACGATTTGAAACTGCTGCGCTACCGCCGCGTGCTCGACTCCAAAACATTCATGAAAAACAGCGATCGACGCGGAGACGCCAAATTCTTCCAGCTGGGAACAGTGATGGACAGCTCAGACGACTTCTACAACCGACTCACCAAAAAGCAACGAAAGGAAACGGGCTCAGACGACACGGTCTTTTTCGATCGTGGAATTTTCTTTTTCGAAGACAGTAGTTTTCCTTTTGACAGGTTAAAAATTTAGTCGGGTATTATAAAGGGCTTGAAAGGATGCCGGAAAGAAAGATTTCAATGGTAATTCGGGGAAATAGTTTTTGACAAGATGATTAATTGAAAATGAAAAAATTGAAGAGGGGACTTTTACTAAATCGGGATAATAAATCAGCAAGGCTGCTCATAACTCGAGAAATCTACATCGAGAGCTATTCCTTGTCAGATTTGATTTATAAAAAATGGCGATGCTGACTCTGGTTTCGTTAGCCACATTTTATCATTTTAATTTTGGACTTGGGAAATCGTTTTTTTTTTGTCGAAAAAATGAATCCTGAGGTTTCAAACTTAGGAATCATCAAAAGCAACAGCTTCTTCGAGCTTTTTTTCTCCTGCCAATCAGAAGCCAGTATTTATCCTATCAGGGAATCATGGTGAATTTTGTTACTTTGACGATATATTGAGTATTGATTGGTCGGGAAAGAAAATACAGGCCTCTGATTGGCCAAAAAAGGACTACAAGCTGCAAGATTGGCATTTCTGACTGACTGATTCTGAAAATAGCTTATCAACCAATCAAAATTTGACTCTGGTCTCCTCTATATGAAAATCCAGTCAAACCAGTCGACCAATCAGGAGCCGTTACAAATCTGCTATGTTTTAGCATGGAGAATTGTAACGGCTCATACACTGACTGGAAAATCAGTCAGTCAGATATGCCAACCGCGGTATTATTTTTGATGATTCCCAAGTTTGAACCCTCAAAATCAAATTTTTCAATAAAAAAAGACGCAAATTCAAAGCGTGAGGGTGGTCCTTAAGTTTCTGTTTCCGCCTAGCGCAAAGCCCATAAAACAAGATTTATGATTGTTTGACGGCTTTGCAGATTATCTAATAAAATTTAAGCGACGGCTCGATTAGTGATTAAAAATGGAGCCCCTTTTTAAGAAGTACTTTTCCTAATTTACATTTAAAAGCTGGCAATGACATTGGAAAATGTGTGAGGAAGGATTTGTTTAACACTTTCTTCCTTGCGGATTCGCCAGTTCATAAATTTAATTTTACCCGACGAAGGGATGCAGCTTGTGAAAACGTAGTTCTCTGGAACGCAGATTTACTGCTTCCCTGAAAAGCACAACAAGTGATTTAAGGGGGTACACATCAGTAATTGGGCTTTCCTGTTTTGGCGACCTGTGTACAAAACCTAAGTCAGGGACCCTGACTCAGGGTCTCGAAAGAGCTCTGACCTATTCAATCGATTCTAGATTCAAAGCTCTCTCGAGACCCTGACTCAGGTTTTGTACTCAGGTCACTGAACCCAGGCTCACGAGCTAGAATGAAACTTTTTATGAAAAAATTTTGACTATTCTGTGAGAAGAAATAAGGGTATCTCTTTACTAAATTTAGAAGAAAAGTCGAAATTAGCATCCCAACTCATGAAAAAACCAAAATTAATGCTAGTCTAGCCCGAAAATAGGCAACACTCGTGGACGAGCTTTTGGCGGACTCCGAGTTCCGAGCGCTGCAGAAGAAAAGAAAAGCGAAGATGAACGCCCAGGCGGCGGAGAATCGCGGCAACCCGACCAGAAAGAAAGCGAGGAAGATAAAAACTCTGTTATCCTGAAAAGTATCCAAAGACTGCTTTTAGTGAATTTGACTGCGAAAAGAATACAGAAAGGCCTTTGTAAAGAAAAATGGCAAAATTCAATTTTCCAAAAAGAATTAAAAAAAATATCTCTTTTTGGATGAAACTTTTGTTTATTTTGAGCATGAAGAATTCGACTTTGAGAGTACTTTTTAAATAATGAGAGCTTGAGGGAGTAGTGTCGTTGCGGTTTGTCTAGTTCCGCCAGCTGCGCTGAGAAATATGAAACATTGACACATTGAAATTCCTTTCCAAAGAGCATAAAAACGGATTGAGAAATCAACAACGACAGAGCATTTCAGTACTTTCAAGAGCAAAGCGGATTTCGCAGATATTTTGATTTTCAGCAAGAGAAAAGGATAAAACGAGACAACCGGAAAATAAAGAGGCTTGACAACCTGCGTAGAAACCTGACTCAGGGTCCTGAAAATTTGCAGCAGCGTTTATCAAAGCTTTTTCAGGACTCTGACTCAGGTTTTGACACAGGCTTCCGAGCTCTGGTTGAATCTTTCTTGTTTTCCCAGCTTTTTTTAATTAGGAAGGAAGGATGAGTTTTAGTTCTTTGGGGAGTAGATACGACAGTTGTCATTTGTCTCCTCTTTTTCTGAGAAATCAGAATGAAAAGAGGCTGCTCGAGTAGTCTCAGCGATCATCTGTGTCTTCTGATTTCTGTGATGGACAAAGAGGCGATTAGTAGACGACGAGTTCCGGCAGTTCTGAGCTCGGGCTAATTTTGAGTGGCGCCGCTGCTAGAGTTTAGGACGTCGCCCTTTCTCACGCTCGTCCACGCTCTCCTCTCGCTTCAGCTCCCTAAAACGACCAAACAAGCTTCAAGTTATAAATCGAGCCAGTACTTCTAACGAACACAGACTCACGTGACAGTCAGAGAGCGCGGAAACGAACGAGAGAGAAAAAGAGAAATGAAAAGTCCGAAGCGTTTGAAAATTCTGCTGCTCCTCTTTTTGCAGCCTCTTTTCGCCCAGGAAAGAGACGAAGAAAACGAGAGACCCGTCGAGTACACAATTAAAATTCAACTGCCAGTCGAGTACGGAGTCGATGAAGTTTTCAGCCACACGATTCAGACCTCCAGGGTCAAAGGTAATAACTTGACAGGGCCATAAATTAAGGGTAGACATGATGAATCTGATTTTTTTTTCTTCAGATTTTTTAAAGCTAAGCTTGACAACCTGAGTCAGGTTCTGAAAAAAGTTTCTTCAGAACCTGACTCAGGTTTTCAACACAGGTTCCCGAGCCCAGTCTCAGGGACTTCATATATGAAAGTGAGACCCTTATTTTCTAAAAGGCGGTTGAACTTATTTTGAAAATAAGGGCGTCACTAAATTAAAAGCCTAGAGAAATCTTGGCTTAGTAATATGCTTACAGGGTCAGAGACTGAAACATAAATTATTCGTAATTTTGGAATAGAGAAAGCAAAATGAGTTTTGTTTCCCTGCAAGAAAGTATAGGTGAATATGTTAATTATGTTAATAAAGTTTTACAAGGTGAAAACGCCACAGAATGGCGAGATCAAAAAGCTTCCTTCTCAAGGTGATCTTCTCAAGACTTAGCTGTGTCATGACCTCATCGCTAGATGTAAATTTATCTTATTAGTCTTTCTTATTGAACTTGAAAAAGTATAGAATTGTGATTAAAAAATGATAAAAATAAACAATAAAAACAAAATTACCGAGAAGAATAATGAGTAACTGGGCTCTGCAAACGCTGCGGAAAACCTGAGTCAGGGTCCTGAATATTCTGGCGAATCTGTTAAAGCTTAGTCAGGACCCTGACTCAGGTTTCTATACAGATAGCAGAGGTTAGCCCGATAAAGAATTAAATACAAATTCATCAATTAATTTCACTTTACGAGTGGTACTCCCTTAATAGACAAGCGATTAGCAATTGCGGAAGAAAATGCGCTACAAATGTCATTTCCCTGGCTTCGAATTGACTTCCTATTAGTAGACGTAAAAATGCGGAGCGGAAGTAAAAGGTGCTTTCTGAAAATCGCGAAAGTGACATGTCAAAATCGACATAAATCTTGAAAAAAGAAGCGGCAACGAAGAAGCGAACAAGCTTTTTTTGTGGCGTGTTTTGCTGCAGCTGAGCTGTCCCATAAACAATCACTTAGATTTTATTGTTCTTGGTTAGGCCATCATTCATCATCATAACTACATCTGCTAGCGGACAAGGAATAGCACTTTAATGGGCTCCAGGAAGTGTTGTTTCTAACTTCCAGTCAACCAAACACCTTGCCAACAAAAAAGAAACGGCCCATCCGCTCCATCGGAGTTTAAATTCTTTTGATCTGAGCTAGTTGAGCTCAGCTCCATTTGAGTCGAGCTCGGCTGGCTAAAATCTTTTGCTTCTGAGCTGAGCTGTCTCAAAATCAAGCTCTGTTGAGCCTCAATTTGAGCCGGCTAAACATAATTTAGCTCAGCACATAACTTAGCCAGCTGAGCTCGAACAGAGCCGGGCTCAGTTCAGTTAATTTAGTTTGAGCTTAGCCGAGCTTGAATTGAAAATTCTGAGCTCAACTCAGCTCATAATAAGAATAAAAAAATAGCCGAATTCAAAGAGATTAATTCAAAATTTCAGACAACTCGAAGAAAGAAACGATTCTCTCGCGCTTCCAAGATCTTGAATCGCAAATATTCAACATGAAGTCGGAATTCGCTGGAATCAACGAAAGCATGAATACGATTGACGAGTTGATACGGCAAAGAGGATATTTGACGGAAAACTCGATTCCGCCAATATTTGACACGACTTATTCTATAGGTATAACGTGCTTTTCTAAGGCTTTTCAAGGAGGATTTTGACTTATATTTTCGTTAATCTTGATACTCTTAATATTCTCGACGACGCAAAGGATAGAATAATTTAATCGACTAATTATCGTTATATTTAAATTCCTTATTCTTCCGCTCCCCTCGATCTTATGGTGTTTCGATTTTCGAAAAAAAACAACAGCTCTGTGTGTAAGTCGCGGCTAGACCTCGGCACGACTTCGAACGCTTCGAACAAAAAATAGCTCTAGAATTTTATTTTGACTTGAAGCCGCGAGGTTCTAGAGCTAAAAACTTGAAGGCCAAAATTTATGTCATTCATAAATCAGAATTGCAGTATTTAATTAAAGCTTGTACTTATTTTATCATTTTACTTCAATTAAATTAATCAGGCGGCTATCTGAACCGACTGGACCAAATTCAAAACTTCACGATCGACCTGAACCACCGCGTTCGCGACCTGGAGGTGCGTCAAACGACGAACCCGCGCGAGTTCCTGCGCCAAATGGCGATCCTCTTCACCGACAGAATCGACGTCATGAAAAGCGACATGCTCGAGCAGCTGCAGAAGATCACGAAGCACGAAGAGCGGCTGGCCGAGTTTTACGGCGAACTGAGGCAGCACAGCAGCAGCGTCAGCACCAACGGCGCCAACATCGAATTCAACCAGAAAATGATCGAACAGCTGCGCCAGAAAATCGAGAAACTCGTTGACCAGAATTCTGAGCAGAATGTTTCAGAGTAAGGCTTTACGATTAAGGCTTCTTAGAGGAGAAATTTAAAGTCTGGGCTCAGCAAACTGTTTAAAAAACCTGAGCCAGGGTCTGAAAAAGCTTACATGAAAAGCCGCGTGGCGGCTTTTTAAAAAACGAAGCCGCAAAGCGGCTTCGCCAGAATTTAAAAATTGATTTGAAAAGTAATTTTGCGAAGCCGCTTCGGGGCTTCGTTCTTTAAAAAGCCGCTACGCGGCTTGTCATGTAATCTCATTCAGACCCTGACTCAGGTTTTCACCACAGTATGAAAATTTGATTTTTGCAATTAAGATCGCGTCATAAAGCCCGAACGGTCAGAAACTCGATGCCAATCATCCCCAAACTGAGCGAAAGCGAACAGAGCGAAGTGACTGTACCTGCCCTTTCCGCGGAAGGGATGAACTTTACTTTGGAAAGCGCGATCTACAGAAACATGACGACGCTGAGGAGCGAGCTCATGCGCCAGATTGCCGAAGCGATCGAGGTTTTCGAACGCGACTTGCAAAGGAACAGATTTTCGATCAGTAATTTAGTCATTCAGAGCAGTTCTAGAGCTGCTCATATAGAACATCTGGTAACAGAACCTCGGAAATGATCAGAGACACAATCATCAAGAACGACGTTTCCCATCGAGTGGAGAAATTAGAAAAGAACCAAGTCTACATCCTAGACACCGGGACTCATCTTCTCGCCAGAGCTAATCATCGACTTGATCAATTTATTAAAAATACTTTGAGGCAGGCAATTTAAAATGCCAATCCTTTTTTTTTTGCAGAAAAGTCTCATTTTGTCCCCCCTTTTCTTCCCAGGCTCAGAGTGGTTAAACTTGATCTTGAATTTCTTAATCCTAAATTTAATTGCCCGACTTGACAAATGCCCGTGAATCGCCCTAATTAGTAGCTTCTGATGAGTCCCCTTCAGACCAGATCCAGGAAATTTCGCTCAAGCAGAATTTCGGCGACTTTCCAAAGCGAAAAACGAACTCGACGACGCTGAAAAAACTGCCGGATTTCGAAGAGCAGCTTTTAAAAACGGAGAAATCGGAAAACGGAAAAAATTGCGAGTGCGACATTCCTCCGGCAATCGGCCAGGCGATTATTCAGCAGCAGTTGAGAATGGATCTCGTTCTTTCGGAGAAATCGACCATGGCGTTGGAATTGAAATCGCGAAAGGAAGAAAATGAGTTTTTGGCGATCGAAGTTCAGAAACTAAAAGACGAGAGACAGCAGATTTTGAGCGTCGTTTCTGAATACCAGCACGAAGTCAAGGTAAGATATGGGCTCGGTAATCTGTAAAGAAAACCTGAGTCAGGGTCTGAATCCCTTTATTAGAGATCTTTCAGACCCTGACTCAGGATTTACACAGGTTGCCGTGCCCAGCCTTCAGCTGAGTTCTGCAACCTGTGTGCAAACCTGAGTCAGGGTCCTGAGCATGAAAAAATCCGTGGACAGAAAATCTGACTCAGGTTTTCAACACAACCCAAAAGTAAGAACTTTTGTGTCTTGCAGAATTCGAAGTAAAAATCTGAATAGTCCTCGTTGATTCCATCCGTTTTCCAGTGTCTAATTCAATTTCCATCCCCTTTTCGTGCGTCGCCCGTCAATCACTCTTCCTGGCGCCGTTCGAAATTCCGCCTTGACAGACTCTGACCACTTTTCGAAAGGAACCAATAATTTCTTTATTCTTTCTCCAGCCACAACTCATCAAAAGCTAATACGTATAATTTTCAAATAGTCGTTTGTCAACACATTTTTGTCAACACAGCTGATAACCTGGGCTCATCAACCTGTGTAGAAAACCTGAGTCAGGGTCTGAAAGTTCACAAATGAAAAGCCGCGTAGCGGCTTTCTTTTAAACGAAGCCGCGAAGCGGCTTCGCAATGTTAGCATTCTAGTCAATTTTCAAATTCTTGCTACACGGCTTTTCTTTTTGATTTTTCAGACCCTAACTCAAGCTTTTCTTACAGGTTGCCGAGCCCAGATAGGGGGTCAATTCTCTGATTTTACAATTTTTCAAAGATTGCTTTAGAAACTGCTGGAATGGAAAAGCCGCGACGAAGCTCTAATCCAAGAGCACGAAAAACGCCTCAACGCCCAGGCCGAGTCGATTTCCAGCAACGCAGCAGTGGCGCACTTTACGAAGCATCGCTTACAAAGTAAGTGAAGCTCTTTCCGAGTTCAAAAATGCTCAAAGAAATTGATTAAAGACGCGCGATTCCGGTGCGCCGGCCACGGGAAAAAGAAAGGAAGCTTCTGCTTCAACTTGAGCAAGGACAAGCGCTCGTGGGAGGCGGCCGAGCAGAGATGTAACAGACAGGGCGGATCTTTGGCGGTGATCAAGGACGAGGACACGATGTTGTTTATTACGAATTTGATCAGAGGCAGCTCTTATGTAAGTCAAGCTAGATGGCAATTATCTTCGAATTGACTGAAATTCCAGTCGACAACCATCGTTAAAAACCTGAGTCAGGGTTTGAAAATGCTCAACAGAGAGCCGCCTTGCGGCTTTAACAAATACGAAGCCGCAAATCGGCTGGTAGTAGGGGGTTATCATTCGAGCTGCCCCTATTCCTAAACCTAACCCAGGGGACTACGCCCCCGGGACCCCCCTCCTAAGGCCTAAACCAGGGGGCTTTCAGTCCCTTACCCTAACCACTAGCAAAGATTCTAGAGATAATGGATGGCTCGAATCAAAGGCTCGAATGATAACCCCTCTCTACGAATCGGCTTCGATTGTTTTAGAAAATTCAAATGGTTATTTTTCGAAGCCGCAACGCGGCTTTCTGCTGAGCAGCTTAAAACTCTGACTCAGGTTTTTAACAGAACTGATTGAAATAACTGTTCAGGACACTTCCTACTGGGTTGGATTGTCGCTGGACAAAGAGAGCGACCGTCTCAGCTGGGTGGACAACACGACCGTCACGGACAGCTCTTTCCAAAACTGGTACGGAGAAATCCGCCCCACAGTAAGTTCCACCACTCATCCCCTTTTTTCAACGATTCTAGCGCTCGGAGCGGTGCATCCAGTCCGCGGGCCTGCAGTTCGGCTACAAATGGTACCCCTCAAAATGCGACCGCGAGTTCCGCTACATTTGCCAAGTCTAATCCCCCTTTTGTAAATCTGCTTCTTTCACTTGTCCTACCACCTGCCGCAATCTCTTCAAACTGTACATCCATAATAAAACAAAGAGCAAAATAGCTGTTTCTGTTCTGGTTGGTTTCTGGACAGGAGCTCTCTCTCCGCCGCTTCAGTGATTGTCTACTGCAAAATGTAAAAAAATGAAAATAATTTTCACAATTTTTATTTTCACGATCACGTGTTTTTAATAAAGGAATGTTTATTTTTTCAGTCATCGAGTTCTAGTCAGAGTGATTGAATAAGCTTGAGGCAGAAGATACCATTTTTCTGTTTCCATGTTGAAATTTTCGTTCACTAACTCAAGAAACTCGTTGTTGTCTCCATAATAGACGAAATCTTGGTAGCTGTTGTAACAGTCTTCCATCATTTCGTACGAAGCGTAGAATTCTCTTGAAACTGGAATTCTGATTTGAGAGCCGGAATGGTCGATGAGAGTGTTTTGGAGAATGAATTCGGAGTTTTCGATTCGGTCCAGCACCATTTGGTGGAAAATCATTGAAGAGTCCGGATTTGGATAAACGCCGGTGACGGTTAGGGGACGAGAGAAGACGAAGTTGCCATGGAGGAGGACTGAATTTTTAATTTCATTTGATTTTTAGTTTTGGATTCTTTACCTTGCTCGAAATCGAAACTGGCATTGATCGCGTCGCTTGTGCTTCCTTTTATAACTTGCCATCCACTTTTATTCAAATAAGTCTTGAATTTCAATCTTCTGAGAAGCATTTCAATTTCGTTGTTTTGAAATTTTTGTTCTTCTTTTTTCGGATTGAGATTGAAGCCAGCCAAACTCCGCGGATAAATCACCATTGTCAAATTTGTGAAGATTTTTTCCAGAGTAAAAAATCTTTCCATTTTAGAATCTTCAATTTTCAAATCATTTTTGAGTGCCCATCTCAAAAGCACCGAAACAGAAATAGGTACACAAAGATCGCTTTCTTTTTGGTTTAAAACATTCTTCGTCACATTTTTGAAATCGAAATTTATCTGTTTTGTCAGTTTTTGTTTCAGACTGGCCATTGCAGTTGATTTCGTTAGATTTGGGTCGTCCAGGCAAAAATCAGAAGACGCGCTTTTTAGAGAAATGATTTTTGACAAGCTTTGGATTTTTGAGATTGATGGTATTTCTTCGTTTGAGAGCCAGTCAGCATTGCAAGTCTTAGAAAGAATATTTTCTTTTATAAAAAGTAAAAACTTACCTCAAGTTCTTTTTTGATGATTTCTCTTTCTTCTTCTTCGATTGGTTTGAATAAAAGAGTCCAGGCTGTCTTCCAATCGCAAAGAATCAAAATATGAGGACGAGAGAAATCGACTCCGTATTCTCCGCCTATCTGCTGGCTATAAGAAAAGGCAGGTGACCCAGCATCTACGAAAAAAAGATAAAATTCGAGAATTTTTCAACAAGCTCAAAACTTACATAAACAGTTGCCTTTTCTAAATCTGCTTCCTCTCCTCGCGTAACCCATCTCCCGATAACTCTCTAGTCCAGTCTCTTCCTGAATAATGCTGAAATCGATCCATTTGGCTTCTCCATTTTTCAAAAGGACATTTTCTGGCTTCTCATCGTAATGATAAATTCCAATATTCTCCAAATACTCCGATCCCTCTTGTACGCCAATCGCAATTTTCTTCCTTTCTTCCAAATTCAACTCATTATTCTTCAATTTGCTTCTCAAATCCGAGTCGCATTTCTCCATTATCGTGATCCATCCAACACAGTCTTCTTTCTCCAAGTCGCTGCTCAAAAAGACTTCGATGTTGCAGAAATTTTTGATCACGTTTTTGTGGAAAGGAATCATTCGGGCGTCGTCTTTTTCGTAGTAATGGGCGATTTCGTATTCTAAAGAATAATAAAAAAATATGAAAAAATAAAAATTGGCATTTATCTTATTTTGGAAAAACTGAGGAAGGATCGTAACAAAAAGGTTTGGTTAAAGAGGGATCACAACACTTTAGAAGGGGCCGAGAGCTTCATTTTAAGGGGGGTTTCTTTAGGCGGGTAGGCCGCTAACACCCTTAAAATTGCACTTGAAAAATCGAAGTTTCCAAATAATTCTTTCCATCGTAAGTAAATGGCACAAACTAAAAAAAGGAAGTATAAAGATAGGAAGCGACAAAAAAGGAAGTGCATTTTCTGAAGACCAATAAGATCGCTGCATTTGGCCTACCGGCCAATGAAAACCCATTCCAAAAATATTACTTCCTTTTTTGTCACTTCCCATCTTTATACTTCCTGATTTTGGTTTGGCCCAAGTAAATCATCTTTGTTACGTTCCATCCTTGGAAAATCCTTAGTGTTGTGATCCCTCCTTAACCAAACCTTTTTGTTACGATCAATCCTTAGTTTTTCCTATTTAAGATAAACGCCAAAAATTACCTTTTGCAAGATGAATTCCAAACTCCAATTCTTCATTCCCCACAAATAGGGCGGGATCAAAAGCCTGAACGCGAACGGCCACTTCCAATTCTCCGAATTTTTCTTCAAAAACAATCGCTTCTCCTCCCGCTGAAATTTGCTGAAAAGATTCATCAAGAATCCATTCTCCGGTTTCTTCTTTTAATTCTGAACGTTGAATTATTCGTCCTTCGAAATCTGGATTTCTCGAAAGAATCATTTTTTGAAATGAAGTTACTCTCCATTCTTCCTGAACTTTCTCTCCCCAAAAGTTAGTTCCAGACAGCTTTCCTGTTCCATGTTCAAAAATGACCTCCTCCCATCGACCACACTGATCATTTTCAAACTGCATTCTGTCCATCGACAAAATCAACCTGTCCAAATCATCTCTGCTCGTTTTTCTCTTCAATTTCTTTTGAAACTCTTCCAGCCATTTCTCAACAGCTTCTCTTGTCAATTCTTCTGGATGCGTCAATACTTCTTCGTACTCATAAGACTCGTCAGAGTCAGAAAATTCATCAGATTCGTAATACTCCTCAGATTCTTGACTTGTCTCGTCCATTTTCTCTTCAACAGAAGCCTCTTGGAAACCTGCCGTCTTTTGGCCGGAATCGCCGCCGACTCGATCAAGAACAATCGGAATTCCTTCGCCTCCCAGAAGCTCGACCAAAGAACAGATTCTTTTGTTCAATTCGATTGCTCGATCCATCAGCTGTTTGTAATGATTTCTCGAAAGAAATAATAATCAACAAGAAAAGAAGTTTATTTTTGAAATGATGCTCGCTCCGCCGATTTTACGCGCAGATCATAAAACTCTTCTGATTCCGCTTTTTGGCTTCGTTTTTACGATCTTACTGACGAGCATAAGCGCGCTGATTATTGCCCCTCTTCCTTCTTGTCAAACCTGAGTCAGGGTCTGAAAGATCAAAATGAAAAGCCGCAATAAAATTGAATGATAATTTTGCGGCTTTTCATTTTTGATCTTTCAGACCCTGACTCAGGTTCTCTACTCAGGTTGCCGAGCCCAGGCTGCTTCGGTCAAAGGGATTTTTATCATGAACGCTTTTTTTTAAGTAATTTTCGCCAAAAAATACGAAGAAAGAAATTTTTTAAAGATTCTTTTTTAATTCTAAGATTTGCAATTTACAGAGCGCAAAAAATGAAACTATTTCTTTTTCTTTTTCAAAATGTGCAGTGAATTGGAAATTAGAAATTATTGAATTTAAATTTCAAAGAAGTGTTCTTTTTTTGTTGTTTTGAGGAAGGAAGAGTCGAGTTCTGTAGCTGCTGATGATTTGTGAGTGGTTGAAAGACGTTTTGTTGAGGTCACGTGTTTCGGTCAAAAACAGGGTCTTGTTCAGGCGAGCTTCACTTTCACGTTGTCCAGCATTTCTTGGTAAATTGCCGAGTTCAGGAAGCGTTTGTAGGAGTCCGCTTTCATCAGCCGGAAAATGTGCTGGCCCGTGCTTATCAATTTGATGCCAAGGTGGAAATTTAACTTATATGTAAAAATTTGATACAATGAGAAATATGCGAATCTGGGCTGAGCAACCTGTGTGGAAAACCTGAGTCAGTTTCTGAAGAGGATAAATGAAAAGCCGCGTAGCGGCTTTTTCAAAAACGAAGCCGGGAAGCGGCTTCGCAAATTATCTTTCAAAATTTAATCCATTTTGAAAATTGGCGAAGCCGCTTCGCGGCTTCGATAATTAAAAAGCCGCTACGCGGCTTTTCATTTAAGCCCTTGAGATCCTGACTCAGGTTAATGAGGGCAGATGTGACACAAAAAATTAAGCACTCGTTCCTCGGCGGCGTCGTCGAAGAGGAATCTCGTCAAAGGTTCTTCCGATTCGAGCGATCTGGCGATTTTTCTTCGATCGGCTTGTGGCAAATTCACCGGTTCTTGACACTCGTCAGAAATGTGTCTTTCGTAAATAGCGCGGGCTATGACGCGGTGCCGGGAAACTGAAAGAGAGCAGTTTTTTCGGCCGGTTTTGAATTTTGAAGTTTACCTGGTGCACTTTTGTAACGCCTTGTGTGGAGCCAGAAGGTCAAGTTCTCGCCCGAATACTCTGACTTGAGGAATTTGGCGAATGCTTCTTGTCCGAACTGATTTCGCAGCAAATCGGCCAGTCCATTTTTCCATTTTAACGGTTCACTTTTTCAGAGCTCCACTTTTGCGACCAAAAAAAAAAGGGTGTCACTACGAAATCCCCTTTTTGACGAGCAAAAGTAGAGCACGGTCCTTTCTAAGGCACTCTGGTCGCGGGAAGACCAGGAATTGTAACCAGACAGCGCGGAGTGTGGCAGAAGAGGGTCGATTCGTTCTCGCGCGTCGCAATAACTGAAATCAAGGATTACGAAACAGCGCTGCAGAAACAGAACTGGCCACCTGATGAGGGTCTCGATGGCTTTTGAAAATCTGTGGCACGGTTTGATCAGGGCCTTCTCCAACGCGTCCTTCTCGAGCTCGAGCCGCCTGAAATTGAAAAATTATCGATTAGTCAATTTTTCATTGAGTAGTACCTAATGTCTTTCTGCTTCATTTCGATTCGCTCGCTTGGTCCCATTGTCGCCATCTGGTCACTGTAAGTCCTTTAATCACCGTTAATCCAAAATTGACGATAAAAATGTCTCATTTCTCATCTTTATCTAAACACTACTACTAACTGGTATTTGCCTGCTCAAAATACCAAAAATATCTCCTCCAGAGAAGCATTAAAAAAAAAGAAAGCTTCTCTGGAATAAAACACCTACTTCGAAGCCATTCGGTTGTTTCTAACGCGTTTCTTCATGTCTTGCTCGGAAGTGTTCGCCTGGCCAGGCATAGGTCTGAAAATTCCATCATTTTTGAGGGGCCTTAGAATTGGCTCTATGCTTTGGAAAAACCTGACTCAGGGTTTAATAGAAAAAAGCATGATGATTATTCAAGTCTATTTTCGAATTTTGGCAAAGCCGCTTCGCGGCTTCGATTTTTAAAAGAATCGAATTAAGAATCTTTCAGACCCTGAGTCAGGTTTTCTGCACAGATTGCCTAGCCCTCAACTTCCGATTTTGAAAGGGAAAGGAGACCTGTGTATGTTCCAAAACGCGCGTTCTTGACATTCATGAAGCTTTCGGTCGGATTTGTCCTTTCGCTTTTCGACGCGGGAGAGACTCTCGGCCGTCGACACAAGCCGATCCCAGTCGCGTGAGAGCACCCGCTGCAGCCGAGAGAGGTTATCGATTTCGTAGTCGCCAAGTTCGAGCCGCGCCTAATTACGAACACATTAAAGATAATTTCGACAGAAACATTATCCCGCTCTCCAGGGACGAGTGTGGCCCTCTATCGCATTTTGATTTCATTCCACTTTTCCATTATTTAAAGTCAATTTTGGGGTTTTCAGAGTCGAAAAAGGATATTTTTTTTTTCCTAAATGGGCTCGGCAACCTGTGTAGAAAACCTGACTCAGGGTCTGAAAAATCTCGAATAATAAGCTTTCAGACCCTGACTCAGGTTTTCTACACAGGTTGCCGAGCCCAGCTTCGTAAAACTAAGGCTCTGAATATTAGACTCTAGAATAAGGTGACCGTAGCTCTACTAGTAGTAGATAACGGATTAACTCGACTTTTGATAAATCGAGTTTTGGTTCCTTATTTGAATAATTGATAGTTTATCCGTAATGAAGATAGTCCGCCGGCGCGTGCATATTATTCCAGGCTCACTTTCTTATTGATTTACCTTGGTTGAAAATGATCTTTTTATCAAATAGATCGCGTAAGATGCTTGATCCGGCTCCCAGCCTTTGCTCGGCCAGTACTTCTCGTGCTACAAAATTAAACTTACAGTGTCTGTACTCCTAATTGTAGGTACCTGAAATCTGTTGAAAGAGTTGTCGTCTTTGAGCGTGATCACGTGCTCGTCGATGGCGTAAAAGTAGCCGTGGCAGGCGATCAGAGTCCCTTAATAATCAGCGGATCAGATTACCTGAGTAGAAAACCTGAGTCAGGGTTTGAAAGAGTTTGGATAAAAACCCTCTCTCTGGAATTTTCATTAGCTCTTTCAAACCCTGACTCAGGTTTTTTACTCAGGTTGCCGGGACCAGATCGAGACTTTAAGTTCTTGAATTCGAGTTGACTCACCTAAATGGACGGCTTCATCGTTTGAGTCGACGCCGTATGACTTGCGCAGCCACTGAACAAGGTCCTCGCCGGTGAACACGTCTGGTATTCTGGAGAGGAAGCTCTTGACCGCTCTGAGGGGCACGCCGGTGCACGGGTCCTAAAATAACACCAAAGTAAAGAAAGGTTAATTCGTCCGCGAGTGACGTCAATTCCGCAAGCCGCCGAAATGACCCAGCTTTACCTTCATTAAGTGGACGAGTTCTTCGATGCGCTCCCATGTGCCGTGATTGGGGTTGAGCTTGGCGAGCAGCGGGTTCGGCTCCAGCGAGTACTTTGCCTGTGGTTCGGGATCGAGTTAAACTGTCACTACTTTCAGCTCTTTACTTGAACGTTGCGTTCCCTTGCCTGACCCTGGCCCTCTTTCCTCGCCTGCGTCATCTTCGACGAGTCGCTTTCGAATTTGTCGATTAATTTTGTTTCTGAAAAACAAAAATTACTTTTTTTCATAATTTTCAAAATCCCATCTCAGTTCAAAAAATCAAGAAAAAGGAGAATCTGCTCAGCTCAGGGCTCAGAGCTCAGTCAGTTTTTGAGCTGAGCGTAGAGAGCTCAAATTGAGCTGGCTCTTATTTTCTTGATTTTGAGCTGAATCGGCTTGGTTGATCTTTTTTAAAGGAAGCTAAGAAAATGGGCTAGGCTAAGCAGGCTCAGATTAGTCTTATTTGAGCGGAGCTTAATTTGAGCGAGCTCAGCTTAAAAAAATTCTACTCAAAAAAGTTGAAGAAAAAAGCGAGAGCGACTCTTGCCAAGAGCTCAATTCTACTAGGGAGCAGAAGTATTAATGAGGCTCTGTTTTGCTTTGAAAGTTACATTTCCAGATTCAATATTGATATTGAACCCCAACAGGTTCCACAACACTATTACAGAAAAAAAAGAAAAAGAGGGTCGTTCAAAAAGCACCTTTTTCGTTTGATTTTTGAGAGTTTCAAGAAGCTCTTTTTTTCTCTTATTTTCTTTTTTTTTTGCGATAAAAAGCGGCGTTTTTTTATATTTTTTTTCGAATCTGAACAGGTCGCTGGCTGAGCTGAGCCGTCAGATATGCTCAGATTGTGGATCAATAATTGCCGGTGCAGCAGAGTTTCTCTCTCTCTCTTTCTCTCCTTCGCTGCTTCTTTTTCTCATTTGCCAATGGAAAAAATACGAAGGGATTAAGAAAGAAAGAGAGAGAGAGAAAAAGGGCTTGTTTGGAAACGAAGCCATATGTGCCAGTTTATCGTCTCATTAAATGAAATTAAACTCTCTCGGCTGTCAACTCAGCCCCTCAACCAACCAAAAAACCAGCCAAAAACGAAAAACTGAAAATGGAAAAGTGAAAGTTGAAGGATCTCCCTTCAAGTTAACTGTCTTTGGAAAAAAAAGAAGAATAAAGATGCTGTAATTGGCCTTTCTCTCTCTCTCTTTTCGCTGCCTATTTTGTCCTGCTGCCTCTCTTTTAAATTGTCTGCATTTAAAATTGCTGCCAATAAACTTGTCAGATGTCAATTAACATACAGCAACTTTGCCGATTACAGACACAATCCAACGTACCACGTGTTCTTGCTTTTCTCGAAAAAACTATCATTTTGTTGCTTTTAAGTTGTTACTTTTAGATTAAAAAATTAAGATATTTTTAAGGGTGTGTACAACGTTTTGAAAAATTTTCAGATTACGTTTTAGATTTTGTTTTCTGGGATAAATTTTGAATTTTTTATGATTTTTATCAATTTTTTGGAGTTTTTTTTTGGTGAATTTTGTCTAGAATTTTAGGCCAAAAATTTTTACCCTAAACACATTAAAAAATTTAAGGGTGTATTTCAATATAAGAACCAAAAAAAAACTTACTCCCGTTGACCTATCTTTCCGCATACCCTTAAGGTGGTAGAAACAGCTTTTTTGAAAAAAGCCGATTTTTGAACGGCGCCCAAGCTCAGCCAACCTTAGATTATTTAATTCTCTCTTCGAATTTAGTTAGATTTATCTTAGATTTAAGAACATCTAATTCTAAAATAATTTTTTGTTCACCCAGTTTAGCGGTTGAGGGCGAAACATCAACCCATCTCGTCGAAAATGCCGATTTCGCCCATTTTCAAGCACGATTATCTCGAGTCACGTGATGAACTGAGAATTTCTAATCTCATTTTAAGAAAGTTCAATCCTTTTTCTAGGAGCATCTATGATTGAAATTGTTTAATCATGAAAAATGATAATGTTGCGAGGCCGATTGAAACTTGTGTCTCAAATTTTCAAAATTTTGAGTTTTAAAGACCATTTCTTCGTGATACCCTTAAGTTATGGTCCTAGCAAAATTATTCAAAATGATCATGTGATCCAAGCAAATCTATCCTTTTCGCGTTTATCCCCTTATTAAACGATTTTAACTGTCGCTAAATTTCGAAAAACTCAAATTTGCGCCAAAATTTCAACTTCTAAGGCAATTTTAAAGGCGTTCCAACATAGCTTTTGATAAAAATTATATTCTTCATTCATTGGGTTATCAAAATCTTAAAAAAATTTTTTAAAATTCCATCTTTGGCAAAAGCTGTTTCTACCCCCTTAAGGACCCCCCCGTCAACAATTTTCCTCGCAAAATCGAAAATTTCAAAAAAGCCATATTTTGGCTTCTTAGCGTGGCTGGATGTTAAATTTATCATAAAAACTTGTTCGGAGCACTTTTTGACCAATAAAAATCTGAAATTATAGCAAAATTGGGACTTTTTCGTCATTTTTCCTCAAAAGTCTGATTTTCAAACGCGATTTTGAGGGTGTTAGAGTCGAGATAGACCCCCAAAAAATGAAGCCTCAAAATCGTTTTTTGACCTGTAGAATCCATTTCCGGGGTCAAAATTTTGAAATTCCGAAAATAGATTTTTCGAAAATTGTTGACGGGGGTCCTTAAGTGGAGATGTTACCGTAAGGGAGCGAGTCCGATCTAAAAGTTGCCCCTAAAGAACTAATATCTAAGGGTGTACCTCAGAAAAATTCAGGAAAATACTTGCTCCCGCGGGGTCAATTTTCAGAATTCTTGATTCGGGTGGTCCTTAATTCTGAAATCAACAACGACGCTTGAAAATTTTACCTCGTTGATTTTCTTGATCATTTTTCTCTCGAGAATATTCGACGTTTCAAAGTGATTTACGAGCGTTATTTTGGCCGTAGCGAAAACTTACAACTTTACAGTTTTCTGTAGTAAAAATTGATATCGAGGCTAAGATCGATTATTTCGCTCTTCATCGATTGTTGTAATTCAGTTCACTTGACTGGCTTGCTCTCATTTTGGCGGCCCCATGTTTTCGCGTTCTTTTTACAAATTTTAAAAAGCAAATTTTCGGAAAAGAACATCGAAAAATTTAAGGGGTACCCCTTGTTAACCTTTTTAGCGGCTAATAATTCAATTAATTTAAATCAAAAATAGGGGGTACTCGTTTTAACGGACAAAAGATTAGTTAAGCTTAAGGGTGTCAACAACGATTTGGTTAGGGTTAGGGTTAGGAAGGCTTTTTTAAGAAACGGATTGTCTGAAATTCTAGGGTTAGGGTTAGGGTTTGAAAAACAAGCCTTGGGCTAGAAAAACCATTAAAATGTTTTACTAATTAATTATTAATGGGAACTCCTTATTTTAAAATTAAATTTTTGTCAATTTAAAATTGTCAGTTTATTTAATTTTTGGCCGCTAAGCTTTTAGGCTCAATAAGGGGTGGACAAATTGGGAGAGAAAGAGAATTATTGCTCTTGCTCTTGCTCTTGTTCAATTCATCTTTTTTGTTGTTACAGTCTTTGGCCCGTGACGTCACTGTACCATTCATTTTTTGAAATTGAAACAAAGGCCCTTGCCTGTATTTTCCACAATGTTCAATCAGTTTTCGCTGTTTTTCGACTCTCTCTGTTTCGAGTTTGGTCTCTAACCTTTGCCCATGGTGGTGGCTTCACCAGGGTGGTGCTGGCTGGAAGCGTGCACCGAGCAGCCTGAACGTGTCGAAAAGGGAGAGCAAGTTTACTTTTGGATGGGGACCCCACTGAGGCCCGATCAGTCTTGGCTCTAATGGCGCGTACAGTGCATCAATATTGAGTAGACTCACCCTCCGGCCGCACATATTTCGAATAATATCAATCAAATACCAAAATACTACGCTCCCACAATGTGATTCGAAAATATCTTTAATTTAAAGCATTCTAGGGCGTATCTGCTCAAAATGATTGTCTTCTGCAGAGCCTTTTGAAAGAGTGACACCCTTATTTTTCATTTCGATCATCAAAAATAAGGGTGTCAGTTCCTTATCTAAAAAAAGAATCGGAAAAACTATGAGATGCGAAAAAAATTGCGTCGAAGTTTTAGCCAATCAGAAGCCCAAAATTGGCTCGCCGAACACTGACGGCCGCCTACGCAAATTTTGTCGCAGTTTTTTGTCGCCTCTCGTAGCTTTTCCAAAATATCATCAAAAATTAAAGACAAATTTTATTTTTTACCGCAAGTTTCGTGGAGTGAGTCGAAAGTATTCCGAATAATTCGTTTGATCGAGCCTGAAAATATAAAAATTATTCTTGATTCCAAAATAATGAGAATGACCTTGTCTTGATTTTGTTGACCCCGAAGATCTCTTGTCTTTGCTCAGTTTTGGAGTCGCTTTCAAGGTTTCAAAATTTTTTTTGGATTTGAAAAAACGACAGATAAGCTAATGATTTCCTTATGAGCAGAGTTGCCAATTTCCTACACTAAACCAGAAGAATAGCGCCTTTGTAGAAAACCTGAGTGAGGGTCAGAAAGAGCCGAAATGAAAAGCCGCGCAGCGGCTTTTCATAACGAAGCCGCAAAGCGGCTTCGCAAATATTACAATCACTATCCAGAAAAAGTTCTGGCGAAGCCGCTTCTCGGCTTCATTTTTTAAAAAGCCGCTGCGCGGCTTTTTATTTCAGCTCTTTCTGACGCTGACTCAGGTTTTCTACACAGGCTGCCGAGCCCAGACTTAGAGGAAAAGAGATCTGAAGTTATTTCCGAAAGGAAAATGAAATTTCTGAAACCGAATCGAGTAGCTCTTTGTCTTCGGCGTTGCGTTTTTCGTTTTTCTTTTCGTTCCTTTTGGACATTCTCTCGGCGGCGCAGCTCATCGTTTTGTGGAGCTGAAGAATCGAAATTCGCGAGTTGAAAGTTAAAGAACATTAAGCTGACTTTTATCGGAGATCTGTGCATCGCCTTCTCTGACTGCTCCTTGCAGCACTGTTTCTCGCTCTTCTCCACTAATCGTCTTCGGCTGCTTATTAGCGAGAGAATGCACACTAATGCCCTGTCTGGGCAATTAGCGCATCCACAATCACCAGTTTCAGGACTTTAAGGGTATAGAGCTCGATTTCGCGAAGATTTGAGAAATATTAAATCCGTTAAAATGGATACCCCCAGAAGCCGGGCTCGGCGACCTGAGTAAAGCCTGAGTCAGGCTCTGAAAAAGCTGAAGTGAAAAGCCACGTAGCGGCTTTTAAATCGAAGCCGCAAAGCGGCTTCGCAAGAAGACCTCTTTCAACCGATAGTGAACTTCTTGCGAAGCCGCTTTGCGGCTTTGTTTAAAAGCCGCTAGGCGGCTTTTCATTTTAGCTTTTTCAGAGCCTGACTCAGGGTTTTTACTCAGGTTGCCGAGCCCAGCCAGGAAATATTTGTCAGTTAACCGCGTGGGACGAATCGTACATTCCAATGTCATTTAAGACTTTAGGGGCCCGGTATTCCCAAATTATATATCCGATAACTTTGAAATTTTAAATGTGGATTGGTTCATGCCTTCCTAGTAACTTGTGCAAATATGGAAGTTTTATCACGGCTCAGTTGCACCTGACACGGGATTAAGTCTGGCCTACTCGAGCGCCCGCTGAGATTTTTACTGTAAAAACGAACCAATTTGTTTGTTTAAGCTTTTTAGACAACTTTAATCTATATTTTTGATGGAATTTCGTCAACTGTAACATCTTCTGACTGAAAAGAGCACGGAAGATGAGAATTAAAATTTCTCACTTTCATACTTACTCAAAAAAGTATTTCTGACGAAACCAAAATATGAATTCTGACATCTGGATATGAAAGAGGACATGAAAATTAGTGATCTCTGAAAATCTGAGGAATATCGGACGAGCGGTTCATGAGTTATTCGAGTTTTTGCTTAAATGACATTCGAATGTACGGTTCGTCCCGCGCTCATACGCGGGGATTCGTCCCACGCGGTTAAGATGTGATCCAACTTTTAACATAGTAAAACTAAACCAAAAAAAACAGTGATTTCAAGGACTATACCCTTAATAATCAATTCGAGCTGACAAATTACTCGTTTTTTCTTCAATTCTTCAGTGGTCGTCTTTTTCTCTCTGTGTCTCTTTCTGATTGAAATGAATCTCTCGAAAGAAGCAATGAAAAGCAAAAGGAGCGATTAAAAAGCAGCTTCGGCGTTTGAAAAGTAGAGCGCGCGGGCAGCGAAGTAGGACTCGGAGGTAATTTGTAAGGCCGTCATCTCTTTATTAAAAGCATAATGCACTAATTTCGGCGGGTATATTATTCCTTCAGTGTTGGAATGGTGGCCTCAATGTGCTCTCGATCGACACCAGCGAGATTAGACAGAGATTATCCGCTGAGAATCTACCACCACGCTGCCCATCTGTCGCCAAATCAACCCAGCTACAAGTTGGCAATTTTTTGTTCGGTCAAACGTTCAAAAGTTTATTCCTGGAAAAAGAAGAAGGTCAACGAAAGAGGCAACTTATTGTGATTATTTCCAACAGTTAGTTCTGGGTTTGGGTTATTTCTTCGATGAAAGAAGGAAGGTGACTATCATTGATTCATTGAATTATATATTCATTAAAATTGACGATCCTGATTTTAGCGGGTAAACTTCTCCGGAATATACCCATTTCTATTTTTTTTATAAAATTTTATTATAAAATTTAATATTATGAAATATATAATATAATATCTTAAATATTATTAATTATTATAACTATTTTTTTGTTTTCATTATTATAATTAATAATTTAATTATTATATTTATTTATAATTAATTGATTAATTAACTAAATTAATATTCAAATAAATTTTATTAATGTTAAATATTAATAATGTTATTATTATATATTCTTTCATATTTTTATTAATAATATATAGTAGTATATATAAAAAATATTCATTTTATTATCATATTATATTTAATTACTGTTATCATTTTTTTTATTTTGGAACCATATAAGAGGAATTAGCCCGTTGAAATCTTGATTCAATCAAAAAGGGAAAAGATCAATAATTTGAGTATTGAGTGATTTATTCTCAGTAAAATTGCATTCTTCAAAACTAAAGCTCAGTTTTTCCTCTTTCCGCTTCTTCCTCGTTTTGAGTCTGGTCTGAATCTAAAATGGGCATTTTTTAATTTTGAGGTTTCTTACGAGCTCCTTTCAAACTGTCCTCGAGATTGCCCGTCTGGAGTCCCATTTTGCTTTGAATTTCGTCGAGCATTTCTGAGCTCAGCCGCTTTTTCTGGTAGTCTGAAATTAACCACCTTATTTTCATCAAAAAAAAGAGCTTCTTTCATTTTATATTCTGCATTATTCGCGCCATTTCGTCGCCGTGCTCGCTCATGCAGCAGTTCAGAACCTTTTCGCAGTGGTTTTCGATTGCTTCGCCTTGGTCCATGTTCAGTTCCGCGATTGTGCAGCTGATACAGTCTTTTTTAGCGCAATCGAAGGCTACTCTGGGCTCGGCAATCTGATCCTACTAGTTTAAAAAGCTGAATCAGGGTCTTGAATAGTCTGCCTCAAAAGCTGCGCTCTTTTTTGGAAGAGAATCTCTAGAAAATTGCCACTATTAAAAAAGTTAATTGGATTTCTTGAGTTGATAAGTGAAAACCATAATGTCGAGAATCGAGTTCTAGAACTAAATTTTTATCTATACGAAATTAACTGACAAAATAAGACAATAACAAATAAGATCACCAACCTGGTATTTGTGATGTCTCAATATAACTATAAAAAAAAGCAAATATCACTGAAACCAACAACTGTACCCAAAATAGCTTTGATTGCTGAGCCCAAATGCTACTCCTCCGACAGAAGACAAAAGAAAAAGTAGAGTTCTCTTCATTTTTCTTTCACGAAGAAAATGTGTGTGTAATTTTTATTTTTACAGAAAGTTTGAAAAGAGGTCGCGAAAAAGTCGCAGCTTTATGTCATAATTTTACATATTTACAAAAGAAGATTTTGAAGCTGCTGCAGTTATTCTGCTTTTTTCTTCTTTGTTGTTGATTCAAAAGCTCGCTTTTGAAATGTTTCCAGAAGCGCCTCTTGCTGCATGTTGATCTTGTTCAGGTACTATTCGAATTGAAGGTAAAGGAGAGAGAGTGGTTTACCTGTCTTTCTGACTGAATGAAATCGTTGCACCAAGTGTCGTTTTTGTTCTTGAGCTTGTAGCGCGTCAGCGGAACCGAGTGGAAAAATGATGTTCGAGTTTCATTACTGAAAATAGCAATTTGGTATTAGCGACAGAAAATGCGACAAAAATGCGCTCTTTTTGCGACATTTTTCTGAATTATAATTGGCCTGCCGAGCGTATGCGGAAATCTGATTGGTTTAAAATTGTCGTAAAAATTGCGACAATTTCGACCAAAATTTTGGTCAAATTTTAGACCAATCAGATTTTCGTACGCCGAACAGAAAAATTGTCGCAAAAATTAAATATTAGTCGCATTTTGTCGCCTTTTGTCGCGGCTTTTTGTCGCTTGAATGAATTTTGAAGCAAACCTGATGCATCTATCCTGGATCATTTTGTTCGTTTCTCTCAGCTTTTTGACTTCTTGTTCCATCCTTTCCGCCCCAAATTCCTCAACCTTTTTGGCGAAAGTGGAGTTGAAGTGTTGATAAAGTTTCCAGTCGGCCTTGTTCCACTCTAAAAGTTTCTCTCTGTACTTACTGTCCAGCATTGTCTTCTGAATTGGATTTTGCGAATCGCGTTTTCTTGAATTTGACTTAAGAAAAGAGACATCCTCGGTTGTCCAGCAAAGTTCTTCTTTGAGAAGGACCATCGATTCTTCGAAATAATCAGTAATCAGCACAAGGTCGAAAATTCTATCGAGATATTCAATCCACTTGTCGATGACTTCTTCGTCCTCTTCTTCGTTGTCGAATCCAAAGTCCCACATCATCGCATTTTTCGCGAACTTTTCATAATGCGCCGCGTCAAAGCCGTAGTAGCGCCTTGGCTCGTCGAGGAAGCTCTTCATTTTTGCTTGGAGGTCCCCTCCTTTACCTGGGAGGCGCTGGAAAGCGCGCACTTCGTCCGAGTAGTAGCTCATCACGGACTCGAAGAGCTCGACTGGGTGGCGGACGATGGCGATGAACTTGGTGCCCCGGGGCATTAACTCGTTCACGCCCGCGGCGCTGAAGTGCAAGTGGTTGCACAGAATGTTGTACTTACCCGTCGGCGAAGGGCGGACCAGCGAGGGGAGAACTTTAAATTGTAGTTGAACACGTGCGCGCCAGACTGCTTCGGAAGCGCGAAGGTTAGGTTGTTTGCTTCGCCGTATCTGAAGTGAGAGTTAACTGTTAGAGATTGAGCTACTGGCTTCTATCAACAGTGAATTTTTTGAGGTGGGAATCAACGAAAATTGCGACAAAAGACCGGGTTTTTATGCGACGATTTTCGACCAATCAAAAGGCTGTATTCGGCAGGTAGGCCAATCAGATTCGTCAAAAACGAATTTTTGTCGTTATTTTTTGTCATTTTTGCTTTTGGCAATCAAATAATTTAATAATTGACAGCTTTTTGGAGGGGGCTGAGTCAATTCTAGAGTGTCATTTAAAATTTAAAATTTCGCTGGAAATCAAAGCGCCGCCAAATTTCAAGCTTGAAATAAAGAATCCTAACGCTTGTACATTGCCGCAAGAACAAGGCTCAACCAGGGCATAATCGCCGCTCAATCTCACAGCGGTCGAATCCACACGTGACTTTCTCTTTCGCCAGAATCGAGAGAGACATTTTTAACTCACCTTAGAAATATATTTTGAACTGTGGTACTCGCCGTCTTGTGCGTCTTCAGGAAGAAAATGTTTTCAGCTGGCTTCTCGCAATTTCGAGGAGAGGATTTCACTCCAGCGGCTCTAGAAATTAATAATTTGCTTGTCTGAGCTCGGCAACCTGTGATAAAAACCTGAGTCAGGGTTGAAAGATCCTTAATGGAAAGCCGCGCGGCGGCTTTTTTAAACGAAGCCGCAAAGCGGCTTCGCCAAAATTACCAATTCATTCATTTTTTACCAATTCTGACCCTGTGTGAAAACCTGATTCAGGTTTCTGAGGACCAGAATTTGAAGAAATGATTAATCTGGTAAGTTTGGCGAAGCCGCTTTGTGGTTTCGTTTTTAAAAAGTAGCTGCGCGGCTTTCCATTAAGGATCTTTGAACCCCTGACTCAAGTTTTTACGCAGGTTGCCAACCCAGTCGCTAATGAATATAAAAATTCCGACGCGTTTGCAAAATTTCGGGAAGAGAAGGCGCGAGAGAAGAGACTTGATTATTTTACTTTGGCAGCTGGAAATATATCCTTCCCGCGATCTTGCACCTTCTCAGAATAATATGCAACCTGCGCAACGTGTATCCTTAAATTTATCTAGAATTTTGACTTACGGAAGGAATTCGTTTCCAGTTGTTACGAGCCAGAAGACGATTGTTCGGAGGAAAGCGAGTAGAAACTGCATCTGAAATTTTCTTTGGAATTTTTTATTTATAAAAAATAATTTTTGAATTAAAAAAATATTTTTTTTATTGAAAATAATTTTTAAATTAAAAAAAAATATTTTTTTAAATGAATAATTTTTGAAAAATATAAAAATATTTTTTATTGACAATAATTTTAAAATTATAAAAAAATTTCTTTGCGAGAAAATTGGAAAATCAAAAGCGTAAATTCGTAATATTTTGCATAACTGTTCAATAATCAGCCTCATTTTGCGGATTTGTCGTGAGTAACGTGCCAAAACGCGCCCTTTTAATTGAAAATGATCGGCTTCAAGAAAGTCGAGATTTGAATAAATTAGCGATGAATGAATTTGAAATTCGCTCTCGACCGAGGTGTTAACGGAATGGCCGCAGTTTATCATTGAAGTTGGATTTTGCGGCCGGATTCTGACTTGGTTTTTTCGCAAAGAAGGAAATTACGATTTTCGAATTAACGAGAATAGAAACGTTGCTGAAAGAAAAAGGAGAAATAGCTGGGTTCGTCAACCTGTGTAAAAACCTGAGTCCGAGTCTGAAAAAGCTAAAGCGAAATTTCGCATTTGTAATAATTGCGAATGCGGATATCTGATTGGTCAAAAATTTGACCAAAAATTTGGTCAACATTTTGGATTTTCGTCGATTCGTTGCACCTCCTCTTCTTGATATCGAGCGTATTGAACTTCTCGATTTGAAGAGTGAAAGCCATAATGCCAAGAATCGAGTTCTAGAATTTGAATTTTATGAAGCCGAAATAAAGTGAGAAAATAACTCGAACGCAACAAATTCCTACAATAAATTGTCGAATGAAAAAGTAATGATTAGAATAGAATAATTGTAAAACTCATACCCATATTATACTCGAACCATATTCAACGAACTGTACTCGGCGACCTGTGTAAAAACCTGAGTCAGGGCTTGAAAGAGTTAAAAGAAAAGCCGCGGAAATATAACAATTTTAGTCTATTATAAGTTTTACGCGGGCTCTTTCGGGCCCTGACTCAGGTTTTTACACAGGTCGCCGAGTACAGTTCGTTGGGTATGGTTCGAGTGTAATATGGGTATGAGTTTTTACAATTATTCTAAATAGAATTCTAATCACACTTTTTTCATTCGTGAATTCGTTGTAGGAAGTTGTTGTGTTTGTGTTATTTTCTCACTTTATATCGGCTTCATAAAATTCAAATTCTAGAACTCGATTCTTGGCATTATGGCTTTCACTCTTCAAATCGAGAAGTTCAATACGCTCCATATCAAGAAGAGGAGGTGCAACGAGTCGACAAAAATCCACAATTTTGACCAAAATTTTGGTCAAATTTTTGACCAATCAGATTTCAGACTCGGACTTAGGTTTTCTACACAGGTTGGCGAGCCAAGAGCTAGCTGCTAGCTAAGTTAGTTTGAGTAAAATCTAAGCTAAGCTGATAAAATAAAACTAAGCTACGAAACTTAGCTAGCTTATCCTTAAAAATTTGCAACACAGTTTAAAAGCATCATCCCCTTTTTCGGCTAATCGAGTTTGATCCAGCTGATTAAAAATAATCATCCACGCGATTTTTTAATAAACGATGCTCATGTCATTTAGCTTGACCTTTCTTTCGCCGGGCTTGTTCTACACCTCGCAATTAAAAACAAGGAACAGTTGGAGTCTGGGCTAGGCAACCTGTGTAGAAAACCTGAGTCAGGTTTTGGAAAGTTAAAATTAAAAGCCGCGTAGCGGCTTTTAAAAACGAAGCCGCAAAGCGATTTCCTCTTTAAGACAGCCGCTACGCGGCTTTGAATTTTAGCCTTTCAGTACCTGACTCAGGTTTTTACTCAGGTTGCCGAGGCCAATTAGCACTACAGTAGCTCTAGAGGAAAAGTTGATGAGTTTGAGTTTCCGCGATTAGCGCAATTTATTTATTTTCGATGGCGTCACGCTCAAGCACAATTTTTTAACATCCGTTACATTAATTAAGCTGTTAATCAGCAGTTAGCCAAAAAAATCGACCCAAGCAGCTCCCATAATCAGTCTTTTTTCTCCCTAAATTTCCTGTCTCGTATTTTAAGGAGTCAAACGTCGCGAAAAACGAAAAGACAAGAAAAAATGATAGCTAACAAGAAGTTAGCCAGCTAGGCTAAGCTTAACTTAGCTTTATTTTCTTCCAAGCTTAGTTGGCCTTTACAGAGTTGCAAATTTGCTGCGCTGAGTGAGCCGAGTGAGCTGAGCTCAATTATTCTCGAACATGATCTGCTCTGCTCAGCTCAGCTCAGACAAGTATCATTCAGCTCAGCTCAGCTCAATTATTCTCGAACATGATCTGCTCCGCTCAGCTCAGCTCAGACAAGTATTACTCAGCTCAGCTCAGCTCAGCTCAGTGATTTTAACATAATTTCACTACTAAAAACAGTAAAAACAGCTCAACCCAGCTCACTCAGCTCAGCTCAGCTCTAATTAGGGTCTGCTCAGCTCAGCTTAACTACCTTAAAAAGGTCTGCTAAGCTCAGCTCAGCTCAATGACCTCTGAAAATGGCCAGCTCAGCTCAGCTCAGCTCAGTGAGCTCCGAAGTATGCCAGCTCAGCTCAGCTCAGAGAATTTCTCACTCAGGGCAGCTCAGCGAAAATAAAGCCAAATTTGCAACTCTGGGCCTTTATCATTGATATTGGCTATATTCCTTCTAATAGAGAAAAAAGGGGAAAAACGAATGCGTCTTTATCAAATAACCGTGGACCAGGCACGTTAGTCCGCCACAAGTTGAGAAAGAATTCAGCAAGAAATGTAACTTGCTGAATTTTTTATTGGCTAAAATCGACAACACCTTTACTTATCTCCAATAATCTTTCACTATTACATTTTTCACATACGTTTTTAGACCTCTAAATGGGCGGGCCCCTATTTGGATTTTTAAAAGAATTGATATGGAATTTTATTTTTACAAAACTTATATTTTATAATTCAAGATCATTATATTCATTTTTTCCATACTTTTTGACGTTTCAGACTGTTTAGTTCTGTTCTCTTTTCTCTCTCGAATTAGAGTCTTCCAATAGCTGTTTCTCAAAATAATCAGAGCATAGTCTTCTTGATTTTATCAAAAAAATTCCAACAATCAGGACATTCCTTCATTCCTTGTCTCATAAATTTTGAAGAGGAGAAATCATGATTCGCTCGCGCGCGCCATCCCGCACCGCGCGCCCCGCTTCTCGAGCTCTTCAAAGTTGGGGGTTGATTTTCTTCCTTATTTTCTGTCTTAGTTTTAGTTTTAGGGGAAAGATTTGCCAATAAACAGCAAAAATCTTTATCATTCTTAACAGAAAGAAGGTTTGGCTCGGCAACCTGAGTAGAAAACCTGAGTCAGGCTCTGGAAGAGCTAAAATGAAAAGCCGCGTAGCGGCTTTTTAGAAATGAAGCCGCAAAGCGGCTTCGAAAATAAACCATATAAATTTTCTTTTAACTCCTGGCGAAGCCGCTTCGCGGCTTCGTTTTTCAAAAGCCGCTATGCGGCTTTTCATTTAAGCTCTCCCAGAGCCTGACTCAGGTTTTTACTCAGGTTGCCGAGCCCAGGCTAGAAGATTTCATCGATACTAAACTTAAAGAAAGAATACAGGTTGGGCTCGGCAACCTGTGTGGAAAACCTGAGTCAGGGTGAGCCTGAAAGAGATTTTATAAAAAGCCGCTTTTGAGGCCCTGACTCAGGTTTCCGAGAAATTCCGACACAGGTAGCTGACGGCCCAACCTGTGCGAAATTGCTTCTCTGACGCAAGAAAGAAATCTCATTAGAGCAGCGAAAGTCACAAGGTTGAGAGAAGAGAGCAGCTTTACGGAGGCGCGATCACATTGGAAAATACTTACTCGTGGCCGGAAAGGAGCTTGGGTCACTTTTTGCACCTTCCGTCACATCTCTAAAACGCGCTTCTAACATGAATCAGACTTTTGCTACTGTAGATCTGGATATTCCAAAGCGATATCTAAAGTTGGAATGAACAAAGAGCATTGAAAAACGTCAGAAATTCAGAAGAATTAACGTGACTGGCGCACTCGAAAAAGAAAAACGGGCGTTGAAGTGTTACGAAGATTTCGCTCGGAATCGTATTTTGTTTTAAAAGGACACTTTGTCAGGATTCCGCGCAGCTGAGAATCGGAATGATAGGAAAAGGAACGCTCAAGTGCCGATTAGACTCCAGCGCTCTTTTCTCGCAGCTTTTTATAGCTCCTTTTAATCGGTGCCACGAGGTTCAAAATCCATCAAAAAATCATGGAACACTGGATTCGTTTATTACTCGCGAGTGTCAATAATTCAAAATTTTGGAATGCATGAATCTAGCGGTTAAAAAGCAGAGCAGAGCAGATACAGTAGCTCGGTACAGATTGGAAAAAAGGCTTGGCAAGATGGTTTTTCGTAGGTTTTTTCGCAACAACTAAAATCGTCAAATTAAGGACCCCCATCAGCTTTTCCTTCGAAAAATGTAAATTTTTTAAAACACCATATTTTTGGTTTTTTATGCTTCCTCAGGTTAAACTTGATAAGAGGAATTTTTGACCAAGAAAAATCAATGTTTTGCCAAAATTAGGGCAAATTTGTCAATTTTCGGCGAAAAGTCCAGAAAGATTTCTTGATTTCCGTCATCTTCTGCGCCTTTTTTGCCGAAATCTTATTGCTAGAAACGACCTTAAAAGTGAAAAAGATTTCGGTAGCCTGCCGAAATATTTTTTTGAAAACAGTGGAAATAAGTGAAAAAAGTTTCGGCGGTTACCGAAATATTAATCAGAAAATAAGCTCACCATATTTCGGCAGTTTTACCGAAACATTTTTCCATACTACCATTTTCAAATGCGATTTTGGGGTTGAAGGAGTCGAGATAGACCCCGAAAAATGCAGCCTCAAAATCGTTTTTTGACCCGTAGAATCCGTTTCCGGGGTAAAAATTTTAAAATTCCGAAATTTGATTTTTCGAAAAAAGCTGACGGGGGTCCTTAATCATCAAAAACGAAAAATAAAAAACTGACTTACAGTAGTTAAATATAATCTAGCTGTCCTCCAGGAGTCCTGTCGATTCCGTCGATAGAATGTTTCGATCCATGCATTGATTCGGAAAGAAACTGCGCTTCTGATTGTTTCCGCAGCGCCGTTTGCCGAGGAAAGCCGGAAATCATGCTCATTGGCATCGAAGGTCGCCGCGCTGAAAAATAGTTGACTAGGGAAAATTTTAAATTTACCGGGAAAATTTTTTAATCGTGCAGATTTTTTGGGACTTGAGTCAAGCGGTGTCATGCAGCATGCAATTGGAGCCTGGTATCGAGTTCAGATTCAGGGTCAGGCGTTCCTAACCCCGGGGTCAAAAAGGTTAGAAAAAGCCGCGTTTTAGAGGTATTTTTGGCCCGTTTAGGAGGCTGGTTCTGCTTTTACCTTGCGAAATTCCCCTCGTGGATTCATAAGAGCCTCGTTGGCGCGTTTGGGCTTTCTACTACTTTAATCAAGAGTTAGGAATTGACCCCAGAGGTCACCTGATAAGCACCGGGCGCTGCGATACCAGGGACCATTGTCAAACCCGACACAGCTGACATCAACGTTGCTCGTGGCTACTCCCGGGTCAAACGAAGCCCGACAACGAAAAAATCAAACAATTTTTGCATTTAGTGAGTTTACAAGTTAGGACCCGTCTCATACCATTGCCCACGTCGGGCTCGTAGCAGTCCTCGTCGTTCGAGTAGATGATCAGACACGCGCCGATCACTCCAGCTGCCAGGGACATGATGTAAGCGAAGATCAAGCCAGGGCCTTAAAGTTACAATTTAAGGGGAGGTCGACGAGAATAAGAATTTTTAGAACAAATTTCCCGAAAAACCCGTATATTTTGACTTCTCGGTTGGGAAAAGAAGGGTATTAAGAATCTATCGGCAAAGAGTTTCGCGAGTCTTCGCAGAAATTTCGTGCACTTCTTTACCAAAAGTGTCCGAAAAAAGTGACGAAAAATATGAAAATTGCCAAAATGGCAATTTGGGGTCCACTTTGAGACAAGTTTTCGACCATTTTTTCTGGTCAAAATTTTTTCTTCTTTTCGCCGATAGATTTTTTCAACCCTTTTAATTTCACCCGAAAAGTCCAAATTTTTCCAGCCAATCAGGTTTTCTCGGAATTTTGTTCCAAAATCCCGATTCTCGTCGACCCCCTTAAATCGCCCTGTTTATTTTGTTCTCTTCCTTGATTTCAAAAATCTACCTAGGCTCGGAAACCTAGGCTATGTTGAAAATCTGAGTCAGGGTCAGAAAGTGTTGAAATGAAAAGCCGCGCAGCGGCTTTTTAAAACGAAGCCGCGAAGCGGCTTCGCGAATACTATCAGTAAAATCTATATAAAATTCTTGCGTTTTTTAAAAAGCCGCTGCGGTACTTTCTCACCCTGACTCAGGTTTTCTACACAGGTTTCCGAGCCCAGTTAATACATTTGATTACCTGGTCTTTGATTGTAAATATCGACTCTAGTAGAAAGGGCAGATCGTCCACCGCCGTTGAATCCGTTGAATCCAATGTTTCTAGTTGTCATGTCGACCGAGTACCAAATCGCAGTCACGGCAAGAAGCAATCCTAGAAACTCCAAGTTTAGCTTAAAGTTTGAAAAAGTAAAAAGATTACCGGAGAAAAGGGAGAAGCTGCCAGCCGCCAAGGCCGCCCATTGCTTTGAGTCGGTCATGAGGACGCAGTCGAGCGAGAGGAGAGTGCAAGCAGCAGAGGCGGCAAAGGTCAACACGGAAATTACAGTCATCGCGCGCTAAAATCTTTTTCGAATCAATTCGGACATTTCGCCACTTACCCAAGCCAAGTACTTGCCCCCGTCGACAGAAGGGCCGCCGATGGAGGAGAAGAGCGTGTCGCATTGTTCGGACTTGTAATTTGGCTGCAAATCACAGTGACTCCACAGTGATTCGACCTAGAGAGGCGATGATTAGAGGATGAACTAACTGTAAATTTAGTTTGATTTATTGCTTTTTTATCGAGAAAGGCCTGCTGAATCAACTGTAATAGGAAAAAATTGAAAACTTCTAGCGCGAATTTGTTAAAAAATAATGAATAAAATGATTAAATAAGAAAATTAAAATAAAAAATAGTAAAATTAAATAAAAGTCAATTGAGTAATTGAAAATTGCGACAAAAAGTCCCCTTTTTCATCATTTTTTCAATCTCCTGAAATCAAGGAAGAGTACTTTTACCTTTTGGTTATTTTGCATTCTCTGCTCGCCCTGAATGCCAATGACCCAAGTGGCCCCAAACGAGACCCAAATGTCGACGAAGACGATCACCATCAAGGTCAGGAAGCAGACCAGTCTCTTGTGGCTTATTTCGTAGATTGTCGCCATCTTTACTTTTTTCGTAAAACTCGAAAAATAGCGGGAAAAATAAAAATGCCGCAAGTGGGAATTTAGCTCAACTGAGGTAACCGGATCGATAGATTTCACTTACAAGGCCAGGACATGTTAATTTCGAGCCGCCAATTAACTACAGTCATTTTACCGCTCATTTTGATCGTTGATTTTGAAGCAAATTGAAGCCCTTCCTTAGGCACTGAGCCATTTTGCCTTGTTTCGCTCTGTAACTCTTTTCTCTTTTGAAAATGTGGAATCAGTTTATTCTCAGTAAGGAAGAATCTCAAAAGAAGCACTTCAAGAAGGGGGTTTATTTGAACAAGCAAAGGAGATTATAAGGGCCAACTGATTAATTACCATTCCTGCGATTTCTGATCGATAGCCAACTTTTTTGGAAATGATTTTTCCAGCTCCGGAATATTTTATTCGAGACCTTTAAATTTAAAAAACGGTCTCCGTTTTAACGGATTTGGACTAAACCAAAATATGGAAGTGCATTTTGGATAACCAATAAGATTGCCGCATTTGGCCTATCGGCCAATCAAAACCCTGATCCATAAAATCAGTTCAACCAATTGGTTTTGCCTACGGATTTCGGGCAGAACCAACAAATGGAAGTGATTTGATGGATCAGGGTTTTGATTGGCCGGTAAGCCAAATACAGCAATCTTATTGGTTATTCAAAAATGCACTTATATTTTCCATATTTTGGCTTAGTCCCGGATTTCCAATATTTAGGCTTGTTACGTAAATAGAAAAATTTCGGAAAATAAGGGTGTCACTACCTTAAATCAAAATTCTCAATATATAAAGTTCTCTTTCTTTAAAAAATCTTTCTGTCTAGCCACTTGAGAATATCTTCTGAAAAGCGAATTGTTTTTACGATTTTAATCGTTCAGAATCATTCTGTCACTAATGGATTTCCCTTTTCCTTTCGAACGAGAATTTGTTAAACAAAAGAAATTCTTTTCTCCATGAATGGAAGAAAGTAGGTTTTATTAGGTCCAGCGGGCACAACTTTGATAAAGACAGGAGAAGATCGCCGTCGGAAAGAGAAGCGTGGCTCCGGAAGTATTTCGATTCTGCGCATTCTTTATTCTTTGATGACTCCGTTTTTCTTTCACACAATTGATTTCCCAGTGACATCACTGATTTGCCTTGACGACAACACCAAATTCAAACTGCTCAATTACCAAAACCGAAAATTTTAAAAAAGGAAAACTTAGGAAACGTAGGCAATCTTGGAATATTCTCGCGCGAATTTTATTTAATTTAAAATTTTACTCAATTATTAAATTATATTAAAATTTTAATTATTATTAAAAATGTAAATCAAAAATGATTTCCAACCTTTTTTTGATACTATTTTGGCAAAGCAACCTTTGTAAAAACCTGAGTCAGGTTTTGAATATACTAAATGAAAAGCCGCGAAGCGGCTTTTAAAAACGAAGCCGCAAAGCGGCTTCGCCAGAATTTAAGAATTGACATGAATGGTAATATTGCGAAGCCGCTTTGCGGCTTCGTTTTAAAAAGCCGCTCCGCGGCTTTTCATTTAGTATATTCAAAACCTGACTCAGGTTTTCTGTACACAGGTTTTTTCAGTAGCTTTCAATTGACTAACTTGTCTAAGTTTTGATGCTCTTAGAAATTCAATCGAGTATGCTCTTGTTGCGAGCCAGGTTTTTCGCCGAAATTTAAACTTTTTACGTTTTTTTTAGAAATTTTTAAGATTAAACTTCTTTTATGCCTACGGAAAAAGCTGGTTTGGAATGAACAAGAATATCTTTATTGAAATCTCAAGAGTTTCAGTTAATAGCACAGTAATAGTACGGTAATACAAGGAATATCGACATTAGAATACAGTTTTTAAATAGTAAAAAGCGCTAAAACGAAAAAGCGGAAAAAGGCAGTTAAAAGAAGTAGAATTAAGGAACTAAAGCAAAACTAAAAATGAAGATTTGAAATTTCATTTCAGCCCGAATTAAAGTTTTCGATTCAATAGCCCTGCTTGTCATCTTCGTCGTAGACGACGGCGTTGTTGAGCTCTTCGTAAAAGGGGTCGTCTTCGTTTCGGATCATGATTTTTCGGATTTTCGGATTTTCGGTTTCTCGGTTTTTCGGATTTCGTTTTTTCGGAAGATTTTTCGCGATTTTGGTTTTTGTCGATTTTAAGAAAAGCTCGATTCAAAAGAAAAATTCTTTTTTTTTTTGGTTTTTTGGTTTTGGCGCTTTGCTGCGACTGATTTGCTCGAGGAAGGCATGCGTCTTATATTCCATTCTTCTGAAGGGAAAGGTGAATCAGCTCGAGCAATCCTGAGCGAGTTGGGGCGCTGCGGTGATTCAACTCGCAGCGCTGCCCTCTGTTTGCCCCCAGAGCGATTCAAGAAGTGACGTTGAGCTTCGCCCAGCGCCTCCGAAAAATGAACACAGAAGATTCCTTTCTCAATTGATTTGCTCTCATAAGATCACGTCTTTATTGGTGAAAGCTCTTCAGAACCTGACTCAGGTTCTTTTCTACACAGGATGCCGAACCTAGGCGAAGAAGACAAGAGCCTGTAGTTCGGGACTGGGCTCGGCAACCTGAGTAAAAACCTGAGTCAGGGTATTACAGAGCTTGGAAAGCAGCGTAGCGGCTTTTAATGAAGCCGCAAAGCGGCTTCGCGAAAATTATCAATTCATTCATTTTTTCAATTCTGACCCTGTGTAAAAACCTGACTCAGATTTCTGAGGATCAAGATTTAAAAAATGATAAATCTGGTAATTTGAGCGAAGCCGCTCTGCGGCTTTCTTTTAAAAAGCCGCGGCTTCGCAAGAATATTACGATAGGTTGAGATGGTAATATTCGCGATGCCGCTTCGCGGCTCCGTTTTCATAAAAGCCGCTGCGCGGCTTTTCATTTTGCTCTTTTAGAGCCTGACTCAGGTTGCCGAACGCAGGTTCAGGATGACTTGTCAAAAAGGAAAATAGATGATCATTGATTGTTGCGTTTCTGAGGTAGTGGGGCAGTCCTGACGTAGCCCGTGATGAGAAAACAATAAGGAATGAGAACGTTTAACCAGTGACGAAAAGTAGCTGTCTTAGTGGACAACGAAAAAGGGAAAAAATGAGTGTCGGAGCTTTGGAATCCGCGAATTGCATGATTCAGAGGCGAAAGTTTGAAATTGCGCGATTTTGAAAAGAGTGGCGGGCTGCGCCAAAAGCTCAGGATCAAACTCAATCATACTAATCGTAAAAAACGGAGCCCGCACGTTTGAGCAAACAAAAGAAGGCATAACGCTCGCTGGGCTCGAATAGTTATGGAATTCCTTTTCCCAAAAATATAAATTTATAAATTCAAAAAAAAATTACTTTTGTCTTTCATAATTTATGAATCATAAATTGAATTATATCTGATTTTTTTTAAGTTTATCATCGAAAAAAATTATTTCAAGTTAGAAAAATAATTATATAGAAATTTTTGTAAATAAAATTTAAATAAAATATTTTATTATAGAGTGATAGACTATCACTGATAGACTTCTCTTCAAAGAACCCGTTCCCATGTTGAGAAAATCGCGAGAAAAGACTTTTTGGATCCAAAATGAAGCCTGAATTTTTAAGAGTTAGAGCCCGATATTTTTAAAAGCATCCTGAAAAAGGAGCTTCAAAAAAGCCTATTTGATAACCTAAAGTTCTGAAAACTTCCGGCTTGGGCTCGGCAACCTGTGAAGAAAACCTGAGTCAGGGTTCTGACAAAACTTTGAAAAAAAAAACGGCACGTGGCTTTTCATCAAAGCTATTTAGAACCCTGAGTCAGGTTTTTATTCCCAGACTGCCGAGGTCCGCTTCTGACAGTTTGTGAGTCAATGTCGTTTCTGAGCGTGACTGTATGTGAGTGGGCGCGCAGCTCTTCCAAGTTCCATCAGATGACTAGTCACCGACTCTGACTAGTAAAAGTCGAACAACAAAAAGTTCAATCTACTGGAATTCAACACCGCCGCCGAATCACTTTTATTTGCCGAAAACAGTAGCGCCCGCGAAAATTCACGCTTTTTAAAAACGTTAGTCAAAAAAGTTTAATTGTTATTTCAGTGATCAAATCAACAAAAATTTCCAATTTTAGAAAAAAGGTTATGATTCATACTTTATCTTAGACATGCGGTTCGAGTGCGTCGAGTGAGCGCCGCGGAAACCGCAGAAAGTGCCAAAATTGGAGGAGGAGCACCTAAAACGCCACCGGCCGTTCTGACGTCGTAAGTAGTGACGTCGAATTTCTATGACGTCGCAACAAGTGCATGAAATCGTGACGTCGAATCTCAAAATGAAGTTTTTCCTGGCGGCGATTGACCCAGGGCCACCAAATCTCGACTGGAATACCAGAGCAAGCTTCCTATACCAATCATCATTGGCAAAATTGTAGCTGATAGGCTTGGCAACCTGTGTCCAAACCTGAGTCAGGGCCTGAAAGATCTCCTACGCCCTGACTCGCTGTATGAACACAGGTTGCCAAGTCTATCAGCATCTACAGTAGCTGCCAAAGATTATTGCAACTCGGGGCTATCTGTGCTATTTGGGGGTTTTTCATGAGTCAAGTCGAGATTTGGGTGAGTTGAATGCGTGTTTTTCGATGAAATCAAAGATAGAGACGAAGATGCAACTCGTGCTTTGGAACAGACTTCGATATTCGAAGCCACGATTTCATGCACTTGTTTCGACATCATAGAAATCCGACCTAACTACTTGCGACGTTAGAACGGGCAGTGACGTTGGAACTTCTCCTCCTCCAATTTCGGCACTTCGCCTAGAGAGTCTACTTTCTAGTGGAGAAAACCTGCGTTGTCGGGAGGGTAGGGTTAGGGTTTTTGAAACTGAATTTGAAAACGTTGGTTATCTTCCTTGATTTCATCTATTTTTTCCATCCTTTCTTAATTTCCTTCTTTGAGTTTTGAAAACAAACAAGATGATATAACAACAGCGTCAATAATTGTTCAAAAATCAGGCGCCGAGAAAATCCTCTTCAGAAGGTCGCACTAAGTGGCCTTCGCTGCCAAGGCCACTGATTGAGATGTGAAGGCTTCGGAGCAGAAGGACGATGTCGAGGTCACTCCTCGTGACAGAAAACCCGGCTCAGACCGAATCGTAAAAGAATGGGAACTAGACTCGCGAAAATGCAAGAAGCAAAAAGAATTGTCTGCGAACTGATTGATGTGAGTAAGAGAAGGAAAATATTTAACGCGAAAACGACACAATTCGATTTTTTCCCGAGAAATGAGTGAAAACCTGCGCTCGAAAACCTGTGTAAAAAACCTGAGTCAGGTTCTGAGAAACCGATAGGCGGGTCAAACCCTGACTCAGGTTTTCTATACTGGTTCCTAAGCACAGGCTATTGCTGACTCATTTCTTCAGGTTTTCCGAGCAGGTTTTACATCAGCTTTGTGTCTCTATGGAATCTGGAACTTCATCCAAGACCCCGATGGCCAGTACGGGCAGCACAGATACTTCGACTACGTCTCCAACGCCAACGAGTTCTTCTGCGCTGTTTGGGCCGTTTTCACCGTTTTTTCGCGACGAATTGAGTCGCCCAGGCTGCGATTTTGGGACAAGTGGTTGACCACGCAGACGATGTGTTCTAGCTACTTGATCGCGCTGGTTTACTGGGGAATGATGGACAAAGTCAATTACGGGCTGCACAGTCTTTGGCAACATGGAGGACTTGGTCTTCTCACTTCTATTGACTTTATTTCCCAGCGTAAGGACAATTGAATTTTGAAAGTGTTTTATGATTTTTAGGGCCTTACAAATTCAAATGGATCCTGGCTCCTTTTATCTACTGCTTCTGCGACTGTTTCTACATGTTCGCCATCGCCATGCTCTGGCCAGAAACGCGAGACGCAGTTTACAAATTCGCCACTTTCGGCGAATTCGGCAGTGAATCCATGTACGAAGTACTAAAGGTAAGAAGCGAAGCAAGAGACAAGTTGGAAATTAACTTTTTCGTCCCTGACCCGGCGGAAAAAACAAATAATGCCGCGTTTTAGTTGCAGTTCATCCTGACGTTTGTCGTCCAAACAACGCTTTTCTGTATACTCTGGACGGTGCAAAGGACGTTTTGGTTTGTCAACGATAAATTCAGTAAAAAGGAAGACACTTCCTCGACGAATTCCGATTCGAAGCTTCTGAATGAATGAAGCCCGTTCTGAAAAATGCCAATAAAATAAGACCCTGCCTTCATCACTGACTGCTGCAATTTTAACGAAAAACAGACGAAATCAATTTTTCGGATTAAAATTTTACCTCAGCCGATCAATTATGGTAATAGGGGTCAAAAGCAAGCAGTCCCTAACCCTCCCCCAAGGCCCTAACTCAGGGGTTTCGCCCCCAGGACCCCCTAGTAGGTATCCCAAGTCCCCTAACCCTAACCCTAACCGAGATAAGGGCTAATTGAGGACAGTCATTTTAGGACGCTCGACCGATAACCGCAGACAGGGGTTATCATTCGAGCCTATGATTCGAGCCATCATATATCTCTAGAATCTGGGCTAGTGGTTAGGGTTAGGGACTAGGAACTCTTAACATGGGGCCGGGGGGGGGGGCAAGCCCCCTGGTTTGGGCCTTAGGTGGGGGTGCAGGGGCGTAGCCACCTGGGTTAGGGTTAGGGTTAGGGGCAGCTCGAATGATAACCCCTTACTACCCCGATAACCCCGCTACACGTCAATTATGAGTCATAATTTATGACTACGAATATCGAAAAAAAATACACGAAAAAATTCGTCGAATATTTTTAGCAGAAGCGAGACTTGGAGTCAGTGAAAGAGTAGACTGAAGGAGTCCTTTTCCGATTCGCGTTTTTCTTGTTGCTGAGCAGTAAATTCAGGTCTTTGGTGTAAGAAGGACGCTGCCAGGCGATCCCAAGTCGGCGACTGTTGTTTCTTTCTCGGGAGCGATCTTAATTCCGAGTTTTTCTTGAAAATGCTTGTAATCTTACTTGTTCTTTCAACTGTTATTCCGATGAATTTTTCGTCCAAAGACCTTTCTCTGTCGCTAAAAAGAGACGATTTTCCTGAACACTCGAGCTAGAAGAAAAAAGTACCTCCTGAGCATGAGCATTAGTGCTGGAGCAAAGACGATGGTCCAGCCGCTGAGTGCAACGATTAAATTCCAGTACAGTTCCTGAGAACATTTTATTGTTGAAAAACGAAGCCGCAAGGCGTCTTCGAGTATTTTACCTGTCAAATCTATTTTTAAATTTTGAAAAGATCATAAAAATATCTGAGCAGATGCGGAAGAAGCTCAAATTTGCGGCAACTAATCGGAATGAAGTATATATTACTACGAGATGTTTGACGCTCTCGCCGATTAGCTGGGCACCAAATAAAAAAGTAGATTTTGCCTTCTTAGTCACAATAATTGCAATCAAAAAGTATCAAAATAAAGCTCTGATAAGCTCTCTCAGGATCCTCACTCAGGTTTTTACAGAGGCTTTCAAAGGGAACCTGTGTAGAAAGCCTGAGTCAGGGTCTGAAAGATCTTTGATAAAAACCCGCGGCTTCATTAAAGATCTTTCTGACCCTGATTCAGGCTTTTACACAGGTTACCGAACCAAGCAAACCCTAACCCTATTAATAGGCTATTGGTTTTGTTGCTCTTTTAAAAGTGGTGGTTATTTTGAAAATAACCTCAATGGCGTAAGAGAAAAGAGCTGTTTTGTCTGACCTGGTAGACTTGTTCTTCTCTCTGGTGCATTTTGTAAATCTGGCGAAAGAAACAACAAAAAGCGAAGTAAGAGCAAGCCTAATTTGATCCAGCTCGACATCTGCTGAATTATAAATGCCTAGTCAATACCTAGTAAAGCACTGTTAACTTTTCCATTGCATACGTTTTCCAAAAACTTATTTTGAAATGGCTTGTTTATTGGACAAAAAATAGGAAATTTGTTTGTTTGATTTATTGAGCTTCAGATTCAAAAAGGGTCTTTTCATCAGTTCAGTTCGAAAGGTCTATTTTTTAGGTATGCGATTTTTAAGAGATTTTTTGATTGAAAAATTGAAAATTGGAAGATTCTAGGGAGGGTCAAGGGAGGAAGAAAAAAGAGAAGATTCACTTTTGAGAATTGAGGAATTCGGGGTCCATCTCCACTTTTCTCGTTTTTTCGTTGTAGAAGTAGCCTTTCTCTGCCAACTGCGAAACTGGTTCTGGAAGACTAGAATTTCGTTTATTCATTTATTATTTGAGTTTGAACTGAAAAAGGGAAAATAAAAGGGTCAGCATTTTAACGGGCTTTTCTCGTAAATTCGTTAAAATAGAGACCTTAATGAAGTATTTGCCCGTTAAAAAGGTGACCTCTTTTATTTGCGTTTTTTCTTACTAAAGAATGATGCGGCCAAGAATCTCGAAGGACTTAACTCGTCGTTGTTCGTAAAAATTCATTTTCCAGACTTTCACTTCGACGATTTCAAAATCGAACTGGTGGAGATCCCTGCTCCCTGCGCTTTTAAATCCCAATTATCATCGACGAGGAGCATGATTTGACTCAGCTTGTCTCTCAGCCCGAGATTCCCGCCCCGCCAAAATATCGGCTTGCGCTGTTTTTCTCAAAAGCAGTTGCATTCTGACGCATCAGCGCATTTTTTGTCATTTTTTGCTTTTTGCCATTTATTGTTAATTATTAATTTTAATGAAATTGAGACGTTTATTTGAGTTGAAACATGTTGATTTAGGAGTTGAAGGGTCGAGCAATTTTTCGTGAAAATAGCAAAATAAAAATTTAAGAAGCAAAGGCCTTCTGGTCGTGCAGGACTTGATTGAAGATCTCCATTTCGTAGGAAGTGAAGCAGTTCTCGGCCTGGTTCGCTGGCGGCGTCGGAGGTGGTGTCGGCCGCCCGTTCCTGGTCGACGCGGCTGGCTCGCCAGTTCGTTTGGAAAGAGCAGAAACGGAAGTCAGAAAGGAGTTGTCACGTGTTCGCCGAATTTGAGCGATGGTGTCTTCTATTCTCCGCGACTATGGAAGATGATTATATTTTTATATTTCAAACATAAAAATTAAAATAATTTAATATAAATAATTTTATTTAAAATTTATTGTATTTATTATAATAAAAAAATTATTAGATAAAATTAAATAAAATGATTAATTTGTTTAAAAATGTCTTTTTATTTTTGCTTTAATTTTTCACATATTTATTCAAAAATAATTATTTAAAAAGTTTCTAAACTAACCCTTTTGACTTGAGTTTTTCGGGAAAAGTCCTCCCTGGCGCCGATTTTCGCTTGTATTTTTGAAGTTGTGTTTTCCCTTTGATCGTCAGCTCGTTTGCGTTTTGCTCTTTTCTCGGCCTTCCTGGTCCTCTTTTCACAGTTGTTTCCGACTTCCGTGGTCTTCCTGGTCCTCTTTTTACCGGGGCGGAGGAGACTGGAAGAGTTTTCGAAAGTCCGATCGATTTTCTTGCTTCTTTCTTTTCAGGAGTTGTTTCTTTCTCGATTTTTGGGACGATGCTGTTTTCGAATAATTCTTCATTTATTGGTATTTCCTCAATCCTACGAATAGATATGTTATGGAAAGGAAGCCGCAAAGCAGCTTAGCCAAAATCAGGGCAAAACCAAAAATGGAAGGGATTTTCTGAATCAGGGTTTTTATTGGCCAGTAGGTCAAATACAGCAATCTTATTGGTAGTTTAAAAATGCAATTCCATCTTTTTTGGTTTAGTCCTAAAATCATGTTGCCGGATGGATTTTTGAAAAGCCGCTCCGCGGTTTCGACGAGTAGAAAAGCCGCTACGCGACTTTCAATCAAAGCTATTATAAAAGAAACCCTATGTAAGATTCTCGTTAAAAACTCACGAAGAATTCGGCGCTTCTTCCAGGTCGGGTATAATGTCGTCAAGGCTTGGTGGCTCCTGTGAGTTCTCTTCTTGACTCTCCTCTTCTTCCGGAACGACTGAGATCTTTTCTGTTTGAATTGGTTTCTTGTTTTCGTTGATTTCGCGGAGCTTCGAATTGAGCGAGTCTGGAGTCGGGCTGCGGCTGCGCGAAGGCGACCAGCTTTGAATCGAGATTTTTCGCGTTGTTTCTTCGTTGTTGTAGTTGTAGGTTTCCTCGACGAGGGATTTCCAATCTGAATTGATTGGTTACTTTTCGATTTTGCCCATTAAAATTATGAATTACCTAGAACAGGTTCTTCGTTCTTTTTAATTGGGTCGGTTTGAACTCCGACTTCTTCTTTTTCCACTTCTGGCGGCTTGTTTTGAACTGCCACGTTTTGGACTCGCGTTTCCTTGGTTTTCGATTCTTCTTTCAGTTCGTCCCAAATGCACTCCAGCTCGTCGAAGGAGTTGAAAAGGCCGGAGACAGACACTTTCAGACGATTCCATTTTTGGAAGAAGATTTTCTCTTCTTCTAAAAACCGCTTTATTTTTTGGGAGAGAAGATTTTTATAATTTATTTCGAAGATTTTTGAAATATTTTTTAAAGTTTTTGAATAATATTTTCAAAAAAAAAAATTTTAAAAAATTATTGATGATTTTTTTGAATTTTTTTTTTTGAAAAAAAAGGAATTTCATTTCTCAAACCTGGGATAAAGCTAGAAGCGGCGATTTTCAAGTCCGCCATAAATCCCAAAATCTTCTCTTTCTCGGCTTTTCTCTTCTGCAGCAACTGGTGTCCATCAAGCCAAGAACTGTTCATTTTGGGGAGCTCCTCTTTTTAGCGAAACGTTAACTTTGAAATTTGAAATTTCGGTTTTACGGTCGAGCGCTTTCGCGGCCCCGCGGCCACCTGCTCAAGCGATAGAATCAGCCAAACTTTTTTCACACTTGTTCAATGAGCTCATAGACGGTTCAAACAGTTAGTCTGCCGCTTGTAATGGGGATAAAAATGAAAATTTTCAAAAATCAAATTTTCGGGTAGAACCAATTTTTGGAAAAGATTTTTATGGAAAGGGTTTTGATTGGCCGGTATGCCAAATACAGCAATCTTATTGGCTATCCGAAAATTCACTTCCAAAAATTGGTTTAGTCCAAAATTTCAACGTTTAATTGATTTTAGCTGATCCCGTCTGTTTTTTCAAGTCTTTCATAGGGTGTTATATCTGATATATTAAGATTCCTCGTGATCTGAGGATCATTTTGATGTATTACATGACACATTTATGAAAATCTATCCCTGAAATTTTACCCTTCGATAATTGCATAAATGCATGTAATTTATACTTAGCGTAAAAATTATTAATTTTTTCGACTTTTCAATAACATCGAAATAAGACATACAAGGGATCTATCGAAAGCTTAGAATGTGCTGATTCTAGTGCTGTAACCGCACTAGATTTTTGAACAAAATGTTGGCGCTAGAGAGCATTTAAATTCCAAAAAACGCCAAAAATGGCCCCAATCGGTTGTTCTTAAGAAAATTTATTAATTACTTGACCAAATCATTTCTCTGTACTAGACATTAAGGATGAGGCTTTGGTCTTTCTAAATCTAGTCGCAGATGGTGTCTATCTAAGCCCAAATCGGCTAAATTTCGAGTCAAAGATGACCTAAAATGGCGTATATTGAAATTCTCGAACTTTGGCCCCTCCTAGTGGTACGTTTGCAGTGAGCAAAAAACTTGGTCGACACTGGTTATGTCGCCGAATGTCGCCGAATGTCGCCGAATGTCGCCGAATGTCGCCGCCTATTTTTTAAACCAGGATTTTTTGAAGGAAAACTGGTTTTTAACCTAGGACTTTCAAAACTAACTTGTTCTAGAACTGTTTTGGCATAATTTCGAGACAAGGAAGCGCTCCGCGCAATTTGTGGTAGGAAACTCACTGGTTGGGCTGGACACACTTCTATTGCCGCGCCTCCTACTATTTCCGCCTTTTTCGGTTCTAGAACAAGTTTGTTTTGAAAATTTGAGCCAGAAAACAATTTTTCTTTCATAAATCCTATTTTTTGAAAAAAAATGGCGACATTCGGCGACATTCGGCGACATAACCAGTGCGCCCCAAAAACTTCTCTGTACTAGAGAATAGCGGATAGCACCTGAGCTTTCCGTAGAGCTATTGTACGCCCAAATTTATAAGCGCAAATCGGCTGAATTTCCAGTCAAAGATGGCCAAAACGGGGGGGGAGAGATCCCTTAAGCTCAAAGCGACCACTTCTAACCAGCTCGATTTTGGGAGGTGTCTGGAACCGACAAATAAATTTCGACAAATTTTGCGTGCGCGGCTACTCGGCTGCTGATTGGCCGATTCGCCGAATCAAGGCTTCTGATTGGTTGAAGATTTCCACGCAAAATTTTTTTTGACGATTCCAGACACCTCTCCCTCGATTTCAAATGGCATCAATATGGCAATACGGCAAGTTTTTTACTGGAGAGCCAATATTCTTATTGCAAAAAATTGAATTTATTTTATTTAGTCACCAATACAGCAGTTTTTAATAATAAAGAATTCAAAACTTTTCTTTTTTAACGATTCTCGTCAGATTATATCGTATGTAGACCATGTTATTCTTCCCGACAAATTTCATTGTTTGCTTATCGTCTTCGAGAACACTCGTTAAATCGACCGTATTTCTTATTTTCCCAAGTGGAGGGTCGATTTCTTCTGCTATTGCAGTGAATGAATCCTGCCCTACATGACATTAAAAAGAATAAAAAAAGACTTAAAACCTGGTGATCCAATCTTCAAAATGAATTCAAAAACACCGAGAGAGTCATTTTTTTCTCTTTGAAAAGAAATAGAGTATCCGCAGAATTCTCCTTCAATTTTGTCAAACATCCAGAACTGAAAATATGAAGCTAATAGATTTATTTTCTTGAACCTTCAAATTGATTTGAAGATGACCACAGAAAAGCATTTTGCAGACTTCTTGAAGATGAGTTTCGCCCATTATAGGTCGAGGTCCTCCGGCCTTTTGCGACTTGTCAGGCCCAGAGTAATGGCCAAGACCATCAAGTGGAGTGAGTTTTCTTACAAAATCCGCAACCAAGTTTGATTTTCGTCCAAATGTTCCAACCCATTTTGGATTATCCTCATCAAGTATCCCCTCTTGATCTATGATTTTCTTCTTGAGCAGTAAATTTTCGTTTGTTTGTTTCTCTAAATTTCCTTCTAGCATTTCAATATGCCTTCTTAATTTGTCGATTTCATCTTCAGTCTTTTCATTCCCGTATTCACGATCAACAGTATCATCAATGAGCATATGTTGAAAAATTTTCTCTTCTTTCAGCACGATTGCATTTTTTGGCCTCATCTCTTTTCTCGCTGATAGACATTTCTCCAAAAATTTTTGATAAGGAACGAATTCTTCAGCATCAGTGCGAAAATCTTTGATATCTCTTCTTCGTCCAGCCACAATATTTTGCCCTGAATTTCTTTGATAGATGTGTTTAGATAAATCTCTTACTTATTTCAAATGGAATATTTGCTTTTATTTTGTTTTCTTCGGGATAAAAGGCATGATGAAGTGTTATTATTTCCTTCGATGAGGTCACAAATGAACTTTTATTTTATATTTATATTATATTATTTATATTATTATCTATTTATTATTTATTATTATTCCTTATTATTTATTATTATATTTTATATTTTTCATATGAGATGAGTATTTAAACCTTCCCTGTATTACAAGAGCAAGTCCCCAGACATCAATGCTTGGAGATTTTTTGCGTTCATTCATAAGACATTCTTAAAATTCAAACAATGTCCTTCTGTTATAAAATAAGCATTTTAAACCTGGAGTTGAGTACATCTCGGTAGACAAAATAGTTCCCGAAGTAGCAGAAGTGATCGTTATTGTTGAGACCTCGCGGGCACTGCCGAAATCTCCAAGTTTAATCTGAAGAATAAAGTACTTTATTTCGAATGATTTTCTTACAGTTTTTTCATCACTCGATATAAAAACATTTGCTGGTTTGATATCAAGATGAAGAACACTTTTCTCGTGGCAATAAGCAACAGCTGAAACGAGTTGAACACTTAGATTTTTGATTTCAGGAAGAGAAAGGAAGTTTCCTGCTGTAAGTCGTTTTGCTATCATGTCTTTAACACTTCCACCATCGAGACTCTCCATGACGATGAAACTCATCCTTGTGTAACACCACGATGGTTTCTCTGCTCCGATGAAATCAATGAATTTCACAATATTTCGATGATCTGATCATAATTTTTTTAATTGATCCACAAAATAAATTTGTTACCGAGAGATTTAAGTTCCTTTGCTTCTTTTTCCGCATTGTCGGCTGTTATCTCCCGGGTTAAATAAAATCCTTTGATTTTTACGCGAGATGAAGTTCGTTGATCAATTGCATTCACAACGCCAGCTTTCAGTTCTCCAAACTCCTGGTCGTCCTCGATCACGAACTGCTTGTTTTTCTTGAAAGAGATTTTAGATTTTTTTCTTTAATTAAAATTTTCTTCTGATGATCATCTTTAAAAATAAATAAAATTTGTGAATAAGAAAATTTGTGCATTTTTATTGGATCATATAAAATAAATTGTTTATTTAAAAATCTCTGCCAGGTATTTCTTCATCTTACATTCCTATCTACCGTATTGGCTCAGACAATCTTAAAAATTTTATTCTGTAAGTTTTATAAGATCAGGAGGCTTGTCGAATCCGCTTTGCATTGCTAAGACTATTTATTCAGTTAATTTTATGTATGTGAGGAAGAGAATCTACATCATTAAAAATGGATTTTTCCATGGACAGTCTTCACCACGCCCCCCATGGATGATGATCTTCTGACCTGTCAGGCTTGGTGTTTTTGGATCCACACACGTCCAGATTGTCTTATTTACTCGTTTTATATTCTGTTGAGAATAAATACCTGAGCAATCTCTTCAGGTTTTATGATTCCAGCTAGTGGCTGCTTCTCTCCTTCGATCTGCATCAAAGTAGGTCGCATTTCCTCGGGAATTCCCGTGGTCTCCCAAATCTCAGTATCGGTCACTGCTGGATGAATTGTGTTAACTCTTATTCCGTCTGCCGCCAAATTTCCAGACAAAAGTAAAGCAGCATGATCTGTTGCAGCTTTTGTAATTGAAACCGGGAAATAATCTTTGTTGTAAATAATTGGATTTGAGTGTTGTATGAATATTTACTGTTTGTGCGTATGACTGTTGACAATGCAGATATGATAACGATGGACCCTTTGCTTTGTTTCAAAAAGGGAAGAGCCGCTTGGATCAAAAACACAGGAGCTTTAATATTCATGATTATATTTTTGTCGAGAATTTCTTCATCAATGTCCTCAATGTTTCCAAAGGCAGCAGAAAAAAGGTTCTTTTTTAAATTAAATTTTCATGACCCCTCACAGGATCAGAGTAAAAATCGTTGGGGAGGTCCTTAAGTAGATAAACCTTTCCTGCACTTGCGTTATTAACCAGAACATCAAGCCTTCCGAACTGTTCGATTGTCTCCGTCACCAGTTTTGAGAGCTCTAAACTTATATTTTTCTCTCTTTTTCATTTCAGTTACCCTACCTGAGATCTTTGTAAGATCAAGCTGAACAATATGTGTTCCAGCTGCACCAAGTTGAATGCATTCGTCACTAACTTTCTTCAATTTTTCAAGGTTCCGTCCATGAAGTGTAATGTTAAATCCTTTCGAGGCAAATAGTCTTGCAGCAGCAGCACCTATCCCACTGGAGCTTCCAGTAATTATGATGCTCTTGAAATATTTTTTCCTCATCTCGTTTATATAATCTCTATTACCTTGGCCATTCTTTAATTTACGAACGTTTGCTCTAACAATTCTTCAGAGTCAAGAGCCTGATATTTTTCTCGCGCATTGCTGCTGAAATTTGCTCACATTGATTTATTTTCTCATTTTATAAGCCACCGTTATCGCATTTGCATTCAGGAATGTAAATCGTCGCATAATCAAAAACAAATTAATACAGTGTATTCAGCGTTTAGTTCATCCCTACGATTACAAAAATTAGCACAATAAATTTCCATAAATTCACAAAACTGTATTTTTTCTGATGCAAAATTGACGGAGAATTTCATCTCTAGTGTCAGAATAAAAAAAATATTATCTTGGTCGAATAAATGAATTTCTAAAGGTTAAAAATTGGCGCAAACTACCCGCGCAATCTAGTGTACGCCTCAAAGCATCTTGTTTCTTTCAAATTTTAGTTTCAATAATCTTTCGCTCATAAATGATGAGAGTCAAGTACTACGAATGCCAATAATAAGCGCATTCTCAGCCTGTTCAATCACTGTTATACATACTCCTCTATGTTGTCAGTTTAAGAATAAGAATTCATATTTATTTGTCAGACGAGCAAACTTTTGATAGCTAGGAAAAGCATTCCTACGACTAGAAGCTCAATAAATCATGTTCAATGCAAATATATTTTAATAGTGAAGCATGAGAGTTGACCTCGTATCATAGTGACCATTTTTTCGAGATAGAACGCCACAGATTTAAGAAATGGCAGAAAGCAAGAAATCTGAAGAATCGAAACTCGAACAAGAAGAAAAGAAAGAACAGGATATTTTAGGCTTTTAAAGTTAAGAGAAATCTAAAACTTTCAGAAGAAGGGAATTTATTAAATCCTTATTCATATTCTTGACTTCGAAAAACCAAATAAAGAGCACCACCTCCTTACACTGAACAAACAACAGTAGAAGCGCAAGTCGTGACAACTCAGCCACAGTATGTTATCACTACCCAGGTATATCGGACAACAACAAGGAAAATTGAAAAAGGAGAATTCTAGTACGCGCAGAAGAGCTGGAAAGTCGACTACCGAAGTTTGAGTTGGTGTGATGGACATTGCTGCTCCGCTTTTTGGTTTTTAAAAATTTTAGGACTTCAAATTTTCAAGTTTTCAGGTGTCCTTGCTGCGCGCATGGGAGCGTCTCGCAAATGAGTGGCGGCGGATATGGAGGACCCTGTTGCTTGCGTAAGTTTGATTGCTTTTTCTTTTTGAATAAACAAGCTTGAATTTTGAAGGATTTTGCTTTGGATTCATCGCGGTCTTTTTCCTCGTCGAAGAACGCGAGCGTATGCGCCAAAGTCAACAAATAACAGGTAGTATTGCTTCCTGAGACAAAAAAAAATGCTTCAGTTCTGCAAATTTCAAATTATTTATAGATCCGCCTGTTGGTTGCTGCACTGTCTTCTGGTGCGAGTCTTGCATTTTGGCATCTATGCTGTATGAAGTCGGTCATTAGCTGGGGTCGAAAGACTGTGTAGAAAACCTGAGTCAGGATTTGGAGGCGGCACTGCTTTATTAAAGCACCATCAAACCCTGACTCAGGTTTTCTACACAGGTTTTCGAGTCCTGGTCGCTAGAAAGTTTGCACAAAATTCCTTTTTAATAAAAAGATTATTTGCTTATTTTCAATAAAATGATTTGCCAAATTCGTAAAAGAAAAATTTTAATAATGCTGAAAAATGATCTTATTAACAGTAGAATTAAAGATGCTGTCAGAGTCAGGAGAGGAGAGTTCCCGTGACGCAAACTGAGCCGAAAAGGCTGGGTCTTATTTTTGAGTGATTTTGTGTTCATGTGCGCAGCGGATCAATATCAATCCAGGCTATTTTTAGAAAAGAGCGTGATACAAATTACACTCTTAATTGGTCTATAAGACTTTCGGCTGATTTTTTCGTTCGTTAATACACTGACACCCTTATTTTAACAAAACCATTTCATCAAAAAAGCCGAAAGAATTCTATCAAGCTCTATTTTTGGTCTTCCTCGCCAATTTCTTGAGAAAGTCCAACTTCGCGCCGATTTGCTGTTGCCAAATCCGCTAAAAGGGTGTCTCTTTTCCGTTATCACCGATCCTCGCTCCACAGTTTCCCAGGAAAGCATCAACACTAGAAATTGAGCAACAAAAGCGAGTTCCATTCAAACTCAGTTTTAAGCCTTTTTCCGAAGTTTTCCAATAATTGGATATTTTGGGCAACACAAATTTATAGTTCCGGAACTACGTCGACCCCTTCTGTTTTGATTCTTTAATTTTCGCTTAGCCAAAACAAAAGAGTCCCGGTTTGAAGAGAGACGGGCGGGATTAAAAACGCAAAAATCGGAAATCGTCAGCGCATTTGCCGAAATCGGTACTCCTTGTTGATTTTTTGCTATTTTTGCGCGACTTTTTGATTGAAATCGAAAGACCATAAAATCAAGATGAGTTGATGCAGAAGGAATAAAAATTTAACGCTAGTGAGTTGGTAAAATGTCTTCTGCTATGTTAGTTATTCAAGTTATTTCACCCACTTCTTCATTTTAAAGGGGTAAAAGCATAATGCTCCGAACTCCATCCGCCAGAGGGCGCTCGGAAAAAGAGGTGGAAGATCGGAAAAGACGTTGAAGAGCGCTCTTTGCAGGGAGCCGGAGGAGAGTGCGCTGAGGAGCGCCTAGGGAGAACCTCCGGAGAGTACACACCGGGTGAGCAAGTACGGAAGGGACCTCATCCCAGCGTGAAATGTGTCAATCTTTATTCAAACACCGCTATCATTTCTGATCGCGTAGTACCCCTGAATGAGCTTAATTTCGGTAAACTGAATTTTCACGCTCATATTTTTGAAATCATTAAAAACTTAAAAATCATTTTTAGAGTGAAATTTTGCGCTGAATCTAAATTAAGGGTCAAAAACACTAAATTTCGATGATAAGGTTTAAAAAGCAGAACTCTCAGGCTCAGGGTCTAGGAACCACCAATCTACGACCACTTATCATCGATCACAAGGGAAGGGCTTTTGGTCCTATTTTATACGTAGAGTCTCATCGGTTTCGACAGAGGCGGGAAACAAACCGATCGAAAAGGTTCATTTTATAGCTCTGATTTGAAAAAATCGGAATATACTTCAAGTCAGGCGCGAAATAAGGTCAACGATTTCTTTCAATTCCGTAAAATCCATATTCTGCTCGAAAAGACCTTTCTTCTGATACATATATGTCCAAAGAAATAACGCTATCACTCTTAATCGCCTCTTGAATTGATAATAAAGTTGATACTAGCATGGGTAGAACAATAATATCCCCTCCGCCCCTGCTGTGCTCACTCCCAGGTGTTACGCTCGATTAGCGTATTTAAGTCTTATCGCCAACTCATCAGTTCTCCCAATGTTCGGAGGACTCAGAGTCCTCCGCGCACCTTGCGCCCTCATGCGAGAAGAGTTCGGAGCATTGTGCTCGACATCCATTTTAAACCCTGGAACACCATACATTCTTGGAATCAGCGGAAAAATCTAGAATCAAGACCCTTTTTGTTTCTTAAAAATCACTTCCGGCTACGATTCTAGAGCCGGAAGTTGGTGAGATTTGTAGGAAATTCATGCGTGTGACATACCAAATTAAAGCTTAGAACATTTCTAGTAATTTGGAAAAAGACTTCAACCGAACCGCGGCCAAACTAACCGGTAAAAAATGAAGAAAATTTCATTAATTTATGCCTCTTTTCATGATTTTAGCGATCGATCTGACCGGGGTTGAGACTTTTTTCTAATGAATTGATTATAAGATGACTCAGAATTTTCTGGGCTTTAACTTGATAGGTCACATTTTATCTTAACTGCTAAATTTCGTCAACTTCCGGCTCTAGAATCGCAACCGGAATTGATTTTCGAAAAACTAAAAGGTCAAGTTTCTAGATTTTTCTCACTGATTCCAAATATATATGGTGTTCTGGGCATTTCATTGAAAAATGGGAGAAATAACTTGCACAACCTTAAAAAAGCGCGTCAACTGTCTCGACAGATCATGCAAATATTCCCTAATAAACGAAATGGTCAGAACTATTACTCGATATTTCAGTCAGGGCTAAGTACAGACAAGATTTTGTTCTCTATGACTACCTCTAACTTATAATAGTCTCTTTGAAGCTTCCTAAGAAGCTCTAAGGGGCTGGCGTCAGGAATCGACACAAAAATTTCGACATATTTTGCGTGGGTGGATACTCGGCTGCTGATTGGCCGTTAAGCTCAATCCAAACTTTTGATTGGTTGGAAATTGTCACGCAAAATTTGTCGGAATTTTTATTCCGCTCTAAATACAAGTGTATTTAAATATTTACAAATTATTTTAATAATTTTTATTCATCTATTATCTATCTGAGCTCAGCTCAGCGCAGGTCAGTTCCAACCTCAACTGAGCAAAGATTCAATAATGCGAAAATTCGATTTTCAACTTTAAATGTTAAAAACGCCAAAAGTAAAATTCTCGCTCTGGGTCTTCACTAATGAATAGAAAGTTTTCCGGCGTGGCAAATTCCGTGCTTTGGGCTGGGCTATCCTCCTTACGTAATTTCCGCTGCGGCGGCAAACACCAAACTTTTCTAATTTTTCCCCAAAAAACGAAAATGCTGCGAATATTTTTACTAGGCTACATTTTTCTCAACATCGGAGTGTTCAAGACAGAGGATGGGGTTCCCAACTTATTTGCCCAAAAATAAGACAGCTTTTGTTTTCCGAAAACACGGGTCTAGTTGCTCCGTTTTTGATCGTTTGATAATTCTAGTTCTAAAAACACTAACGAGCGCTAATTTGACTCGTTAGAAATTATTGGCTTTTGAAAAATGATTATTTTTGACCTGCAAACAAAACTAAACTGCTTTGATCAAATTAGATTATTTGCCTTCTTCTGAAATTAAGCTTTCTTTTTCAGGAATGCTTTATTTAGCAACCAAATCGTGAAGATAGAAGATTTAATTATCAGGGAAAGAGTTACTTTACTAGAAAAATTAAGGGTTTCAGAACGAAGCTTTTTACGTTATCATGAGTTGTCATGATTCTATCGATTTTCCAGGTGATACCCTTATTTTTTAACCTTTAGAGAAGCCTAACTAATGATTTATCTGTTTTTTGTCGCATAAAATAAGGGTATCACTTTATTATGAGTTGATGATTCTATCGATTTTTCTGTAAAATTAACCAAGTGATACCCTTATTTTCTACTCTTTAGGGAAGCCTAACTAATGATAGATAAATCTTCTTTTATTGTGAAAGAGAATAAGGGTGTCACTTTATTATGAAGCTGTTATCATGAGTTGTCATGATTCTATCGATTTTTATGTGAAAATTAGCCAGGTGATACCCTTATTATCAACCTTTAGAGAAACCTAACTAATGATTAATCTGTTTTTGTCGCATAAAATAAGGGTATCACTTTATTATTAGTTGACGATTCTATCGATTTTTCCGTAAAATTAACCAAGTGATACCCTTATTATTTAATCTTCATGGAAGCCTTACTAATGATAGATTAATCTTCTTTTATTGTCAAAGAGAATAAGGGTGTCACTTTATTATAAAGCTAGAATTAAAGGGAACCTTGCAAAGTGTTTGCTGTGGAGTTTTGTCAAAGTTTCAAGCTATTTTCTCATGCTTTGCGGAATCAATGAAGTCACCCGTGCAGGAAAGCAAATTTTCAGAGCCGGCTTCATACTTTTAATCGTTCTTGTGCTCCCTTTCGCCGCGATTTATTTGCTCGAAAAAGCGAGCTCCCTTCAACGTGTGCTTGATCTTTCTTTCGCTATTTTCGTCGCTTCGCAATTCAAAATGCCGAGGTATTTACAAAACGGAAAAGACAGCTAAACAAGCCGCAATCCACTTAATTAATCTTTTAGGAAAACAATTGAATGCATCCTGCCAGGTGGGGCTCGGCAACCTGTGTTGAAAACCTGAGTCAGGGTCTGAAAGATCTGAAAAGCCCCTGACTCAGGTTTTCCACTCAGGTTGCTGAGCCCAGCTGCAAGGATTGTATGTCTTTATTCACACGCTGCTGCTCACTAGTCTGTGCTCGGCAACCTGTGTGAAAACCTGAGTCAGGGTCCTTAAAATTGAAAAATATTTTTCAGGACCCTGACTCAGGTTTCTGCTCAGGTTGCCGAGCTCAGTCACCAGTGGTCCGAAATTGCCGTTAATTCCACCAGAAAATGGTTTGAAATTTAACTCGCTGGCTCACTTGATTAACATAATCGCACATGAATAGTCGATGTGTTGATTTTTGTTTTTCATTTGCATTTTTAATTTCAAACCGCTTGAAAAAGACTCGTTTTTACAAGGATTTGCGCAGGTCTTGCTTGCTCTGTTCATTCAATTCGTGTGTGGGCTCGGCAACCTGTGTCGAAAACCTGAGTCAGGGTCCTGAGAAAGCTTTTTCAATTGATTTTGAAAGCGGTTTTGCAGATTTTTCTTAAAAACTCGAAAAATTTCAAAATCAATTGAT